TGGCGCGTGTTTCACTGCCCGCCGGCGCCTCTTGGCTGCTTGCTCTTACTATGGGAACGGGGCCCCCCTTTTTTCGCTATAATTTGCGGACGACCTTCGCGGGCCTCCGTTTTCCTTTGTTCTTGTTGTTCGCTATTGTTCGGACCCAAGGCCACGAACGGGACAAAGAGGGAGAAAAGAAGAAAAAGGCCACGAACACCCGCGCCAGCTATGGCCAACGCGTTGACGGTGGTGCCCGTGGTGGTGCGTGTTTCACTGCCCGCCGGCGCCTCCTCGTTGCTTGTTCTTACTATGGGAGCAAGGTCCGCGCTTTCGCTATAATTTGCGGGCGACCCTCGCGGGCCTCCGCGCTCCTTTGTTCTTGCTGTTCGCCAAAGTTCGGACACAAAGCCACGAACGGGACAAAGAGACGGAAGAGGAGAAAAAAACCGCGGACACCCGCGCCAGCTATGGCCAACGCGTTGAAAGTGGTGCCCGCGGTGGTGCGTGTTTAACTGCCCGACGGCGCCTCCTGGTTGCTTACTCTTGTCACCATCTTGGGAACACGGCCCCCCTTTTTTCGCTATCATTTGCGGACGGCCCTCGCGGGCCTCCGCTCTGTTTCCTTTGTTCTTGTTGTTCGCTATGGTGCGGACCCAAGGCCACGAAGGAACGGGACAAAGAGGGAGAAAAGGAGAAAAAAGCCACGAACACCCGCGCCAGCTGTGGCCAACGCGTTGAAGATGGTGCCCGTGGTGGTGCGTGTTTCACTGCCCGCCGGCGCCTCTTGTTTGCTTGTTCCTTCTTACTATGGGAACGGGGCCCCCTTTTTTTCGCTATAATTTGCGGACGACCCTCGCGGGCCTCCGTTTTGCTTTGTTCTTGTTGTTCGCTAGAGTCCCGACACAAGGCCACGAACGGGACAAAGAGACGGAAGAGAAGAAAAATACCGCGGACACCGGTGCCAGTGCTGCCACCTTCCTCTTGTATATAAAATCACCGCGCCCCCGCTCCCCTTTCCCGCGACGCGGAGGGGAGTGCGCGCCCCTCGGGCGCCCGTTTCACCTTGTGAAACCATTCACCCCCACCCACGTCCCTAAAGTCTCCTTTTCCCTTCCTTAACGTCTCCCGGGGCACCCGGGCCCGGGGAGTAATAATAATAATAATAATAATCTACCCAGTCATGGGGTACGTACAGTTATGGGAAGGGGGATCGTTAGGTTGCAGGGAGATGGGGTTACCTTGTTCTTTCACCTTTCATTTGCATGGGTTTCTCTTCCAATATTTCACTTTTTGTCCTTTTTGCATTTGTTTTCGTGAATGCAACACTTGTATTGCTTGTTGATGATGTTAGTCGATTGGCTTCCCTGAATCTCTTCTAAAGTAATTCTTAGCAGAGGAGGACGCTAGGTTTTTCACGAGGACGCAAGATTTTTCTCTGCGAACAGATGGTAGATCGATGCCTTAATACAGTCACGAAAAGTGCAAGAACGGCAAGTGACAGTAGATGAGTGAGAACTTGTACTTTGTACAGAAACTACAACCGATAAATCATCGTCTTCTCTCGAGGCGAAAATAGACACTTCACGACACCGAGACCGAATCGGATAGACGAGCCATGTCCTAACCATTCTAGAATTTGAGTCGAGTCCATCTCTAGGATGTGGCCGTCGGTCACTATGCGAGATCTAACACGACTTCCTGGTGTGACGGTCAGAAGAGAAGGCAAGTAATCTATCGCATTCGCATTCTTTCCTGTGAAAGGTTGTGCTTGCTTGGTTTTTGACCTTGTTCGTGTTGCCTTTGACCTTGTTCCCGATGCTCAGTTACTTAAATATTTACAAATCCTTATTGGCTTGTTTTGTAGTTCAACTAGAGAAAAGCCTTTGCCTCTCCACTCTGTCTACCTTTATAACAATCAGAAGTAAGCATCTTCTACAACGGAGACGCATTAACATACTGCTCCTTATTGTTCCTCAATATTTTCAGTACTTCCCCTCAGTAGACTCCTTCTCCTTCTAGACTCCACCATCGATCTAGTATCTTGCTCTGCTGAGCTGCGCAACGTCTGCTAGGAAAGACTTGCTGCTGTGCAAACACGAACCTCCAAGGACTATTTTGCATCTATGCTCCGCACTCAGCTGCGCCATATCTCTAGCCTCTTCGAATGTGCAACCTCCAACTACGAAGACAACCACATTCGATGCCGGTGCTTTTGCGGCGAAAGTTAGAGCTGCGGCATCAGCGAGATACGCACACGCTTCAACAGCTTCTCTGTACTAGTTTCTACTTCTAGACGAGCTACATGATAGTCACGACGAGGCAGGACGACTCTCGGAAGATAAAACATTCACGTCACTATGACATTCATAAGAAAGAGTGTTGCACTAGTAGTGGTTGTAGTAGTTAATGAAGCATCCGTACTACTACTAGTTGTTCTATCTTTACACCACACCCAAACCCATATTATGCGCTATTCCTCGTTGAAAACAATACTAGGTACCCCTCTATACACCTTACTTTATACCAAACCCATAAGAGTGCGCTATTCGTTGAAAACAACGGTGCGAAAGGGAAATCGGATTCACGGAGTCTACCCCGTATCAGCGCGTCCACTACCGACTTTACCGCAGAAGTGTGTTGGGTGTAAACATTTTCTATGCCTTTGAAGTTCAACCCCTTCGCTAGTCGAGACATGCCTGCTTTGATTAGCGGAGGTCCTCGTGTAGGTGGAGGACGTGTACTAGAAGGTGGACGACGTGTAGAACGTGGAAGTGATTTCCTAGAGGAAGAAGTCATATTCCGATCTTCGGAGTCTGCTTTCTCGTGAAAGTAGAGAAAGCAAGGATGGAGATAGCAAAGATTTTTAAATGTTCATGTTCATATGCTCCACCCAGGCCAACGTTGAGCCTTTGGGCAGTTTTCAACTACCTCTACAGATAAATCAGAGCTGCAAGTAGCCGTAAATTTAGCCATGTTTTGTTGGAAAACAGGTCACCGCCACGCACACTGGCACCTGCGTACTGAAGTAGACAGTCAATAAGTGCGATCTGGTCGACGTCGATCTTGTGGCGAGCAAGCTCTTGGATGTTAGAAAAAGCCGAGTCCGACTGATGCAGCCGACTGCGAATATTTCAGTACGTACAGTTACAAATGCATATCAACGGGGTAGTTCATGAGGAGGTCGTTGAGTGTGCCTAACTTTCAGTTGTAATTCAATGACTAAGTACTTAAATGGAGTCCATGATCTTAACTTTCAGTGATTCAATGGCCCCTCGTTCGTTTTCATACCGCAGACTAAAAAGCAGCACCAGCCTTAGCCGTTCCATGTTGTTCACGTCAGGAGAGCGGAGCTTTTGTAGAACTTGGTCAAAATGCGCGCTCTTCGCATCCGTACAGGCCAAGTCTTGTTCTATCTGCGATACGTCTAAAAGACCGCAACTTCGCACTATTCGCGGGTTAGAGCTCCTAAATAGTTGTACGACGACGAGGACTGTCCCTTTGGTGGGCAAGAAAACAAGAAAGCGTGTACTTTTTCAACATTCGTCCTACACAACTGCACGCTTTTCTACGACTTAGACTTCTAACTATTATTATTAAATTATTATGCAGAGGAGCCCGGGGCGGAATGGACTTTGATAGGAAGGTTCATTCAAATACTCGCTGTGCGAATAAAAGATTAGACAAAATAAGAGCAGTATTTTTTCAAGTAATACTTCTGCACTATTTAGCATGAGTAAAAAGCGCATGCACGGAACCATAATACTAAGTTCGATGACAACGGCCACGTGTTTTGCAACGTTTCCGGAAAGTCTTCGAAACTCTGGATAAGTGTCTACAAAGCGCCTCATGTCGTCAACGGTTTCTATCCTCTGAGAATTCTTTGTCTGCTCTTGGAATTCCGCGAGATATTTCTTGATGTCTGTGGTAGATGTGGTGGCGGTGGTTCGTGTTCATGTGATATTTCTACCTAGTTCTAGTTGTAGTCAACAAAGACATGTGGTGAAGTAAGTAAATTTGAATCATAAGTGAACCAACTTTTTTTAGTCGTCTTACGGTGCCATGTCACGATCAGGCACCTCCAATGATCAAATCAGTCTAAGTAACTTCCAGTCTGCTCTTTGAGAACAACAACAAAATCCTAAAGAACAAATGAAAATACTTGCTCCAAGATCGCCGTAGTTTGAGTATATATTTTCTTCGAAAAATGGATCATGTAACGTAGATATAACAAGCTCCTTCTGTTCAGCTGAGACTCCAGGTGCCTGCGATTTAGGGAAAGAGAGTCGTGTAGGTGTAACAATCTAGTCGTGAGGTGGATAATTGAGCCGTTACTTAGTTCCTTCTGTAGTTCTCAGATGGAACAACCTCCGCAATGAACGTAGAGAAAAATTTACCTTGTCTCGTTGACGAGAATCACAATCACAAGAAATGAATCCTACCCCGAATTGACAGGCCACTAATCAATCTTGCAAAATATAATAGTACCTTGCTCAAGTCCACTCTATTATTCTCTATGCCCAGCAGTTCGTTCACCATCGCGTGATAAGTCCATTGATTCAGCAAGGGCGTCACTGGGTCGTCTCTCCTATCGTATATCAGCAAGGTTCGACTAGATGATGTAGCTGCGTTGTTGAGACCACCTGGTTGTCATGGTTGTCGTGTTCTTAGTTTTTTTAGCACACCTAAATATTTTCGTACAACGATACGCTATCTTAACACCTACACCATAGATATGATGACAATGCGCACCTGCTGTACTAGTACCGAACAAAGTATGCTCGTCGTGTATTCTTTGTGAGAGCTCGTGCGCTAGCTTCTGCGATATAACACTTCCATGCGCATACCGTACCACCGGCTTCGCACCGTCAATAGACTGGAGTGACAAGAGAACGGCAAGCAACCCTTCTATGTGTCTTTGGAAGATACCTGTCGTGTAGGAGTTCTTGTGGGAAATGTGAGCGAGATGATCATGATAGACACACTTTTTCGGTGGACATATGTTGTCCACCAGTGACTGTACAGTGCTGCTTTCTCTTCCTAAAAGTACACCATATTTTTGCACTATAGTTCAGTACTAAGTAATTATCACTAAGCTCCTGTAATTCAGTACTAAGTAATTTGAATCTTAGACAGAATTACGCCTCAATCTGGTTCCAATTTTGTCAGGAGCATACTACATATACACTATAATTCAGTACTAAAATCATCAACAGTAAGCTGTGAAGTAGTACTTTCTTCGTAGGCAGTCCAGTGTACAGGGTTCCTCAGGCTCATCCAGATGTTGCTCGGTTGGTTCAAGCTGAAGAGTGAATGCGCTGTTGCATATACATCGGCAAAGATTTCCTGGACTTGTACCACGACTTCCCGTTCGTCACAACAAGCCAACTGCTCTAATCTATGGTGTGGCACGCTGTTCGTGAAAAACACGCTGTAATTCCGATAGCGTGGGTGGGGATTAGATGATTATATACAGAGGATCGCAGGTCAACAGATTGAGTGAAGATGAAAGAGACCTGATCCTAATGATGATTCCTGAATTATAGAAGTTGGTCGCCCTGGGTCTACCGAGTGCCGGTCTACCTGGTCCCACCTACTGACTGGCCCAGCTCCCACAACCTATTCAAAGAGACAAATGAACTACAAGTGCGCTGAGTCTACATTTTTCCTCATAGTCTTCAAGTGTTTGGACAGCAGCATGAAATTTTTGTCCGTCGGCCTCAACAGACATATGACACTCAGGTGCCCCATCTTCTCCTGGTTTTCGTTCTTTGTTAGACGCGGAAGGACTTTCGTTCTATTCATTCCAGACATCAATAGACGCACAGGAGGAGTACTAATGTTATAGTTCGTCTTTTTTGTTGCTGCAAGTTCATCTAGTAGGACTAGACTTACATAGGAGCAAATACTACTACGAAATTCAACAAGCAAATGCCGCTACTAAACACTCCTCCATAACTCAATCTTCTCCACTAAGAAGACCTCTTTTTCTAGTATCTGGCTCTGTGAATATACCATAGAGACAATCCCTGTGGTCTCTTGGTCCAGCAAAAGCACCTTCATCCCGGGAACGCGGTCCAGCATAAGCTCGATGTACTTCTGCATCGCCAAAAGAAGGCTGAAAAGTTAGAGCGATGGACCATGTGCTGCTTTTGCCTGTGAGGAAACGGAAAGGTAACATAAATTATAGGATTTTCGCCTCCGAGGATTATTGCTAGCCACAGTGGTACGATAATGCTGGGTCACATTCCTATTTTTCATCTTGTATTTTGCTCAGCACTAGCACCTAAATTGTTATTCTATTAGAAATAGACCACATCATGAAGAAGTCTTAACTCTGATCGTTATTGATGGACGACAGCATTTTTCCAGGTGAGGTGCTGGAGCTAGCCGCACTAGTACCCGTTGTTGGCTTCATTACTTTCGCCATCTTGCTGGCTTCTGGTTACTATTTACGTATTTACGGGGAGCTTGAGGATGCTCTCGGGTGTCCTCGTGGTATAGTGGCGTAGCGGAAAGTCGTGCCCGTTTACTTAAGCGAGAGTCAGAAGCTCAAGAAGGTGGCCACGCTCTCTTACAAGGAGCAGGAGCTACGGGACGCAACAAGAGGAAACAACGACAGGGAGGAAAGACATGATAACATTGATGTTGAACTCTACTAGAAGTCTGCTCTTTGGTACACAGGTGAGTCTCTCATAAAGAGAAGCGTAGCCGCATTCTATTTTTTACTCCGACAACACGGAGAAAAACTACATTCAGACAAAGTTAATACCTATTCTTGTGGAAACATCAAAGTCTTCACTCTCTTCTACAGAAAAACTATATCAACTGCATGTGAGTACTTGTACTTCTGTATAATCAACTTAGGATCCGTCATCAGAACTGATCATCGCCTTCATCTTCATCTTGCACTGCGCTGCAGGAGTAGTTACATATTAACATATTAGTACAAGTTGTTGACGTTATAATGACAATGAGATCCCACCTAGGGAGGGAATGCAAGTGAAGGTGTGAACAGGCATGATGTACTTACTTCATGCGAACAGGCAATGAGCACCCGGGGACAGCAGATTTCGACGTGCCCTCAATATTTCGCTTCTTCATGATGTTGTGGCATCGTCAAAAATCTAGCTCGCTTCAGTATCGCGCTTCGTGTCAAGGCTAAGCGGTCGCTGTTCAAGATGTTCCCTAGATTCCAAGTAGTTTCCACCGGGTCCATGAGAACCAGAGCTGGTCTCTCAAGGAATCTAGTTCTAGATGTTGCCAAAGATTCATCAGATTGATTGGTAGAAGAAAATGAAGAACTTGAAGATCTTGTAGGCAAGTTCTCGACGTCGATGACTTCACCCCGATCCCATTGATAATCCGTCGCAAAGTACTGGAAAAAGCCGCCTGCTGGAGCCTCTAGGAAAGCTTCATCTTCATCTGCGAAAGCGGGAGGAGAAAGATGAAAGTCCTTCTTCTTTATGCCTTTTGTAGTCGTGCGCAAGAAATGCAACACCATCAATGTCCACGCGTATCCACCCAAATAACCCATCGGTTGCCCAAAAACCTTCTCTCTCTTGGCCCACTGCTTAACATACGCGCATAGTCGATTTGCCCCTAGAAAACGTCTTGCTTCCTCACGCACGAAAGAAGTCTTTGCTAGAGCGTGCCAATTGTCTACTGTCAAGTCGATGGGCGTTCCGTTCACTTCCAAAGCAACCACAGGCACACGACCACCGAGTCGGGCTTCCACGATGCCGAGAGCTGATCCGGGTATCTTCTTAGTTTGGTGTTCTTCCTCTCTACTTTGTAAGGTTGCTGGGCCAACTCCTGTTCCGCCTGATACCTCAGAAGATTCTTGCTCTTTTTGAAAGATTGGCGGTGGAACGACAGTTTTCGTTTGCAGCGGTAGCGCCATTCGATGACCAGCTGAAAATGCTTCTCCCGCCTGTGATTGCTCTTGTAAACATGCCACGCATTGCAGCAACACTCTCTGTTGCAAATCACGGCTTCGATGAATATGCTGCCTATCATTTTTCATTTGTTCTGATTCCTTCCCGTGTCCACTACGGACGATATTCTTTTCATGATCAGTACCAGGAGCAGAGGTAGAAGACATCAAATCACCAGCGTGCATGAGAGTAACGTCAAGATCTGCGCCTGGGCCTCCTGTACCGCATACTAGGGATCCATACGGCACCAGAACCCAACCATTTTTCAGAATATCTGCTAACGCGGTTTGCAAAGTCTTCAGGACCAATTGGGCCTTGGCGTAGTCTCTCTCTGAGGCAAGGAGAGAACAAGCATCAGCTGACGAATTCGAGTTCGATATCACTGACGAAGATGATGAGAAGACCAGACCGTTTAGAAAGTAATCTAAACTTGGCAACGTAGAACGAGAGGACTGGGTTGTTGGAGTCGATGTTGACGTCGTCGTCGATATTCCAGGTTGTACACCGTGATCTGGAGGCTTAGAATCTTGGTCCTTGTAGTCAATCATTCCACCTCCGCAGCAGCTCTCTAGCCGCTCAGTGACTTGTGCCAGGAGCTCACGTGTTATTTCCGTCGGACGCGCTGACACGAATGGCGAAGTCGTATGTCGGAGAGTTGTCATAGTCATTCTTGTAGAGTCTCTCTCAGACAACATCAATAGAAAGTATTTCGATATAAACCCTAGCCCTTTCTCCGGCTCCTTCAAAATTTCACAGGCTCGCACCACTGTGTTCAACGTCACAGAAGTTTTAGTCACACCAGTTTCGTGCATCTCCTCTAACAGCTTTTCTAGCACCGACAAGAGCCGACTCTTTTTTGTCCTGAAATTTGTGCCCTCTGCAGCGGCAGCAGCACGACAGACACACGCCAAAGCAGTGTTGAACGCAATGGCATCCTTGGCAACCGGAACGCGATCCCATATCTCCAGAAGTGCATCAACATCGGCTTCTTTCTCACAAACGGATAACATAGCGGAGTAGGCCACTATGTCTGTCGAAGCTCCTAATAAAACTCGTTGAAATATAGCATCAGCACGTGCACGCGGTGCCCCACCGCGAGCCATTGCTGAAAGCAGGGCTGAAGTCAAGTGCAATACATTTTTGTCAACACCACCTGTAATGCTACGAGTACGACCTCCAGCACCTTCCCCTGCTTCCCCTACTTTAGCATCACTTTCTGGCGCTTCTGGTCGCTCCGGATGAACGTAATCCCAGTACAATCTTTCCGCGTTCTGCCAGTCCCCTAGCATACCATAGCCACGGACAAGATCCACCGTTATCTCAATGCTCTTGTCAGGACTTGCTCCAGCAGCTGAAACTCGCCAAATTTTCTCAGCTAAACTTGGATTCAAACCGGTTCTTGCATGGTGATGGATGAGCGATTTTGATACGGAACGCTGTTGATGTAGTTGTAACAGGCCAAAAGCACTAGTGGAAAACTGCTGTTCTCGTCCTTCTCTATTGACCGATTGAATGCGAAAGAAAAGCCGCGTAGCGTCATCCCATAGCTTTTTGCGCATGCACAGCTCTAAGACGCGGACACAATCTGACGACGCAAGTGTCATCCCATCGTTCATGTCTACTAAACGCAAACATTCCCTCGCGTCGCCTAGCAGCAAAGCACGGGCAAGACGCCGTTGATCATATCCACCTGGTTGTCGTTTTGCTTTTAAAGGGCAAGTATCCCCTGCTTCCTTTGTCTCTTCCTGAACCGCATACCGTGGTATACTGTTAACCGCCCCAATCGTGCCAGGCGAAGCTGGCTTCCAAGTCGTGCTATCTTTGTAGTCATCTTTAACTGCGGCTTCGGGTGCACTCGACGCCCTAACGGTATTCAAAAATCTTCTCTCTCGTTGAACTACATGCTGCAGAAGGTATCGAATGCATCTGTCTAAGGAGAAAGACGAAGACCGCGTCGGAGAGCTGCAGTGAACGGACAACATAAGTCTCCTCCCGCATCCCCTCGGAAGTAGGAAAGGCATACCCATACTCTTTGTAGTTCATCTCAATCTTTTTATATCGAAAACACGTACTTCAACTAGTTGTACTGCGCCCGCAAGTTCTTACATAGGGACAAAGTGCTGGGTCAGACCTAGTAAAGCTAGAGTCCGTCGGGAAAAACTAGACGGTTTTGTGAATCCCGAGAGCAGTTTTTTCAAGTCTCGCAGTCGCATGCGTGTGCTTTTATTTTGGGCTTATCATGTAATGCCACGCTTTTCTTCTTCTTTTTGGATATACCTTGCTAATATCCGGACAGAGTCGTGAACACATGTTATGTTTCATCGACGAGTATGCGCATTGATTTTGATGCTTTGGTGAACTTGTGGCTTCGAACATTCATGCGTTATCAACAAAAAGAACAGTAGTCGCTCACCGCCATCTCGTGTCCATCTCCATCTTCATCTATCCGTATCCTTTGCATTAATCTTAATGTACTTATACTACAGCTACTGAGATCTTCTATGATCTTCATTCCGTACTACATCCATCTGCTCTACCTTTGGGCGTCGTTATGTTTAACATCTCTGAAGCGAATCTTACTTCATTTCGGACCCTTCGAAACGTCTGCTTTACAGTCAAATACTCCCTTTCCCGCTCTACAGGGTCAAGCAAGGTTTCTTGGCTCAACACACAGTATTCGTAGACGTCTCTGAGGCTCAAGCGGTTTCGCACCGAGTGAAGCACTCTCTTGGTCAATTGCGGCAAGTTGTGAGTCGAGGGCGCGATCAGCAAATTCAGCTTGCTATCAGTCCCGCCTGCGCGAGATCGGGTGGAAGACATCTGTTTCTGAGGTGAAAGCTTCTGTTCTTTCAGTTCTTGCTGTTCCTCTAGCAAAAGATGCAAATTGTTCATGTTTCCACTTGACGCAGACTGCTTCGCTCCTTCGCTCCCTTGGCGCTCTAGATTCTTTGTGCTAGCAAGGACGTAGTGTATGAAGAAGAAAGAGGAACAAAAAGACGGAAACTGGAAGGATTTAAGGGAGAAAAAATCACGTAAGTAGTAGGAAGAAGCGGGCTACTCCAACATTTGGTCTCCGCATTGTGACTTGAATTCGGTTAGCCACGTGTGCCTGTATTGAATCAATTCAAGACCAAGTTGGGTAGCTGCAACAACTACATCATAACTTGCGTCGACGCCAAGGAAGAGTCCATCCGTACGCGCGGTAATTCATAGGCGATTGCCCTACCATACAGTCCATGAGCACCACAGCCAAACGCCTGAAGCCAGTTTCGTCTACCCCATACTTTCCCCACGTAGTCAATCAGAGAAGAAAACTTGCTCTTGCTTCTCGTCTCTTCGATGTAGCCTTCAAATTGCTTGTAGACTAGAGAGCCAACAGGAGTCAAATTCTCTTGAAGATGGTTTGCGAGTGAGTATTTCAGGGTCGTGGCTGTATTTGGTTCTCTCACTTTCATGCTGCGATCCCCTAGATCATGCTGCTCTGTATCAGTAGTACCAAGAAATCTCTCCCGTTTCGCATCGTAGCAAATCCTACGTCCTGTCCGACGACTTGGAATATGACTGGTATCCACTAATTGTGCCTCAGTGTCCCTGACCATGTTCTTGCTGCTCAATACTTCTTCTACTTTCTTGATGTCTTGGTCTTCAGAAAGGTTTTTCGGAGGTGCGAGGACACTTCTACTGTAGTTATGCTCTTCCTCGTCTTCACAAGATGCATTATTCCTTCTCTGTCGCCTCACATGAAGCACGTCTGGAATGTGATCAAGTACTAGCTTCGTCAGATCCTCTGCTAAAAATCGGCCTACGCGAGAAGGACACAAGACGTCGAATCGTACCCAAGGTATGCTGTAGCCCAAAAGATCGGACTCTTCGTAAGAGGCGTACTCTTCTGTACGAGGACCTAGTTGTTGTTCTTTGGTGTTCTTCGTACTCATCACATCTTTCGGAATCATCGAGCGCTTGGTATCACGAAAGCACGTTGCAGCGCCAGCAGCGGAGCTTGTGCTGGAATTACTTTTACCTGCACCAGGACTGGACTCGCTGCTTGTTGTTTTTTCCCATCGTGTCTCATCAAACACATTCTTTTCAACCGCGCACTCGTTCTCTACTTCTGAATAAGGATGGCTTGCTCCTTGTTGTTAGATGTTGAGGTATGGCACACCACTTGCATCGGTTTCAGTCATTGAATCCGTAGCAATGGCCTCATAAAATATGTTCATATCTACCTGTTAGCACGGGATACGGATTTAACCCTAAAAAAGATGCATCAACTTCAACCTCTAGCTCTACAGCACTTCTTGTAAGTTGTCATCATAAAATTGCAAGAAGACAGTTCCTGGCCTAGCCCAGATCGAGTTGTAGACACTTGTCCCAGCGCCAGACACGATGATATCACCTGACAACCACAAGCGCAATTGATCCTGCCATGATCGGCCCCATAAATCCACACCCTCAATCTGCAACTTTACTACTTCTTGCGCTACTTCTTGTTTCGTTCCACTCGGAGGACGAGTAGTTGTCCTCATAGTCATCATTTTTCCATTCAGCTGCCCTCCAGCTAGTCTGATTTCATTCAGGTCGCGCTCCGTAAAACGCTTATTTTGCAGAAAAACTACACGAATTACTTGAGTTGTTGTTGTAGACGCACTGGCTGAAGAAGAAGAAGATGAAGCAGATGACTTCAAAGACACAAGCGACACAGAAGAACTACCGGAAGTTCTTGAAGTATCGAATGCATTCTGCTGCACATCCCTTGCAAATAGGCCGTACGAAGCATACATGCGGTCGCGGAAGAGACGAAAGAGATCTAGAGGTCCTGCGAATAACTTCGCATTCATCTGCAAGGCCTTATCGCGTTGCTCTGGCTGTGCCGTTATCCTCTTCCCTTCAAAAAAACTCGGCGCATGAAGAAAGCCTGCATCTGTCGCATGCTCATGCGCGTAGGGCACAGTGCCTAAAGGACCGTTTCCCGGATGTTAGAAGAGAGGAAGAGAATCTTGACGTCTTGATGTTACGATCACCAATAAGTCACGCCTTAACAATATATCCCTGCATTCCCAACTCCCAGTATCATTTGGTCGAAGATGTCTACTGCATTTGTAGGCTTCTCGCGTCGCAGACGGGCTAGATAGTTTTGTTCAGCCTGCGACAGCATTCCTTTAGATGTGCTGAGTCGACGAGATAGTCCACTAGAAGATGTGAGTCGACGTCGTCTATCTCTATCATTTTCACCTCGATAATTCTTCCATGCTGGTGGTCCTCCGATCTTCGCTGCAAGTCTCCGCCTTCGTCCACCTCGATTGAATGCTGGTCCTCCATGTTTTCGAATATGATACGATCGCTGTCTTGATAATGCCTCCTGTTGCCATTTCGCGGTCCAGAATGACCACAATTCTGCTGTAGTTACCATGTCAAGATTTGTACTAGTTTCTTCTTGTCCTCTACTAGCTCTACTCGGTCCAGAAGGACCTCTACTTGAACTTGATCTTGTCCAGGATCCTGATCTAAATTTCGCAAACTGTTGGAAAACAGGTTCCGTCCAGAACCCTCGTCGTTCGCCTGACGCATAGAGGAAGCGAAAAGGCGCATGATGGAAACCGAATCTGGTAAGGGCTACAAAAGCCGGCCACAAGTGGTCGACAAAAGCGTGACTCATCGTCCAGTGCCACAGGGGTGCGAAATGTACCGTCAATCCGGGCCAACGAGCGAAGGAAAAAGGCCTGCTGTCCTTCTCCTTGGAGGTTGCCGCCCGACCGTAGGAGGAGCTTTCATCGATCAGCTTTGCGTTTTCGTGGTGATTTCTGATATTATGGTTAATCTCACTTCCTCCTCCTGACGAGGTGGAAGACGTGTTTTTGAAAATATCTCCCAGTGGATGTGGGTGTCCCTCTTGCGTAGTTTGCGCTGTTGGCAAACCCCATACCGGTGGTGCCGCTATCAGGGCCAAGGCTGACTTTATCTGAAAGACTTTTTCAACTAAAATAGGGTCTTTGTTCGTAGTTGAACTTGAAGTTGTTGTTCCTTCTTTATTGTTGCTAGCAGTTCCTCCCGTGCCGGAGACAGAAGAGGATGCTGTTCCACCTGTCGGCGATAGTGTCGTTGAAATCCCAGTTAGCGGAGATGGACTACTCAAAGTGACCTCTTTGATATTTTCCATCGAAGTTCTTCCTCCATCATGTTTATCTTGAACACGAGATCGTCCCACACGTTCTTTTTCCTTGTTTCCATCTTTGATAGTATCATCTTTGACATCTTCATGACCAGGCGGCGGGCCCATCGTATCAAAGCCCAACTCTTTCGAGGAAGACAGCCATGCCCACAGTTGCTCAGTCGTGTCAAACACCTTGCGTTGAACCCAAAAGATGCCGGGACCCGGTACGCCACTTTTAGAGCTCACCGTCTATCTCTTTAATCCATCTTGTGTCTACTTTTTACTCTAGAAGCAGCGCGAACATCATGATGCTTCTTTATTCTGCTCATCAAGGGCCGTCATTTTTACGAAGTCTAAGATGCAGGAGATGCTTCCGGACAATATGGTCAAGGTGCTTCCAAAGATGGATTAGGCTTAGGCGGAGCCTTCAAGTAAGTAGATGTTTCCAAAGATGGAATAGGGACCATCCTTAACACTTCCTGCAAGGACGTCTGGGGTAGCACCATTCCCAACAGCACTCTCTTCCTCCCCCTCTTTCCACCATTGCTGCGTCGAAGGAAGAAACGATAGGCCTACGAAATAGATGTCCGCTCGCTTGCTCCAAACATTGTGGAACAAACAGGTCTGATTCACGCGCGGCTCGCCTTGGCAAGTTCCCTCTCTCGTGAGAAAATTCTTCTCCAGGAAGCCGTCCTTGAGCAGAAGATCCAGGCACTGGTGCGACGGGATGTCCCATAATGAGAGTTAGAGATCCAGGTCCACCTCCTAGTACGGGCATTTAATGGCGTATGATGTTCGTTTTTAAGCGAGAGAAGATAAGTGCCAAGTCGACATGCCAGCACCACGGTGACGGTCTATCATGGAACTGGTAATTATTACCTATGAGGGTTAATAGAAGGGTATCATGCCATATACTCTCCTGATAGCCTTACTCTCGTGGACCACCCTCTGTAGAGCGCTTCTTCGGTCTCGTGACAGTACCAAGACCAACCTCAGCAGGTGTAGTAGAGTCACATTTTGATGCAGTATCGTCCAATCCCAGTACCGGAAACTGCGAGGTGCCACCTGTTGTAATTGCTGATCCTGGAGGCTGCCTGCTTGAACCATGATGGTCTTTGTCATCTAGGTTTTTATCATTCTTCTTCACATCAAAAATCCGTTTGAACGCATGTCGGGGCCCACTTCGGCGCGTAGCCTTGTAGACTAGTGGCCGTCCTCGGGTTCTTATCATCTTGCTACGCTTGTCTCTTATCCCGCTCGACTGGAGCCACCGTTGAACAAAGAGGTACCCCAGTGTTGCCCAAGCCGCTCGGCTGATACGGGATCCACCTGAGGAACAATCTGTTTGTAGTCTGGCCATGTTGATGATCCTCGAAAGAACAACGTATCTATGTAAAGTCTCACGTTTACCTTCATCCTTCACTCATCGAGGTTCAGACCGACAATGCATCCTTTATGGAGGCATAATTCGTCATCTCTCCTGTAGTCTTGTTGTATGATCCATTTACGCAGACTAGTGATCGTGAGCCCAGCCCCCCAGATCACAAGTAACTAATCGCACATGATCAGATGGCAGTATTTTTCTTGATCTTCCAACACTTTTCTCAGGCTCTCTTGCGGTGACAACTCTGCTACAGCCGCTCTCGCTCTTGACGATGTCTTCAATGACATCGCTCTCAACGGACACATGACAGAAAAGACAAGCCCTCCTTGTCGTTGGCACAGTTTCTTCAAGTTTGTAGTTATTACATCCTTGAAGAACATGTATTCTTCCAGCAGGTCATACTTACAGCAAATATTTCAAGGGCAAGATACTTTGAACAAGAAACGGCTTTCGCTGCTTCTAGTTCTCCACCTCTAGGCTCCTTCTACTAGTGTGTGGAGCAGGTTCCTCCACTAGTAATCCAGACGCAAAAAATACAACGCCAAATGCGATTACATCCTCTTCCTCGAGGTAGTTGGTTATAATCTTATCTGCTTTGAATTTCAGTGGAGGCCGCCTTTTGGATTTGGTCCTAGTTTTATGTTTATCACATAGCATAATCATGTTGAAGTTAGCGCTAGTGCTAGTGCTAGAAAAAAGATTTTTAAGATCAAGTAGTAGACGGACCCTCGACGACATACATTTTATTTTGTATGTTATATAAGTAAAAAATGTTTATGTAGTGTTGTCATGACACTAAAAGTGGAAAAGTAAGAATATTACGTACAATGAATTGCTATCTTAGTGGTCACTTCCGTCTCACTACGACAACGAAAAAGGATGGCTGACATTGATAACTCAGCATGATGTGATTTCCTTCATAAAAATTCTTCCTAACAACGATGCGAATCGACGACTAGATGGAGTTTATTGGATCAGTATGGCGTTACCCCTCCTGTTGCTGATTACTCGGACTACTGACACTATCGGAAAATGAGACATTGCGGATGACCACAATGTCAGTAAGAGCTTTCGTCGTCCACGACACTGCTTTTACCGCACGAGCACGACTTCATGATATAACATTCCTACCCAAGAACTGACACTATCGGAAAATGAGACATTGCGGATGACCACAATGTCAGTAAGAGCTTTCGTCGTCCACACTGCTCTTGCCACACGAGCAGCACGACTTCATGACATAACATTCCTACCAAACGACTTCACATTTTCTATAACGTTGCTTTTTTATGATTGATACGCAAACGACATGACCTGCCATCAGACTGTAACATTACCAAGAACTACCCTTATTGTTATATATTCCACCACTTGCAGTTGCATGAGCCATTTTTACTAGGCTGTATTACAAGTCCCTCACTTAGTGACTATCTCGAGTGCCTAACTCCCTTATTCCGTTTCCACCACTAAATCCCTTATTCCACCACCTGTTCCAAAATCGCTTTCAAGTTCTCTAGACTGCTACTGGCGATCCGCATTCGCTTTGCTGTGCAACCTGGTAAGCACTCTTTCCCGATGTCCTCTAGCATGCGCTTCACCGTAGCGATCTTCTGGAAGTAATCACTGCCATCAGGCGCATTCAGGAGTTCGGTGCTTTGATTAGCGGAAGACGAGAAGGAGGTAAGGGGAGGGAGTGGGTGGAACTATGTTGCAGTAAGTGGGTTTGTGGTGCGAGTTGGTCGTGGATGCGACTGTCATAGAGAGTGACGAAAGACTGCATCACTATTCCTTTATGAAATACGACCAGTTTACTTTCTGTCTACATTCATAATCTTTGCCGCGCATGGACCCAAGAACTGCACCGGTCCCGGATTTTCGTAGAGTTCTTCACTCGCACAAGCACTCTGGATGTTCTTCCACTTTTGGATACTAGGCGCTCGCAAGTCAACAGGAGATGGCGCAATTCGTGGCAACAAGTCCGTTTTTTCCCTCTTTAGAGCTTCTCCTAATTCATCCCTGTAGGGATCCCGCAAAGATATGCATTGTTACTACTTCCCTTGTATTGGGGTGCATACTGTTGAGGGATGTCTAGAGAGATGGATTAGGGGAAGCCTTAACTTTTTCAGCAAAGCTGCAAGAGGAACACCCGCTGCCTGCCATGCTTGTGTGCTCATCATTGTCGGAGAAGAAGCCCATGAGGTACAGTTGTCGTGCAGTGACTTACTGCCAAGGCTCCTTCTAGGCGCAGACGCGTCTTCTGCAGGTTGTGGTCTGCTCAATCCGCCTAAGACTGCCATATACCCTGTTCTCTTGGAGAGAACCAAGCTTGCTGCGGTGCAGCCCAAGGCATACCCATAATTGCAATCGAAGTCCGAGGGCATGGTGCAGCGCGACTGATAACCGAGGAACTGGCAGACTGGAGAGAAAGAGCCCTTGTAATTCGGACGGCTTTTCGATTAGACGAAAGAATGTTGGAGATGTGGATAGACAAGAATTGTAGATCGGTTTTTGTGTAGTTCTTGTTCACGTAGGAGTTGCTTTGCAACCGCGGCATTCAAACAAAACTTCTTCTACTACATCCACCTCACGTTGGTACTGAACGTGTTCATAATTCAATTCCGTCTTGACCATATCCGCCAGCATTCTTTCGGTTTCGATAGACGCCAAGTTGACGCTTCGGTTACCTCGCAATTTAGCGTCCAACATCCCCACTGCGACATATTCTGGCAGTTGCAAAAAGACAGCTCTCGAAAAAGCGGATAATTGTTGGGCTGCACGTGAGATGTCCTGCTCCGAGCTCTCGTGCTTCTCGGAGTTTTTGGAAGAGTCATCGGATGAGTCTGGGATTAGAAAGCTGCTGAAACTTCGTTGATTTTCCAAAGAACGACTGTAACTGTCCAACCTGAGCATTCTACCTTTGATCTCTAAAAATGTGATCCCAATGTCAAGAGAACATCACGAAGCAACATTTCAAAATTGCACCGAGTGATCATCATAACTCTCCCGTCAATTCCGCTTCGGTCAAGGTCGTGCGCGTACACAGGCCTAACCTGCGGAAGTCAAGCGCATCCAACTCGCTGATCAGCACACGCAGTTCCGACACGCTAAAGAGCAATCCATCTGGAATCAACACCGTTCCGAAGTTCTTTTTTCCATTTGTGTATCGGTTTTCGACCACATCGGCGATTCCAGAGACCACTTCCTTCAGACTTTGCCCTTCCCGCAACACTTGTTCGCCGATGATCAAGTGATTGGGCTTCGTTTGCAAGCCTACCTCTAGAGTGACGTTGGACGTATGAGCGGGTCCTTCCATAGACCGCAAGAAGTACCAATATTTGCGCGCACTAGATCCGTCAATAGCAGTGTTCCCGACAAGACGTGCCGTTGCTTTTGTGACGGAGTCAAAACCAAGAGGCTGTTCGACAAAGGGGTTGCTCAGCTCGCCACCCATCGAGGCAGGGACGGAGACGATGCGGACGGTCTCGTCAAAGAGTTGTTCGGAGAGGTAGGGTGGTTAGAGGTAAGATGAGGATGAGGTCTTCCTTCTTAAGAATAAGAATACATAGGTTGGAGACGGAAAAAAGAAGAAATTATGAAGATTGTGACCACAGGAAGACGAAGGGGAACGATAACTCCCGTCTTCACCGTCTTCTTCAATAATATTTTCAGTGCCCACTCGTCCATAACATGCATTCGTTGCCGTCACACAACCACCGACAAGCACCAAACCCGCTAGATTCAAGTCCTTTGCCACTTGTTTCACTGCCAAAGCGTTGTCGAACTTGTCTTCACTACGACCTAGAAGTTCGAAACCTCCTGTCTGACATTAGAGAGGCCACTGTCGCATCCGCAAGCACATCTCTGGTCTCTTTCCCCTTCGGAAAAGAGCCAAGGTAGAATGATGGATGTTCAGATTGCGATGAATGCATGGGTGGTAGCCATAATTACGATAGGATGCAAGTTTTTCCGGTGTCAAAGAAACGTATTTCTTAGTGAAGAAGCCAGCAGTACCACCAATGAAGCCAAGAACTTCTTGACTCGGGTTGTGCTTCTTCAAACACTCGACTAGACCAACTACCACGTCAGCTGCACCAGGAGTTTGGCGTCCGCAGTAGACTATGCCGACGGGACCGGAAATTAGAGCTCGAAGTGAATTCTTTCATCGTCAACATCGTGAGCCCACTAGTAAGTAGAAGTTTGTATTTGCTTGTCCTAGGAACACTAGACTAGCAGTGGGATAAGGATTCTTGTCGTCATGAAACAGTGTCAAACAATATCCATAAGTTCAATTTCCCCACAGCTCCAGATGAAGACGTGCTCTTCTGGAATCTGACGAGACCGCAACTCGACAGCTTCGGAACGTAGTGATCACAGGGCATCTTGCATTCAGTATCATCCTTAGCGACTGCAAGACCAGGCTGAGAATCCGCAAACACGTCAGGGATAGCGTAAGGCGTCTGAGATCGCCAGGATTGCATTTCACTGCGTGGTCTATTGCCGAAAAAGGCGAATTTGTCTCCTACTGTCGGGAAATCAACTGCGTGAGGAACGATGGCGTCGCCCTTGTCGAGAACTGCAAAGAGTTAGAAGGTGAGTGAGGGAAAGTACTAGGATGTTCTAGAAATAGTCGTGTCAAAAAAACTTCTGAGTAAGTATAATGATCATCCACTTAGGACAAACAGGATTTCGATATCATTGACACTCTCGCTTGCAAGGTTTATACCCTCCATAACTGTAGCTGTATTCGCATCCGAGTTCCAATTGCAAGGTGATGGGAATCTCTTGGGACAAAGGACACTGCAGAGAGAACTGCAAAGGTCCCGGATTCCTGTAGCAGTCCAAAAGTGCCACTTTGTCACGAATACTGACCCAAGTTCTGAAGGGTTTGCCATCCAATTCTACTAGTGCTTTCTCAATGACCGGCTTATCTTTGCCCTTTCTGCGTTCTCCCTTAACGCCAGCCAATCACTATCCTTGTTTCGTTCCGTAGATTCCTTTTGTGCTGCCCCTGAAAATCAAAATGTTCATTGAACAAGAACATGAAGAATCCCTTTGAAATTTCAAAAAATAAAATGGAATCTACTCAGCACTGCTAAAAACTACAGTAGATAGTGACCAACTCGCCGTAACTAACACGCACAGTGCTGTCACTGGCACGCCTCCGCACTCCCATTCTGAGATCGGAGCTGCGAGGTTTTTGACCGAAGCGATCATGCCCGTCTCACCTGCAGCAAGCAGTGACGACGCGGTTGCGCCGAGTGCGTAGCAGTAAGAACTATCGAAGAAGGAGGGAAGACCGGCGCGGCCTTCGTATCTAACGGAGTTGTTGTAGTTTGGAGTTGTTGTTTGGAGGGAAGATGGATCTTAGTTCGCGGAAAATTCACTATGAGACAATCTTGTAAACGCTTGTAAGTTAAAAAGATGCCTATCAACATGGGGAAGAACAAGAACTACCAGTCATGAGCAAGAAAAGGCTCAGTACCCAAACGCATGAAACTGTGGATTGAAGATAAGATGGGCAAGCTTCGCTCCATATTTCTTCTCCAATTCCTTCATGACGGTGGCTGCTAAAAGTTTTTCAGTCTCGATTTTCGCGACCTGTACGTTCCCATGAGGATCTCGGTCCAACAACAGCTGACCTCGAATGAAATCCGGCAAGTATAGAAAAGCAGCCTTGTTCGTCGGAGAAAGGTGGGAAACCTGAAAATATGAAAAGTGTCAAGAGGAGGTGATTGTGGTGAAACCGAATATAGGAAGGCATCTTCAAGCGAAAGAAGGTATCGAAATAGAAGTAAAACCCAGAAGTCCAATAAAGATTTAACAAGTAGAATACCACATGCGCACTCGCATCTTCTGGCGCAATGCCTTCCACTTTGGCCAAAATGTCGTTGATCTCCTTGATTAGGGCTTCAAATTCAGGTATGAATTCAATCAACCCCTCTGGCAGCAGGATGACTCCGTAGTGTCTGCCATTGTCCGCGTGTCGCTTTTCAATGACCTCAATCAGCTGACTGGTCAAGTCTTTCAGTGTGAGCTTCTTGGCCGCGACTTCTTCCCCAATGAGGCAGACGTTCGCACAGGTTTGGAGAGCAACTTCAAGGGCAATGTTCGAAGCGGAGCGACCGGAAATTAGAGACTCAATTTATTATGAAAAAAAAAGATGAAAGATTTTAATAGAGCACTAAAGCCGCTCCATGATGAATACGAGGTGGTCATAACATCAAGCGCACAAAATGGTAGTATTTTTGAGCCGACAGCGAATCCACGGCGACGTTGCCGACAAGTTCAGCGTAGGTACGGCAAGCTGTGTCGAAACCGAAAGAAACTGGAATATACGGCGGCACTTTGAGGTCTCCGTCAATGGTTTTGGGGGCTCCTACGACCTGGTTCATTTGATTGAGAAAGACATCTTCGGAGACCTAAGTATACTATGAAGTTGAAACGAAGCTCGATCGTGCAGAACTTCGTTGTGAACGCCTAAGAAGAAGAGGAAATCAATATCATACTTCCACAGTAGCTCCGCTACGGACACAGACGTCAACAAGGTATCAACATCATACTTCCACAGTAGCTCCTCCAAGGAGAATAGAACACTCCAAGGCTAAGTACCTTCGTCTTAATCTTTTGGCTCCTGAAGTATTCCGCCAAAACAGCGCCATTGGTGTTGCTATCGTCTCCTCCAATCACCACCAAACCGTCTAGGTCAAGGGCTACGCAAGTCTTCATAGAATTCGCAAACTGTTCATCGGATTCGATTTTGTGGCGACCTAAGAGGTGAGATCATGAGTTGTACTAGTAGATGCTAACGATGTTCTATTCTGATGATTGGTGATGGCCAACATCACACGTCACGACTGCCGTAGTTTGCACAGGCTCTAACAGCATATTTATAATGAAAACTACCAGACCCGAGCATATCGAACCCGCCCGTGTTTCGGAAACCATCGATAATTTCATCATCGAGCTCCACGTATCGGCCCGTGAAGATGCCGTGGGGTCCGTCGAGAAATCCGTACACGGAAGATGACGGATTGATCCTGTTCGTTGTGAACATATTATCAATTGTAAGTCTTAAAGAGGTTGGTCCTGGAAGGTTCTTCGGCTTCCTTCACCTTCTCATAGTACGATGGCAAGAGTCTTAAAGAGGTTGGTCCTGGAAGGTTCTTCGGCTTCCTTCACCTTCTCATAGTACGATGGCAAGCGTAATGGACATGGAGAAATTGCATCTAAGACTTTATTTGGTAGCCTAGGTTATCATAGAAGAAGACGAGGATGAAAGACTCTTACCTCTTCGCCTGATCATAGATCCCGACTATGATATTGTGGCCACCTGGAGCTTGCCCACCGCTCAGTACTGCCCCAATTCGCAGTGGGGGGCCCTCGATAGATCCCTTCGCACCCGCTCCAAACTTGACAGCCTTATCCACCCAAGTAGTGGGAAAAAGTTCCTTGATCTTGTCACTGGAGGTATGAAGTGGGACTGAGTTGGATATGCGAAAAAGCCATGAGAGGTGTAGGGCAACAAGCGTATTTATTGTGAGTGCTAGTTTGTTTTACGTCAAGATAGTATAATACCGGTCTACAGACAACATGCCATAAATCTTAAACCCTGATCCTTCGTCGATAGTCTTCTCAGGTGCCAACAAGACTTTGGGCACGTAGTAGGAGCAGTCAGCTCGTAGACGCTCTGTCTGGAGCTGAGAGTAAGCACCACGCTGACGGTCGTAAGGTTGCGCCATTGTCGTAGTTGTAAGGTCGTGGTATGAGCAGTGGATCCCTTTTTCAGTTGAACCTGAAGATGACAGACTTCTAACCAAATGTTGAGTAGTTGAAACTACTACGTACTTCTGGTTTTTTGCTAGTTTTGAGTGTTGTTTGAGGGCATGAGCAGGAATAAGAATATGACCACAACAAATCAAGGACCTGATCGAAATTAAGTGGCTTCGAGGACCTGATCGGAATCAAGGACCTGATCGGAATTAAGTACTACTAAGTAAAAGCAATTCCGTGGCTTCAGGTGCATGATAATCAATCATATCAAGATCAACTCTCTCAAAACACAAACATAAACAACAATCTCTCTTCAACTCCAACTTCTACTTCACCGTGACAGAAACTGTACACAGAACCATTCCTCATCGGATCCTGTGACCGATCTCGAACCGGCCAAACCTTCCCAGAAGAACACGCGCATGTAGTTCCAACTCACTTTAAAAAAAGCTAATGGTATTAATGACTCTTGAGTCTCTCTTTAAATGAAATTCAAGTAGTTGTCCGTCGATGTCCCTGATTTACAAGTGCCTGATTTACAAGTCTATCTGTTTATCTTCTATCTAAAAATATTCTATCTTCTGGACGATCACGATATGAGACGAAATTTCAAACGACTGGGTTCTGTGACCGTAGTCAGTGATATCTTCTTGTCGGAAGTGAAACGTCAACTACAATGCTGAAAGTGGTATTTGAATTGTGATGAAGCTGATGCTGTGAAGATACAAACCATTGAGGCTTGAACCTAGTACTAAGAAATCGACAGATTGAAGAGATAAATCTTTTACTTCTTTTGAATACAACTGCCCTCGCCGCCTTCACGTGAAAGGCGCACTTGCGACGTCCCTACGACCTCGAGAGCCTTGCAGCCTGTCGCTTTGCAGCCTGTCAGTGTTCGGCGAAGAAGCACTACAACTAATGTACTCATCCCGCACTCCTAGAGGTGTAGAGATCCGATCTCGGTCTTGATCCCAACCGAAGCTTGAAAGATCCACGGCTTCTCGCAGCAAAGCCGTTTCGCCAAAAGGACACCGCCAAATAGTCATTGTTTTATCCTTGCCGCTGGTCAGCATGTAATCGCCGGACTGGGCGAACTGGAGATTAGAAGACGAGACGCACACAAGACTTATACCATTTCAGGTAGTTTTTCTTAAGAGCGGATAGAAGTTTGTTGATGTGCGCACCACACACAAACAGTGACTAGTATCGTCCCTTTGGGCATTTTGAAGTACATCACAGATCACCACGATGTTGATGACGCTGTACTTCTACATTGAATGATGACATCGAGCAGTAGTACCACTACTTAAATGGACGAGTATCAGAATCAGTATCCTCATCCATAATCAATGAGGTGACCGCTCCTCCTTTATGGGCCAAAAAGACGCTTAGTTGATGCCCACTATCCAAATCGTAGCTGGCAATTGTGCCATCCTCAAAAGCCAAGAACAACTCTTGCGTCTGCCGCCGTAACCCACAACACCGCACTGGCGTATCCTCCAGTGGCAAGGCGTCTCTAGATTTGGATTGGTAGCCTATCTGTCGACAATCAGGAAACCGCCAGACTTGGACGCCATCGCGGAGAGCGACGAAGACGCGAAGTGCTTGGGTATTACGACGGCGGAGAAGGTGAGAATAATCTGATTGGGGTGATGCGGAAGCATCGACGATGTCTAGAGACGCTGAAGCGCCTCCAGAAGGTATTCTCGCACCTACGAAGATATCTTCTTGTCCTTCTTGACGATTTCCTGTGGAGGACCCTTTACTACTTATCCTTGACCCGCCACTTGTATCCACCTCGTCGACTACACCCAACTCCCCTACGGCTGCTCCTTCTTCCTCTTCCGGTTCTATGACTAGATCCCGGACAGCGACTGGCGATTTCCATACGCCATCCAATGCGTGCAAAACCGTTTGCATTGCTTCTCGAACGTGCTCTGTCATCAGTCTAGAGTGCAGCTGTAAACTGGGCGTCCCCGCTCCGCTGAAAACGACCACCATACCGAAATTGGTGCCGACGAAAAGATGCTGTCCATGCACCCGCATCTGCGTCGCATAATGGACACAGGAGCCCGGAGCGACACTGCCTGCGTCAGGTAGGGGAAGGAGCATCTCAGCTAAGAGACGTTTTTCAGCGAAGTCATAAATGGCAAGTTTTCCGTCAATGTTGTTCCCAGAATAAAGATAGATCTTGTCGCTCCTCGAAGATGATGAAGAAGAGGCGGATGAGCCAGCTAGTACAGGTACATTTGGTGTTGTACTAGAGTCTGATGCTGGTGATGAAGCAGGCGATGCCGATGAAACCGACTTCTCTGCAGCTCCTTCTACTGCTCCTTCTCCTGTTTGTATTTTACCCGCAACCGCCACCAGCGCAGAGACACTACCATTATGATGCAAACCTGGCACTAAGTCAGCTTCGGTGCTGAGGAGAGTGCCAAGGGGTAGGTTTTCCTTTTCTCTTCGCATAGTCGAGAAACCAACTCTGCCATCCTTGAGACCGGCGAAAACGACTCCGCCAGGGCCACTACACGAAAATGACTGGATCATTGCTGGAAAATGTAGACGCCAGACTTGCTCGAAAGAAAAATCTGAAGTGCCGCGGTTGGTATTAGAGAGTCGTGTTCGCGTTGAGAGACCATTTACCACCCCACAACATCTAGTTGCGCTAACTAAGTAACCAGACTCCTCAACTCCAATGCATTCTGTTTTCACCCATAAAGCACGTCAGTGAAGACAGTGGCCGACTGTCTTGTGACCTATGCAAGCTCGCTCTCCAGTTTGAAGATGATGCTGGTGTAGAAGACGAAAAGACAGCTCCCAGAGACGACGTGAACGGATTCGCATCCATACTGTTGGCAGAAGTCGCGTTGCCATACATCGGATTGTTGGATGCCGTAGCTACAGGTCCTGAGCAGAATTAGAGGAAGAAAATAAATTTTGAAAATAGGATCTTTTTACACCAACACATCAACCGACGCGAAACAAATTTCTTGGTCCTTATAGGGCTTATTTCCCGAATCCCGCCAGTAATTACATAGTAACACATCTTCAAGTCCATAACCCGGTCCCTGCCCTCCGCTTCCTGGTGACCCCAATCCCCCAAGTCCGCCAGACGCTGACGATACTTGGCTCCAGAGACTGGTGACGCCCTCTTTGACCATCTTCCAGCTGCCTTCAGCAGCCACTGTAACGCGTGACTGCAAAGAGTAGTCATTCGCGGCGAGGATGAGCAAATCACTGGTTTGATCTAGATAGAAGTCCCTCACTCCAAAGTGGGCATCTTGTAACTGGGCAGCAGCGAGAGGTATGGATTCCCTGTATAAAGCGCCTGGTGTACCGTCTCGAGCAGAAGGTGCAGATTTAGAACAGGAAACATTAAGATGGTTCTTTGGGAGAATTTATTATACGAGGTTGTACTAGAACTGAAACAGAGAGTGAGAGAATAGCATCTTCACCTTGATGCCCCTCATAATTTTCTTCCCGGATACTGACTCCTCTACTTCAACTTATCTGGAATGAATCATAACAACTGCATTATTGGCTTCCCTTAATGCATCCGAATCCGCAGTGGCGTTACTCCCATAAAGCGAACTCCCAATCAAGCCTCCGCTACTGCTGCTGCTCCTAGTTGCCGACAGAGTGCCGAAGATTTCTGGGCATTCTATGTGGAAATCGAAGAGCTCCCACAATTCCACACATGTCCGCAGTATGTCTAAGCGATTTCGGCATATGACGAGGAAAAACTCGTTCAACTGGCGAACTCGGGTTTCGAGATGACTCGCTTCTACGGACCGGACTAAAGTCTTTTTCGGAAAGAGCTCGACGGGGAGGTTGTTGTACCTGTGGTCGTGATCTTTCATCTTGGTCTGGCTGTAAATTTCTACTGGAACAACCAGCAACTGATATAATCACCATCACCTCCTGCCCCACTGCTCTACTATTTTTGGAACATTAACTTTACCTGCTCTGCAGCAGCTCAAAAAGCGAACTGAAATCGGAGAAGCGCAGTCTCTTTTGCCATGATAGACTTTCGGCTTCAATCCGAACATCGTAGACCACGTATTGAGTGACGCGGTTTTGTATCTGCGTAATAGCACTCGTTACTCGACTGGCTATGCTGGGAAACGCTGGTGAGCCGGCGGATGGAGAGGAGGAATTTTTAGAGGCAACAGCACGCACATGAGAATAATCAGCGCGCCATCGCTCCCCCGCGCGATAGTTCTCTTTCTCCGCCTCTTACCCGGGGCGCGCCTCTCGATAATGTCCTGGGGAGAAGTTGTTGTATCTACTAGAAGTATGATCTGCAGGTGCAGTGCTGTTCTTGAAAATCTTGATAGATACTGTTGTCGGGTAACTCATATACCCCGACATAAGACCTGTTATGTTATAGAACGCATTACTTACAGAAAACATCCTGAGTCATAACACTCGCCCCCGCCTCTTGCTGCCCCAGTATCTCGTATCCCGTGACCTGAATAGCGATTTGCTGCAGGTGTTGACAGTTCGGACCGCAAGCAAGCTTCATCTTGTTGGTCTTCTGTGCGTCTGCGGTTTGTTTCCATTCACTATATGTCAAGAATACTGAAAAACGAAGTGATGGTTCTAGTACTAATTCATACAGCAGGTAGTCCAGTCAGTGTCTAATGTGAGGGTTGTTGTGGAACTGCTGTTGCTCGTCCTTTCATTCAATCTTAATTTTTTTTGGAGTGAATTCTAATGGTTCATATACTAGTTTCCTCTTCGAACCTCAAATCTGAAAAGAACTGCGTGGCAAATATCCGAAGAACACGGTGCACTTCGCGTAGATACATGAAAGACGAGCTGTGTCTCTGGCTCTTTTTTTGCTTCTCAGCGAACAAATGGGTAGGTACCTTCAAAATCATCATCAAACATAAGCATGACCATATCGCCCTCTCGGCTCTATTCGACAAGCCTTATTGTGTCGCGCGGTATCATGATTGGGTAGTAATTTTGAGAAGCACCTTCTTGTGATTACTATGTCAAGAGATAGTCATATGCATGCGTTCTTCCGTGCGAACAATGGTTCGCCGCGCGGCTGCGGCCCCCACGAGCATCATTCAACATATGTCATTTCTCTCACCTTTGAGACATCTGCGTGGTCATATGATGTTTCACAACCCTTCACAAACACGTCATATCTCAATGTCTTTATTCATTTCATCTAATTCGGGGGGTATCCGTACTATCTTCAGACGATAAAAAATATGGAATTAATATCTACGAAAAATTATAGTCATTGGTTAAAAATTTTCTGCGCGTCATTTTTGTGGAAAAACAAGAGAATTTCCCTTCTCTAACTCTAGTTGACAAATAAAGCAAATAAAGCAATCGAGTTGTAGGATAGCAGTTTCTATGTAGCATTATCTGATAAACTTTCATCTCCCCTTCTGCGTTTCTTAAGGGTGATCGTGTTTAATTTCTTCCCGTGTTTCGTGAAGATGAAAAACATTAACATTTTTGTTTCGTTCTTTCACAATCACGATTACAACTACCTGTAGTTTTTCATCATCAACTACACGCACCACTACTCCTATAAGTAATTGACATTGATACAGCAGACGTTCTCTTTCTCTTCGACCTCCGCCTCCCATCGTAAAAATATTTATCTTTTACTGTCCTCCATCCGGGCCTTGCCCCAAAAACCCGGCAGCCCGATTGAGGAACCCACTGTCCATGTTTTTTCCTCGTCCTTCGTTCTTCACTTTCTTCAAACTCACTCCATAGTTGTCGTCCTCCAAGAAATCGGCTGTCAACACCTGTTGCTTCCTCTTCTGAGATTGCATATCCTTCACCGCCTTGCGCTGTTTCCTCTCTGCCTCTTGATCAAGCTCGTAACGCTGTTGCCTCTCCGCAACCTGCTTCGCCGTAACTTGCTTGATCGAAGCGTTGGGTTGGACCTGTCGAACGGATTTTTGAGTACTAAAAAGAAGAATCGACATGTAAGTGGTGCAGAGAAGAATCGACATATTCTTGAAGAACATGATCTTAAGATAAGTAGTTCCTTTTGTTCTCGTTAAATTACAACTTCTATGGATCATCGTTGTTCAAATAACAAGAGTACCTTCTTAATCTGCGCTTTCATCAACATTTCGTGCGTCGTTGAGGAAATGCTGTTGGGGATACAGGTGGCCGTCTTGAAAATCGGTTTGTGATGAGCGAAAACGTTGGGAGATATCTCCGAGAAAAGGTGCTCTCGGCCAACTTTATGCTCAGACTCCATAATGGGGAAATACTCTTTGCCGATCACCAAAAACTTATCTCCGTTTTCGAACTCGACGAATTTGCCGTTGCTTTCGTACCTGGTGGTTGAGAATTTAGGAGTAGGAGAGTGTGGGGTCGGGGGAATTTGATTTGATTTGAAGAAGTAGAAGTAGTCATCAAGGAAGTCCAAGTATTGAGATGGCGTTAGATGGAATACAACATCATAGAGTTACAGGACACTTCTGAACCTTCACGCACTAGCTAGGACGCAATAAAAATCTTCAAAGTACACTGGAAATTCGTTTGCATCGAGTATCTTCTTTCCTTCTTCATCCTTTTTAAATCGCCATCGAAAGGTATTTTCTGGGTTTTTCAGCTTGATCACAGTTCGTCCCGATACATCTTCTTTCTCAGCCCACATATGAGCTAGAGGCTGCGTGATAGGCGCACTGGGATCAAAAGCCTTAGCCTCCCAGCTTATGACATTCGGAATCTTGAACAAGCAATTCTGTTAGTACGGTGTGTGGTGTGGATGTTGGTGTTGGAGGACGAGGTGGTTTCTTTTATTGCCATGCATAGACTCGCTGATGTTGCAACATTGAGCTGACTAGTTGTATGCAATATTGAATGACCAAAAGCCCTCCTGTATCTATAAGATTACCTCCTTCACTTCCCTTTTATTTTCGAATTCCGCTCTTGCCAGGGATATTGCTTCTGCGGTGACATCAGCATCGTCCTCGCTAATGGCACCAAACAGGTCTTCTTCATCTTCGTCGATTCTAGCTCCAGTGGTCGGAGGCAATTGCAAATGAGCTTCCTCTGGTGGCAACAAGCCTTGCGTCATATCAATGTCGAGCTGTGTTTTGAGTGTGTAGATAATCTTCTTGTCACAATAAATGTGTACAACCACGTTGTACCTCCTGTCGACGTAAAGGAATATTCTTTTTGTCGCTCTCCTCGAAACTTCTATCCTCGGACAAGATGAATAGATTGAATTTTTCTATTCACAAGATGAATTTCCTGGTAAAAAGAGAGGTGCTAAAAAACAAAGATTACATTACATGCTGTCTAACATTGCCTAGCATACCAACAGCAACATCTAGACTAAACGAAGATGCAACAACTAGTTACAAAATATAAGTACATCTTCAGCAAACAATTCGTCGAATTCGTCCTCTGGGGGCGCCTCCTCTGCAGGAGCTGCCTCAGCTGGAGCTGCGTCGGCATTGTCAGACCCAAAGAGTTGATCTAATTCATCGTCATCAGCTGCTTTCGCGGCAGCATCTGCGTCCTGTGTTTGACGGATTAATTTCTATTGATTGATTTGTTTTGTCACAGGAGCACGAGATTTGTTTCTTTATCTTGTGATTTAGTAACTGTTGAACAGCAGCACTAGTAAATATCTTTGATGAATGAATGTGAGTCAACATTTGACCTCCGCTGTAGAAAATTTTTGCAGATTCATATCAAATTCATTTCATTTTTGTTTCATGTCATGAGATAAAAGAAGAGCAACAGGAGCAGCCGCGATCAAACAAAGTCAGAAAAATTATCAACTTACCAATTCTTCTGCTTTCACTCCACCTCCAACACTCGCAAATGTGTCTCCCCCACCTTCGAGAAAATCCAATTCCGATAATCCCCCTTGCTCTTGCAAATCTCTGTATGTATCATGTCCAGCATTAGCACTATTATTAGCACTAGCAAGCCCGTGTCCTCCAGGTTGTTGTTGACCGGAGGCGGATCCCATAGCACCGAATAGCAAGTCAGCATTGCTTGCAGCTGCGCCTCCGAAAATCGCTGCGCTGTCAGCCGCAGCGCCGAAGATTGCGTCATCATCTTCATCGGACGCAGCTGGAGGAGCGTATTGTTCCTGCCCTGCCTCCTCATCGTCTTCACTACTACCTGGTGGTGCATCGACTAGATGAACGCCTTCCACTACAGATGAAACACCTCCTCCGAGATGACCAAGGGGGTCTAGACTATCTGCTTGGGGAGCTTGTTGTAGTAGTCCTTCGGTAGTTGGTTGTTGTAGTCCTGCATGTTGATTTGACAATGACTGATCTTCAGCTTGTCCAACTGCTCCTCCAGCTCCGTCCTGCTGCTCCACAGCTGCTCCTGGTGCCTGTGACTGGGCTAATGACTGATCAAAATACTGCGATCCAGCGTCATATTGGGTATCACCCGGCAAGACGATGTCAGGTGCTGAGGGGTAGACAGCCGCACTATCTTGCGTATGAATAGGTGCGTAGCTTTCTCCCGGGTTCAACTGAGTACAGTCGAAATTCTCATTCTTCACACCGAAGATATCCTGCTGCTGCGACTCCTCTGGATGCGGTGCCGAGGAGGAGGAGGAACCACCCACCTGCAGGTTCGGCTGTTGCTGAGCCTCCTGAAGACTGTTGGTATTGCTCTCCATCTTTTTCTCTACTTCTAGTTCACCTCACACTGACTATTTATCTAGCTCAAACATTCACGGATCTGTGAAAACTACGTGTCCATGGCCTGCTCGTCGCTTCTATGTATCGCAATTGATTTCGCTCATGAAGGATTTTGAAGGAGAGCCATTGATTTAAATGAAGGATTGCATCTTCTTCGAGGTTATTTCATTCTTCACGAGACGAAACACAACTGCAACTTCATGCGGGAGCAAAGGATACTTCTGAGACCAAGTGTTCTTGACAGAGCAGGAGCCAGGAGATGCTACGGGGATGAACGACACTCGAGTAGAAGAACAAGAGGGCTCATAGTACTTAACAATATATTTATAAGATGATTAGGATGTTGACTTCGTGTGTTTCTCTATGGGTTATCAGTCCCCGAAGTTGTTCGTGAGCATGACGTCATTCACGGTCAAGAGCATGTCAACTCGAATGAGTCCACGAACTTATGGCCAACCTTCAGTAGGTCCTTTATCATGAAAAAAATTTGGATTCCACTCGAGGAGGACCGTCAACAGATTGATAATCATCAATGAGATTGAGAGCGGGCTCACCTTCGCAGTTCCTTGGATTGGGATTCATCAATTTTACAACATTTTCATCATCGGGGAAGATGCAATCGGAAAACGATCCAGTGCGATGAGTCAGTGCCAAGAATACATTTCACTTTCATACACGATATGAAATAAAGGCGTGACAACTGAGTGCTGTGTAGACGTACCGAGATCGACGAGGACGACCTCGATTATATTCTCATCTATTGGTTTCAACCAACACCTCCCTGCGAGGATTTGATGGCGATGCGTCGAATTCAAGAGCGAGATCCTCAACTAACAAGACGTCTTCAAAAAGATCATGATGATTCGGATTCCGTGTTCATAAAAACAGCGGATCTAGTACAACAAACTTCTAGAAGATGAAATCATTATCATTCGAGGATGTCGTATCATGCCTGTGCGCTTGCGATCACTAGATTTGATATCCTGCACCAGGAGAACCAAAATGTTGCACGCGACTGGCATATTCTTTGAAGAAAAAGATGGGTTCCACCTTCTCGACGACAGGAAAGCGAGGTCAGTATGTTGAACTGAGGATCTCAAAATCACGACGAGGACCAAAAAGGTAACAAATATGTGTGCGGACGAGGATTATTATGTTTCGATGCTAGCAAATCAGAGTGTAATGATCGCTGAGGCTGACCCAGTTCAAAGCTCAACTTTCAATAGTCACTGACGCTGAGCCTAAAAAAAGCCGAATTATATGCGACCTAATATGACCCCCTTTATGCGCACCAACAGAGCCCAGGGACCACTGAAGCCCAGAGACTACCGAAAACGGACACAACAAGCTTCGCCAACCTGGGTCAGTGATTACACTTCGACTCGGCTTTGAGGATGGCGAATCGAAGTGTAGTCGCTGACCCAGTGCCAGGTCTTGGCCTCATCGTCATCGGCATTCTGATAATAACTGCCACTGCAGCAACATGGAACGTCGAAAATCGACCTTTCACCTGAAGAACGTGAACTTCATGTTCATTTTATTGCTTCTACATAGGGACTTCCGCCTCCTGACACTACTTCCTCTTCGTCATTCGTTGTCTCAGCTGCGCGGCATAGAGCACGACCGCAAAAGGAAAAGCGCCAAGGGTGGAGTAGAAAGCGCATCGAATTAGAGCTGTTCGTAATTCATCTTTCAAGTGCATCCCAGAAAAGTATGGGGGAGCATTCGCTTAGGATTATACTCCTCCATACGTAGTTCCCAGGATACGTCCAAAGATGTATTAGGTACAGCCTTAATCGAAAGACGTGTTGTTGACAACGCGGCCCCACACAATTGTCACCAGCTTCAGCGCGTGAAAGGGTAACCACATGACGACGCAAAGATGCGTATTCTAGGGTTAGAAAAAAAATGGGAACAAGAATGAAGAAAAACAATTTAACAAGTTAGAAGTAGTAGTACTATACTTCTGTTCAAGTGGTCTTCTGAAAGTACTACTGATGCTGCTTTTCTTGGTCTTGTACCTAGTAATGACAAGATGACCAGAGTACTAGTGGATCTAGAACTTTCAAACTACAAGTACAACCCAACATAACTTTTGACTTATTCCCGCGTTCGCTCTCGCAGAGTTTTCAGCTATATCTGCGCGCAAAACCTTCATATAGTGGCCGAAAGCGCCACCATCAGCCATAGCAGAATTTGGCGAGAGCACAACAGAGGCATCCGCTTCCATATCATGCTGTTGCGAAGGTGGCGAAGTGGCTACGAGAGTAGCGATTAGAGATTCGAACGATCATGTGGAAAAGTTTGTACAACTATTTCTTGACGGAAGACGAAGACGAACCAACAAGAAGAGATAGTTGTATCAAGTTACTTAAGTAGGTATTTCTAACATGCTTAGTGGGCGGGTTTTTAGAACAAAATATAGTAAATGGCAAATTGTGATTGCAACTCTACCCAACAAGAACTCCATCATAACTCATGTGACTCTCCTCCTGGTGTAACGGCGAAAAAACTGGCTTCGTCGATTGCGTGGCCATTTCCGTGATTAAACACTTGGATCCAGATGTAGTTTCCTACGACGACAGACAATACCGCAGTCCCAAACATGATACCCATTCTCGATGGCCGCACAATGGTTTTAAGGTAAATCGGGATCATGGCAAACATGCATCCGAAGGAAAGACCCACGGTCACGGACAAAGCGGTCACAGACGCAGACGAGGAGGGAAATTCTGGTGAGGGTGTGGTGTTCCTTTTGGATTTGGCTACCGATAATGTGAGCGAAGAACGAGGGAAAAGCTAGGCATAGAAACAAAATTGCAACACCAGCACGCCATCCAAGCAGGTAGTCATTATAAATATATTGTTCTTGCATGGGATATTCACCTTAGAATTTCAACAGAGTCAGAGGTGTTGAAAACTATTATATATAAAACCTATAATAAAGCAATTGCAATACCAGCACGCCATCCAAGCGAGTAGAAGACGCCGAGGAAAATGAGCATTGACAGCGGATAGTAAACACTTTTTGGGGTCACCTTGTCCAGCACTTCCACCGAAAGACCCGTGGCAAAACGCCCAACGCCATTACATCCAAAGTTAGAGGTTCTTTCTAGGCGAATCCATAGGATTAACATACACTTACACAATCGGCACAGGTACAGGTTGCGAGGTATAATCTTCCAGCATACCAAAGAGCGTTTCTTCTAAGTACAGCTCTCTACACTGTTGAATCTTGATATTCATCTTTCATATCTATATTGTAGTACTAGTATTGCTTGAAGGGATAAATCTACGAGATAGAGGGAATGGGAAAGCTAACCGGGTCTTTTACTTATTATCCCATCTAGATTGTATTACTTACTAGATTGTATTAATTACTTACTATTAGAGGTAGGTTTTTGGTGCTCGCTTACCCCGCTTGTTATGCCTTTCTCCCTTAGGAAAGGCATAAAAAGCGGGAAGAAAATAAAGCACCTTTAACCTACCCTTAATACTAGTAGTACTTTTGGCCTTAACAATGAAAGCCCAAGTCGCGAAGTCCGTCTCCAGTGGCGTCTCCACGAAGCTCCGCTCACTCGCACTCCATTCACGTACCATTCGTTTCGCGATTGGTTTTGGTCCTGGACTTGTGGTCTGTTGTTGTGGAGAAGTAGCGGGAGCAGCTCCCGCATGAGCTGTTGTACTCTGTCCTTGTTGCCCTGCAGAAGCAGCAGCAGCACTAGGAGCACTAGTTGTACTCTGTGGCTGTGCAGCTGGAGGAGCTGCAGGCTGCACCATCCGCGTTACGTAGGGCTCCACGTAGACGACGGGTGCATCTTGAGGAATATGTTGGAACTGGATGTGAACGATCTCTGATGGAGAGCCGTCAGCGTACGCGACCTGAGCAACTAGGTGGTCGGTCCCCTCAAGGTAAGAGAGTGCGCGAGCGACAAGTGGCACACCTGGAGCTAGACTTGTCGCAGGTGTCGTCGTGGTAACGGGTGTGGTTGTTCTTGGAGGGGGAGTTGTCGTCGAAGTTGGAGGTGAAAAAGTCGATTGTTCCTCGTCGAAGTTGGAAGGTACAACTAGAGGAACATTCGTTGTAGAGCCAGTGTTTGTGGAAGGAGAGGAAGCCTGCGCAGGGACGGGATTAGAAGTGATGCTGGGGGATTCTTCTAGGGTCGTGTTCGTATTTGCTGTCACAGCCAAAACTTGGCCTCCGATACCTGCACCGACGAAAGCTGCAGAAGTCACCGGTGGAGAAGGACTACTACTCAGAGCAGTCGACGTGTCCTCGTTTACAGCTCCGGCAAGTACAACAGCCCCAGGCGTCGTTGCTCCTGACGCGTCTGCGGGAGCTGGAATAGGAGATGCTTCTACTTGTTCTTGCTCTTTTTCACCCCCGTCTTGTTCTCCAGAACCTTCAACGACCGCTTGTTCTTGTGCTGTATCCTCTGCATCCACGTCGTGAGGCGAGTTAGTAGAGGAACCTGCTGTACGGTATTCAGCCTCCTCTTCTAGAGAGGCCTGCTCAGCTTCAGCTGCTTGTTGCTCTCCCTCCTCATTTCCTTCCCGTTCTTCTGCCTTTTCTTCTTGATGTGTATCACCAACCTGACGACGTTGTTCTTCCTGTTCAACGGTGGCTGGTGCTTGCTCTGCCACCTCTTCAATTGCTTGCTCTGCTTCTCTAGTACTAGAAACTGCTTCCTCCTCCTCAGTCTCAGGTCGAGCAGCAGTCTCGGCCGCTGCTTGAGCTGTCTGGTTCGCGGCTGATGGGATCGCCTGCTCAACTGAGTGCTGCATCTGACGCAAAGGTTCTTGTTGCATCTGCTCGATTGGCTGTTGCATCTGAAATAGTGGTTCTTGCATATCCCGAAATGGCTCTTGCAGCTCTGGTATAGGTATCTGCTGCGTTTCTTCCGGAGAAGCAGGAGGCAGATCCAGTGTCTCCACTTCCTCTGGGACTTAGAGATTACACCTAGTACAACACTGTCGATTTCCTAAGTAGAAGTTGTCCACCAACTGCAACAGAGACTGACATTCATCTGACTGCACAAAGATCCAGCAATTCGGTCAATCACAAAAACATCAGTCCCCAATGATCAGGTCTGAAGAGCTGCAAAAGTAAAAATCTTCATCATCCCAAAAAACGGAAAACTCTCTTCTATCTCGGCCAATAGGTCCATAAGCTAACGTCGGCAAAGGTGCGGATCCAGACAATAGGGAGGTATGATCATCCTCTTCTTGACGTTGTTGTAGAAAAGACGCACTAGAGCTGCCCTGGCGGTGTTCCGAAGTTGCAAGTGCTACAGGAGCAGCTGCTCCACGAAGGACTACAGACGGCGTCGAAGCTGAAGCTGTTTGGGTTTGTGTCACTCCAGCTTGAAGTTCTTCATCTTCTATAGTACCTACGTCCAGAGCAACAAAATTGGAGACCACTGGAGCAGGAACCTCTGTTGCGCGCAACGCAGAGCTTGATCCATCCACCTCACTTCTGGGACCGAAAGACAAAGCAGAAGTATTCATCATGTGGCTGTTTCCACCTAGAGAGGATTCCTGTCCACCTGCAGCTCCAGATTCCTGTCCACCTGCAGCTCCAGATTCCTGTCCACCTGCAGCTCCAGATTCCTGTCCACCACCACCTGAAGACCCTCCTTGTCCTCGCGCAACTTCTTCATTTCGCCACGACCAGAGCGCCACATCGCGCAGTGTACGTTCACTTCCTGTATCCTCTGCATGCATGCGGTAATTCTCACCAACCTGATAAGTCGGTCCGCGCAACAAAGAAAACAGGATCGGGTCGGAAGAGGATGAAAGGGGACGAGGGAAAGTAGTGATTTGAGGATTTGAGATTTTGAAGGGAAAAAGATTTTTGATGTTGTATAAGAGTTAGTACTGGCAAAACGACTGAAGTGTTGAAATTTCTATTCTTTTTGTCTCAGCTGCAATCATTAAATGTAAGCAAAACATTCATTAAACAACGCTTGAACTTCGAGTACTCAAATAGACCCCACATTTTCCCGTGCCATACATCCGAACCTTGCTGTACTTCCTCAAGACTTCGTGGCTGTGTGTCCGACAGAATTTCCTTCAGCGTATTTCGTGTAATAAGACCATGACTCGCACGCTTCGATGCTTCAAACATATCCACCTTCACTTTTGCTTAGAAGAATGAGGGATTACATGATAGATGTGCCTAAGCATGTCCTTGGTCACAACCTCACATCAACAAGTGACTTACCACGTAGATGTGAAGTCAACCAACTTAGGAGATAAAACGACAATCATAGTACAACTTGCATATAATTGAGATCCCCAACTACCAGTGCCTTAATTCTTGTTGTAAACCATGCCCCAGCAAGTGCCGAAAAACATCACGAAGCAAAGGCATGTGACGCCTAAAAACATCGCGTCCTTGGGGAAAAGATCTTCCTCTTCTGCACTGGCGGGAGAAGACGAGCCTTTCTTGCTTGCTTCGGCAATGCATTAGAGATTGATGCTTACTGAGTGCTTCAGAGTAGTGACACCACTGCCGATGCTCCTTCCTTCGTCCTCCGTTCTAGAATTACTAAGTATATCAATCCTCTTGAACTTGAACAGAGACAAAGTCACTCAATCCGACGAACACCTTCTTCTATCACATTGGCCATAATCGAAGTATTTCTTTTTATCCTCTTTTGCCTTCATCTTCTCGACGGTTTTATTCTTCTCATCAGGCGACGTTTCGTCGCTAAGATCATCTTCCGCTACCACCAACTTTAACAAAGGCGCCTTTTCCTCGTCCTTGTTCTCGCTGTTCTTGAGAGGAGGCTTAGAGGCATCAGCATTGCGCTTCCCGTCCTCGTACAGGATCCAGAAGCTCGCACCGCCAGCAAGACCCAAACAACCTAGGAGGACGCCCGAAACTTAGACAGAGTTGTATACTACGTTTTGGTAAAAACAATACTGTGGTAATTCTAGATCCTCCTAGGTTGTTTGGGTCTTGCTGGCGGTGCGAGCTTCTGGATCCTGTACGAGGACGGGAAGCGCAATGCTTTCTGGTGCAGATGATCCAGAAGCTCGCACCGCCAGCAAGACCCAAACAACCTAGGAGGACGCCCGAAACTTAGACACAGAGTTTTTGTCACAACGACAGCCCGTCCGAAGAGTTGGGCGTTTGCACAAGTATTAGCTCTAGAATTACCACAGTATACGAAGATGATGTCTACTTTAAGATGTGTTACACTTACAACGAAGAAGATGTAGCAATTAACATTAAGGGGGTTGAATTAAAGGGAATCCACTCACCACAAGGAGTTTCTGATAAGACAGAGTAGCAACCATTTTGCGATCAACGTCTACACAGTGCTCATGATTGAGGGAAGAAAATCTTCAAGTTGGTTAGCGCCAGTCATGTCATGATAAGATGATGTGTTACAACGAATTACTTTGCGTTCAACGTCTACCAGTTTTTTTTCTGGCGAAAGTTTCTAGATGTATAGAAGAGTGAACGTAGCTCGGCGGAGCACAAAAATAAGTCTACAACTACAACATACATATCAACCATAATGTTGATTATCTTCATTTTAGTACATTCATCTAGTAGTAGATGCAACACCATAAATCAAAATGTAGTATCCAATGACTTCTCCTCCGAACGTCGATTTCCAAACACGGTAGCCCAATCCAAACGTAATCCCGGAAAAGGCATCCAACATCATAAAGAGGCCGGCCACAGAAGCATACATATGACTCGGCAAGACCTGCATCATGACGCACAGTGTGCCTAAGCAAATGCCCTTGCTGCCATTGCCGAAGACGAAGCTAGCGGGATATAGCAGGACCGGAGACTGTGGAGTCGAAGAGATCATTGGAGGAGCACGAGGAGAGAGGTAGACGTGTTATGATGTGTGAGATGGTTGGAGGAGCACGAGGAGAGAGGTAGACGTGTTATGATGTGTGAGATGGTTGGAGGAGCACGAGGAGAGAGGTAGACGTGTTATGATGTGTGATAATTAACGTACTACGAAGATAGAATACAATAATGTAGTAGTAATATGATATAATCAACGTACTTACTACGAAGATAGAATTTAATGTAGATTCTTGGGACAGGAGGCCGGAGCTGCGATATATTTCGAACAAGAAACGCGAAAACAAGAATCTAACTTTTACTCTAAACAGCAATCCGAATCCCACGCCCATCATTCCGATCATCAGGCACAGCGAGCTAATGCCTGTCGTCACACTAGGACCCAGCGCATCCACAAGAAATCCTGGCAGGACACCAAATCCCATACCCAGAAATGCGACTGCGTACAACTTTCCAATCGCATTTTTTAAAGGTAGTCAATCTCAATCATCATCCAATGGTGCGTGGATAATTCATCCACTGGTGAGTAGATTCCGTTTAATTAAATACCCCCTAAATTGCCATGGAGGAATCGAGGATCCACTCACGACCATAGTTCATCTTCACTACATCTTCAGACGGTGCTGATTGAGTAATGATGATCACTACATCAGAGAAGTGATGATACTACATCAGATCAGTACTTTTTTAGTCACTCATTGATTGAGTAGTACTGATTGAGTCCTCACGGTGCAATCACTACATCGGTGCTGGTTGAGTACTACTCATATAGTTTCATCTTAAAGTTTTCATTGCGGGATCTATGCCGGAGCCGCCAGCTGCCTGCACCATCTCTCCTTCGAGGGCAGGGATGTTGTACATCGTAGAAAGCCACATGGATACGAGACCCCCCATGATGGTCATAATCAAGACACCACGTGATGAGGGCTTGAAGCCCTCAGCAGAGGAAGCAGAAGTTGCTGATGCTGGAGCGCCCATTTCTGGTTTGTAGGTGGCTAGGTGCAGGTTGGATGAGATCTTCAAAACTCTTGTTTTTACCAAAACGTAGTATATGTTGTGGATTTAGACGAATTTCGATCCAGATTGAATATACTTAGACCATGTGCTGGAAGAGACGAATAGAATTTAGTACGACTACGACCTGAATAAACAATTTGATCTCGAATGACACGCGCTTTAATACTACTTCATCTGGTATGATGTGCGACTGCAGCTACTGGTTGTTGTGAGTGAGGAATATCATTATACAGAATACTTATTTTACACCATATGCTGGATCTGATGATCGTGTGATCGAGAACGAAGCGCACCAGAAAGCACAGAAAGAACTCAGACTGCACACACCTCTCATCATCAGCACACTCATTAGCCTCAGCTTTTTGCACTTCGAACTAGCGGAAGAATGAAGATCTTTTGCCAGCACGTCTACTTCTGTCAGCGAGTTGCCGGAAACACCGATCTTCATCGATGACACCATACTGACAGACGCTCCTGTTCCCACTTCTTCTTAAAAGTGCCAGAACCAGAACAAGTTGTCATACAAAAACATCAAACCCATAAGAATCAGGCGATAAATAGGCTGAGGAATTCCCCCAAGACCAAGTTGGAGTTGTACCTCCACATCGATACTACAAGTAAATTTGACATTAGTAAGCAAGTTTTCATTTACTTATTTGAAAGTTGGGGTAGTGAAGATACAACGCGAAAAACAACACATCCCATCCCGTAGGAAAAAGTTTGGATTGTCTCAGCACTGTAGGTGTTAATACTGGCCTCTGTGTGGACGAAGTCGATGACATCTTCTAACGAAAATTTCCCATCCCGCAAATCCAAGGTTACCGCAAGAATCGATGCCGTTCCCCTTGAAGGATAGCCATAGCGAAAATAGCGCAAAATGTTAGAAGAGGAAGGGGAGGTGGCAGGAGGTCAAGATGTTAACTCAGCAAGGCAGTAGAAGGGTACTGTTCTGACGAAAAGAAATTTCCATGATCATGTTCTTTCTTTGGAAGTACTAAGTGACATGATCTTGATCTTAACTACAAAATTTGAGTCACAGAGGCCAAAGTCGTGCTCATGTCTATTCCAAACCCTAGGACATTAAAAATGATTGCCCATAATAATATCCTTCGCAGGTGAAAGTCGTTTTTCTTTGTGTCCCACTATATTTCCTTCCATATCGGCAAAAAACAACACGCAGTCGTAGCCTACTGACCGATTCGCAATAAGCCAATGGTCTAGCCGTTGACAACGGACATTTGGTATTGGTGGAGGCCTAGCCTCCGCTTTGAGTGGAGGCCTACTAGTCTTCGATTGGGCTTGGATACAATCGTTTTCTGCTTGTTCTTGAGCTGAAAGCATGGAATTTGAGCTTTTCGGACTTGGTGTTGATGCGACCGTACTAGGAGCACTGCCAGTCGAAGAGTCATCGTTAGCTGTATGATCTGTAATACCCGAATCAACAGTCTCTGCCGCGTGGTGTATCATCCTCAGGTAGTGTCGTTGGTCGTATTGTGGGATCATTATCTGCGTAGCGGGAAAATCAGGCACATTCTGCAGCAAAGCCCGCGTCGTGCCGAGTTGCGGGGAATCAATCAATAATGCGATACGTTGCCATGGATGTACTTGTTGGTGCTCTTTGCGGTCGTAGATGTGCTGGAACGAGGATTAAAGTCCGCTCGATTGCATCTCGGCCCCCTCATCTTGGTCCCTTATGCCTTGTTGTATTTCATGAGAATACAAGGGAAAACAACAAGGGCACCCACCGAGATGCCGAGAAAGATGGACACTAAATCTAAATGTTGACCTTAAGAGGAGTTATCATCCTTTGGAAGTACCTTCCTCACTTCCTCAGCAAGTAATGCATTTATCGCTGCTTTCTGTTCTTGCTGACGTGCGCAGGTTGATGCGACGCCTTCGTACTCGCTCAGCCGAAACAAAGGCGGAGGACGAGCATTCTTAGACAAATTCTTAGACAAACTGGAAGAGACACAGAGACATACACTTCTTCTTTTTGGTGGGGATAGAAGTAAAGTGGTCTGTTGAGAATTGTTCCCAAAAAATTTGGATTCTTCCTTCTACGTAGTTGTGTAAACGCGACCTCTTTAAACCACATTTGATTATCAATGGGAAAGGTAGTAAGAAAGAAGAATCGAAGGACGAACTATCTTGACCAACGTCTAGTAGTTACTTAAGACCCACACCCATAACATAAGACTTTCTGCTGTCTTTCCCATTCGTGTTTTCGGACCCTGGAAATGCTAACGATGCGATTTTCGAATCATTCCTTCTTCTTCTCGCACTGAACGACAACAGGTCTTCGTCATCGTCCAAGCTTGGTGCTATGCTAGCGTCGATAGTCGCATCACGACCCAATCGACGAACCACGTCCTTCCAGTGTGCTATCTCCCGTTGCAAGCGAGCGATCTCCTCCTGAGTACTGGATTCGTAATCTCCACGCTCGTGGTGACGAGTCATCTTGTTCATGTCGAAGTTAATCTGAAGCTACAACGTTGGCAGATATTGAAAACATCAAAGTTGTAAACTGAATGAAAGAGCGCAGCCTACTCAGCTCTAGATCGGTGTGGGTTGTAGTGGAGAGATAATAGCTATGATAGTGGATGAGCTATGATAGTGGTCGAGATAATAGCTGCCGCGGAACTGCAACGTGCTACTTTTTCTGAGAAGCGCGAGCAGCTCTTGCGGGCAGAGCCTGTGGGTACGCCGTAATCTCCACGCTCGTGGTGACGATTCATCTTAGGGTTTAGGGTTAATGTGACTAGAGGTGATGCAATGTTTATCACTGAGATGTAAATGACTCAACATGATCATGACGCAGATGATCGACAAAAAAGAGTACTTGCTTAGCCGGCGCGTCAGAAGAGAGTACTAAATAATAAAGAGCGAGACGAGAGTTGTCCAGTCGTAGTCCCTGATCTTCGGTGTGGAAGATGAAATAAAACGTAGTTCACCTGGACCTGTCATACGTCTTCTTGCACCAACGAAGGACTTAAAAGTAGCATGCAACGCGGGGCGATAAAAAAAGCGGCTATCTCAAAAAGTAAAAGACCTTTTCATAGTTAGAAGAGCTCTCTAGAACAAATTGTCGAATACTTCCAAGATCCAGGCTCATCTTAAGGATCTTCGATCTATCCTGTTCTTTTAGATCAGTAATCGCGTGAGAGCTACACCCTCAGAAAGTTGTTCTGCCCTTTCTCTGCTGACAGAATTCTTTGAGGATCATCAACGCGTCTGTCTGCTCTGAACAATGGCCTCTGTCTCCTTTGAAGAATCAGCATCAAGTGGACCCAGAGACACCCTAATTCAAGCCGCGCTGACATTGTCGTCGTAAACGTATAATAGGCATGACACATCAAGAGGTGGAGCGTTCAGTTTCTGCGCGTAAGCAAATGAACCATAATGAGCATCTTCATTGATTGCCCAGGGTTTATTTAATACTCAGAATCATCAACATGAATGAAACTGGTATTTCTGAAATCCCATGGTCCACCAAATCTAATCATTATGCTGGACGACCATCTTCTCCATATTTGAATGATTTGATTTGGCCTTACATCACGAAGATGAAAGACCCTTCCAACACTATATTAGTACCTATAAATATATCTATAAGCTAGAAGTTGTTGTAATGTCGTACTAAGTGTTCACCAAGTAAGCGCTACCTTCTTCAACATCATGTCTTTGCCTTTGGTGCATTTGTCATAACGGCGTTTTCCTCCTCCTTCAGAATAAGTAAATCTTCTTGTTTGCAGTTGCGCCTCATCTTATATAAACCTCTAACATCTGCAGCATTATGAAGTAGTTATCAACCTCTAACATCCATGTTGTAGTTGCATCCTGGCCCTTCCAGATGAATGAAGAGCAGAGGAAAAACTAGTACACGATAAAGAACAAGTGGACACTATTTTCATTGTGTTAATTCTAGTAAAAGTAGTAATGATCAAGCTTGATCCCTTACTCTTGTCCCGATCCCGAACTAAACAACGAACCTCTTCCAAATAATTCAACGATCACACTTTTCACAGCTTTCAATAATTCTACGGTTGCATGATTGTGCTTTTACGACTTTTTCAGCATTGTGCATATGCTTTTACTTTTTTTCCTAGTAGGGCCACTATTTGGCTATCATTGTTGAGCCTTGTTGTTGTGTTCTTTGAGTTGTAATCTTCACAACGTAGAAGTAGTCCTTTATGGTCCTGAACTACACCTAATAAATCTGATAATGTTTGAAGATTGTCCCTCAACTGCCTTTGACTCAATCTACAACTATTTATCAGGCACAACAACACAGCTCATCCTTAGCCGCGGCCTTAGGACTCCCTGGTAGTGGTACAACCTCTTAGGATCCAGATGATCCGTACATGAGTACCTAAGGAGCTCCTGTATTACATAGAAGTTCTAGCAGGCTAGCTCCCAAGTAACGCATACTCAACAAGCGTTCAGCTGGTGGCAAATTCCAATTTTTAGACTTCACCGAAGTGGCCTAGATGCGTAGTATAGCTGCTGACTTTTAGAATAAATGTTCTTCTAGTTCTTGATCTTGTGCTTCTTGCTCATCTAGTCCTCGTGAAACAAGTTGTACTATCTTAGTAGTAGTAAAACTCCTCGATTTATTTTACCCACAACTTGTTAGACTTGTACTATTGTCTATTGAGCAGACCTTTACTCTACTTCTCGTTACACCTTACTACACTGGAAGAGTCACAGACTCATCAAGAAGAAGAAAACTTTTGCTCTTCTAGTTCTAGATTACCTGTCTATTTACTTCACCTCTGGAGAAATACACAGTCCTATCTTCTACTCTATATTTTCAAAATGAAAATAAACGACACTAGTTTCACACCCAACATCCATGTCCATGATCTTCTTCCTGGTCCAGTCCTGGAGTGCATTTATTTGTAAATGCATTCTTCTTATCGCTCCACCCCTTCTCATTGATCCAATCCCTTTTATTGCTCCGCAACGCTAGCTCAAACCCACCACGGAAAGTCCTTGTAAGCTTCGAGGTATTTCTTGTGCGCTGGTTTTTCAGATTAGCGCTAGTATCAATGATCCTTCGAAACTACATGCTACTTCCTGGCTTAGACTACAGGATTCTCGATAAGTTCTCCATTAATCTCTACTGAGTACTGACCTGGTCTATACTTCTATTTTTTTGTAGTTCCCGGTTAGGTTAGGTACGAGATAAAAGCAAGAGTCTTTCTTTTATCACTACATTCCGTATGCGTTAGGACTTTCTACTGATACTGACACTACACCTTTTGGTCGCCTTCACGCCTTCAGGGATAAAAAGATCGCATGGTCATCATGGATCTTTCATCTAATGCTGATACCATCCGATCATGGATCTTTCATCTAATGCTGATGTGGATAGCCTTAAGCGTAGTTTGGGACGAGAGTAGGTTCCTGGCACTGCTCCGCGGCCTTCGAAGCAAAAACGTGCAAAAATTCGTCAAATGCTCGCTTTAGTTCCTCATGAGCAGCTCTCAGAGCTCTGATTTAGAACTTGCTGATTGATTCGCGGGACTAACCTAGGATGGATATGAGGAAAACTATAAATAACTCGCTATTTTCCTTTTATGAGAACTTGATGATTACGATCTTTCATGTGAGTATTCGTTTTTCTAAAAGAATGGACTGAAAGAGATGACAAGAACTCGATGAGAGAACCTGATGCGAGAATTGTGACCTTTTCTCTCGAAAACACTTTTCCACTTTGACTCTTCCTCGAGGCCTCTGGCATTGATCTAACCTAGATACTTCTACCTGATTCGCTGTGAAGCTAATGCCGATAACGAGGATGATGATGAAGGCGAGCAAGATAGATGATGATGATGATGATGATGATGGTGATGATGATAAGCTTAGCAGCACGCAAGTAGTAAGACGCTTTTCTAATAAATTTCTGTCGTTGTGGTGCGTCGTGTAGCTTGTTCAGTTATATTTTCATTTTCAGCCTTAATTTGTTTCACGAGTTTGCCGACGACTGGGCTCCGGCAAAAAATTGTCCAGCAGCGCATCCCAAGCATCCGCTGCGCTTCGCGGCTGCCCTGTTGCATTATTGTAAAGGGCTTGAACAAACGCTTTTTTTTCCTCCGCCAAGCCTAAAACTGTATTTGGGATAGCCACTGGAGACCCCGTCCAAGAAGTCGAGTGCCTCACATTAGAGAAGGTCATCTATTGCCTACACTGGGCAGTCTAAAGGTGATAAGCGAGTTAACCTTGACCTTGGGCAATCTAAACGTGGTCACAAATTCTATTTTCAATACCGCAAGCGAATACGCAAGTTGCTCTGTAAAAGACAACTTCTTAGAATCTAGCAGCTGTACCGGCTACAGACGAAGCTGACAGCACGATAAGAGCAGTTGTTGTTTAGCCTTATGATCTGGGTACCAAGTGGGAACCAACAAATTAATCAATATCAAACATTACAATGAATGTCGGTGCCCCTTCTTTAAAGAGAATGAAAAAGCCTTAACATTATAACGCATAGCCATCGACGCAACTGCCCACATAACATGGGGCCCAAGATGTTGAAAAGCTAGCTGACACCACTTCTCGCTGCTAGTCAGCGGTTCACCTGTGAATGCTCGTCCTCTTTTGGAATTCGATCTGGCCATCCCCATCTTAGAAAAACAAAAATTATATAGGTTATACTTATAAAAGCTTTCACGCTTTTCTATCATCTAATGGGTTGGAGGTATCCTAAATTTCGTGTACTAACGCAGGAGGTATCGAGGACGATCATCAGGCCGATCATCATCACGAACATGCTGATAATGCTATCGATTAGCTTAGGTTGTGAATCCTGCACATTGAGCCGCCCAGACCCAGAGATTCTCAGATGCAATTAATGCATTTACTTAGTTCGAATGTAAAACTTTTTCATTCATTCAGAGACGAACCACGTGACAACCTACGCTGCCTGATTCCGTAAAAAACATAATATTTATTAAATATTTTTATTCACATATAAAAACATAAAAACAAGACTATCTATTCAAATTGACATGTGAGTCTATAGCTGTGGCTCCATCAGTTGATATTAATAACGGTTCCGTAACGCTTCCTGGATCTACAGCAGTCTTCTTCGGATCCGGCCTTCTCAGATTTTTAAGAGTCTGTCTCTTTAACCACACCTCGGCACAGAATTCGCGTCCGGCTGCCATATCGAAGAGGTCCTCCTCTGATGGGCCAGATGCCGAAGCGGCCGCAGCCACAGGGGACGCAGAAGCGGCCGCAGCCGCGGCGTCCGATCCAGACGCCGAAGAGGATGCCGCACCTGGGACAAATTTCGAGAAGGGCTTAGAATCGGATGCTTCTGGAGCAACGTCGTGCTCCGTGCCATCGTTTTCGTGAGCAGCAGCCGCAGCAGCAGCACCAGCTGTAATTTTCGCACCAGCCTCTACAGCTTCTTCGCCAGCAGGAGCCTCTGCAGCTTTTGGAACAGCACCACTCATCGCAGCCGCCTCTACATTGGATCCTGTACCATCATGGACATCATCAGTTCGCGTACCTTCGTCTGGGTCTACTCTTTCAGCTCTTACATTCTCTTTTTCTTCTTCTTCTCTTACATTCTCTTTTTCTTTTTCTTCTTCCGGCGATCTTGGAAGACCCGGAGCACGATTTCCTCCTTCAGCGCCGTGATTTTTTAGAGCATTTTCTCCATCCTGCGAACCAGAGCTTCCGCCTTCTTGAGTCGCCGTCGGGAGGTTCGACTATTTTTAGAAATTTAGTTGAGTATTTAGTTCTTCATCATCCTGTTCCAGACGCCTGTGACAGTGAGCCTCCCATCATTGCCTTGGGCTCCCTATTCATCTGTAAATCTAACATTTTTCCTTCTAAAGGAAGAGGGACTCAAGAAGAGATCGGGAGGATCTAGTACTACTATGATACAGTATAAGTAAATATATGGTGAATCACATCAATGCTCAACTACATTTCAATGAAAAACTAGACTACAACTCTCCTAATTTTTGACCTGCTCTCCGTCTCTATAATCCGGGGCCGTACTCCGCCCGCCACCTCGAAATGTTCTAATTGCCGCCATTACACCACTTCTGAGTCCGCTCAACACTCCTCCTGGAGGAGCTGAAGCTGGAGGAGCAGAAGGGCCGCCACCTTCTTCTTCGCCATCAGCGATCCCCCTGTCCTCGTCGTCAGCATCTGCTCTTTCGCCATCAGCGATCTCCTTCTTGTCTTTGTCGTCAGCATCTGCTCTTTTGCCATCATCGTTCCCCTTGTCTTCGTCGTCAGCATCTGCTCTTTTGCGATCATCGCTCTTCTTCATGGGCGAACGACCTGCAGTGGACGGAGGATGTGGCGCATTATCTTGGTTCTTCATCTGCCTTGACGTCGGTTCTTCATCTGCCTTGACGTCGGGGGTACCCTGTTGATCCTTTGTGCCACTTCCGTGGCGTCTTTTTTTCGCAAGCACGCTGCATCCGTAGAAACCAGGTGAGGCTGCGGGAAGCAAAGTAAAGCTTTTGCTTTTCTCGTCAATGAACCGCTCTTCCCCGCCAGTAGAGTGAGTGGCTACCTCAGGTTCGGAAAGTACAAGTCCACCTTCAGCTTGGACACACACAGGGGGTGAAGCACTAGAAAATGACGTTCTTCCTTCATTTGCGCGCTTTTCGACAGGGGCTTCTGCCCCAAAAGAGGCAACTACTGTAGACGCAGCAGCAGGCGACTCTCCTGCAGGAGTGCTGACCCCTACACCATGATCAGGCTTGGCAACAACTACAAGTTCTTCATCATGCGCTTCATCATGCGCTTTATCTTCTTCCTTTTCTTCTTCAGGCCCTTTACCTTCTTTTCGTTCTTCGCCGCGCTCAGCTCTCGCAGCAGCATTCACAGGTCCAACGGGACCAGAAGTAGACACAGAAGGTAATCCAGTTACACCAGTGGCATCCCCGTCTTCTCTCGGAGGATCCATGCTTGAACGAGCCAGAAATTCACCTCTCGGTCTCGAAGACTCAGGAAATCCCTCCGGGGTCCCAGGCTGCGCAACATCTGGAGGTGGTGACGGGTGGCGCCACCAGAGTAGAGCAAAAACGGTGGACGTGATCTTTTCCAAACGTGTTCTAGGCGCCGGGTTCCCGACCTCAGTATTATCTTCACCTTGGCCTGACGGTTTTGGAACACTGCCAGCGGTTGCTTGTCCGCCATCGCCTGGTGCTTCAGCTTCCTTCTCGCCTGGGCGGTCCTCACCCTGCTCTTCTTTGTCTCCATCAACATTATTTTTGGGCTCTTCCTCCTCATGATCATCGTTCTTTCTGTCCTCTCCATCATTTTCGGTATCCTTCTTGCCATCTTCTTCGCCATTCTTTTCGCCGCCTTCTTTCTCGTCATCGTCCTCTTCCTCCTTGTAATCCCTCTCCTGCTTTCCAAAAATTTTCTTGCAAACTTCAGCAGCGTCAACTCTCACAAGGAAGTTCTTGACTTTTTCCAGGAGCTGCTCGCCTACATCAATAGGAGTTCGAGTTTGGCCATACTTTTTGGCCAAAAATTTCGTTACGACCCTTTCGAGCAGTGGATCATTTCCAGAAGAAAGTGACAGCATCGTCAACGGTCTGATGACCTCCTCAAGTGACATTTGACACTTCTCCTCCAGCAATTGCTCTGGTGGTGCTCCTTCTTTGATTCTGGGAGACCGAGACGCCATTGAAGAAACAAGGTACTCTTGCTGAAAGGTAGACCACTTGTCCTCAAACTCCTTCAACCGCTTACGGCTGAGGCCTTCTTGCCTAGTCATTTGTCTTTTCGCCGCAGATGAAGCTCCTGAAGGAGCGTCTTGATGTTCTTGCCCTTGTTCCTGAGCCTCATGACCGCGCAGTTGTCCTTCTCCTTCCTGATCGTTCAAGTTTGACAATTCATCCCATACTATACTCGCCAGACCTTGAAACACGTTTAGTAGGTTTTCAGGACGAAGCGATTTTTCCAGAAGATCGCGCTCCATTGCTGCTTGACCTCCTCCTGGTGATTCATCTCGTCCTCCACCACTTAGCTTTGTTTCGTCTCCTCCTTCACGTAATTCTGCTTCTTCTTCCCCTTCTCCAGATTGCTTTGGTTCTTCTTCTTCCCCTTCTCCAGATTGCTTTGGTTCTTCTTCTTCCCCTTCTCCAGATTGCTTTGGTTCTTCTTCTTCCCCTTCTCCAGATTGCTTTGGTTCTTCTTCTTCCCCTTCTCCAGATTGCTTTGGTTCTTCTTCTTCCCCTTCTCCAGATTGCTTTGGTTCTTCTTCTTCCCCTTCTCCAGATTGCTTTGGTTCTTCTTCTTCCCCTTCTCCAGATTGCTTTGGTTCTTCTTCTTCCCCTTCNCTTTGGTTCTTCTTCTTCCTCTTCAGGTGTCTTTGGTTCTTCTGCTTCTTCTTCAGGTGTCTTTGGTTCTTCTTCTTCCTCTTCAGGTAGCTCTGGTCCTTTTCCTCCTGCTTCAGGTAGCTCTCGTTCTTTTCCTGAGTCATCCACGGGTGGTCCGGACGCGGAAGAACTGCCTCCTCCCAGGAGGCCAGCAGTCCTCGGAGTCCCAGAAGGCTCCTGCTCACCACGCTGACCTCGCAATTCTCGCGATGTTTCAGCCGCGCCGCTCGGCGACGGTGGTGTCTTCGGAACAGGAGCTCCACTGGTAGCACCAGCAGCTCCAGTGATAGCACCACGTGCTGAATGATCAACAGTCAAGGCATTTGACAAGGAATCTCCAGCACCGAATCCAAGTGGTGCTTCCCCACCGGCTTCACCCTCATCTTCAGGCTCCTTTTCTGCTTCTTTTTGATCTTCAGGCTTCGCTTCGTCTTCTGGTCCTTTTCCCTCTAATTTCTCAAGCTCTTTCTCCTGTTCTGCAGGTTTTCCTGAGGATCCCGTTGCAGCACTTCTAAGTGGAATCTGGTCAGCAGCTTGATGTGGTTCTGGAGGTCCACCAATCACGTAGCGAGGTGCGGCTGTAGGGGCCAGAGATGGATCACGTACACCAGCTGGAGGCGTTGCCGGAGCAGCATCCGTTTGCTCAGGTGTCTTTGGAGCCGGAGGTGTGTTTAGAGGAAGAACAGCAGCGGCAGCTGCTGCCTTTGGCGCTGCAGGTGCGGCACCAGAGCCGACCACGCCCACTGGAGGCTCAACCGCAGCTGCATCAACTGCACCACGTAGACTGGATGAGGGCGTTGCCGGACGAGGAGAACCAGCGCCAGGTGCCTTCGGAGACGCAGGTGGAGACGAAACAGACGGACGCATTGGCGAACCAGCAGCCTTTTGTTCAGGTGTCTTTGGAGCCGGAGGTGTGGTAGCAGAGCCGACTACAGACTCCACTCCAGGTGCAGCAGCGGATGCACCAGAAGCACCACGTACATGATCAGATGGAACAGCCGGCGCTGGAGGAGCAGCAGCTTTTTGCGGTGTCTCTGGAACAGCAGTGGCCAGCTCGCTAGGAGAAGAAGCCGGGGGCCCGTTCAAGAAAGCAGACACTCCTCCACCAGCGTCGGCACCGGAGCGGGCACCAGCTCGTTCTGGACCTGAAGGAGGACCACCTTTTCCTCTGTCGTTGGAGCCACCTTTTCCTCCTCCTCCGCCAGAGCCGTCACCTTCTCCTCCGTTGGAGTGATCACCTTCTCTGCGGGAGCCACCTTTTCCTCCTCCGCGGGAACCACCGCCGTGGCCACCACCAGCTCCTCCTCCTCCGCCAGAGCCGTCACCTCCTCCTCCTGCGGCGCCACTTTTTCCTTTCTCGTTGGAGCCACCTTTTCCTTTCTCGTTGGAGCTGCCTTTTCCGCTGTCGTTGGAGCCACTTTTTCCTTTCTCGTTGGAGCTGCCTTTTCCTTTCTCGTTGGAGCTGCCTTTTCCGCTGTCGTTGGAGCCACCTTTTCCTTTCTCGTTGGAGCTGCCTTTTCCGCTGTCGTTGGAGCCACTTTTTCCTTTCTCGTTGGAGCTGCCTTTTCCTTTCTCGTTGGAGCTGCCTTTTCCGCTGTCGTTGGAGCCACCTTTTCCTTTCTCGTTGGAGCCACCTTTTCCGCTGTCGTTGGAGCCACCTTTTCCGCTGTCGTTGGAGCCACCTTTTCCTTTCTCGTTGGAGCTGCCTTTTCCGCTCTCGTTGGAGCCACCTTTTCCTCTCTCGTTGGAGCCACCTTTTCCTCCGCCGGAGCCGCCACCTCCTCCGCCGGAGCCGCCACCTCCTCCGCCGCCGGAGCCGCCACCTCCTCCGCCGCCGGAGCCGCCACCGCCAGAGCCGCCACCTCCTCTATTGTTGCCACGATTGTTGCCACCATGATTGGCATTTCCACCGAGAGTCCAAGTCCCCCAGTACCACTCTTCTGGGTCTTTTAGCAGACCAGTCTCTTCGTCTTCCTGACGCCATTGACGGTCCAACTCTCTTGCCAAACGCAAATCATCTTCTGTGGTGCTGTGTGCAATCTTGTCGTTTTCCTTACCGTCATACAGCAGATTACCCTTTTGGGTCTTCCAAAGATTTTCCTGTTGTTCCAAAAAAGCCGCACTTTTCCACCACACAGGTTCCGCCTCTCCCGTAGGGGTTTCATTCTCTGGCACCTGATGAAGAAGTGGTAGCACGACTTGTACTTTCATTCAGAACGAGATTTAGATCATTTAGGAGTAACAGTAAGTGTCGTGAGTAAAGTTCTTATAGACGCAGAAATGATATATCTAAAGCAAGTGGTTGTGGTACTTCGGATATGAACCACATGGCCGAAAACGACTCAAAATGGCTGGTAAGCGTGAGAAAAGCGCCTAGAAGATACAGGCTTGATGGAGCATTCTATTTCCAGAAACTAGGTTATAAACTCCTCTATTTTTAGATGAAGTATGTAGTTGCCTTTATAATGTAAACTCCTCTATTGTTGAATGTAGATTGTAATATGTCTAGTACATCATGCAGATTGTAACTATGTTGTAAAAACATGTACTAGTAGTTGCTTATATGTAGTTACCTTCACTGGCGGCGTTTGGTTCTCTGGTGTTGTGGTTCGAGTGAAGACGCCAGTTGCCCACAAGGAGATCAACACGATGAAAACGATGACTCCCACCAAAGCACCTGCAACGCCAAGGACAAGTGCGCCACGCCTGATATTAGAAGTAGGACCTTCTGACATGATCATGAAGAACTCTTACTAGAAATGAAGACTGATCGACCTCCTGACATCATGGCGAACTCTTACTAGAAAAGAAGAGTGATTCCTAACCAAAAAGTGATGTCATAAACCCTAGCAACTAGAAAGGAAGAAAAACAAAAATGTTGATCCCTAGCAAACTCGATGGAAAGAAGAAGACCTGACATCATGATCTCATGATTGAATGGATGAAGAGAGGAGGTGGTCTCAGGATTGACTTATGGTCGATAGAGAGATGGAGTCAACAACATAACAGCAAGACAGCTTTGTTTCTGCTCCACGGTGTTGCCAGCTGAGGCTTGCTGTAGGAGAGCCTCAATGTCCTCATCGTGCTCGTCCTGTTTCGAAGCACGAAAGTGCTTATTTCCTTTTTGAGAAAACGTAGAAGTTCTCGACATCTTTTTTTGGTTTTTAATATACTTTGAAAAGAGCTTACAACAAGTTCGTGAAGATGCAGTTATGAAGTATTAGTATCAAGATTATCCACGACGATGGGCGTTATTATTCATCCAGTACTTCTAGGTATACTACTTACTACTGTACTACTGCTAGCAAGATGAATCCTATCTTAGTTAGTACTATTGGTCGATTTTCTACTACGAGTAACTTAGTCCGTGATTTACTGCAGCAACAATACTAATTGAAGAAACAGAAAACAGCTATGAAAACGAGAACAATATCTAAGAAAACTGATAGATTTCTTCTTCAAGTTTTCGATCTATCCGTCGAAATTTTGCAGACTTACTCCCAAAACGATTGTAATGCCAAAACTAGAAACTAGATCAAATGGAGATTTTTCAGTCCTTTCTCTCCTGAGGTACTACTTCTTTACCTAGTTCTTCTTGTTGAGTCGTACTTCTCACGATGTAGTGCTTCGTTATTACGTTGTTGTTGTTGTTGTTGTTGTTGTTATCTTCCCCTCAACTAGATGTCAAAAATTGTCTTTCTTTTTGTTTGAATATGATAAGCAAACGAGTGTTATGCGAAGAAAGTTTTTTAGCTTTTTGTCTTAAGAGATAAGTATTTCTCAAAAGACTAACCCTGTTTTACATTTAGAAAATGTTTGTTGTGCCGAGTTCAAGAGTAACTATGTTAGGTTATGTTTCGGTCGTTGGTGGGGGTGGTCGTGGTTTGGGATGTGAATATAGTAATTGGCTTAGGTGGAGAAGGATGACGAATCTCAACATTCTATTTTGATTTTGTCTTTCAACAACACATTTTTGAGTGAAATTCTCATGATGAGAAGAAATACAGCGACATCACCATCCATTTTGGAATTTTGCGAGAGAGGAAGAGAAGGACGACACATCATATTTCATTCAATAGAGGAGAAGGGGACAGAGTGATTGACGACTTTGAGCATCAAGTAGAGTTAGGAGCCTTTGACAGATTGAGTGGCGACGGACTCAAGGAGGAGGCTCACGCCATCCACTTTCTTGGGGGTCGTGATCATATGATGATCCCAGAGACTAATCGTCTTACCGGCTTTAGAAATCAAGATCATCATCATTACGTCGGTCCTTAGACATTTCTGCGCAGAATCATTCTCGCCAGTATCTCGACATCATGAATCAAGATCGTATAATTGGAAGTGTGCCTACAACCTTCCACGACCGATGGTTCTTTCATAAGGACCTAGACTGAGTTCTCTTGTTACTTTTCTGACCTATCATAATATAATAGACCCGCTCACCATTCTACTACGTACTCGGTCTGTATGACCACGACCATGACTACGACCTTAGGAGTGACTAGATGCAACATGCATCTCTGACGACAACACGCCTTCTTGTTTATGTTTTTCCATCAAAGACAGACAAATTCTTTGATTCTAATTCGAAACAGATGATTCTTCCTCAGGATCCTCTTTTTCAAACGGGCAAAGCGTCAAACACACGATTTTTGAGCAACTACCCTGTAAAATAAGTGGAGGGATACAAGAAGTTTAGAAATTTTGAAAATTCTTCATCACAATAGTTTCATGATCACCAGCACAGGATGATGTTGATACGGTTGGAATTTTTCCATTGTAGTTAATAAAACATGAGTACCTAAGAGAATACCAATACGTTTTCATCAAGTGAAGTGGTCCTCTCTGTTTGTTCCATAATGCCCTGCTATACGACCCCCTACTTCTTTATCGAACCCCAATTGACGCATCATACGTACAACCTCTTGGTATCCATGAGTTGACTGTGCCTCAGCTGAGAAGATTTGTGGCGTGGTATCCTTGTTGTGGTCTGTACCGTGGTCTATATCATCCAAAGCACGCCCGCCAAACGCACGTAGCATTCCTTCTTTAAACTCACGCTCCGCATTCGACAAGACCGAATCAAACCGGTCATCCAACACAAAGCGGGCACTGTGTTGCGCTGAACCTAGGAGAGAAACCAGATCTAAAAACACCTCTTGGCAGCGTGCCGCTTCGAGAATCATAGGGTAGGAAAACCTCTTAGTGGTATTAGTTTCTGTTTTCTCTTTTTCGGATTTCTTGTCGGATCCTTCGACGCCGAAAACATCACCATCTTCCGGATGCATACCCAAAGAGTTGACGCTCAGTGGACCTTGTGTTCCTCGTACACCCCAACTATCGATGCTCAGGGTCGTCGCCATTCCACAAGCTGATAAACGATTCTTGTAGGTCGCCTCCTGGTGGCTGCGTATACTATTAGTTGTAGCGAATGCGTGGGCAACAAGATCATCATTTTCACTCGGCTTCGCTCCTTCAGTACTAGTACTCCCGCTTCCAGCCAGTGCTTCTCGAACTTCCGCAAGCATCCTTAGATAGTTCGGATCTGTCATGCTAAACCCCAAGAACAAGAAGTGCGACGTCATGAGACTGCCCTGAAGAAAACCACCTAAGGCTTTCATGCGTCCGCTCTCATAGACTGCGTAATCCGAAGTGGTGATAACCAACTCCTCAGGCCTGGAGATGCACCCATGAAGCTTCATCACCACTCTGCGTGCTCCTTTCACTGGCTGGTAAGGCAAGACGGATAAAGAAGGAGGCAAAATCACTCTGCATGATGATTCGGTCCTAGAGGTAGTTGCAGTTGTAGGTCCTAGAGGTAGAGGTTGCAGTTGTAGTGGGTCCTTTGTTGATGTTGATGCGTCGAGGTGGGGGACCTTACCTTGTTGATGTTGATGTTCATGTTGATGCTGAGCTTGGTCTCCCCCGGTAATACTATCATTTTGTCTTCGGCGTGTTTCACTTCCCCCCGCCACACTATCATTTGTCGCAAAAATGTGGGTGAAGGCTTTCCGTCGGAACGGCTTACCGCGAAAAAAGGGCGTAGAGGTAGAAAGTTCCTGATGTTGTACCTCCTGAGTCGCTGCCTGTCTTCCAGTTCCAACTCCAACTACTTTCTTCTTAGTCGTTGTCCTTCCCTGACTTTTCAATAGTTTCCGTAAGGCGATGTCATCCTTGACAGAGATTCCCTCGCACGCTTTTTCGGCCAAAGTATCAAAGTTCGTCGTCACGATTGTGCGTACTGGTAAGCCAGCTGCGAGAGCGGTCAGCATGCTGTAGTGAGGACGATCCAGAAGGGCTGCGATCCGTTCCTTCAACGTAGCGCTCGCGGTAGAGATTTGATGCGCACGACTTTCTTCTTCATTCACAGACTCAGAACAGTGCTGGACGTGTTTCACAGCTGCTACACACCATTGTCGAGCTTCCTCGGATACGATCTCACGTCGAGCTGGTGCCAAGAGGAAAACAAAACCCCCAGCAACAAGCGTGCACAATGTCATGAGAATGGGTGCCAACAATAGGAATCGGTGCAGAAGTACGGGAACTGCTATAAGAACCATTGCAAAAACAGCACAAATTAGCATCTGCCGCTCCTCTTTGCATTGATTGAAGTGCCTGCGAAGAACGCGTTCGATCATCGCTCTGACCGTTGTAAAGTCGCCCAGCACAACATCTTCCCCTGCACCTTTTGTCTTCACCTCTCCACGACACATTTCATCCAGTAGATTCGCCATTTTCAGTGGGTCCCACCCACATTGGTCACCCACAACACCTTTTTTCCCAGTCACTTGCACTTCCACCGCTTCTAGCAGTTGAAACCAGGTAGGACAACCAGCACCTATCGAGGCTCCTGCGCCCAAAAAAAGCGCCAGTCTTTCGGTTTTATTGCTACCATGAGCGGCTCTCCCTGAGGCCATCTCCGCTAAATCACTAGCCGCACGAATGAGATCTGGTCGTAAGATACTACGAAACGAAGCTGCACACGCAGACTTCGTACATAATATACCGTGTGACCCGACAAACTGCCCGTCTGGTGCTCCTGAAGATATTACAACATCTGCAGTGCCAGGAGCAGTTCGATTTTCCATCTGCTCGCCTTCAAAAGAATTTTGCCGCGGTTGTGGTCCCAATCCCAACAGCATCTCGTCCCCCAACGCTGGCCTTCTGAGTGCTTGTGCGATGCTGAAGGTTGCTTCGTCAGCACAGCAAAGCAAAATATCGACTTCCGGATGCTTCTTTAGTTCCCGATAAAGACACGACATTAAACTCTTTACTACGCGGCCAGTCTCGCTGCTCAATTCGTTAGTACCGACAACAGGTACCGCCAGTAACAACCGCTCGCGCCAACGCTTACGAAGAGGTAGTGGGGAAGTTTTCACGTTGTTCTCCTTGTTTTTATGTAATGAAGGACCTTCTGTTGACTTTATCTCCCTCAACAAAAGCGCTTTTCGACGCTCCTCAGCATTCCACCAATCGACTTCGGCAGGTTTAATAGATTTTTCGGCGGTGGTTCGAGAATCTTCACCAGAATATGAGCTTGTCATTGTAGTTGGCAACATAGAAGTAGACAGCACTCCTGTAGTATCTTTAGGCAAGACATCAATCCCTTCGATATAATCCCGTCCAAAAAGTTCTTTTGCGAAGGCCACGAATTGTTGAACGCTCTCCATCATGGCTTCGATCCGTGTTTCTAAACTGCCCTGTTCTTTCTCTGCGCAGGTCCATGCGAAAATAGGTCTCGGCAGTGCTGCTGGACGCAATACCCGAACATCCTCGACATGGAAGTAATCTTGCAATAAGTGATCTAAATCTACTTCTGCTGGAGAACTTCTAGCAGTAGCGTGGCCAAGAACTTGTTTGTGCTGTTTGTTATTCCCTTCAGGGAGAAAAGAACTAGAAGTAGAAGGTAATTCCAGTACCGTATGCGACCGTTTGGAATCGCCAGATGTAAAGGTGTACGACTTTTTGTTCATCTCAGGACTAAGAGATTCTGGCAAAGGTTTTGCGTCGTGTGCAGCACCAAGAGCAACTTCCCTTTTTCGAGATTCCAAAAACGTCTTGCTCCTCGAACATGAAGTGCTGTCATCCTGCTCCTGCGCTTCAGTAGTAGAGGACTCGTCTCTCTCATGCCACCGCGCCACTGTACACACTCGGTTAAACCTCACTGGATCCAGGGTCATCAAATCTAAAGTTAGAGGTTGCGACATTGCATTCTTCAGATCATCCCTGACCCTTTTCCTACTGGAAAAAAAGTCAAGGATGGTAGTGAAGAATGCAATGTGGTAACCCTTAATAAAGGCGTTAGCCGAAGCGAGTGAGGATCGGTAGATCCAGCACCCGCAGTCGAGGTCGTGGACATGCCGTAACCATAATCCCCCAAAATAAAACGACGCGGCTTGCCAACAGACACCCTATAAATAGTGGATGTTGTTGGACCAGGTGGATTGCGATTCGCTTGCGTTTCGCCTTGGACCCTTGTTGATGGAGACGACCCTTGTTGATGAACGTCTACTCGAGGAGCTCGATCTCCAAGGATATCTACCCAACAATCTACTTCCTCAAGAGGACGAGGTCCAGGTCTAATATCGTTTTTGTAAGAGGACGGTTTGTCCTCTGGCGGTGTTTCAACTCTCCAAACCAAGCGTTTAGCCATATCCTCTGGTAGCTCGGCCATCTTCTGTCGCCATTGACTCGAAATCGGACCACCCACACACGGCACACGTACTCGTCTCAAGGTAGTCGTAAAAAAGTTAAAATCTTCTTCAACATCCATCTGGTTCTCCTCGTTTTCTTCTTCGTCGAGTTCCTTTTTGTGATTTTTATGCAGTTCCTGACTCGTCTGCTGTAACCGTAGTAAATCGAGCTGCGCTTGCTGTCGGGGAATGAGATCACGCCAGTAACCGGGACACAAAAATGCGTCACAGAAAACGTCGGTAATCGAAGTATTTGCCACAAAGAGGTGCCCACTCGGAGCCATCTTCAAGGACTCCCCGTCGTGCTCGTGGTCTCCTTTCTCGACATCATGAAGAGCAGGCGAAGAACTTCTAGGTCCTTGGGGGGCAGAAGCCATTTTGTATGTTGTCATTCTTGTCAGTAGAGTCTAACGACCTTTGGTGATGGGGGATGGATGGCCCCCAGTCGAGAATTTAGAAGATTGTAGAAGTAACGACTTTGATAATTCAAATACGATAATATGAACGACACGTAGAATTTCAAAGTGGAATTTCAAAGTGCTGGGATGAAGAATGGTGGATCCTATCTCCTTATAGATCATTGGATTTTTGAGATCCCTCAATTTTCTCAAAATTTTCACGATCAGGCCACTAAGATCAAATCTATTTATAAGGAACGAAAGATTTTATTAGAAAGATAGATCTTCAAATGAATCTATTCGACTAATCAAATTCCTCTTATTTTCCTCGTCCTTACTAGCTAGATTGAAGGAGTCTGATTGAAAGGGTCTCGTAATCTCTGAAGGTACGTAAGCGTAAGAGCGCGACTAGATAAGCCATAATAAGCCTTGAAGCAGAGAGAACAGTGCTGGATGAGGACAAGAACGTCTAAACATAAAGTACCTGAGCAGCAGTCGTCCATCATGTACTATCAGAAAAAACAGAGGGGGAGGGGTGTATAATGGAGAGAAACAAAAACTGAAAAAACACAGAGGCACAAGGAGGCCAGGGATAGCTGAATAAGCATAATAAATATCCCGCGGTTGGTGTGATTATTTTGTCACTTGACTCAACAAAGGCCAGCTCTGCACAGGAAAAATGACCGGCCAATGCTTTCAGTGACGTTATTGTTGGAGCTCCATAATAAATTGCTGGAGTCGTGCCATATGATATTGGGGTACGCTCCTACTTTCTCAAGTCTCTGCAGTTGCTTATTCTTATGGTTTTCCGTTCTCGCTATTAAGGCGAACAGAGTATCACTCGAACAGAGATGGCTAACTTTATCGTGATACATAGGTTAGGTTAGGTTGGTGCCTACCGTCCGATGTGGCAGACATTAGCGGCTACTGAAGAGTCTTGCAAACACGCAAATCTAGATACATAGATCTGGTAGGAAACTACAACTGGATGAAAGTGTATGATTGGCCAATTCCTGATAACTTTCCGTGCGGGAGCGATGATGTGGCACGAGGAGATGACATCTTGTGCCCACTCTCTGACCGGCTATACACACTACTTGCGGCTCTTCCTCACTACATGCATCATAGCCGGCTCTTCCTCATACAAGGACTCGTCTCCTGCTTAGAAGCGGTCACATCCCTGGTCTACTTTTGCAACGAGAAGCAAATTGATGCTCTAAAAAAAACCACTTCCGCAAGCATAATGTCAACACCATTTTAAATTGTTTTAGTTTGTTGTTCCTCATGTCGCGAACGCTTCATTCCCAAAATTTTGAAGCTTTTGTATTCTTCATTTGCAAATTATTCACCTTTTCTTCTAGTTACCGGTTAGGCATTGGTCCGACTACGAAGAGACGGACGCGGACAACAACGTCACGACCATAGAAGAGCTAACATAGAGCCTGCTTACTAGACAGAGCGATGCATCAGTTGCACGCTAGAACCAATTTCTTTGAACAAGAAGGTTAACGTTAATCGAACAAGAAGTAAACAAAAATCCACAATTTTCAGACGATGTGATCCGTATTTTTAGTATTGAATCTGCGCATTTGCTTTTCCCTTGGTTGCTGTGATTGATATTGATTGCTTCCAACTTACGTGCACTCACCAGAGCGACAACGACTAGAAACCTTTTGCATTTTAACAAAAAAGACAAGAACAAATACAAATTTACGAGCGTAAGAGTCAGGCTATCGATTCTCAAAAAAAGCTACCGTTTCTTTCTACCTGAAGATCCTGTTCAATTCCAAATTTAATGTACAAATTTTCTTAGCTCAATGAGGTTATTTATCGGGTTCTCAAACATGTAACAAATCGGAATCGCATTCGTTCCTACATTTTAGCCCTTATATTCTATCCGCCAGCACTTCATACCACCTGCGGATCGGCACAATCTCCCTACAATAAGAACCTGGTATCGATCATTGCTGTTTCCGCCAACCGATTCTCCCCTAACGTCGCTCGAAAATGCAGCACCAGTTGTCCTACTAAGAACGCCAAGAATATGCCCAACCATAGGTTTTCGGAGAATCGGAAGCAAACTGCAAAGATCAAGAATTCTAAGCTCAGCACCTGGAATTCGAAGCCCGTAGGCACGCCAAAGAACTCGGAACCGTAAGCTAGCGCACTGGTCCACCCGACTTGGGAATGGTCTTCATAAAGCGTAACCGGGAAATTCGGAATGGAGAATGAAAGGGGAAAGATAGGGGAGAGGGAGAGGGAGACAGAAATAGACAAGACAGAGAGAGGTGGAACAAGGTGTATTGTGTAACTAGAGGTAAAATAAAAGATTTGCTGGAGGTTCGGATTGTGCCTGAAATGATAGATTCCTCTCGAAGCAGATCATGTAGACCTACACCTAGACAACGAAGATTTTCTTCAAGTCAACATAAAGAAATATCCGGCGTTGCTCCGCAGTATCCCAGCTCCTCCTTAATGCACATGTTTTGTTCCCTCACAACGCCTTCAATCGTTTGAAGTAGGAATTCCTGCATTTGAATTCGGAGTTGCGCTAGTTTCTTCACTGAACTATCTGCGTTCATTCCGATAGCGTGCTGACCTCCCATGCTGCCACCTCCCATGTTGAAACCTCCTGGGCCTCCTCCCATCTGAGGACCGCCTCCGAATGGAGCTAGAGAACTTGAGGTCGTCGGTAGACCTCCGGAAGAGCCTAGGCTAGCACCGCCTAAGCCGCCGCCTAGTCCTCCGCCGCCGAAGCCGCCACCACCACCTCCTATTCCTGAGTTGTTTAGGCCTCCACCGAAATTGCCGCTATCACCGCCGCCAAGAGATTAGAAAAAACCCTGCTAGCGATATCTGCCTATCGAAGAAAATGTGCATGTACTTCACGGTCAGATCATGGAGGTACTTATATATAACGCATCGAAGAAATAAATGTGTAAGTACCGACGTCGCTACCTATAGCCATTATCAAAACTCCTGAGACTTGTATTTAAGTATGATAAGCATAAGTCACATCCATGTTCATAACCAAATCCCGAGTTTCTAAAGGTTCCTCCGCCTCCAAACGAATTCCTGGCACTCCCACCAGACGCCGTTGGATACATGGCGTGGCTTCCTTCGGCAAAGAACAAATCAGGTCCATCTTTCCATTTCACAACTCCTCTGCTACTAGTACTTCTTGACCTAGATGATGGTCGTCGTGAGGATCGTGCTCTTCTTGACGAAGAGTTTTGGCCGGACGTACAGATACTCGTCTGGATAGAAATGTTAATAGGGCTCGTAGTACTCCCTCTACGCCTTCGTTTCGACGAGGAACATCGGGAATCTTCCGAATGACGTAGTTGTAGTTCATCGTCTTGATGTCGCTGTGCTATGATGCGAGTAGTGGGAGAGGCAGAGCTCGCTCTTGATCTCGAGCCAGCGAAGTCTTCTTGATGATTTCGGAAGTAGTCACCACCAGATCTACAACTTGTCGGTATCCTTGAGGTACATCGACTCCCGGAACTACCACCAAATTCTTCATTTGGCCCACTAGAGGTAAGACTGTCAATGCCCACGCAGGAGCCGTTTGCGTTTTTCTCGGGCGATAAACTAGAAGATGAGGACGATGTGCTCAGAGGGGGTGAGAAGATTACGTTCACATCTTCGTGTGCTGCTCCTGCTGGTGCGTCGTGGTCGTCACGAACAAGATCTACTTCCATGCTTGTTCTAGAAGTACGTCTCATTGTCTCAATTTTCATCCCCTGCGTAGCTCTAGCACACCTACTCGAGGTACTTGAAGAAGAACTGGTACCGGAGAAGTGGGTTCCTAGAGGAGATGCACAGGATTCCTGTGCATCTCCTCTAGGAGAAGTTACAGGTTCGCTCCGATGCATCCCATCCATGCCTGCTGCCCCACTAAAGAAACCACCACTCTGAGGCCCTCCTCCAAATCCACCACTATTCAGTCCGCTTGGCTGTTGTTGCATTGAGCCTTGCATCGAAGGCCCAGTGTTGTTGAAGCCTCCTCCTCCTCCTAGGCCTCCTATGCTAGTTCCCGTGTTGTTGAAGCCACCCCCGCCACCTCCTCCCAGAGTACTCTGAAAACCGGCAGAAGGTAAACTCTGACCAAGAATGCCACCGCCTGGGCCGCCGGAGGAACCTAGTGGGCCCCCCGATGCGCCTAGTGGACCACCACTACCGCCTAATGGGCCGCCGCTCATACCCAGTTGCTGTGATCCTCCGAATGGCTGGTCGGCCATAGAACTTCGACCCATGCCTCGTGGTGTCATTGCACTTGACGCTGTTGAGTCGCGATTCATTAGGCCTCCACCACCGGGATTGCCACCGCTGGAATTAGAGGTTAGTATAAAAATCACACGACTTATATTCTGTCTCGGAGAGCGAGAGAGTTTGACTATGTAGAGAGGACTGTATTAAGCATTATTCGAAGTCTGTACTAATGTGCCCGCTTAACAAAATTTCCATGCATCATCCCATGTCCACCTCCACCCGGTAAATGCATACCGTGCATCATCCCTCCCCCATGCTGGTCCATATGCATCATGTGCATCATGCCTCCGCCATGCGGTCCAAATTGATGTTGTTGAAAGCCATGGTGTCCTGGCCCATTATGTTGGAAGGAATGAAAGATTCCAGGAACACCCCGCTCTGCCATGATAGAGCGATAGATTTGAAACAACTGCTCTTTGATTAGAGCTACCGCAACATTCGCGATTGCGTCTTCCTCTTTGAGAGTAATAGTATCCTTGAACGGGGCTTCTTTTTCAGGTAGAAAAAGAAGATCGAAGGAACACTATGCAAGTATCTCAGGCCACTTCTTCATACTAGATGAATCTCTAACCTCTAGTATGAAGAGTATCTCAGGTGTTGAGCAGGACAGGCTCTACAGCGATAGCCTTAATTTGAACGCATTTCCAGTGAAAACTTCGTAGGTCTGAAGTTCACCCCTTGTTGGATGTTCCGGTGTGAGGCCACGCTTTGGCAGCAGGCCCTTTTCCTCCTCGTCTAAGGTGAAGAACATCTCGGTCGCGCTAGTGTCGCCCTTGCCGCCGGGACAACGACCTGTGAGGACATGCATGATTGAGGTGGGTGGATGTGAAAGTAGTTCCTCATGTTTTTACATGGGCAATTAGAATTTCTTACTTCAAAAATAACAGGTAAACAGCATACAACAAGTACTCAATAACGTAATCAACGTGAAGTACTGCCGAATGGGTATCTATCTTCAAGCGAAGTGAACAAGTTGGTACGAAGATGAATAGAATACCATGTATGTAGTATCCATGATGCGGTTCGTCCATGATGAAGACGGACACGTTTGCCAGAGAACATATGTCCACGAAGTTTATCAGGTCCAAGCCCTCACGGACTGCGACTATCTGTCTCCCCACAAGTTGAATCGTCAGCACTAAAATCCAGACGCCTGCGGGCACGCCGTACATCAGGAAGGGGTTGAAGGGCGACTGCTCATTCCCGCTCCAACGACAGCTCTCTTTCAGGAGTTAGGGCGTGTGGGAGGGCTCTCCTTCAGGAGTTAGGGCGTGTGAGAGGGCTCTCTTTCAGGAGTTAGGGCGTGGGGTAGGGGAGATGGAGAAATAGCAAAAATAGGCCCAATCTATCACATTCGCTAGAAGTGGTGCTCTAAAAATTGGTTATACGATTACAATGCCATTCTTGCCATACCAGTTAAACCCCTCTAGAAACAGGATCATCAGAATCCACGTTGCGTAGCCGCTCGTTCGCGTCGCATTGATCCTTTCTGACAGTTCGTTTCCAACAAACAACGACCTCCAAATGGAAATGCCCTTATCTGGTGCCTTTTCCCTTGTGCCTCCCGCTGTAGGTGAGTTGCCATTGTCCTGCTGGCGGGTGTCTGGGGCTTAGAAGTAGACTCAGAGTGTGGAGTATCACAAGAGAGAGTTCTAGCAGTGTATCTAGATTCAGAGTAGACCTCCTAGGCCATAATGACTTCCCGATCCTGAGGCACCTCCGGATCCACCTGCTTTGCTCTCAAGTGGTTTCGGTTCTCTGTCTAGCAAGAAGATGAAACAACTTGACTGCTTGTACAGAAAAAGAAGCATCACCACAGAGGAGAGAACGGGAGTTAGAAGGTTTTGGTTTGTCGGCGATAGAGATTCTGATTTGTAAGAAGAAAAACAACAAGTCTGTCCAAAGTTTGTTGGCTCATCAATCCTTTACAACGATTAGTTACTTCTAGATACGGAAACCACACATTAGCTGCAACACCGTTTTTCATAACAAAAGCAGCACCAAAAAGATATCGTGGTGGCTGTACTGGTCGCCATCGAGAGAACCAGGTAATATTGAGTCGCTCGATATGACCCAGTAAAAGACCATGACGAAATGGAACCAAAAAAGCACTGCAAATGATGTTTTCAGCGCTGCTAGGAAGACCAAACCGCTTCTCGGTACAAATATCCCAGGATCAGCAGTGAGACCAGGTTCCCATGGGTAACGGAGGTCTATAGCGGAATAGCTCCGGTAAATGAGACCGAGGAGGAGGACGAGGAACAGGATTAGAAAAACGAGAACGGTTGACCAGAAACTGGAAGTGTCTTCGGAATACCTGTCGTGGTGTATTTGGGGATTTGATAAGGCACCTTTATCTATAAAAAGCGTCGTCAAGAAGAAAATCAGAATCAGTGAGTTGTCCAACTCCAATTTTGAGTAAGTACTCCGCTTTGAATATGCATGGCAACGACGGTTGTGCGGATCCTCGTGCGACTACTTTGGCTTCCAGATACATCACATTCAAAACCGGAACTTGTAACTTTCCGTCTGACGCCCTTAACTCGAGGTATAGCTGCGATGCCCACCTAAGGTATGCTGGATCTGCGTCGGCCACCGTTTTCCCGATGGCGGCGTCACAAAGAAAGAAGCGGCGGACCTGTTGTAGTTTTGTTGTTGACTTAAATTGAGTGAATTTCTGGCGAATACGATGGATAGATAATTATGACAGTACGGAAATTATAGTATTGCTGGATCTGCGCACCTTGAGTTGTAAAACCTGCTACATAGTTTTTCTTGTACCATATATCCTCCTTTCCCACTAACGTAGAATTCTTCGTCTGCTGCCACCAAATTCGGCCTTTGCGAACCTCTTTGCGTATTCAAAATCCGCACTGGTACTGGCACTTGGGTTCCACTCCCATCCACTATAAACAGGTCGTAAAGCACTGGATGTTGACACGATCCAGCGTTGAGAAACGTGCTGAGCGGCACATGACAGCTCTGGACGATGGTGTTGGACATTTTTGTCCAAAGATGTTCTCGAGAGTCGCTCTCAAATCCTGGCGCAAGACCTCCGAAACGCTCGCACAGTTGTAATTGGTTCGTGACGGGCTCTTGTCCAAGGTAATGTCCATTAAGGGAGTACTTTGCGAGCATGAGAGAAACAGCGCTGTTGTTGTTCACGATTTTTGGTGTTATTTTGAGCAACGGCCATGCTCAACTGACAGAAAGGAACTTCTTGCAGATCATGTCGCCAGTCGCCTTTGTTAAAGAACTAGTACTAGAACAGCACGGCATCTCCAACAAAAAAACTGATCAAGAATTCTCACCTCCCAGATAGCAGTTTTTTTCCACCAGCTGTAGGAGGCTCCGCGCCACGGTAGCTTATCCATGGTAGACCTGCAGAGGCACCTGGCTTGGCGGCTTCGAGTATTGGATATTTGGTCGTGTCTGCATAGAAAAAGTTTTCGAGCAAACTGCAAACTGTACTTGCGCTGTCGTAAAGCTGCAGGACACACAAATTACTCAGGCACTCGCATCCATCGTAGGATGTGCCGCGAACGCAACGGATGGCACAGGATGAAGGTTAGAGGGGAAAACGAGGAACTGAGTGGCACGCGATCGTGATATGAAGAGGGTGTTATCCTCATGCGGTAAAAAAAACACGATCATGTGATTGTAAAAAAAGCGTTTACAAATCACGACAGGGAGAGGGACTACTCTTGTTGTAGGTAGATCGGTGCTCTAGTATGAAGGCTTGATGAAGATGAAGCCCTTCTTCAACTATGTTGTTATCTTTTGCAACTTCTGGTAAACCCCTCGTTTGACACCATAATGATACAACGACAACACGGTCGCACTGTCCATTGTGATTTCGCCTGAGAGACCGGAAGACAGCACGTCCTTCAGCTGCTCCGACTTCTCGATTCCGACGTGACTCCCTATAGCATTGGCAATCCAGCTTGAATCATCCAGAGAAGTGAGTGACGAAACTATTGCAGAAAACTTCACACTTTTCGCGCTCTGCACCGAGAAAGAGGAGAGGGCGGCTGTTGTAGTTTGAGTTGTGGATATGATGGAATCAGATCGAGTTCTAAGCAGACTGTAGTGATCCTGAAGAAGAGGAAGATGTAGGAGATAGTAGTGAGCACGTATGAGTAGATTGATTTCTTCTAAGAAAGAAAAAGGTAGTTGAGGAGTGTGAGTACTTCCTCCAGTATTTGTCATCGAATTCCATTCATTTGTCGGATGGTAGCAAATATCGCCTAGTTGTGTCAGCCCTGCTGGACACACCGCACTCGCAGCACACTGGTTTCGAACAGTGGCACTAGCGAAATTGAGGCTTGCGTCGCAGGCCTGAGGTGTTTCGGGGTGATCAGGAAATTGAAACAACCTGTATGAAGTTTTAAGATTTTTGATAATATTTTTTTTGACTTTGTTTTTTCGACGAAACGCACCAGCAGTGTCAACAACGGTTAGAAGTCCTCGTCCTCGCTTGGATACTTCAAAAATTCGGACTCGTTACACATCAAGACGAAGTCCTCGTCCTCGTACCACGCACTTTTTCTCTGCAAGCCAAGTTCCATCCTCGTTTTTCTCAAGTTGCGCACTAGTCGCCGGACAATTGCATGTGGATGCCCCTGCCGTGGTAGGCGCAGTCCCGCTCGGACACGGTAGGCAGACGGTTCCATCTTCACTTGGTACTGTCTGTTCTAGGCCGCGCGCTGTAATTGAAGAGGGAGGACAATAGATCACTTTGCGCAAACAAGGAGGACAACATCAGATCACTAATTGAAACGATCACTAATTGAAACTCATTCATCAACGAGGAACTAGTACATGAAACTAGAACTACAACATTGATGTCCTAATCACACTACTAATACCCGAACATGTCGTTCCTGAAACTTGAGCAACGTAGGTCAAGTTGCCAAGGGCCCCGCTGCGTGAAAAGCATGGGCAAACTTTACACTCTAGACCGGTAGTTCGTAGTAGAGCTGTTACCGTTGCTGGTCCGTACTCGTAACATGGTACTCCCGCAGCACATGATATTTGTGGGATGCCGCCACCTGAGGTTAGACTTAGATGCTAGCGGATGCAATGAATTGAAAGAGTCATTTTAGGGCTCAAGTTTTGTTCATTCGGAAGCAGGATGGTCGTTGTATCAGATCTTCTTATGCCTACCAGATCTTCTGATACCTGAACTCCTCGAGCAAACGCATCCCGTTTGTGCAGCATTCGCCTGCTGGCCTGCAGGACACGAGAAGCATGCTCGCGTCTGCGGATTGATGATTTCGCTGCCTACGGAACAAACCGGCAGCGTTCCCGACACCTCATGAGGTAAGGTGACACTCGTTGTCGCATCGATTCCACCTGGTACTATCGCTAAGATAGCTGCGAGCAAACTACCGAGGGCAATTATCAACATTTTTGATTCTATGCCGCCGCGCCAGGCTAAATAATTAACCGCCTGGAACAAACGATAACATTCCCTACATTCTGGTACTTATGCTAGGCAAAGCAGTTTGGCATTAACATTCCCTACATTCTGGTACTTATGCTAGGCAAAGCAGTTTGGCATTAACATTCCCTACATTCTGGTACTTATGCTAGGCAAAGCAGTTTGGCATTGATGACGATGATGATGATATACCCAGTCCTTAGACGGGTGGTATGCACTATGTTGTTTAATTATATGTGTCCTTTTTTGCATTTCCAACTGCAGAACCACAGTGGTTTCACAGCATGTTTTTAGAGGATGTGGGTGGCAAGCCTTGGGAGGGGTTGGGAAACAACTAGTTTTTAGGACACTGTTTGCATGTAGTTGTAGTTTGCTCAGTTTCATCTCGTACCTTGTGTCATGTGTGAATGTACACATGTCGTGACCTCAAGACATGCTGCTCTCAGTCGTCCCTCGCTGTGACTTCTATCTCTCATCTACGACTAAATCACTCACAGCTCAGGCAGCACATCACATCTAGTACTTACACGTCGCATAGGGAAGCGAAAAACTGACCATGACATTCCGTATTGCGGTCTATTCTTTATTTTGTTGCGCATTTGTAGCTAGCTTTCTTCCATTTCGTTTTAAAATAACGGCTCCCATGGTCCTGTCTCTCCAACGTCGACCATTTCAGCATGCTCAGACTAACAAGAAGGGGTTGAAAATTTGCTTCAACATTAAAGTGAAATCATACTGGGTGTCCTCAATCATGGAGGCAGTGAAAACAAATACAAATAATCGGAAGAGAGCGCATATTGCCAAAATAGAGTAATAATTCGACTGATTCGGTTTTAGGAAAAGTTCTTGCTGATTTAGATCAGAACGAAGATGTTAATAACGATAACGAATGCTGTAAAAAATTCAAATTGTAGGCATTTCAGTTTCCTCCTGCTCTCAGGAGGAAATCGTCCAGTGTTGAGCGCAACGCAGAGGATACCCCTTTGCAACCACGGATATTGGAGAATTCCCTAAGGCATTCTCGTACTTTCTCGAGTCTATCTTCTCCGGCTATATCCAGTCTCTCTCGACCCATCTGCGTTGATTTGCGCTGTGTGTCAACGATTACCTGGAGAGAAAGTTAAGGTGAAGACACATATCATACATCGTAGAAGAGTTTGAGGTTGAATGCCAAGGAGCCAATTGAAGAAAATTCAATGCGAGAGATCTAGAGGAGAGGTTGAGGTCTTGACGTATTGATAGATGGATAGTCTAAGGGAGTACCGCTCCAAAGTGCGCTAACATTGCTTGCACAAAAGCGGTTCCGACTTTCGCGAAGTCTTCGTATTTCGAGTCTAAAAGCGTCTCTCTTGCGCACGGTAAAAGTCGCGCACAAGCCGCCAGATTGAGGCATTTCGCGTGTCTATTTCTCAACAGTGCTCGAATAAAATCGCAAAAAGTAGCCCCATCACATCCGCGACTTGACGCTAGGAGGTCGATCACTTCTGGCAGTCGGCCGTTATGCCAGAGGGACAGTACCCGACTACTTTGCTCCAACCTCCTCTTGTAGCACAGAACAATGTCATGGTGTTGCTGGCCAAGAGCATCACAGGTGGATGAAAAGCCGGAAGATGAAGAAGCTGCAGCTGTGGAATGATCACGACTACTACTTCTACCTGCTCCACGAGTATTTATTTGGTGTGTAGTTGTTGAAGATGAAGAAGAAGCTCCAGTTGCTGTACCACCTCCGTTATTGGTAAAAAGTGACGCTGCTGGCAAGGCTGAAGAAGAGCTACTTCTACTGTTTGATGTTGTTCCCGGTACAGGTAGTACTGCTCCAGCATTACTGGGTCGTACAACAACTACAGGATCGTCCGGTTGATTCCGTCTTCGACCTCCAGACGAACCCGGGCGACCACCAGAAGAACCCGGTCGTGATCCAGAAGAGCCTCCACTTGGAGGGAATAAAGTGCTAGAGGCTGGTGTCGCGTTTGCCCCGTTTTTGTTCCTCGTAACACCAACAGGTGGGGAAACGTCTTCCGTTGTAGCAGCTCCTGATACGCGGCTGTCGTGCATCACGGTGGTACTGACACCTGATTGTGTTTTTTGTGGTCGTGATCTTCAATGAAGTCAACGCTCGTTTACCGTCTGAAAAGAAATTCACACTGAATTTCATCTGAGGCTGAGCAGGTACACCAATTCTCAAAATCGAATTCAAAGTATTAACAAGTACCTGGTAGTTCCTTTTCTGCTGTCTGTGGTCGTTGTCCTACCACTGTCTGTGGTTTGTTACCAGCACTTCCCGCACCACCGCCAGTAGTCGAAAATATGTGATTTGATGTCCGATGCTGGTCGATGATACCTGCGACCGCACCGCGAGCTTTCCGTTTGGGCTTCTGAGCGTTATCCTTGTTCTCCTGTTTCCTTAAGAGATCCTCCAATCCAGGTCCGCCATCTCTTGGCTCTGGATCACCAACAAACTGCCATTCTGGAGTATAACTCTCTCTATTAGAAGCCGCGTCTGTGTGCATATTTGAAGCATTTTGGTTTCGCTTAGGCGGTGACATCATCATGTTGGTCATGTTGCTAGTAGTTGCCTGTGCTGAATGTCCTTGTTGGGAACTACCTTGTGAGGATGGTTCAAACAACATTCTAGTCTTCCGCACAGCACCTGGCTCGGGTTGGGGACTGTCACCTCGTTCCAAAGCATTTGCATCGGATACACGTCCGTTTGGCCTGACTCCATCACTGATAATTAGGCTACTGGGTTCAAGTGGTACTCCTAGAGGCGCTGCTGATGTTACCCCAGAACTAGATATCCCTCTACTAGAACTGGATGAAGATGAAGCTCGTGGCTCATCACTACAGGATCCTCCTGTACTGGAATTTCGTCCTGCAGCTCCAGGTCCAGCAATGACGTGGCGAGCAGTACGTGCTACAGCGACATCTGAACTCGTCGTCGTTTCGACAATACTCTGTTCATCTCCTTCAGGACCTCCACTGGTGGTTGTCAAGGGGCAACTCGTAGACGAATCTTCATCGCGCGCAGACGTAGACGTCGAAAAGAGATCATCCCCTCCATCTTGCAGCAGCCTCTTAGGTATCTTCACCTTAGCCAGGTAATCAGCGAAAGGCATTGCGATCGTCTTGTTGGACGACGTAGACGCGGATCCAGACGTAGAGGGTGCAGGAGGAGGTGCATTGCCTTTGGTAGCCAGGGTGTCCGGAGCTGCTGGAGGTTCGACGACGTTGATTACAGGCGGCGCGGATAGTAGAGGAGCAGGTTCTCTTGTTGCTATCTTGTCTGATATGGATATCTTCTCATTTGCTTTTGCATCTGATGAAAATAGTTTAGGAGGCGACACGGAAGTTTTACCGCTAGAAGAGTCTGGCGGTCGCCCAGGCGCAGAGGTCCTCTTCCCTCTTTCCTGAAGTGGTGTAAGATTGTTTATCTTAGGTGGCGACTCTCCGAAAAAGTCTCGTTCGTTGTAGCCTGGGGAATGACGTCCGTAGTTGGCATTGGACTGGTTCTCACTGGAAGATAGTGCGCCACCACCTCCACCAGCAGAACCTGTTATAGAACTATTGTTGATGTGTAACAGAGGTGCAGAATGGCGACCACTGCTTATACTCCTCGGTTGTTGACCTCCTGTTGTGCTACTAGAAGGGTTCGTTGGATGAAATTTGTTGGGTGATGTTGAAGAGCTTGAACCACCCTCATTCTCATTGTCCTCTCTTCGTCCGGAACCTGGTCTTCTGTTTGGCGGTGCGCTGTTTAACATGACTTGAGAACCGCTATTACTTCTATTCGCTGCATTCATGGCTTCTAATTTTGCAGGGGAAGTGACGTCAATGCCTAGACTCCGATAATAGGACTCCGCATCCCCGGTTCCGGGTATCGGCACCAAGTCGCTGTCGCCTCCACGCTTGCGGCCGACGTCTGGAGGCACTAAATCTGCCAAATCATCTGACACAGAACGTCTCTTACTCTGTTGCTGGTGGGGCTCAAAATTAACGTCGTTAGTATAAGGAGAAGAAGAAGACGTAGCGCCTCCAACTTGTTCATCTAGAGTAGAGGAGGTTAAGGAGCCACAATGATTATTTGTAGGAGAACTAGTTGAGCGAGGATTCATCATGTTCTGTTGTGAAGAACTACCTTGTACTAGTTCTTGTCCGCCGTGGTGAGGTTGCGTCAGTGAGCTAGCGCGTTTATTGCCAGCACTAGGTCTAATATCGCTTGTTTTTCTTGTCAAAAAAGCGGATGACGCAGAACTTCCTCCACCAGCATGCATCACAAGCCCACCTCCACCGCCAGAGTGCTCTCCTCCTCCTCCGGAAGAAGAAGACGAAAATGCAGCAGAGGAAGAAGATGTAGCACCTCCTGAAGAGGCAGAAACCTGGGTCGGTCCACCACCAGCAGGCTGATTTGGATTTTTGGTCAGTGGAATCAATAGTTCTCCGTCAGCACCACGACGCAAGCCCGTGTCAGTAGCTGCCTTCAGCCGTGGCAATTGTTCCCTTGAAGCTTGGCTAGAACCCGACTCTGAAACAGCTTTGGAAAGTACTCCCTTGGCACCAGAAGAAGCGGCCCCACTACCCCCTGTTTTAGAAGCCGTTTTTGCTTCAGAACTTGTAGCTGCAGCTGTGCCTTCGGCAGCTGTTCGGGCTGGTGATACCTTGCTCTTCAAGCTTCCCACCCACACGCTTACGAGCGACTGGTCACTCGAGATAGCCAGCACTTTGTTCTGACTAGTCATTTGGAGATCGCGCAACTGAGACCCCCACTCTGTATCGAAAACTTCCGGTGATGTCTGCAAGTTCGATATCTGGTACGCACGAAGCTGATCTGCGGCGGCAGCAAGCAGCGACTTTTTCTCCGGGTAAAACTTCACTATCTGAAATGCAAATGTTCTTACCAAGTATGCAGAGAAATGAAAGGTAATTACGAGGATGGTCGGGATGGTCATTCTCCGTCGGTCTGGTCATGGTCCTTGCTCACGATACAACACCAAATCAGAATGGATGAAAAATACTCTTCAATTTTTTACCTGACGAGACATTGTAGAAATTGAAACCTGCACAGCACTCGATCCAATGTCCGTTCCTCCCACCGCTTTGAACGTTTCTAAGTTCCACAACTTCGCTGTCCTATCTGTTGACGCAGTCGCGAGCAAGAAATCATCCGGATGAAAGTCCATACTCGTAATTGCACCCTTATGCAAAGTGAATTCGCGCATCAACTTTCCTGCCGTCAAGTCCCACAATTTTACTGTAGCATCCTGTCCTGCAGTCGCGACCCAACGACCATGTGGACTGAAGCGCACGCATGTGATGCCCGCAGTGTGTCCTTGGATATGAGAGGAAGATATTAGCAGCATTGCAGTGTTTGTGCGGTGACGAGAACAACTAAGAACGTACTTACGCAGATAGTTCGTTGCTCTTGCTCCGTTTGAAACTGCAATAAATGCAATACTGGTGCTAGCATTTCATCCATTTCATACTTATAGGTCTGAATGCAGCTTTTTCTTCTCATATCCCATATCTTCATGTTGGTATCGAGGCTGCCGGAAGCAAAAAAATCACCATACGGATGGAATTCTACACCTGGCATGGATTGTGTTTGTGAAATTGATATAGGGTATAGCCAATGGAAAATATTCGTTTACATGATACGAAAGTTTACGTACAACTCCTACTGAGCAAAGTGGTAGTACACTCACAGCTAGTCCGGTGACCAGTGAAGGTTGCATGGGTCTTTTTTTGATCCAAGTTCCAGACCTGGAGGGCTCCTCCTGCACAACCGACGACCAAACTCTCCTCTGCTTGGTCGAACACCAAACATTGCGGTGCTGAAGCATGGCCTGTCAGGGGATGTTTGGGCAATGCTTGCTAGAGGACTTTGCCTTGTTCCGAATAGCTTAACGAAAAACATGCTCTTGAACAAGGGCATCTTCGATGTGAAAGACGATATTTCCTCCATCAGTGCTTTAAAACTACAATCTTGTTCCGAATAGATTAACGGAAAACAACTACATGCTCTTGACGATATTACCTCATTCGATGTGAAAGACGATACTTATTACCTCCATTACAGTGCTCAAAAACTAGCAGAGCACAAAGAGTACAACCCTAACAAAACAAATAAGAGTACCTGTTAGCGTGACAAGTGGTTGTGGATTCCCAACTTGCCATACATTGACGCGTTTGTCCTCTGCCCCAGTCGCCAGCAGTTGACCGGATTTTGACCCTAAGCGGCAACATGTCACTGCACTGTGGTGACCCACAAACTCCTGAAGCTTCCATATGGGATTTAAACCCTCTTGTGCCTTTGTTCCAGTCGTGCCTTTGTTCCGCATGGTGTGCGCATGCTGCTGCTCCTTGCTCCTAGCTTTATGTGGCTCCAAAAAGAACTCGCGGTCTCACGAAGAGGAACTTTATGTGGCTCCAACAAATGCTCTCTCGGCTCCGGATTCTTCAGGTCGTGCCATGCTAGTTCATTTTACTTATACTTTCGGTATTGGGAAAGGCAGGGAGTTACGCAGACACGCCGAAGTCGCAGTAGTTCCACGTTTACACTTGCGTCATCTCGCAAAATTACCTTTACTCTGCTGCAATTTCAAAGGAAAGACCAGGTCATTCGGACTAGTGTCGGATCGGAACTCCATGTCTGAAATCAACAAAACTACTTACAATTAAATGCCCATATGGAGGGGGACTGGAAACCTATTTGCGCATACCCAATATCTGTATCGCCTCGGGGGTGGACTTGTTTTCTAGAGCAATTTACATGAGTACAGATTATTTCCGCAGCAGCATGAGCCGACTGACATCTTGGCAAGCGTCTCTCGTAACAGTCATCTACATCTTCACACTACTAGGTGGTACTAGACTAACTCTGTTGTAACACAGTGTAGGCGTCTTGTTGGTTGTTGAACTGGCCCTGGAAGCCTTTTCTCTCGGATTTCAGTGTCTCTTTCACAGGATTCACATGTCCAACTTTTTGTAAAAGCTTTTTTCCTTCGATATTTGCGGTTAGCACTTCAGAGCTCCCCTGTCGAACACAGGAGTAGACACAATATTTCCACGAGAATCGTCGTCTATCGACTTTTTCATGCGTTTTTTATACATAGGTACACTAAAATGCAAGGTCGTGGAGAGATAATTCCACAATAAGGTACGAGAGTCACCGCTCCATTTTGGTCATGTTCTTTCCCCTTTCCTATACGTAGGAACATGAACATGTGATGTACATGTAAGCATTTGTTTTTTACTTTGCCCACAAGAGGGATATTCGCCCTTTCAAGACAGTAGAATGTAGGTTATTAATGCGTTCGCGAAAGACAAAGATTGTCATGCATCATGATCTGTTCCTTGCTCATTTGCTCGCGGCCTTCTTCTTCATAGCACTACTTTTCTTCGTCTTCACTGCTGATTTCACAACCTTCTTCGTCGCGGCAGCTGTCGTTTTAGAAGCTGATACAGCCTTCTTGTTCTCTTTAGTTGATGCAGTTTCTTTCTTCGTGTCAGCCTTGGTACTATCTGTCTTCTTTTTAGTGTCACCCTTTGCTGCCTCAGCATTCAATTTCTTAGCCATTTCCGTTGCAGCCATCTTCGCTTTCGCCAGTTTCTCGGTGTTCTCCATCAAAGTCTTCTGCACTGTTGAGGCGACTGGAGTGCTGATTCCGTAGTCCTTCAGCATGGCCAACTTCTCCAATTTCTTACGTGCACGCTCCTGTTGTCTGGTTGTGAAGACAGTGACCTTCTTCTCTTCTTCCTGCTTAGAGGAAGAAGTAGTTGTGACTGTGATCTCCCTCTTTTCTGGGTTCATCTGTTCACGCTGCTTGGCCAATTGCTGCTTCGCGACCGGTTGGAAAAAACCAGCAGCTTTGCGCCAGACCTTATGCCCGTCCTTCTGGCCACAGAGATTAGACGAAGAGAGAGATTTGGGCGGTTATCTTCTAGAATCTAAAAATACGTTATTTAAACAAGAAGATGTTCATTCGTATACGGCTAATTTGGTTTTCTTGTCAAGTCCGCTCTTAAAAAGAATCTAATAAACATGGATGAGTACTACTCGGACCAAAAAATCAGGAATTTTCATTTTCTACTGGGATCTTGTTCCTTCATCTCTAGAAGTAGACCTAAAGCTACAACAACCAACTAGTATTTTTTCTAGAATTTTTGTTCTCATAACAGGCAACGACGGGCACATCTGGATGTCGAGTTTTCTACCGAACAGCAGGTAATTGTGCATCGTTTTCTGCACGATCTCGGCAACTTCTTTGAGTTCGAATTCCACAAAGGCGTAACCGCGGGAACGACCACTCTTCTTCGCTCGGATCAGCTGATAGCGCGTCACGTTGCCGAACTGCTGGAAGAAGTCCTTCAGCTGCGGTTCAAAGAAGCCATTGGGCAAGTGGCCAATGTAGAGAGTGGCACGATTCTTGTAGTCCTCCTTCTTGCCACTAGAGATGCGGTTTTTCAAATCCATCTTCGTCTTAGGATGCTTCTTTTCCAGAGCTTGCTTGATTAACTTAGCATCTTCAGGATCATCTGCATCTTGATCATCTGCATCTCCTTCATCTTGCTCCTCCTCGTCGTCCTCGTCAGAAGAAGCATCTTGTTCCTGGTCAACATCCTCAGCATCATCTTCAGCATCCTCGTTGTCCATCTCAGACTTTTCTTCCTTCTCCTCCTCAACGGCGACAGGCTTTTCTTCCTTGACCGCCTCTTCAAGACCAGAGGTAGAAGCAGCTGAAGCCTTGGGCTTCTTGCCATCCGTCTTCTTGGTTGGAGCCGCAGCCCGCTTCATCACGCTCTTCTTCATCACAGCCATTTTTGTTTCAGTTTATTGATTTTGTGGGAAATCCTTCTCAATGCTCAACCCTGTTTGACGATAGTTGGTATAGCACTGTTGGATCCAAGACTGCCAAACTTAAAGCAAATGATCGTCAATGGTGACCTGGCGATCCTGAGGTGAGAATGATCGTCAATGGTGACGTGGCGATCCTGAGGTGATCTCTACGAACGCTCTTGGATCTCCTTTTCAAGGTTTTCTTGTGGTAGGATCCGCTATAGAGACCAAAGACGGAGGACCTTTTCAGAAGTAGAAAAGAAGCAGATTGTTCCAGACCAGCGATGCGGATCTTTCACTGTCATGTACGAAAAGCGATATATCCTTCTACTCATGATGGTATGATCTTCACATGTGGTTCTGGTCACTGGCAGGATCAACAAACAAACTTGACCTTCTAGTATCTCCAGCTCCACCAAGCTTTGATCCTGAAAGAAACCTGACAGAACAAGACACCAAAGGTCACCTTGTTCTTCAGAAGCCCAGTTTCGCGTTTTGAAGATTCATTTCATCAACGACCTCTTTCCATTTTCTTGGATACAGTTGGCAGCTATGTTTCGTTCTAGCATTTCATCCCCCAAGCGGAGATTACGTACATTTTCACAAATTGTAGAACGCAACTCATGGGGGACAGTAGAAGAACCTTGAAAATGTCTTCTTGTCCTCGGAGATGAGCTAAAATCATTGTTTTTAAGGGCCACCACTTGACGATAATTGACGTACCCAACACGTGCAGATACTACTTGAAGACCTGGTTCTGCAGCTAGTGACGAATTGACAATACGAGAGGAAGCCGCACTAGAGGCTACGAGTTCGATGCTTCCTGGTTCTAAAGACTTTCTGCGAGAGCCAGACCTACGATGAGACTTTTTATCCCTGCTACCAACAGCTCCACCGTCAAGGAGTGCCTCTCCCTTGTCACCAGAAAAGAACAAATCCTCCACGTTTCTAAGGTGCTTTGTAGTAGCTCTACTTCTAGTTTTTTGAGAGGAACTAGAACTACTAAATTCAAGTCCTGCAGCTCCTCCTGGATGTGAATTCCCTATGAGCTCGCTTACATCCACCTGCTCTCCTTGTCTCAGAGCTTCGAACGGCAATAGTGGTCGCAGTACGCCGGAGCCAGAGCGACGGAGGAGAGGTCGCGAACTATCGTGCAGATTCCTGGTGCTCAGGAAAGAAGCGAGTCTTTGCGTATCCCCTTCACTCTCATGATCATCTGCATCGACGTCAGTGTCCCCGTCAACGGCGTCCTCCTCTGTAATGGAGGCGAAGAAGTCCCGAGCACTGATGTCATCTAATGCGGCGATCAGATCGGCAACCGTTGAAGATCCTGGTGGTGATGGTGATGGCGGTCGTGGTGGCGGTGAAGATAGTCGTCAAGGCCGCTTTGCGCCTTTTACTTCGATAGGTTTTCTATAATTTGCATGAATACACCAGATACTTTCAAATACACAAAGTGAAAACGAAGAAAAATTCTAAGTAAGTACTCCATGCCCTTTGCATTCTCGAAATCAAGTCTCCAGCGTTCTCCACATCTCTTTGCAAATCGTCGATTTCGCGTCTTTCAATTCCAATCACAACCATTGCAGCAGCGCAAGCATCGATCAGAAAAGATGCCTGTTTTTCGCTCCTTCTTGATGAAGAGGATGGTGTAGGAGGTTCTGCTCGTAAAGCAGAGAACGACATCATCATGCAAGATAACAGCCAATCCATCATGACCCTGGAGATCTCCAGTGGTACCCCGTTCCCGCAGAAAAACCGCGTCCGCACCCAATCAGGATTGAAGAATCGACTACACGCGATTTGGGCAACAGAATCGAAAATCTCGGCAATCTGGTTCATCTGGTCGGAAGAAGTTCTTGTATTCTGCAGTTTACTCCGTTCTCTTTTGCTTGCCCCGCTTCGAGAATGTGATAAGAACAAAGCGACATGTTTTGTAGTCCGGCAAATCGTACTAGCGCTTCCACAGAAAATATCTTCTAAGAACGCCTTCACTGGATTCTCCATCCTCCTCTTGCTCAGCCTCATTTGCGAAGTCGACCCCGATCTCCTTGAAAATGTGTCAACATCGAAATCGCGCAGCAAAGCGGCACCATCTCCGTTAAAACACAATTGCTGGACTACTTCCGCAAGGACGGGAACATCTCCTACCCTGGCTTCTAGCTTACCAGTTGTAGTAGGACGAGCTGCAGCTGCCCGATCATCCACAGTTGAAAAAACCTTCACCGCCATCGCTGCAGCACAATACAGATTCTCCCAGTCTAAGGTCTCGACATTATTCAGCTTCTGTTCCAACCGCACTTTCTCCGAAGATGAAACGTGTCCAAGGACTGCATCTACCAGGAGGATTTCTTGAGGCGTCAACTGGTCCGCGTGGTGTGCGATGTGGATACCGTGCCAAGCGGATAAGGTGGAAGCAGAAGGTGATGTAGAAGACGAAGATGATCGCTGTGGTCCAGAGGTAGCAGAAGAAGACCCCAATGAGCTAGCGCATGATGCGCTTCTAAAAAAGCATGATGTCCACAGGTCTTTTCTTTGAGTGTCGTCTAGGAGCTGTGGAATCGTGTGGTCGTTTGCTCCAGAGTTCTGGCCTCCACTTAGACTTGGGTTCGCTGGAGTTGCAGAGTCGTTGTTTCCGGTTTCTGTTTCTCGTATTTTTAGAAGTGAGTGCGATTCTTGTTCTCCATGATAACAATCATGAACTTTTACAGCAGTATCGACCACTACACGGGCTTGTTCCCCATGATCTACTAGTGTGGTGTCTTCTTCTATTTGCAGGACTTCATTGGCAGATGTCCCATTCTCATCCCGAGACCCCTGCTCCGACGCCAGCAGCATCTCCTTCAATTGTATAGCCTGTGCCAATGCCTCACGCTCGCGGCATAACGCTTGCCACTTTTCAGAGTCTACCAGTTTGGCGCCACGACGAGTCAAGTCTGCTGCGATACTATTGGCATTACTGCTGTTTTTGCCATTCTGCGGAGATGGTGTAGCTCCCCCTGCGCGCACAGTTGTATCAAAGTTGTAGCTCGATGGACTTCTGCCTTGTAACTGGTCTCCTCTAAACATCTCATCGTCTAGATCCACGACCCGTTGTCGCTCCTCAGCTTGAGGACGTAGCAGATCTTCGTGATCGACCTCCTCAGCACTTCTGATGATATGATCAACATCCTCAACAGCAGCGGCGTTGTCGTTAGCGCCGCCTGGCAGAAGCTCCTGTTGAGCGCCATGTTCTTCTACAGGAGCATCGCTCGCTTGTACACGACGAGCGTTGTTGCCTTGTACTCCAACGTTCGCTTTTTGCGGAAGCTGAGCGCTTATTTCTTCTGGTGAAGGTGGTAGTGCTGCATTGTCCTCGGTCACCAAAGGTACGTCGTTGGCCTGCAATAGAGGTACCTTATCTGCACTTGCAGGTGTATTCGTCAGATTCCAAGACTCATTTATGACAAGAGAGTCTCGGTCCTGAAGGCAAGCCGCACAAGAAGCATGTTCCCCTGCTTGATGTTCCAAAGCAGGCACCTCCATCTTCATTGACGTCAAGACTGTATTAATCCAAGACTAGTAACAGGTGACTTACTAGAAACTCTCACTCAACATAAAGTGAAAAATAATTATCAACAAGTAACTACGTTGTACTGTACTAGAATTGAATATTTAGTTACTAGTCATCTAAGCAGTCCATATGTTGCATCCCTGCTTGAACTTGTCTTTGATAGTGCCCAAGGAAAAGTCTGCTGCACGGTGGCAGGTTAGAGGAACCAGACCGATTCGGCAAGATCCAATAACTCGCGTCCTCTCAGCTAGGTTCGGTGTGGGTCTACTAGAAAAACTAGCAGAAATGGCCTCTCTTGTTCACGCGCACAAGTTCTTTATTTTAGCCGCTCCTGAAACTCGGAAGTTAAGCACTTCGGGAGTTGTTCTGGTAGCGTGCTCCTTCTCTCTCTCTCCCTCATCACAGTGACATTCAATATCAGATGAAACCAGTGTGCAAGTCTCTTCAAACTGTTGCATATCTCCCTTTTGACACCAGGTAGAAACACGATGTTGCTGCTGACAAAGCACGCACCAAAAAAACCTTCTATTAGGTGGAAGAGTTCGTTCTTTTGATCTATGAAAACTGTACAACTACTCCATATTCGCCCCCCGTCACCCTAATGGTAGTGGTGCTGGTAGAGGAACGAATAGCAATCATACATTTTTCACTGCAAAACTTTGAGACCACTGTAGCACTTTCTTGGGTGACGTTCTCGGTTCCATGTTTCATGATGTGGATGTTCTGCTGCAAGAATCGTGGATAACATTACCAGAGGATAGATGATAATAAATAAAACTGTATGCTGTTATGTGCAAGTGAGTATATGTCGACGATACTCCTCAGGGAAAAACGCCTATAAGTACACATATCTTTTTTCTATCAACTAAGTTGCATCTCGAGGAACTACAAGACCAGACAAACATCTCCATCATGAACGTACTATAGATTTTTGCCAGAAGCCTAGTACAGCGTACCTCGTGGTCTATCTTCATATGGTCAATCAATACGTATGCATGGATAATATGGTGCTTCAGCTAAACATAAGTTATAACTATGCCCCTCTCGGGTTGTTCCAAGGCTTTCTGTACACTAAAATTATATCGAGTTTAAGCCCAATGGAAGGACCTTTCTTGGGGGTGGCGTCAGCTCAATAAAGACTGTCCAAACAAGACGCTTGCATAGATACCCTTTTAACCTCCCAAGAAAGTTGTGAAGACATGCATCACACTTGGAAGTTACAAAATTGAAGATGGTGAGAACTTCAGATCGTAGACCTTCTAGGTCTGGAAATAGATGATCTGCTATTCAGTTTGTGTGTTGGGATAAACCTAGGATATGAGGGAAAGTCATGCGGTAATTTTCTTTTTTATCATATTCAAAAAGTCAGAAGAACAACGTGCTGAGATGGAGATCAGACTACTTACAACAAGGGTCGCTTGCTCCAGTGGTGGTCTGTTTTGTATTTAAGATGGAAAATCAAAAAAACTCAAACTAGTAGATAAATGATCGCCATCGTCCTTTGGATGTACAGACTATGCATCCAAAGGTGAAGCACGATAAAAAGTAGAGTGCTTACGACTTAACAGAGTTTCGACGGGAAATCACAAAACAATAGCGATACTTATTCTTTCTGTGGAGAAGTTGAGGTTCATTTATTCTCTATGATTCGATGAGTGTATTTGTTTCTCCTGTGGCTAAGTCATTGATAAGTCGTGATTTCTTGATAACTCGTTATTCCATCTCTGTGAAAACCACCATTGAAAGTACTTCTTGTGGTACTAACTGTACTACTTCCATATTATTTGAGATTGAGTGCGAGGAGGATCCTCTTTACATGTCTAGTTCCTATAGTTCCTATAGTTCCTCCTCCTAATTTTTGAGTGCGAGGAGGATCCTTATAAATATAAAGTGCCTATAGTTCACCTCTTCATGGCGCCACCGGCACGTTGGTAACTACTTCGCAGTTGGGCACGGCGCGTAGTTCCGTAAGCAAGTTGGTCTTGCGTGGCATCGGCGCAAACACTTGCAGTCGTGCCTCGGACGCCTCACGATTGGATTCACCCAGACGTAGCGACAGCATCCGTGCCTGTCCTTGCGACTTCTCGATGTGGTCTAAGACTTGGTTGATGATGTTCTCATCAAACAAGTGACCCTTGAGTTGGACCTGAAAAGCGGTCTGCTTTGCGTTGGCTAGATCGTCCCTGGAAAGAGGAAGATTAGAGAAGAAGATGTAGTTGTGAAGATTTTTACAGAGTTGAACATATTTTTCTTGGACGTGATCATGATCAATGTCAATCAAGAAGAACAGTTGATGTACTTCTTAAGCTCTTCTCTTTGTACTTAATTGTAGATGTAGCAGATGAGCTACGATTGTGAATCTGAAAATGTCTAAAAACCAAATAAAGTTTTCTTCTCCTGTGAGACCAGGAACATAACTTGCTGCTGCTGTCCCATCCCCATTGCTTTTTCTACATCCGCTGCCGTCATCTGTCCAGTAGATGCTACTACTGCGTTGTTCTTGTTCATGTCAGACGGTGTCCAACTGGCCAAACTTTCCTCGTCGCTCGACAGCATCGTTCCCTCCAGCGTGGTCTCCCGCGTCAAGGTCTGCAAACGCGGAGCCAGCATGCGCACTTTCTCGCTGTTCATGCGCTTGAGGAAGGCTGACACCATATCGATCTGCATATCGATCTCGGCTTTAGTGATTTCGAAACGCGGGGTGAACCGCAACGCATTGTGACCACCGTGGATCACGCCTAGTCCCTGTTGCCGTAACCAATATTCAGCACCATCCGCGGCAACGACTTGAAAAATCGAGTCGTTCAACTGGACCGCGTAGAGCAGGCCAGTACCAGTAACGTTGGTGATCAAATCCGGGAACTCCTTCTGCAACTCCTTGTACTTGGCAACAGCGTACTTGCCCATTTGCACGATGTTCTTGCGCATTTCCTTCGTGAGTAGCTTGAGGACGGCAGTAGAAACTGCACAAGCACGAGGGTTGCCAGTCATGGTGTTACCTGGAAGTGGATGTGGAATAGGTGAGCGTGAAAAGCAAGTTTTGTTAATCGTCCTTGTTAAACTGCGAACCTTTTTATCTGAAACAAGTAGAAATGAGAAGAATCAAAACGTGGTATGCTTGACGCAAAATGGAAATTGAACAAGTACTAGTGCTAGGTGGATTCTCTGAAGTCATAGTCACTACCTGACGTACGTAATCAGAAATAGCCGTAAAAATCAGAAATAGCAAAATACCGTAAACCCCATGCTTGTAGAAGCTCTGTGCCCTCGGCGACATGGCTAGACACGACACTGGGTATTGTCCTGCGTTGATGGCCTTTGAGTAGACTTCGAAGTCCGGACCAGGCAATTTTTCGAAACCGGGATAGTCTACAATGGACAAATTCCCAGTGGCTCGGATCCCTGCTTGGATGTTGTCCACCAAGAGCATCGAATCGTGCTCCAAGGTCAGCTCCCGAGCGCGCTTGTAGAATTCTGGAGTGATCGCAACTCCTGGATTCCCCTCGCCCATCACAGACTCGATGAACATCGCTTCTAGAAAAACGTGTTCCTCTTTCGCCTTCGCGAACAAGCGCTCCAAGTCAGAGACGTCGTTGACCTCGCAGATCCAGCAGTACTGTTCCTCGTACGACTGCTTGATGCTCCAAACATTGGCCTTATTGTATCGATCGTGACAAGCGTCAGTCCAGAGGGCTGGACGGTAGGTGCGGCCGTGGAGATTAGAAGAGCTTTGTGCTTGTAGTTGGGACTGCTGTCGGGTTTTTTAATAATGTCCTGGGGATTTTTTAAATATCACAGTTACTAACAATGACATAAAAAATATTCTAGTACCTTGGTAGATAGTTAAGCAGCATTCAAGATAGTTTAGCAGCATTGAACAAAACCGAGGCCGGTTGCTCCGACTATGCGCGAGAATACGTGCAGCAAACAACGGACGATGAGTACAGGCACCTCCCAGACCTCCCCAGACCAAATTCTACTGTAACTACTAGTGCGAATTATCAGAAAAACCGTCCATAAGGAAACATCCCTTCAATGCGAGGCATTTCACTTTTTTGCTCTTGTTTTCGGGTTGGGCCATCACGTGCCCAGTATGAATATCCATCAACCGATCTGCTACGCTGTTACCCTCACTCCCACTGTTCATCAACAGAAATCCACTGTATGGGCAACCTGTTTGAGGAGGTAGAGCTGTTCAACTTACCACTGGTAGCTCTAATGGTAACATCCTAGCTCTCTCTTAATAACTGGTAGCTCTACTACCAGTTATTACTACATACCATGATGAAAGAAACATCTTATCTGATACGTTTCTAATTATCTATCAATGAATCCAACTACTGGCCCCTGGTTCTTGAAGTAGGATGGACAACTTGTTGTTGGAAACGATCATCCCATCCCGCCGATTGTATCCGATCTCGGTTTTCAAAAAACAATAAACAGCTATAGTACCATCCGGCCGATTGTGTCCGATCTCTGCTTTTAGTGCGTCAATGAAATGCTTCTGTGGCATCGATGGTGTCATAATATTCGCCATCACATTGTCCTCAGACATTGCTTTCATCACCGGCTCAGGAGAGTGGCCGAAACCAAGCATGCCATATCTGAAAGTTTTTGAATTCGAGATATCATGTTGCTGAAGGTTAAGCTACATCAAAAAAGCGGGAGATTGATTCTTGTACTAGACTACGACACCTTTCTTGTTAAGTAGTTAGCATCGTATGATATCTAGATTCATTTTGATTCTGAAAAGGCACGATCTTCACTGGGTTTCTTCACTAGGCACATATGCTACTTATGTATCTATTAAATTCTCCACAAGTAGTCCATGAGTAGCAAAATCACTACCCTCCGTTATCGTGCAACACCGCACCGTGCATGGTGACGATCCAGGGCCCTTTTGCTGCTAGCGGAATGTACGGGTTACGCGTGTCCTCTGGGTACAAGTGGCACCATCCCACTTGAATCTCTTGAATCAATTGACCTTCCGACTTCTTGTAGGTCGCAGCAGGCTCTAGGCCCTTCCACATATTGTAGGCTTTCTGGATAGCCACAGACAGGGTGTGGTCTTCGATCAGGAACTTCTCGATATAGGAGATGGGCAAGCCGACGGTCAGCCGCGGACCAGCCGCACGCTTCATCTCTTGCAACAGGTCCATTCTTGTTTATTTCACTGAGGAAGGTGGTCTAAAAATGGATATCGTATAGGTTTCAAAAAATCGTTGTAAGTCTTTTTACCAAGTAATATGCAGCAGGTTGAGCAGAAGTTGACACTGTCTTACTAGTCAGTGATTAAGAACAGTACTTCTATCACTTCAATAGTTTGTGGTGGAGCAAACCTACCTAGGGAAGTTAGAAAAAAGGAAGCGGTATATACATTAGGACTAGCAATAGTAATATTTTCACGTCTAGGAAAATCAAAATATATCCTTCGATATCGATCTACTTCGACCGAAAAAGGCGCTCTATCTAGGAGAACTCTAGCTTGAAAGCCAAATTCTTCTTGGAGGTCTCCTAAAATTTTGAAGTAAAATGAGGTGAGGAAAATTTCTTCCCTTGTTCAACAAAGATCTGGATGATGTCGCATAGGACGGTCCGTTGACACCATGGATGATGATGTCGCGAAATACCACACTCACACAATATTCTTTCGATATTAAATAATAACCTTCAAGAACTCTAACACGAACACAGTCCTCCTCAGCGCAGATATGAACAATATTGTAGATGAGTCTACTCTTCATGATACAGCAGATGCACTCGTCGGCTCTTTCTTTGCTCACCACCGAAAAGAAAAGAATCTGCTCACGAAATTAGTAGAAGGTTTCTCGTTCACCGATCATTGTTCTGCGCAACATTAACGCACGTCTACCTCTAATAAATATGTATCTGTGAGTAGTGAACACGCACTCGCACGACACACTTTCAGAAATACTATAATTACAGTATGTGTCAGTCAACATCAGGCCAACATGTGTCATGTGAGAATGGGGTCCTTGTGTTGCCATGGGGATGACATGAACATCAAGACATCAAGTTCTCTGTTTCAAGATTGATTATTTCCTCGTTCTGGGAAAAAATACTGAGACGAACAATGATGATAATCTCATTCTGTACTACCTCGTTCAGCTTCAGGAGTAGGAATTCATCATACTATCTCCACGATGAACATGAACGATCTTCTTGAAGAGCAGGAAAAATAATGGTGTATGAAATAGATTGTAGGTTTTTCAATTTTACTAACCTTGCTAATAGAAGAACTAACCAAAATACGGATCAGTGGCGTCATCATCCCTCCCTTCCGAACTTCGATCACGTCACCCTTCAAAAGCCAGCCGATACACTGAAAGAGGCTCCGCATCCGCATCCGTTGTCAGCTGCAGAGTTCTTGACTACCTGGATTAGAGCTCCCAAGTCTGATTCATCTACTTTTTATTTTTTATGTTTGTACCCTTGAAGAGGAATGTAGATCTACTTTTTATTTTTTATGTTTGTACCCTTGAAAAGGAAATGTAGATCGCAGAAAGGAGTTATAAGTAGTTACCTTAATATACACATACTTTGCAAACAAGGACACAGAACAAGATCATCATTATGTCTCAAAAGGTCCTCCTCTACCTTCAGCAAGACACAGAACAAGACACTCCCCCATAGATACAGATACTTTTCAACTTCACAAGGATTGACTTCAAGGATGCACACACATGCAGTTTTCATCTTCAACAAAGATGAATCATCTATAGCCATAACTGAAAACTAGCGCGTATCATCTCCGCTGTGTAATCTATATCGCAGTCACCCAGAAACTCCAGCGAAAGCCCATCCACCAAAAGCGTTACGCCGTCTTGCTCGATTACACTGATGTGGATGTTTTATGGGTGTAGTTGAGGATGCGGATGTCTTATGGGTAGCTTCATGTTGATAGTTGTTGAGGTGTGCTTCATGTTGATAGTTGTTGAGGTGTAATTGTGACAGTGATGTGGATGTTTTTGGTTGATGTTGATGTTTGTCTCATGTCGATGGGAGGTGTGGATCTAGTTGAGCTGTAATTGACGTTCATCGTCTAAAGGCGATGATGCTGCTGTTGGTATCTTTGAGATGTAGTTGTTTCCAAGATGTTGTGAAGATGTAGAGGCAACGAGCGACCACGACTAAGAATGTTGATAGTTGTCATAGCGCGTTGATCTACTTGAACAAGCTTCCCCGAGTACTCTTTAAGAATGCTGTCCTCGTAGACGAAGGTGAAGGGGAGAACTCTAGTCTTTGAGGATCATATCGTAGACGAAGGTGAAGACGAGGAGGCTCTTCAAATAGACATCGAAAAAGGTCTCAGGAGGAGGTTCGGGTGTCGCAGAGTCAGGCCCGGAGCCTGTACCTGGCTGTCGACCTTCACCTCCCGTTGACGAACCTCCCATGCTGGACGATGACGAACCCCCCGTTGTTGACCCGTCGGAACGAGAGGATGTTGAACTAGAAGAGAGGCCACTCGCAGTCGTAGAGGAAGGACCAGGCAAAGAAGATGAACTAGAACCCACACCAGAAGGGGCACCTCCACCCCCATAGGAGGTCCCCAAAGAAATACTAGGAGGAGCCTTTATATCTGCTGCAGACGCCGCAGCTGAGTGGAAGGCTGATGCCTTTGCAGTGAGAGGACTCGAAAAGGGAACATCAAAACTTCGTGTTCTAGAGTGCTGTCGAGGGCAGTGGTCTTTTACGACGTTTATGCTCGTAGAGTGTGTGTGTAACAGGTCTTTTACGCTCGTCCTGCCTATTTTAAAACATGAATTGTAGTACATGTCATCCGGCTGCCTCGTTTTTTCCATCTTGAACTCGTACTGGTAGCCAGAGCACCCACCGCTATTTACCGTGAGCCTCAGTGACCTGTCTGGGTCTTTCTCGAGCAATTTTTTCAGCTGTTTCACGCCGTTGGGTAGAATTCTAATATCGGAACCGTCGGGTAAGGCTGTAGTCGAGGTTGTTGATGTTGCTGCAGCTGAGGAGAAATGTCGTGAAGATACATCTCGATCACAAAACGTTCCTCCTGTTGTCGTGACAAAGGACCTCGACGTCGACGATGGAACTAAAGACTGTGTTCTTGTCGGGCTAAGATGTGGTGCACGTGGTCCACCGTCAATAGCGGGCAACCTAGAAGAGGCCAAAAAGCTTCTCCCCTGCTGAGAACTGCTCCCACACGCCCGTCCGAGCCCAACGCGCAATGCGCCGATAGCGGTCGTCGAAGTCGCCATTTTCTTGTCCTAGAACTCAACACAAGATTCAGAGGAATTTATAAAACGAAATGAATTGAAAGCTGTTCGTGGACACTTGTCGCTATTACCTTTTTCGCTATTACGCCTATATTGTAAACTCAAAACTTCTTCATGCCGTATATTAACCAAAAGCAAAACACCAGAACTACCTCAACTTGACAACAGGACTAGAAATGAAAAAAGGTTGATCATAATTAAGGGAGGGGCAGAAAAAAACTCCCGATTTCGTCCGAGTTACGCCACTTCCTGCATCCGGCATAGGAGAATAAAAGAGTGATCAAAAATAATCGAAAAAGTGTCGTGAAATCAAAAGTGATCCTGTTCCTGACCCGCCTCGTGTGTCTGTCATTCTCCTTCAACAAAAAAAAATCAGTTCTCTCCACGCTCAATGAAACACGAACACACTTTTGATCTCTTTTGTTGTCCTCGTGTGATCGTCCTCGTCGGATCTTGTCTTTTGAACACACGACGCAAACAAAATATTTTTATCATATTTCCGTACTTGTTTGACGGCCTGTCAGCTATCACAACATGTGGTCGACGTTCACATACTTACTTTTTTTTAAATCGTTTGCGTCATTGCACTATGCGTTACTTCTCATCATTATGCATCGCATTTCTATCTTTCTTGTTCTTCATCCAGCACGACTGTGTTGGATGGCATGTTTATAAAAATGGTTGTTCTTAAGACTTTGGATGTTTTAGGTTCATGCACGAGCACAACTATGACTTTGACTTTTTGACTTTTGACTTTTCAAGATGTTTTTTGCACATGGTTGTTTGTTGGTAACAAGAATACACATGGTTGTTAGTTTTGCTACGTTTGGTATGAGGAACATGCATCATGCTTGTAGTTTTGTTTAGTATGAGGAGCAAACTTAATAAATGATTGCCATGACGAGCCTACATTGTTAAGTCATCAGTATGTGGAGTATGCATGGTTTAAAATAGCGTCATGTGGGTCGTGTTAGTAGAGTGAGGTAATATGGTCTCGTGTTCATTACCAAGTCATGTGGGTGCTGTGTTATTCATCACCATACGTCTCTTGTGGTCATCTTCTACCACTGGCGAGACAAGAGAGTTCCTATACAGTGTTATTACCAAGTCATCTGTACACTTTTCCAAAAAGCCACTATCATACACTAATTTTTAGAAGAAGTTTTCACAAAAAAACTCAAGAAATACGGTTACAGAAGAAGCGAGCGCGTTTATGATTTTTCTTCGTGTCTTTACATTTCTGGGCTACAAAAATAATACGCGTAGGGACTAGATTTTTGACAACTGATGAAGATCCATAAAGCTACAAAAGTATCAAACCTTAACCTTCTTAATTCACGTTGGTTATATCTTCCTTCATTCACCATCTTGATTAGGAGGGGGAGAGCTTGCGAATCCTGGCCTCTGCACGTAGCCCGGTGCCAAAGGCCACGTGGTACGGAGAGTTGAATTGGAGATGCCAATCGTAGATCCTGCATTAGCTCCTCCCGTAGATCCCAGCCCTGCTTGTCCGTTTAAGATATTGCTAGACAAAAGTCCAACACTGGGTCCACCTCCAAAACCTATAAAATTGTTATATAACAGCGGAGATGTCGTTGTCGCTGATCGCCTTTGTGATTGTGGTGCATTGTTCATATTCATTCTTAGTAAGCCACCGCCAGAAAGACTACTCCGGAAGACTGGACGGGCAACGGAAAGAGAATTTGTTGACGAGTTTTCCACAGTTGACGTCGTTTCCTCTTGTTGATCTTCTGCTTGTTGCTCTGCTTGTCCTCCTGCCGCATCTTGCTCTACAGAAGATGTTGGAGGCTGCTGTTGTTGTTGGTATTGTGATTGTACCTCTCCTTCTAGTGCTGGAGCACTATTAACGAGCACATCACCAATAGCAGGGGAGGAAGAACTAGTATTGTTAACGCGCATATCACTATCAGGGGCGGCAGAGCCATTGTTACCTCCTTGTTCTTGTTGTGCAACTTGATTTTCAACTACAGCAGAAGCAGAACTGCTTTGTTGTTGTTGTTGTTGTGCAACTTCCATAGTTCTTAGTATTTGATGTTGCTGTGTGGCCGCACCGGTCCAAAGCATTGGCATCACAGGACTCATAGGGTTCATGATATTGATGCTTCCTGGTCTACTGTTAAAAAAAGGCTGACTTGCAAAAAGAGAGGACATCGCTGCACTCGTGTTGGTTGGTGTTGTACTACCTGGTGTTCTACTATTTGAGGTACTCGCATTTGCAGCGGCTTGACTTGCCCCGGTTGAATTTGCACCAACTCCTGCACTCGTACCTGTGGAAGGAGCTGTCGCAGAAGTAGAAGGAGCTGCTGTGCCAGAAATTGTCGAAGAAGTCCCTGTATTAGACGTCAACACTGCCTGATTGCCACTAGTATCCTCCATCATCGAATTCGTAGTCTCCACAGCCGAATTCGTTTCAACATTCACAGCTGCACTGGTCCTCGTGTTAGTCGTAGTGGTGTCTGACGAAGTTTGCAGAGGCCTCACATCCCCATGATGTGGTGGCATGGATCCAGGTGGTGAATCGCCTGCGGCCGCAGCAATACTTCCCGCACCTGCATTGGGTCCTACTGAGCCGCTTCTAGAAACGTCTGGAGGTCCTGCTCCAGCAGAACTTGATGATGTATCAACATTTGTGGAAGAAAACGTAGAAGCGGTATCATTAGCGTTACCTCCAGTTGTCGTATTCTCTCCAGTTGTAGCACCTCCTCCTCTACCTCCAGATCCTGTTGTCGTTCCACCTCTATTGGTACCTGCTCCAGCTCCAGTAGTTGCTCCACCTCTGTTAGCACCTCCTAGACCAGCATTAGCATTCCCAATACCACCAGCGTTATTCTCCTCTGCCGCACGTATTCCTCCTGCTTGGGCAGCGGCTGCAGCAATCCATTGAAGTATGTCAACTGGTAATTCCGTACCCGAATCCTCCCCCTCCACATCGTCGGGGTCATCGCCAGCACCTAGTTCATGTCGTACGCCAGAGCCCGCCATGGTCTCGTAAAAACCAGAAGGATTCTGACTCTGATTTATCTGGTTCTGGTTTCGTGTTCTACTGGCATTGGTTCTTGTTCTAGAAGTGGTCGTGCCTGTATGAGATGATGGACCACGACTCTGAGTTTGAGACATGAGATTTCTTCTACGTGGATCCCGTATTGGTGGTGAAATCCTTGCTGAAGCCCTCGCACTACCCGAAGTCACGCCACCAGGTTCCGAGATAAAATTGGAGTTGGAAGTTGTAGAGCCTTGCTGAGGAGAACTTGCCACATCAGCATTGCTATTCACCGCTCTGCGTGCAGCATCCCTCAGCGCCGTGGCCATAGCGCCCTCTACTTCTTCCCGCGTTCGTTGAGGACTACGACTCAACGGTGCTCGCGCTGAGGTGCTGTCAGACAAAAGCCCTGCTCCAGGTTCATCTCCTGCGTCAGGCACAACACTTCTTGAAGGTACTTCTTCGCTTGTTCCAGTGGCTCTACTTCCAGGTTCAGGTTGTGCAACCCCAATTTGCTCTTCATCTTCTGCGAAACTAGAAGTTCTGGAGCCAGAAAGAGACAACGGCGGCGCAAACCTTGAGACGGAGACGGGTGGGGAGAGTCGCGAAACGGCGCCAGTAATCCCAAACCCACCCGTTATGGTAACCACCGGTTCTTGTCTGGCTGTGGCGCTTGAGTTTGATTAGAGCTGTGCGTAGTTCATCTTTCAAGCGCATCCGTGAAAAGTATGGGGGAGTATTCCCTTAGGATAGATACTCTTCCATACGTTTCAAGGATGCGTCCAAAGATGTATTAGGTACAGCCTTAATTTGACGTTCTTCCAACCGAAGTTCTGTTGCGTCCTCCAGGACTCCGAAGCGAAGTACCCATCAAATTTTCACCTGGAGACACATTAAAAGGGGAGGCAGAGGCTCCCGTAGAAGTGGGACCTTGAAGTGGTCGTTGTGGCTGTTGTAGTCTACTCAGACTAACATGGTCCATCTCTGTACTAGTTGTCGTTGTAGTAGCACCTTCCGTGGTACTCCTACCGGTCGAGGTTGTACCCGTGAATAGTGTTGTAGCTCCACCTGAAGTGGTTGTATGATCGTTGTTTATCCCAGCACCTGCCGCATTGCTCCCTAAGAAATCTCGCAAGAAACTTCCGCCTGCTGGTGTGGAACTTGTGGCTGTAGGACTGCTTCCCGGAGTACGTATGTCCCCACGGTTCCTAGCAAAAGCTGCCACTGGAGTCTGTTCTGTACTTGGCGAAATCAACACACGAGGTGCTCGTCCACCACTGCTTTCGATCATGACAGCAGGCGACGATGCACGTAAGAGCGGAGGTGGTGTCAACGCGCCGCCAGAATCGATGTGCTCTTCCACGACATTGCGAGGTGGAGGTCTGCTTGTTCGTGTTTCAGAGTCTAATGCGCCTGAAGTTGTTCTACTAGCATCTTCCATAGTCACATCCTCTCCAGCTATAGCTTCAATCACATTCTGTATCCTTTCATTCCCACAACTACCTCCACTTTCAGTGCCTCTATTTTCACCATCACTCTTCGCTTTAGTAAAGCTAGAGCTCCGACTTTCCTCATCGTCTGTCACGTCGAACCAGTGTCGTCTGCAGAAAGGCAGCACGTGAGACACCCACAAATCTGTAGGAATCGCACACCCCGGACGTTGACTCGACAGCAAGAGAGTCCGCACCATCTCCTTGTAGTTCTCGGGATACCACTTGTGGGATTCCTTTCGCCACACCGCGTCCGGCAACTGGTACGTTCTCGGCATCTGCACTTTCTTATCCTTGCCGTCTTTCTTGTTGCGTCCTGATGTGGATGGTGCATTAGCCGAGGTGGAGGATGAAGAACCACCACCAGAGCCGCCTGCTCCACCAGTGGTGCCTGTCGTGCCTGCAGTTCTTCTATCTCCTGTGATTGGCGAAGCGTTCTCCTCCTCTTCTTCTTCCTCACCGTCACGCAAGCCACGGAAAGGTGTGTTGTTCACCCTAGGTCGTGGGCGCATGAAGGAGCGCCAACGACGTCGTGCCAAAAACCGCCTCTGAGCTTCTTCCTCATCAGAAGTGGCTGCAGAATTTGCTTGCTGTCGTTCTTGTTCTCCAAAAGTTGTACCCGCACCCGTAGTACCCGATGCAGTAGTGGGACCACGATGACCAGTTTCAGTCACTGAATGAGTGCGATCAGATGAATTACGTGGCATAGGAGGAGGTGGAATAGAAAAGTTGTGCATGGAGTTGCTCGTGGCAGAAGTTGTTGAAACAAGTACTGGTCCAGAAGGTACAGGAAGAGTGGATAACTGCTGTTGTTCTACTTCTTGGCCTTCACGACGCATGTTGCTTTCCTCCGCATCCCCATCTACTTCCTGAAGCTCCTGTTCCTGGGCAATCCCGGATGACGATCCCTCTCTCTCCCGTCTCAAGGCTGGGCCAGGCACATACCCGCTTCCGCTATCTCCGCCACGACTGCGCAAGTGCGCGACTCGTTGATTCAGATACTGTCTTCGGAAAAAGGTAGCCATACGATGATTGCGATACACACGCTGTGTCAATCGGCGTCGCTGCATGAGTTGTGAGATCCTGGCGGTTCCTTCTTGCACCCTGGTCAATCGCTGCTGCATGGCAGCAGAGTGAGCTCGTCCACCTCGCGTGTTGTCCGTAGAAGCTGCTGTATTGATCATTCTGTCTTCTGATACATCTTCAGGCTCTTGTTGTTCGACATCAAAAATAGAAGTTCCACCTTGCACTTGCTGGTTACCTACTTGTTCTCGTGCTGCAACACTAATTACGACACGCTCCGCTTGTTCGTCGGATGCGACAACCATATCATTTGCAGCCTCAATTCCATCTGCAGCTCTATTCCTGTAGTTCACGCCGACGACATTACCAGCCGTTTCCTCGACTTCCGACGCTGCTGCCGAACTGCTTGCTGTGCCGCTTGGGAGCGGTTGGTAGGCGTAATCATCTATACTTCCTGCCATATCTGAGGTGTCTTGCGCCACTGGGTCTGTCCCACGGATCATGTCAGCTGCGCTGACCATGTGCAGCCAAGAGGGGACAGAGGAGACTGGATCCTCCACTGCAGGTGTCACTGGGAGCGGTGGAATGGACGGGACTGGAAGCTGCTGTTCTGGGTCGATCCGACGTCTTCTCTCGCTAGGACTAGTCCCATCATGGGCATCGCGCTCACGCGTTCGTCGCACACCACGAGGAGCTGGCAATGCAGATGGTGCTTGGCGTCCTGCTGTAGTCTCGGACTCTTGTGACCCCAATGCGAAAGCAGGCATATCAGAAAGCTCTGGATCTGCTTGGGGTCGAAGTCGAGGCTCATTATTTTGTGCTGGACCTCGACGTTGTTGTTGCTCTTCTTGCTGTTCTTGCCCTGCTCTTCTAATGCCGTCAGTTACAGTATTTCCAAGTTCATGTCCTCTAGAAGTGCCATTTCCTTGCGTACTACTCAAAACTGCCTGTCCCAGCTGACTTAGCAGATGCAATTGGTATTCGTGTCGCACCATACGGCCTATTTGGTAGTCGTCAATTACTTCCTGCAGCATAGTTTCATCGACACCCGGTGGAGGTGAATCTGCCAATTGCCCAATCACTCCTTCTGTGGCACTATCACTCCTCACCAATGACGTTGAAGTGGCAGCTGTCAATTGCCCCACATCACTTGCAGCTTCTGGAGGAAGTGTTGTTCCTCTAGTACCATTTCCGCCTGAAAACGCAGTCGATGTGGAACTACCTGCCGCGGAAGTGGCATCACTCCTGCTCACCAATGTTGACGCTGAAGCGGGAGCAGCAGCTGCGTCGGTTCTGGCCAATGGTTGTCGTTGTAAACCTCCATCAATATGAGGCGTCGTACTGTTGGACCAGGACACCCTTGGGGAGGCTGGTCGCGGCATCACAAGAGCCATATCGACACTGTCCTGCGTTTGCGTGCTGAAAGTATGTTGCGTAGAAGGGAGTGAAGTACTTGCCAAAGAAAAACCTTCTTGACTTGGTGTCCTTTCGCTTCCTTCGCAACCGACTTGAGAGGACTGTTCTAGCACTGCTGATTCCGTCATCTGCTCATCCGTGGCTATATTGACCACACAACTCCAAACAACACGAGAACAAGGACCATTTAAGACATTGGTATTCGTCGCTTGTTGTACTTCATCACGACCTCCGTTAAGTTGTTGTAGGATATTCTCAGTCGCTATCTCGGCTCCGTCAACGTGCTCCTCGTCTCCCAATATACTGGTCGATGAAGGCCTACGATCTCCAAAAATGTGCGGTGTAGAGGCTGAAGCCTCCTCCGGTATTGACATGAAGGAGTGCGCCAAGGATGAAACCGCGGATGCAACTTCGTCATCTTCCTCGTCCTTAGGTATTCCTACTCCAACAGGAAGCGTTCCCACACGGTCCAAGGAAGCCAATGCAGCAGGCGTTACGGGGATCGAAGTCGGCTGTTGTTCCTCTATCTCAGGTCTAGTTTTCGTTTCCCACGTCGCATCGGCAACGGTATCTTTTTCTAGAATGCTCTTTTTATCGTTGCCATTGACGAAGTCCGCATCCTCCACCGCCTCGATGCAGGTGGGTCCCCCTACTGCTTCACCCTCACAGGCAACCGCAGCATTAGCCGAAAAACCGACTCCTGCAGGCACAGCTTTTTGCCTTTCATCATCTAAAAAAATATCTACTGCACCCTCGTCTAAAAGCATACCGTTGTTCAGATTCATCGCATCATCTTCTACAACGGCATTCTCTTGTTGTCCAGGCTGTCCTTGCTCCATGAGATCATCTTCCCCATCATCTTTCTTTGTTCTAGAACGAGTAACTGCCATTATAGTAGGAGGTTCTACTTCTTCTATGTGAAGGTAGGAATCTCCCGCACTGGAACAGGAACTGGAACAGGAACTGGAAGATACTACACCTCCTGGTGCAGAAGAAGCGGCAGAAGATGCTTTTGAGGCTGACCGAATGTCTAAGACACTAGGCGCCTCGTCATTTTTCACAAGATGTTGCTCCTCTGTGGCATCCTGTTCTCGTGGTGCCTCTTCCACGGCTTCTACGACTTCTCTATCTTCGTCCTCACGTTCTCCTGTGCCGGACGATCCTCCAGTATTGTCGACTGAGAAAGTCATATTCCTTGCCTGGCGCTGTTGTTCTGAAATCGACGCTACAATCACGTCAATGTCGTCGTCGTCCGTCTCATGGTCCTCAATCCTTTCGACGATAGGCTCAATATTGATCCCAAAAGCAGGAGCATCTTCGAAACGACCTCTAGCAGCTCTACTTGCGCTTTCGTAGTTTTGCTCCTGTATATTAGAAGAAGTAGAACCCCTAGCTGCACCAGTGCTGCTGATTGCTCGTGGTCCACTAGCACTATTTTCTCCATCATCTTCTTGTCGAGACTGGGAGGCGACAAGAATTCTTCTACTCTGCTGCCCACCAGGAGCAGTTGCGCTCTCTGCTGGCTCTGTCGCTCGATCTCTTCCTTCAGATCTCGTAGGAGCACCAAGATCTCCTCCACCAGATAAACCGGGTCTAGGCGAGCCACGCTGTAAGCCCCCAACTGACACCTGCATACCAGTGACAGCAGTTTGAGCTTGTGGCTCAACTAGTGTGGTAAACTGGACGGGCTCGATGTCCGTAGTGTCGAATTCCTGGGAGTGGGAATGCGAGAATTTTTGGCTAGAGTTCTATATGAACTAGTAGCTGCTAGGTATTCTAAGCTGCTAATGATGCGAATCTATTCGGCAATCTACCTAAGATTTCCCTTGCCACTTCTAAACTAGTTGAATAGTCAGTAGATCCATTACGAGTGGTCGACTGGGAAAAAAAAACGGAAAACTTCTAGAACCAGTAGACGATGAAAATGAACTAGATCTTACAGTGTAAAAATTCTAAAACTATTACTATTCACAAGACAAGTATAACGTTGTAGTAAGTAAAAGCATCTGGGTTGTAATTCATCTCCTAGTACGAAATTATCCTTGTCGTCGATTGAATCCGGTAGTTCTAGTACAAAGACGAGAATGTCGATTGAATCGTCCGGTAGTTCTAGTACAAGGAAGACGTTAATATCATTGTCCTCAAAGAACATAGCCAGTAGTACCCTCTGACTCTTCCGCACGACCTTGCGCAAAACTTGGTGGCCTCTTTTCAAGGACCACGGCCCTACTAAAACGCCACCAATTTCAAGGAGGTCGTAGATTTTGGCCTTCAAACTCGCTGGCGCACAGGAACCAAGGTAAATGCGGTGATTGTTATTAGAACAAGTGGAACAATAGGTTGCATTTTCATACGTAAGAAAGCTGACTCAATATCTAAAGGACCCAGGAGGTTATATATATGGGCGGAGCAGACCAAACTAGAAAACACAAAAACCGAGACCGAAAAAAAGCCTATAATTATACAGTCAAGTACTGCTTATAAGGAGCCAGGTTAATATATACTTAAGAAGAGGTAGAAACATAATAAGAAAAGGCGGAATGAGAAATAACGGGGAATGTAAGATCAACTACTTCCAGTATCTAAGTCAATAGCTTAAATACTAGAAGGGATGGGGAAGCAATGCAATGTCTTCATGTCCTCTCTAGGACTCTGACTCGTATGCTTTATCATAAATTTCGCAGAAGAACCGGTATCCAAGTGGTAAATGTTGCTCTTGAAGAACCGTATCTGGCTTGACATTCCAACCTTTGAGACCTGAATAGGAAACATGTGGAAATATTCAAAGAACTGAAGATGATCATACTGAGCCGTGTACCCCGAGTAGGCAAGTAGCAGTTGTAGCTGCCACCAACCATTCATTGGTATTCACGATTCTGCTTTACTTCAAGAAGCTTATCATTCTCTCTAGTAACTAATTACTAAAACTCGCCTCGTGCTTGCGTCTTCACATGCAATGCGCTTTCTTTCCTTTTCATAGTTAGAAAAGATAGTAGGCCTCATCTAGAGCAGCTAGTATTTCGGAAATAACAGCAAATAGCGATCTTTTAGAACTATTTGTAGTTGTAACTACTTAATCCACGCCAAAGAAATAATGTTCTTAGGACGTTCTTGTCGCCAATTTTGATTTATTGTCACCTCACTAATGATATCTACGCTAGGAGCTCCAGTAGGATTATACCCTTTCCTCTGCGTAGTTGATGGTGCTGGTCCAAATGTCGATGCCGTGATTGGCCATCAAGGCTTCGTTTCTGGGGTCGATCATTTTCGCAACAATGCAGTTGAAGTAACCGGTTCCGGAGCCTATGTTTAGGAAATTCATTCCCGGTTCCAGGGGCCACAATTGCTCTAAAACTTTGGCGTACATATCCGGTGCAGAAATATGGATCAAGCCATCGCGCAAGGGCACAATCGAGTACGCACTTCCTTGTTCTACTTCCGGCACAAACACTTTCCTGTCGATACTCCGGAATGCATCTGCGATGGCGGAGGTTTTTAACGTCTTCTCCTTGAGCAAATGGTCGACCATTGCGTCATTGGTAGCCACGTCCTCCGCATCAGAATCCTCATCGGCGGAATCCAAACCCCTGCGCCGAAACCGCAGCGCGCCAGGGTTTTGCATCAAATAACGCATTACGCCGTCCATTTTGTTCTATTATGACACAAGGAGGTGGAATGTTCTTGTCTATTAACAAAACAAAATTTCCTCAATTAAGGAATCTTCAGGAGGAAAAATAAGTTATTTTTAACCTAGACTTTCATCTAGCATAGAAGAATCAATAACAGCATAAACTATATTTCACGAACTTACGTATTTCAAGTTCTTGTTTGCACCACTTGGGGCGGTTATCTACTTACTAATAATATGTAGTGACTCGAAAAAAGTATGTGCGTGGACTCTTGGAGCTTGTATAGGAGGACTCACGGGTAAGGCAGGGACAGAGAGAAAAGGATGAACCTGATTCAACAGTACGTAGTCGGATAGATAGTTCGTTATTTCGAAAGAAGACGTCAGATGTGATTGATTCGATAAGGCTGACATTATTTCACCTTTCATCTACTTATACCTAGTACTCTCTCAAACAGTCTCATAATGGAGATCCAAATGCCTGCTAGATCTAGACTCGCAGACTGAAAATAATCGAAAGTCGCGAGAACTAGACTAGCCTCGCACGATCTCTTGAAGTAGGAAAAGTCGCGAGATGCACCTCCTAGAACTAGCTCTCTCTCTCTCGTGACCGTGGCCTTAGTTAGATAGTTAAAATTGAAAAAAAAATGTTCATAGTTAGTGAAAGCCATAACGTCAAAAAAGATCCCAGAGTCTCCTCTGTCCTGTCTAGAGGCGCTCTCACTTCAAAGCTGCAGAAAAACAACAAGCAAGTACTTAAACTTAAGCTAACGAACAAAGAGCATGAACTTCATGACAGAGTCCCCTCTCGTCACAGATTCAGGCTCAATCATCTTAAACTCGACGATAGACTAGTCCATAGTCACACTCAGTATACTAGATCGTAGCCACTCTCTCAATTCACGTGACACAGGATGAAGAATTACCGTCACTCCCTGTGACCGAATGGGTGAACAGAAAGAAGCATCAAAGGGTCGCAGCTCCTGCTCTAAGCAAATGAACTCTCCAACGCAAAAAACTAAGCATTTTCGCTATACCTCAACAAGGCAGAAGCATGCACAGGCTCACAGCAAGACAGAAACAGGACTAGGCTCGTCGCTCTCTTTCATTTATGAGAAGGAGGAGGATGAGGAAAATGATGTTGACGATGATTATTCTGGTATTAGTGAGATGGTGAATGAAGATAAGCATAATCACAACAGAAACGCTTTTCCCTCACAACAGATCGGCTTTTCTCTTACAACAGATGAAAGTTTTTCATCTCGTAGAACAACAGGAGGCACATCAATTCTCCGTTACTTAGTGCACAAAAACAGACACGGAGCCACAAAGACTGTCTGGCACAGAACACTGTCTCCTGAGTGCTGTTTCTCGGTCCTCAAATTTTCGGGATTTCCTGGCAAGACGGTGAAAGAAAAGACGAGTTTCATTCTTTCGTAGAATACAGATAGTGAGTCACTGTAGAATGATCATGATGTTGATTGTATCGTGAAGAAAATAAAAAAATATTGAGGAAAGTAAGAGTGCGCTTGTAGCTGTGGTAAAAATGTGATTCTTGGTTGCTAAATTTGTTGTAGACGTATAGTTTCATCATGTCTGTGGTCACGCCACCTTCTAAAAAAACAAAAACCACTATCAAAAGGAATCATTCGAAGCAAGGCGGACTCTTTGGTCCTTACTTAACTTCTTCCGCAAAATCGTGACCGAAAATCAGAAAGAGTATCTTATTACGAAACTAGTACTTCTCTACGGGTGACAAAACTGATACTGGTTGTCTGGAGGTGATGATAGCAAGTGATAATTTCTACTAGTACTTCTTCGATGAAGACGAAGAGGACCATTTGGTTTTGGAACCACATTGAGATAGAACGTAAATGAATGCCATTGCCATGTCATATCTTAGGTAGAAGATGTGCTCCTACTCTAGGCCATACACATAATCCCAATGAAGATATTATACAGGTAGTCTAAAAATAATTCCGCTGACACAGGTAAGCTCGTCCACTAGTTAGCACGGAGTACAGTTTTTGTGTTCTACTATAAGCAGCAGTCGCATCAGAACTGTGGTGTCTACCACCGTCTATCAGATCACTCTGCTGCCATTTTTATCGCTGTTCTTCCGTCCAGCTGCAGCTTATAAGCAGCAAATTTTCACTGTGTCAGCAAAACCAACGAAAAGCAAGATACAAGATGATTGAACTGCGTCACTCTCCAAATGCAGATCCGCGTAGAATCAGAATAGTCGTTTCTCACGACGTCAGCTCTCAGCAGACGTCAACGTCAACCAACCGTAAGCAATGCGAAAATTTCTTGAGCGATAGTCCTATCCGGACAAAGAGGGTCCATCTGCATGTCCTCTAATTTCTTCACCAACCCACTAGAACTTTTCACCAATGCTACCACTCGTTGAACTACTTAGAGGAGCTCATACATGATAGGCTTTTTTTCCTCTCAAAAGCCTCCGGTCTTGCTCAAACAGGTGGAGGAGAAACATTCTACTTACACAAGGACTCATAGGATAAAGGCGCATAGGATGAAGTTGAAGGTAGCATTCATCTAAAACACATTCATTATAGGAGTTGACTCTCCACCAAAGAACCTCTCAATTCATTCACTCATTCATTCATCAAACAAAAACCTCTCAAAGAAAAACCTTTCATAATTTTGATACAACATGATCCAGAGGATGTGCAATGCGATATGGCGCAACGGTCCCACTTGATGCCCTGACTTCGCGGATTAGAGAAATGTAGCTACTATTTCCTTACTGCTGTATTTGAATTCTTTCCGATGAGATGAAAAGGAGATAGTAATTGTCTGAGTGGGTCATCATCATGGTGTCCCATTTAGTACATCTACTAGCCTAATGGCGGGACGAAACAGTTCCAATGAGTGGGTGCCTTTCCACTATAAGAATAGCTTTCCATGCAAGTTCAACTAGTAAACTACTTCTTTCTGTTCTATTAATCTTAGATAGAAGGAAGTAGTTTACTGGTTGATCTATGATGATCACAAATATTTTTATCTTCATAAGTGATATTTACAAAAAACATCACAATAAGAGAATCCTAAAGTCCACTCCTTTCCGGAGGTCTCCCTGTCGATGGAAAATGAAGGTGCACGTCATCCTGCTGATCTCGTCCCAACGCAGTGCCCGCCACTGTCATTAGCGCTTGCTTTGACATCGTAATTCTCCACAGTTTTGTGGAGTGCTGTAGAGGGAACTAGTGCGTCTGCGTTGAGAAACTAAGTACAAATCAATCATTTTTTTGCTCATATGGGTGATCGGGGTTTGCTTCTAACAGTGTCTTCTTATCTTGACTAACTCACGTATCACCATCACGGGGTAAAACTAGAAGTCTAATGTATAGTTTCTATTTCTTTCATGCACACCAATCTACATTCATCATATGGATCAATCTACATTCATCATGCCAAGCACCTCCGGCTGCTCTCCTAATGTAGTATTGTGTAGCATCGAAAAGGTCGCTGTCGCGTGTCCACCGGAATGACTGCTCAAGTGATTCTGGACACTACTCCTTGAACCGTCGCCCGAAAGACACAGCTCTAAAATGGGCAGTGTTCGTGGACTCCCTGTGAAAAACGACTTCGCCACGTTCGTGGAAACAAGGGTTAGAGGAGGCTACTCGTGATTCAAATTCATCAAATTCAATTTCCCTTTTTTTAGGGTTTATCTGGGTCTAAAGCTACTGCCGGTGCCGCCTTCTTCGTACATCATTTAGGTATATCTAAAAATAAAAAAAGTAGCTGCGCATCCGTCGTAGTATCAATTTGCGCGACAGATTGTCTTCAACATTCATCGGGCCTAGTCTCTCAATGTTCATGATTGTGCATATAGGTCCTAGTTGTACATGTATTCACGATGGAGGGTCCTACAACTGATTCATCGGGTCCTGTCGTAGTATCTTCAATATTGAATTGACTTCTGTCGTAAAAATTCCAATGTTGAGCGACTGTCCTAAAAAAAAAGATCGACATTATTTTTATTTCTTAATAGAATAGCCAGCAGCACACGCAAAACCGGAAGGCGCATTTTTTCTCGCCCCTCTGCCAAGTCAAACCAAAAATCTAGCTGGGGTCCCGTTGTTCCGTTGGGCTTGTCCCCGACTCGTTGTTGGCAGCTGGATAATATAGCTGCTGTGGCTTTGCCTGCAAAGTCAGTTGGAATGACAACCTGCTATCTATCACGTTTAAAAACTAAGACCTACTCCTCCTAAAACCTTTTATGTACTATATTGGAAGATAAACAAAGTAGATCTACTCCTCCTAAAACCTTTCACGCACACAAGCACTCTGCAGAGGACGCAAGCCCTCTGCAGAGAAGGACCAACGGATCATGGCTTCCATAAACATAAGCAATTGGTATTGAGCGTTGTTCCCGTTGATGTATGAGTATTGACTACTAATGATAAGCAATTATTATATTAAGCAATAAAAAAACGCCGAACTACTCAGAAATAGAAAAATACAGAGATGCAAGCTCGCAATGAAGTGCAGAGAAGAGGTGCACTTCCTGAGGGTCCACTCTGCCAACGTTTTCGATTTTTCGCAATGTTGAAGGTTAGAACTACACCCATACCTTCTGCAGTAAGTATCATCATCTATGATATTGTTGGTGGAGCATATGGCATATCTAACTAGAAAAAACAAAAACCGGAAAAAGAAAAGTCAGGCAAGAACTTATCTACTACTAACTAAGCGCCGGCGCTGTCGTGGTCCTGTCAGCCCCAGAGGTCTCACCTTCGAAGGCAGGCCGGAGCCCTGTGCAACGCCTCCGGTGAGTGCTCATGATACTTATAAACTTTACCTTTTGATTCAGAATTCTTCATTTCTCATCTATACGTAGAAGGAAGTAGGAAACAGCACGCCTTTCTTCCGAGATTGAGGTCCTGACTGAAGTAGAAGTAAGTGGAAGTGGATCTCAAGTAATTAAATAATCGTAGCCAACACAATGTTTGAGAGGAGAGTACTTACTCGACTCATCGATCCCACCATGCATAATGATAAACTCCACGAGAAAAGACACGAATTTGACCAAGGTCGCCTTGTTGGTCGTCAGACCTGGTGCGCTCAGACTCAGAACCTCCATCAAGCGACAATAGACCACTGGCGAAATTGGTGAGCACTTGCTAGCCGTAGCATACAACCGGGGTTTAGAGAGCCTCTAAAGTGAGAATTAAAAATCCTTGTTGGAAAAGACTAGCAATACAACTTACAACTACTAGTTGTAAATTGCACGTAGCTCCTGACTACTCGCCAGTGTGGTGATGCAGTGATACAGGTGGGTAGTACGGGGAAGGCCTCACAAAAAATTACAAGGGTAGAGTGGTAACATCATCATCTTAGGGTTAGGGTTTACTCTTATCCAGATCCAGGCAACATTCACGAAGTGGTGAGCTTATGCAAGTACACGCAACATAATAGACGAGTGATGTGAAGGTAGCGCACGAGTCGTGGTGACGTCGTTGTGAGGGTCCATCCTATGATAAGACTGATCTCCAAACCGAGACATAGACCGATCTTGTGGCGCGAATTGGCTCACCTGTTGTTGTTGTATAAAAATGGGAATGAATTTTACGACATGGCAAAAGTAGTCTCTACAACTTGTAGTCCTAATACACATACTACCTCCGTGGAGGTTTTGTTCTCTGACAAGCTAAAGCTCCTAAGTAAACTATGCAATTCTCAGTATACCATGCTGTAGTACATTTCTTCTTCACGTGCATTTATACCCAAGAAATGGTACTAAAACTATTGCCCGAGCACTCACCTGAGTATTTCCTCCCTGAGTCTTGAGTGTCGTTGCTCCGCGCATGGCGTGAGGAAGCAGCATTTTGTTAAAGACTAAGTTCGATGAGTGTGGACCCAGTAAGTGCGCAACCCTATGCCTCTCTCCGTCACGATCTAAAGTTTTCCGCAAGAAGTCCAATACTTCTAGACAAAATCCGTCATGCGCTTCAGCAATGCACCAAATGGCGTGTAAGACAAAGATTAGAAGGCACCAGCAACTAATATTAGGATGTGTAGTAAGAGTTGCTGATTTCATTAGAAGTAAAGACGAGCATTACCACGTGTGAGAAAAGCAATGAGAACATGGAAATAACATCGACCAGGATCATCAACATGAGGATAATCAACGTTAGGAAGAGGATGCTCAACATGAGGAAGAGAATGAGCATTCTCAAAAAATAAACACTGAAGATTTTATTAGTAGACACAAACCAACGTAGAAGTTGTAACCTATACTCTAATTCTCACGAAGCCTTAAAATCAACAGGTACGATGTGTTCAGATTGTGATGGGCGTTCAAAGTTGAGGCCGCTGCTCTTTTCGACACCACATTGGCTCCATTGGCCGTGGACGTGTGTATTAGAGTCCACTATCGAGTCTATTGTAGAATAAACTCTGTATCTCTGCATTAAAAATGTGTATCTGATATGAAACTCCTCATCCTCAGTGCTTTGTAGATAGTCTTTGTCTACTATTACCGGCAAGGCGAAACAGTTCCTGAACTCTCTTTTGAGCGATACGATACTATGGTTGGTTGCTTACTCTATGTCGTGTAACATAAGTTATAAGGATTCTGCGATCTGTGTACGCTTGAGGTCGATGAGTCGAGTAGATTTATGCCAGTGCTACTGCCAAAAGCAAATCCATCCACGTGATGTACGGTCGCTTTTGGGGTTCTCGCCTCATCTATAGGCTGCAAGCCGCCCCCTTTCGACATCAAGCTTTGCGTATGCGTTGCACTAGTATACTTAGAGCTGGTGCTGCTACCGCGTTCGCATCTTCCTCTCTGAGAGTAATACTATCCTTGCGAGGTGCTTCTTTTTCATAAGTAGAAAAAACAGCAAGGATCATGTTCGTGGTAGGAGGATGCTTAAGAGTCAGTCAATCAGTCAGGTTTCCTCCACAGGGCACCTTTTTTTTTTTGTATTCCGAGAACGCCGAAAGGGTGATCCCAGTGTTGTCCGGTGTACCTGCCGGCGACGGGTGGAGTACATTAACCTCCTTATACAACCACGCACGCTTAACCGACGTAAGAGTAGGTAGCCTTAATACATGACATAGTGCTACCAGGAGGCCCATTCGTTCCCTCCCTCTCGTCGTCTGGTCCAGCCCTCTCCACTAGTATATCCAAACCATCGTCGTGGGCAGAGCAAATCACAAGTGATTAGAACCTCCTACGTTAACTTGAAAAAATTTCCAAATCTCCATCCACTTCTTCATCCACATCACTTTTCCATTTCGTGAAGAGCAACGAGGTGGACGACAAAGAATTTTTTACCTTCAATCATCTTCTTCTTTTCAACATCAGCAACAAAGTATGGGCACTATGCAATGGATTACTCTACTTCATTCGTTGCAGTTGTAACATAAATAAGTGAACCCTAAGCCACGGACATGTAAATCCTAAACTATCTTTACCTTCATCAAAGAAACCGAAAGGAGTCCTCTAGGAACTTTCTTCTATATTCTCTGTGAACAAGGTTACCATGATCTATAGAGATGCAAGTCAAAAGCCTCCTCCTCTACTAAGCCAATATCATGAGTCTTAAGTCAGAAGTCTGAGGTGTAGTGTGAGTCTGTGCAGCCGCTCGTGATCCTGCTGACCTCCCGCGGTTGCCGTGCTCAAACTGCAGACACTTGAATTCAACTTGGAAACCGACGTTTGCTCAAATCTCGAGAAGCCTACGTGGAGACTAGTACCTGTGTTCATAGTTTTAAAGTAAGAGGTCGTGCTTAATAGTGTTAGGTGTAGTTTAGTTTTGAGTTAAAGGAAAAGGAGAAAGATCAGATGTAAGTCGTAATCTAGAATTCTCACAAGGAAACTCGTTTTTTAGAAGCCCTAGTACATTGTCATTGAAATTTAGTGTGCCCAGCACTAGTATGTAATGACACGGTAAATATTAATCAATATCATCTGCCTTGACTCTTTCCTAGTTTTGAATAGAAACTGTATTCATTCACGCTGCCACTGACAAACGCCAGAAGCAACTGTAATGAAATACCATTTCCAGCTGCAGTAGATCTGTCTGCCGCACTTCTCGCGTCTGCAGCAGACGATCTGTCTCCCTTTAAAATTGCAGAAAGTTTGATTAGAGGACAATTTACCAACGGCATAATAGACCATACGTGTCTACCCGTAACTACATCAGACTATGCGCGTATACTAAAACTGTAACAAGAAACTACTATAAAAACCGTAAGAGATGAAACACAAAAACGCCTGACAATCCGTAATTTGATTTCTGGTGGGAGTGACTCGATCAACTTGACCAGCTTCGGGACGAAGCTCACTGCTCTGACGCACGCTGCTGCCTCTGCGGGAGAGGCAAGTGAAACGTGCAACAAAGCTGCGTGAATAGCGGAAAGCCCTAGCGTGTCCGAGACGTTGCCTTGGACTTCTTCGTTGTTACTGTTCAAAAGCGGTTAGAGGGGCTTGCAACTGGGAGGTACGACTAGAAGAGGGCCATCAGCTTCGGGCAGCTGCTTACAACTGAAGGGTGGTGGAGAATACGTTATCATCATGATTTGATATCTGGACACGATTTAAAGGGAGTAGAAGCAGATCTTCCTGTCCGTTCCGTGAAGATGAAAAAAAATTAGATCCCCTTCGTCCTAGTAAGTACATCTTTCGTTGTGCTGATTTAGGATTTTTGCATGCCTTAAAGGTACAAGTTGCACAAGTGTTTTGTTATGCACCGCACGTCCGCAGAGTGCGGACACGACAGAGGAGAGTGTGGAGCCAAAGCAGCGATCGCAGCTACGGTCTCCGCTGCTCGACGGCGTAGCTTTAACGGCTTTTCCTCGCTCAACGCTTGTGCACACAAACTAGCGACACAACGCGAACTAAAAAACTCGAAGATTGCTACGTCCTGTTCCTGCTGTGGTCCGCCAAGTGCGCTAAAGTTAGAGCAAATTGCATTAAAGAAAAAGTGTCAAGAAGGATGTTAATGGTAGAGCCCCTAGTACCGCTTATTTAGCATCCCTGAGTGCAGTGCATCCTCGGTCCGTTTTTGAAGTAGAAAGAGGCCCAAGTAGGATGATGCTGAGGGTGCTTGAGCGGTCGCCTTAATAATGCCATTTCCATTCCCCAAAGAAGCTGCTCCCGCGCGAGGACTTCCACCTCCTGGTCCATGTATGTCTGCTGTCACAGTCGAGTACTGGAATTGACTAACGTTGTGCGTCGTCGCCTTACTCATTATTAGAGCCCGAAACAACTCACTTCTTGTCTGCATTTCTCCCAATGTATGATCCTAAGAGGCAGTACTCAAGTGAGACATTCTCCCAATAATCCTAAGATGAAGGAGCAATCAAGTGAGAAATGGCTTGTACAGGACTTGTGGAAATAACAGTTTTGTTCTACTTGAGGTAAAAACTTAGTAAACTCTAACTTGTATAGGAAAACAAATTGTATTGAGCCCATAAAATTAGGCCTTGACGTTGAGCTCCACCGTCTGGTCCCAATCTGTCGCCTACAACTATTGCAAACCTCTGTAGCGCTAGAAGATGACTCTCCAATGCACCGGAATCCGCACGATCCCTGAGCCTCGTAACCAGATTCTCCAACACTCGTTCGTAACTCCTGAGAAAATCGGTGCTAAGACACAGAAATCTCAACATCTGCGGATCCCAGAAAGCGCATCTGTTAGAGGAGGTAGCTTTTCCCGGTCTCTGGCTCTTGAGTGGGTAGAATATTGAAATCAAGGGGAACCCCAGCACCACTTGTTCGCACAGTTCACAACGTGGGATAGGTTGTGGCGAAGCAGACCTAGCTGGGAAAAAACCAAAAAGGACACATGAGTCGATAAAGAAAACCGAGTTTTTGAATGAAGTATGTATTTCTAGTGCTTCTAAACGACCCATCTAATAAACCTGATCTTCGTGCAAGTTGATAAACTAGCCATAAATATGGTGGATAGCAACAGAACTGCTTCAGCACAAATCTTTGCGCTATCGTAGGCCACACGGTCCGACAGCGCATCCGGAAAAAGGCGTCCGCTCGTCCTCTTAGTGATAGATCATCAAGATAAAAGTGAAAGTGAAAGGTGGGATGATCACGAAGAAGGTACAACTAGCGCTGATGTTTGCAAAAATTCTGCTACGTAATGGGCGGGTGTTTGTTGCTAAAAAGAAAAAAAAGAAACCTCTGTATTAGCTGTCGGTTACTCAACAAATACAACCAGTGTACTAGTGGAGCACAATTCATTGATTCCTGTCCTACTACTACAACAACTACAACGCATCTAGTGTGCCTTAACACTATTTCCAGAGTGATCCCCAGCTTGGTGCAGAAGCTCCACATCCGTTGCGTTCAAGGCCATTCCGCGTTTAGGACTCCTCGTAGTTGCTATGCTGGGCATCGAAGATCCTCCGCTACTACAACATTAGAGCTCGCAATGATTCATTTTCTAGTACGTTCATAGCTTTTCTAGTACGTTCATAGCCTGAGAATCCCCATTCAAGGCAAACGAGACATCCATTTCCTCAGTTCATGGTTAGCCTGAGAATCATTGCTGTGGAGATGAGTTACTATCCCCATTCAAGGCAAACGAGACATGCATGAGCCTTAACTACAGGGTCCAAGTCCGCCAGCGTCCGCTTGTTCTCTCCAGGATTCTACGACGTGAGGCCACAGATTATTGCTCTGCATCAACAGTGTGTGCATCTTCTGGGCCACAGCGGTCGAGACACAGCGCGAATCTATCATAGACCTCATCATTAGAGGTTCTCGCAGATGAATAAGTAAGTAAGTAAGTAAGTAAGTAAATGTAAATCCCTGAGAAGGAACTACGTCCCTCTATCTTTTGATTCATTTCTAGTAGGAACAGAGCCGCGGATGGCCTAGTGCGGAATGTAATTCGTCGATAATTTCTACTAGAAATCCATCATTTCTAAAAGTAGGGAAAGAGCCAAGGATGATGTAGGACAACTCGCAATGTAATTTCACGTTTGATGGTGAAAACGACTCATAACAGAAAGTGAAGCGTCGAGGCGCGTAGACCGCGATGAGGTGTGCGTAAGAGCTTTGGCACAGCTTGGAAAAACTGTCGCTCTAGATCTCCAGAGAGGACGTTTTCTAAGTGCAACGGTAATTTCGTCAAAGCAGAGCAGAGGAATCGCAACGCCGCAGCTCTAGTTAGCGCTAGTTTTTCACTATACTCGATTGGTTGAGTGAGTAGTTGCTTCCTTTATTTGCCTTGGTTTCCGTCTTAACTCAAGAGAAGCCTCCCCACGCACTCAGCATAGAGATGGTCCACAAACATGGGACGATAGTTGTGAAAAACTGAGTAGCCTTAATCTAGGAAACTCACTACCGAGCAAGATTACTTTGAGTGCACGACGACAGGCGTCTTCAAGTACGAGCATCTTCTGAACCAAAGATTGCTGTTCTTGTTGTGCAGCACCATCTCCACCTCCACCAGAAAAACTATTGGGTGAAGAAGATTGAGGTCGAAAGATGTGGTCGCCTGGAGGAGACGACGCGCTTTTGCTCCAGTGCGGCTGCGTCGGACTTCGTGCGTGGAACAAGGTCCCACGTGCCTCCTCGAAAAAGCTGCTGTACAGAAAAATAGCCTCAAGACAGCGCCAGCAGGCAGACTGGACAACGACGTGGGGATGGGAGAGGAAGCCTAGAAGCTGCGATATCAACGTGGACACCTTGGTCGGAAGCATGCCACTTGCACCAAGGACTTGTTGGGGGGCTGCTCCAGCGGGGCCCATCCCGATCCCTTGCGCATTAGACATGCTCATCAACCTAGTATTGTAGTCAATTAAATATGAAGCAAAATCAAATGTCCTGACTTGATGAGTGGCATCTGTGATGGAGTCTGATGAGTCAAAAGTCTAACTCGCACTTGATGAAGGAGCGGAAAAATTTCTACACTACCGCCCTCGAGGAGATGGCCCACCTCCGACAAAAGGCTCTTCTATGACGAGTCTAACCTGCTCTCCTCTAAATCTCAGAACCTTAAGTCTAGTAGAAGTTGCCGGGTCGGGAGAGTGCTGCGACAGCGATAGACCGCCAAGAGATGCCATGATCTGCGCGTCAATGCCTCTGGCGATAGCCGATGCTGACGTGGATTTCGTACCTTCTCTGGATGAAACGCCGTAGGGATCCGGATTTCCGAGTCTGCCTCCAGGCGATGATGACGACCGGCCCCAAACAGACGTAGCCGCAAGTAAGTGGCCACGCAATTGCGCTATCAGGCAGAGGGATGCGCAAACATCCGCAGACTCTAGGAATGTAGGGGATGTAGACATACAGAGCGACCCTCCTAGGAATTCTGCGGCTGCTGAGGCCAGGTCTATCCGCAACAAATTAGAACGTAAAGAAATTCGTTTCTCTGCGGTTCATTTTGTCAGAACGGCACTGAGGACGGAGGTGGAAACAGAGAAAAACAACACTTGGACGAGTTGGAAATGAGCTCCTTTGAGCCTTAAACAAGCATGCTGCCTGGAAAGCGTACCGTCTCAGCTCTCCCCTTTGTCGAGTGATTAGGGTGTGCAACACGGCAGTTAATTGGGCTCCGCACTGTGCGCCGGCCGATCGAAGCGCCTGCTGCAGCATCGGAAGTGGTGGCACTGCATCGTTTGCGTTTACTGCCGAGTGGTTAGAACGGTTATGCTTCCTGGATTTCTGTTTCTCTCGAGATGGTCCCCTCATCTCGGTGCCTCTTCCTTCGTTCTTGTATCCTTGTTCTAGACTATGGGATGAAAAAAAAGGGTAGTACTCCCGAAGAAATGCTGAAGAGAGAGATCATGGATAAAAGCTGAACGTAACACTGTGTCCGTTTGCACCACTAGTGCTTTTCGATTTGTTTACCACGACAGCCTCACAACTGTTCTGGATGACGGTGCTGCTTCGTGCCAACACGATGAGTAACCGCAAAAACGCACCGATTACAGTCTGTCCTTGCGTGTCTATAATGGTGACTCCAGATGATTGCAAAGCCGCATGAATGGCAGGGACTACGTGCGACAAAACGACCTCGAAGAATTTCTGCACCTCCACGAAACCAGAAGACACAAAGATCTTCCCGCAGATCGCAGCCTCGAAGAGGTACCTCGCGTGGTCCATTGCTCGCACGTAAAGACGTAAACCTCCTGAAGAGGACGGCGCTTGTTCCAAAATACTACTCGCACTAGGGACCTGACACAATCGGTTGCGTAATCGCGACACATATACTGGGTCCTCAAGGACCGACAGAGCACAGTCAGGCACTAAAACTGCCTCAACGTCCGCATACAAACTTGACTCCGGATCGAGTCCTTCTGCCTTAGCAAAAATCCCATAATTCACATCCTCGGCTCATCTTTTCAGCTCCGAAGGAACAAGACACAGGAAGAGAAGAAGATCTGCTGTCGACGATGTGAATTACAACGAGCCTCTACTTAACTGTTGTAGCTCTGCTACTTTGACCCCGATCTAACCGCAGTTTCTGCCACACTGGAGATGGCACGCGCTCCACTAGTTCTTCTTGCAAACATTAGTACAATAAGCAGTCATTCTAGCACGCGCTCCACTAGTCCTTCTTGCAAACATTAGTTGTACAATAAGCAGTCATTCTAGAGACACAGCACTAAGTCGTCGAAGTCTCTTGAAATAAACCTTCTAACCTCCTCCTGTTGATCTAAAACTCTAGAAGTTTGATCATTCCATCTAAAACAGCCCCAGAAGCTCGTAGTTTCGATCTACGCTAAAAACACTAAGTAGGTAAGACGAAAGCCCTTCTTAAATCTGATAGATCTGGCACAGCGCCAAGCATCGTGCACTGGGTCTTGCTCGCCAAAACCGTACGCCTGGACTGACCACCGATCCTGCAGTCTCGACTTGCAAAGGTACTTGAAAAGTATTTTGGAACCATGTGGGGGACAGCATGAAACATCCACCGGTTGAAGTAGAGGGTTGCTTGGTACTGGATTTAGAGGTAGGGACTTGGTGATAGTTTACCGCCTTATAGTTATGCCCTTACCACCTAAGAGAGGCAAAACCGACCGTAACAGAAACACGAACACCAAGAGCCTAGCCTTAATTGATGTCGAAGTAGTTGATGTCTTTTGACCGGGAGTCTGATTTTGTTAGACCTTCCAGATATTCATCCTGAGGTGCATCTTTGACCTCTTGTTTTCCCCTTGAAAAGAAACGTACTGTCAAAGATACAAATTTCAAGATGTGAATTTGTGGCAGCCTTAATTTTGATATCCTTGTGGGTACAAAAACTCCCTGTCGAAGAGCAGTGCAGCCAACAACTGCAAACTGCGGAGGCGCGTCAAAGGTTCTTTGTGAAAAACGCGAGGCAACGTCGTGGAAAATAGTGTGCTCTGATGCTCCCGGAGGGCCTCCGCGATGAAAAATCCACTAGCGTCTCGACTCGCGAAGGTCAACAACAAAACTGTACAGGCCTCGCACAGTTGGTTGTAGAAATCCCTGAAGGGCGAGTAAAAAGTTGAAAGTTGTGACGAACTCGATCAGAAAGAGTACTAGCTGCTCGAATTCGAGGAAAGCAATTCCGAATGAAAACACAGCTTCGCTTCGGCCATGCAGGTGAAAAAACTAGGAGTAATACCTACTTCAAAGCCAAAAACACTTCTTCAGAGAGAAGAACAGCAGAATTTGAAATAGCACAAATTTTAATCGTAGTACAAAGTTTGAGTCCCTTTCAACGCCGCTACTAAGCAGCGTATTGCGCCTGAAGCGCCTCGTTCTCGTAGCATGTTCACCACACGCTTATCCGAGACCAAGAAGGTGACGAATTGAGCCACAGCAGCTTTTCGAACTTGTCCATCCAGACTAGAGTTTTCCAGTATTAGCGTTCGCTAATATTATCCATCTGTCTTGGTCCTCTCATCTCGGTAGTACCTTTATTTCCCTTGTAAGCATTCTTGTGGTACATATATGGGATTAAGAAAAGGGTAGCACATTCTCCTATGGGAGCAAAAGGGTGCCGAAGAGATTCTGAGAAAGATGGATAAGCGCCGCTGACCATAACAGTACAGTCACTACATGCGTGAAGTCCGCTTCGTTCACGTGCAATCTGTTCAAAAAGTACTGTTCAAAACAGTACAATTGTCGGATCGAAGGACCATTGCCACTAGCTGACGTGTTGTTCATCCCGACAACTGTTGATGTGGAAGCCGCGCTAGAATTAGCGCTCTGAATAATTCATTTCTTACACGGTCATACTGCTCTCAGAATCCCAGAAGGAAACTCAGAAAGATACTGTTTGAGAAGATGAATTATTACATGAGCCTTAATAGAAGACGAGCCTACTACGTCTTTTCCATCAGAAGATGATATCCCGTAGAAGTTGTCTCTGCTTTCTGCCAACGCGTTTGCTGTTTGGGAAATCGGATCAGTGAGAAACGCCAGACTATCAGCATCGAACTCAGCTGAACGAAGAACTTGGCATTGCCAGACAAAAAGTGCTTGTTTTTTGCGCAAGCCATCGTCTCGCAAGAACAATCGTCGTGCACTTGCCCATTCCGAAGTCGACGCGGGGGCATGGAGGGTGAACAAATCAGCAAAGTCGACTAAGCTATAAGCTGCATTGCCTTGTTTGGAGGCAGCACTTTTCACGACCCCTCCTACTAGACCCGGCGTTGTTAACGCGTCTGCTCTACCACCACTACCTAGTCCTGCTCTACCACCACTACCTCGTCCTCCTCCTGCTGCTTGCATTGCGCCAGTCACATTCACACCTGTAGAGGATGTCCTCGTAGTAGTTCCACCTAAAGCACCAGATGATCTACCACCTGCGTTCTCACGTATTAGGGCCAGAAAGCGATCGAAGCCAGTGCCTCTGCGCATGTGTAGCAAAGCGTCGATCAAAAACCGTTCTTCGGAAAACAGAGGCTGGATAAGAGCATCATTTTGCTCAAGCATGTCTAAAAAGCCCTCGTGCACCTCAGGCACAGGACAAACGGCCAATTGCGTACACAAGTCGACCGCGGAACGCCACAAGGCGGATGCTGGGTGTTTTGTTCAGAAGCAACTGTCTTCAAAACATCAATATCTAGGAGACTACTTATAATGGTACTAAAACTAACGACATACAACTCTAGAAGTAGAAGTAGCATCAACAAATCTGCAATGAGGATGTAATTGACGCGAGAACTAAGTGAGTACAGGCATCCGTCAAATCGATTTGATGCATTTGCACTATCTCCAATGCCACGGGAACCAGCTCCGAAGGCACATCGATCAGCGGTCTATGTCCATCTCGGGTCAAATTGGAGCTACCGCTACGCATCCCTGGGAACATCCTTGCTGGTTTCTTTCTCAAGTAGAAAAAGCGCCTAGGATCGATCGTCATGAGGATACTTCTGTAGAGGTAGCCTTAATCAAAAGGGATAAATACACCCTTCGACTGAGAAAGTTCAGTTTCGTCGCGTAGCTGTCCAAACTATCGGTCTCGACTTCTGCTAATGCCTCAGCTGAGAGATGCTTGCCACTAGTAGAGTTTCTCTGCTCCTTTTTGGCACTACGAGCGAGGCGGCGGAAGGATTAGAGGCGAGTAGTGAATCGGGAACCTCGTCCTCCATCTTCAACGACCTTTACTAATAAGACTTGTAGAACGCATAAGACTCTGCTGCCGCAAGTGCCGGTCCGTTTTCGAGTTCCACGGTAGTGACATACGACGTGGCATGGTCCCTGAAGCTACTCACGACGTCATCGGTTCGCGCAATCGCTAGCCTACTTCCTCTCGAAACGTCCCTACTGGGTAATAGTGATCCCAAACGACCCGTCGTCTCACCATCGTCGTTCGCTTGGTATGAACGAATAGGAAACATTCATTGTTTGTGAGTTTATCTTCGAAGATTTTCTGTTCCGCTAACTACATTCGGATGTCATTTTAGCATCCAAGGCTAGATACTCAGTCAGAATCGAGAGGACAATTCTAAATCCTATTCCATTCTCTTCCATAAAAACTTCCCACCCCTCATTCCGTTCTTTCCGTTCTCCGCGTCAAGCTCTTCTCCGGGAGATATGGAGAACTTCAGGACCGCCGCACAAAGCCCTTCTAGCGAACGATACTCGTCCCCATCCTCAGGAGAGATCCTGCTCACTAGAGCATGCAACAAGTCGAACTTTTCCGGTCGTTCGAAATGCAACCGGTGATCAAAGAGCCAAATCTTCAAGTACTCACCTAATCTGCCAACAAGCTCGATGCGGCTGGGAGTTAGAGAATCTAATATATAAAGAGGAACAACCATTAGTTGGTAGTATTAGCAGCTACAGTGAAATATGAGAATCAATAGGAATAGTGCAGCGCTTGATGAGCTGAAGCAAGAAAACAAGCAACAAGGAGAGGACATGAGCACTCAGACCTAGTATAGAAGAACTCGAAACAGTTATTTTGTAAACTCGGGAGACGATCTTTTCGGATGATGTTCACCAGACAGGAATTGGTAAAGATAAGGATGCCTAGCCACAAGGAACCTCCACCCATAAGTAATCCACAGAATTCGCCACTGCGCGACTGCCTTCTTGTGCGGCTGTCTTCACTGTCCCTACTGCTCCACCTGTCGCGTCCGACACTAGCATTGGCACTACTTGGTGTCCTAGGGAAACTAGAACGTTTGGCGCGCCAATGCTTGCACTAGTACCAACAGCTGGACCATGAACTGGTACTCCTCCCGCAGCAGCTCCGTTACTACCAGATGTTGAACTTCCAGATGCTTTTCTAGAAGTGCCGAGAAAGATTTTTTGAAAACATGTCAGATACATGGCGACAACGTCGAAGAGGATTAGCTGCGTTGGTTCCCAATCGAAGGTTCTCAAACTCGCATTACTCCAGTCGAGAGATTAACACTAGTTTTTCACTATCCCTCGTTGAATAAGATGCCCCGCTGCATCGTTCTAGTTACTTAGTTTCTTTCCCCATTAAGAAGTCAAAGGAGGAGACTCCCCCGCCTTGGTTGTATCTCGTTATTATATCAAGGGGGACGCCACTCAGCATACTCCAGACGGGATAGTGAAAAACTAGCCTTAAAGAGAGGCATCCGCAGCACTTGGAGGCTGTCCGAACCAGGCTTTTACTTGTGAAACGTCTGAAACATCCCTATTAAACCCTCTAAAATGCGACTTCACTGCGTCCGTCAGTCGGTTAGAATACGTTAAGAGTTCGCGCTCGATCAGTGACTGTTGCTGCTGCTGATCACTTGCCGCTGCCCCACTTGCACTAGGGGATATTGACTTCGTTGTTGTACTAGAAGATAAAAATGCGCTGTACATTGGCAACAGGTACGTTAGAGCTAGCTATCAAAAATCAAATCCCAGGAGGAGCATCTTGGCTAGCACCGCTTTCCCTTCAATAACAGCACCTCCGAGATGTTCTTATTCCCTGTTGGAATACGCTGATACCGCCAAGATGTTCTCCTGGGAGATGGACGATTTGTGGAAGCCTTAAGTACGACAATAGTCGAAAAGCGAGAGGCACTGCCTCCGCGTATTTGACACAGGAGTCCAAAACGGGCAGGAAAACGCGGTGAAAATGTCCGAAAGGAATCGCAAATCGGGCACCCTCAGCAAAGCGATGGAGCCACATCTGTTAGAGTGGTCAGCTTTTTTTCATCTCGGCTTTCGCATCTCAACCCCTTTTCTAGCCTTGTACTCTTCTAATCGATGCTGGGAACAAATAAAGGGCACCAAGTCCAAGATGCTGAGAACAAAGATGGACACTAAATGTTGATCATAAATCTGCGGAAACGTGCCATCCGGGAGCCACAAATCTTCGTAGCCGAGCAGAAAGTCGCCATAACACTCGATCAACAGCTGTCGATGCAACTGCAGATAACAGTCGAAGATCGCTGGGAGTAACCTAAAGCGGGAAGAAAAAAGGCAACAAATCAAGCAAGAAGTCAACACATCGGAATGCTGCGCGCAAAAAGCAACGAGAGAGAGAGATCGCGACAATGAAAGTCCACTTTAGAAGTCTCCAATCATATAACAAAATCAGTACGCTCTACAATCCGCATTCCCGCTCAAAACTGACCCAAGCGCTTCTACAATGTGCGGCCTCTGAAGGAAAACTTGAGGAGGGAAGTCCGAGATTTTACATCGTAGGTCTTTACAGGCTTCCCCCACCGCCTGCAAATCGGCATACTTCAACTTGACCGACACGTCAAATAAAGCCTTCTCATCCTCCTCATTCAGGATGACGTGCGGAAATTCCTTCTCCTTGCGCGCGTGGAGTATGAAAGATAGAGATTGATAGTTAGGAGGCGGAGATTATTTATGCGTGACGCGAAAAGTAGACACGCCTAGGAATAGGCGGAAAGAAAAACAACAACAACTACAACTACAGGGGTGGAAACAACAACTACAGGAGGAAACATAGAGCAGAGGACGGGTTCTTACCACGGTAACCACATCTCAAACTACCTTAAACTCCTATTCTCATAGTTCCTTTCGCCAATAATGAGGCTTTCGCCTGTGCGTTCTTGTCTGCTTTGATATTGCGATCCCCAAACCGGTACGATGAGGGATAACTTTGCTCCCATCCATCGCCAGTAGGGCTTCCAACATTTTTATGGTCCTCATGATCAACAAGGACCTTTTCCGTGGTAACTGGGATTAGAGCATGTCGCATCAAAGTTTCTATGCTTACAGCATACACATTTTTCAGTAAATAACATCTTCCCTAGTTCTAGTAGTACCGTATGCTCATTCTACTTACTTGAAAAAAGTCAACAAGCATGCTCTCGGAACAATCGGAGACTGATGTAATTCTAATTTTCTAACTCGCCGTAAGGATGTCGTCAAATCTCTCCCACCTGCCCTCCACTTCAATGGAAGTCTACTATCGTTCACCGAACTGCTGGCAGCAACTCCTGTCCCAGGTACTCGCAAGAGCGTGTCAATGGTTTGCTGGATTCGCGTTGACAAGTGTACTGTAGCAGTACACACATCTCCTTCAGCCCCTAAGCCACCGACAAAATCTTCGAGGAACTGTAAGGCGCCTGCTTGTAAGACTATATCCAGATTAGCTGGAGAACTGCCAGCTAACCGCTGCAATAGCTCTAACGCGGTGTGAGGTCTTAGAAACTAATTTAAATATAAAAATATAGTTGTAGTTGAAGATTCCACAATAGAAGAAGGCACGATCCTATTTAATTATAAGCTTCCACATCAATGAGGCTTCAGCCTCACCTCCTCTGAGCTTTTTGTTCCATCCAGGTATGGGTCGACTTTAAGCATCTGGTTGTGACTGTGACAGTTTGTTTCTATTCCACCTACTTAAAAAACTAGCACAGTAGTATCAACTACCTACTCTTGAAGAAAAATTTGAATGTTCTCCTCATAACAACAGCGGCGGTTCGGCCTTGCCCTGTCTTTCGTTAATCCAATGCAGGATGCATTGGACGCTTCCCGGTATCTCCCGACATACATAATCCGCAGAAAGGAGCCCAACTTCTAGCTGTAGAAGTTGCAATTCAATTGGAGGACTTCATGATGTCTTGACAGACCCCTAACTTTTCAAACTCACATGAACATAAACGTACTAGCTCATACCTAACTACATCAAATTAACTCTCATTTATAAATATCTCTCATCAAGCTCAGCAACTGTTATGACCTTAGTAGCGAGATTTCGCAGTGCTCGGTCCCGCACTTCCGGGAGCGCATGTGCCAGCTTCTGCACCAACTCGGCTGACGATGCTGCCACCATCTTCGGTTGTCGTGTCAGTCACCCAGCACAAGCACCATGCATCACCTCTCTTTAGGAGCAGGCTTCCATTGCCTTAGGAAGGAACGACAAGGAGAGACATTGTTTCTTAGCATCTTGATCGATACATGACCAAAATAGTGTACAGAGTTGACGTTGTGTAATTGCAGTCCTATGTCTTTTATTAGTCCTAACTTCTCACTGAGTCTTCGTACGTAAAACCTTTTTCGCGGACCGATGGCCTTCTTCTAGGTTCAGATTCATCTTCGTCTCTTTTGGAATTTCTTGCCTTTTTAGGATCAACATTATTGCAATTCCAGTAGAGCTACGTCTCAAATTATTCAGAAGACAAAAAACAGAACCAAGAATCAACCACATCTATCTACGGAGAAATTTCGTATTGGGGTCCTCAAGAGGGTCGTGGGAACACATCTAATCAATACCGCAACACAGGCAGCATACAGTTACTGCTCCTTCACCTTCCTTCTATCTTCCTTTGTCCGACAATAATCCTGCAAAATAAATACACCTCAAGACGAGCCTTCGCTCAAAAACGAAGATTCTCCATTCTTGAAAATCAAATCGCCAAATAGATACAATCGACGCGAAATCAATCCCCATCATCAAAAATTCAATTCGCATAGTTACTATGCGATTTGATTAGTAGATAAGACTTATAATAGTAGACACAACATCCGTGATGTTGGTTCGAGGTTTTCATGTGTTTTTCCATGAGAGAGAATGGTAGATTCATTTTAACAAACAAGCAAACTGGTAAGACATTTTTAGTAGACAACGAGTTCAAATTTTTTGTTAGAGACAGTTATAGTACGTTAATTTTTTGCGAGCACACAGACTCGTAATCTTCTAACACTACAACAGAAGAAAATGCTTCCACGATTTCTAGACCAGTATTGCATGGCTCCGATGCAACTGTAATATGCTCCGCCATTACGAAGCCTAACCTTCGTATCGCAAAATCGCTTCCATATTCGTGGCCCTCATGTTGTGCATGTACCTGGTGACATTCAAAACATCACCTCAAAACACGAATCCACCAGGTAAAACCGAATGAAGAGAAATTACAGTGCTAATCCATACCCAACCCTTTACATCAACGAACAACATCAAAATCTTCCATCTATTTATCATCAGTTTCAGTACTGTGTCACGCCTGTGCTATCGGTACAAACATGAAAATCCATAATCATCAGTACTGTGTCACTTTGCTATCGGTATAAACATGAACATGATCCATAGTCATCAGTACTGTGTCACTTTGCTATCCATTATGCCGTGGTCTGGGCCTTTGTATTTCAGGCATTTGGGCATATGAGGTTTCACGCTCGGGTCATCCTGTGCCCATCCGATAGCCTGTGAAGCCTGCATCATCTTCCCCTCAAATATCTCGCAAGGTGCGGCTAACGATCGCATGTGTTTATCTGTGGTTTGGAGGGAGGGAAGAGCGAAATGAGATGTTGCAGAGGGAGGGAAGAGAGACCACATGGGTTTGAGTGGACTTGCGCGTTATACTAGGAACTGCATGTCTTTGTAGTTTGGGTAGTTTGCTCAGCACTTGGGTAGTTTTGATAGACTTGATGAAAAAAGGAGAAGTACTTCGACATTTGTGTAGCTGCTTCACACTCCCGAATTCAGTCGCCATTGGATTCGACGCAAGCGGAAGCTTTATGGATGAGTTGTTAGGAATATGAAGAGATTGAGGTTGGAGTTCTAGTTTTTTGAAGAATCGTGAAGTCAAAGAAGAGGTTATAGTTCTTGTAGAATTGTTTAACCAAGCTTGTAGAATTGTAATTCCAAATCGGAGTAGTTCTAGTTTTTTGCTATGAAGAAGTCGTCGAAAAAGAATCAATAATTGGTAGAATCCGATCTATCAAGCTATGGTATTCTATTCAAGTCAAGCATGGCATATTCACAACTGTACATTAGTCAAGCTTCTGCTCGTCGGCACAACTGCGCCACCTTGTTTTCGCAAGGCCATGACCCTCTTCATATCCACGGCAGGGTCGTCCCTAAATCCGGAGCGAGTATTACTCATCGGATGCGGTGCTTGGAATTTCGATCCAGGTGGCACGTAGTAAGTATCTGAGTGATGGTAAACGGAGTTATGTAAGAGATCAGAATGAAAGTCGTTACAAGTAATGGTAAACGTAGTTCTTATGTGAAAGTCTACAATGCTGAATGGAATTACTTGTTACTTACACTAAATTATGGAGGACATAGATAGATTTGAAACGATTCTTCTCATTACAGTGCAGAAACTTCCAAGTCATGACTTACAGAAGAACATACTCACCATCTTTTAGCCTCATTTGTGCTAGCTCGAAGTTTGTGAGTGTTGTCGCACTCGTGGAAGTCGCTAGCTTTTCTTAGAGGTTCCAGACGAGTTGCGCGCGCAATCTTCAGAACATCTCTGGCGCGTTTTCTTCTTCAAAATAGTCAGGGATGTTGCGAGTGCGGAATGCAATGAAAATGTGAGAATGAGCCTTAATTTTCCTTGTAGATTTCAGGTCCCGGCTTCTGATTCTCGTAGTTGGCGGCTTTAGGTTTCGGCGTTGGACTCGTTTGCCTACTTTCTCCGCCTCGTGGCGACAATTTTCCTCTTGAGGGAGGAGAGATCAGAGGGGCTACCTGGAACGGAAAGTGAGCGATATTGTGTCAGGAGAACCTTAGAAATAGTCATCTCACTACTGTAAATCATGAGGAACTTTCTGTTGATGTTGATATGTTGAGATGAATCAATAAGACATCATTTTTGTTCTTTGTTCTGTTGATATGAGATGAATAAGACATCATTTTTGTTCTTTGTTCAACATTCAATTAAAGCAAGTTTACAACATTCAATTAAAGTAAGCTTATACTCTACTCCCACCACAAACTATTTAATTGCAGTACCCCGACTTCCATACGCACGTCATCGATTGTCTTCTCCTTCGCTGGTCTCGGAAACTTGCCATACTTTTTCAATATGTAAGGTTCCCTATTGACGAGGCGCCATTTCAGATCGAAGTTGTCTCTTTCAGGCACATGCAGGGGATCGAATTGATAGCCCTCATCTCGATCTGCCACGTAAGGCTGGACATATTTGCTCCAGTACTCCTTGTTAGTTGAGAAGTCCTTTGTTACGCCTAGATTGGCGGTGGAAGAGGAAGATCCTCCTCCGCCAGTCGCGGAGGCGGGACCCGAAGTTGAGGCTGGCATTTTGTACTTCTTGTTCTCTGTTGAGGACTTCTTCTTCTGTCCCCAAGTTCTTTGGAATCAATTGGATGCTGCTAAATATACAAAATTTCCTTTGAAGATTAAGTTATGTTCGTAGGGAACAACTTTATACGCATGTGCTGACAATTAATCATTACGCATGTTCAGCGTAGGGAACTTTTTAAGCATTAATTTGTTTCGATTGATGTGCATGAAATATCATTGAACGAACAGAAACAATGCGAGCACAAAATATGTAGCTGTGGTTGCATTTCATCCTACCATCGAAAATATGAAAATGACATTGGTGACGAAATCGCTAGAAAGATCTACGAATAGAAGGGCCAAGGCAAGAAGCCAACAATAGGTACGGACGCGGGTATTCAGAGGTATTTGGGTCAAAAGGGTTGAGAACGGGTTAAAGACGTGTTTTTAGGGATATCTATATCACCGATGCAAACCACATTTGGTTATTAATGAGAATGGTAGTAAGAAAGACAGATAATACAACTTTGAGACCTCTGCACCGAACCGAGTCACTCTATCATGTCCGATCTCATTTATGATACCCACAGAGAGACCACGCTGATTCCTTCCCAGTGATTCCTTCCCGATCAAGAATACTCTACCTAAATACTATTCAAAATCCCCGAACACTCTTCGCCTTTAATGTGAACACTATAGGACCTTTAAGACGCCTTTAAGACTACCCGCTCCTCAAAAGCAGTGGTCTTCCCATGAAGTCGAAACCTGGAGGCAGAAGCAGAATCCAAAAAAACGACTACAGCTCTGGCCTGCCTTCAAATCTTCACGACGTCCATCGGTAAGTGGTATCTTCACAAGAAAACGAAACTGAAAAATCCACGGCATTTGTTCCTAAACATGAGCATCAAAAAAAGATCAGGAACAACTAAATACACCAGGCGAAAAAAAAATACTTATATTTATCATAGAATATTAAGTATCATGATTCAACAAGCACTGCTCTAGTAAAAAAACTTCCCGACCACGTTGTGCAAAGGATCAAAAGACAAAGATTCACCGCGGAAACATTGTGGTCCAGTCCCAGTGGCTAAATAGGTCGGGCGCCTGTCCCAACTCTTCCAAATGATCCCCCCTATAATCATCCCAGTAGTGCGCATCCCTGTTTTTCATGTTCTCCCGGCTCTGTCTTTCGAGACGGTACAGATCACGTAAAAGCTGCTCCTCATTCGGGTCCCGGCCTCCGTTGTTATTGCCATTATTTTCCCCTCCACTTCCACTGGAAGTTCCGCCACCACTGCCGCTGCTAGAAGCGGTTCCACCGCCAGTGGAGCCTCTGCCTGTACCGGTGCCCCTGCTGCCTGTGTTGAAGTAGAAGTCAGAAGTAAGCGAGGAAACACGACTTCCCGCGAAACCTAAGTCCACCCCACCAACGAGTTGCAGATGCGTATTGGAGCTCCCAAAGGGCAGGGCCACTTTATGATACGGAACAGGGTCGGTGTATTTCAGCAAAGGCATCTGCATCGGATAATCTACCGGGAATTTACAGTCCTCAACTAGCACTCGCTCCTCCAAAAAATTTTGACCTTTTGTCGAAGCCAAAAAATCTTTCAAGCACTTTCCGTCATCTCGCCGTCCTCCTGATTCATCCTCCCTCGATCTCTTTTTCGACGCAACCTTCGCCAGAATGTTTTCCAAAATCGCAGGCTGCGTCACCTTGGCACGGCTCAATAGCTCTTTCTTCATCCTGGCCAAAATGCCATTGTTTTCCGACGTGATCTGGACCTCCCCAGAATGGTCGTAATCTTTGCTACTTAAAACCAAGCCAGAGGCCGCACTGCGTGGTATCTCGGAGCTTTTGACGATGTTGTTTTGCAGCAGATACTTTGCCAGCACGAAAGCGCGAGTCACTTGCACCAATTCCGCAATTTCCGGAATAGACTCCATGTAAATGTCGCTCTTTTCGCTCGCAAGCGCTGCATACTGCGCCGTCCACGATTTACAAGCTGCTTCGGTGCTCGAACTAGAACTGGAGGAAGAACTAGATTTAGAACTTGCAGTAGAAGATGTTGAACACGTGGCAGGTACCGGCACGTCCTCGGTAATGAGTCTGCTCGGGTTTGCGGGGTCTCGCACGGTGCGAAGTGCTCGCGTCTCAATACCCAACTTCACATAGGGTACTAGGAGCCGAGTATTGCTCTTCTTCTCGCTTTCGCTCTCGTCGTGAATATTTATCTCACGTACGTACGCCTCTTTCACTACAAACCAAAAACGATGACGACTTGCCAGGCCCTCCGCTTCCAGCTGCTCCGCGTTCTTCGGAATCGTGAATCCCAAATCCGCCATCGATTCGTTCAGCATCTGCCTTTTTTGGTCTCTTCGAAGGCGCCCGATGTGGTGGAACGTGAGAATCTCGTCGCTCGTACGCCCGGAAGAGCCCGACTTGCGCAGAGCAGATAGCGAGAAAACGTGTCGCTTCATCGCCAGATCTGCCTGGAATAGGATCTCCCCGATTGCCGTGTTTTTCAGTTTTTCAGGGATTTCCAGGTCTTCTTTCCTCAAATCATATCTAGACGAGGATGAAGGCCCGAGAAATACTTTGCGTTGCATAGTATCTTTATCTTCAGCTTCATCGTTTTTACCATCACGACCTTCCTTCTTGTTGCTGGACATGGGATCCAGGGAAAAACTTGGCTCTTGCTTCTCCGCATTCCAGCCGTATTCAGCGTACCATTGCAAAGCGCCAAGCAGGTAATCGTAATTCACAGAAATAGAAAACTCAGCATCACCCCGCTTCGTGGATATGCGGTGGTTTTCATCATTTTTTACATCAACGCGGGCCCAGTCTGGATCTACTTGCGTCAGTTGGAGGAGCTCCTGGTTGTGAGTGTTGGACGCAGGTGACCCTCGAACGCTCCGCACCAAGAAGTTTTTGTCATTAAAAAAGGGAAGTCGTGGTTTTGTCTTCTCACTCAGCCGCGTTTTTGTCTGAAATTCTTCAGCCAAGAGGCGAATAGACTCATCCTCCTGAAAGTCAGTATTCGGAACTTGAGCTTGAGGAGTTGCTTGAGGAGTTGTCTGTCGTGGTCCCTGCTGCTGATAAAGCACATTGTGCACGTGGTTTTGTCCACTCATCGCACTCGCAACGTACTTCGTCAGGTACATCATACTATTCCTGTCTTCTCCCTTCTCCACTTCGTCGCTTTTCCGATAGGACCAAGCACCACCACCGCATACTTCCGTCTTCATTTCCTTTTGCAAAAGAGACATTAAGTCAGGCGAAAGATGAGTGTAATCATTTTTGCAAGTTTCTCTTATTCTGATGCGGTCCTGTCCTGAGCTTCCTCCTGCATAGTCGGCATAGTATGTTTCGTCGGGTTGCAGACTGAGGCTTAGATCAGGTCGTCGTCGCCGCAGATTTTCATTGAGAGCTAGGTGCACGAACATACTGATGCCACCAACAGCGAGCATCCAGTAAGAAGTTTTTCGCATTCCCTTCCGGTCCGGAAGTGCCAAATCAAGCTCGTCCTCATCTGACAGCTTCTCATCGCTAGTACTATCGTCTGCCTCACCTTCGATTTGCATTTCTTCATTCGAATCATCATTTTCTCCAGAAAGTGGGTCAACAAGGGCTTTCCGCTCTATCAATTTGAGATTGCTGGGCTTGACCCGCAGGTGCACCGGAACTGTTGGTGGATGAACTGTCTCGTCTTCATCTTTTGGGGAAGAAATCAGCACGACCTCTACTCGTATTTCTTTCTTCTCCAAAAAGTCTTTATTTTAGGGGTTGAAAGTTGGCGTCTCTAGCTCGCATATCTGTGGCTTTCCTACTTGAAGAAGACATAGAGACGCGCATAGAGATGGCAACTCCCAAGCCTTAATTATTCCAATGTATTCCGAGGAGCCCTGCCCGTCTCCCGTTCCAGCGAAGATCCTTTTCCAATCCGCCAATCTGGAAAGTGCTTCCAGGAGGGAAATTCTGCCAAGAAGAAGGAGCTGCAAGAATATTATCTTTATCTATTTCATCCATAGCCGCGTCGCCATGATCTTTCCCAAAATGGTGATCGGTCTCGCCAGCATCTTGCCGATTTTCTTCTCGAACGAAGAGTTTCTCCAAACGGAGGTCGAGGACCTTGCCTAGAGAAATGACCGGCTCCACTCGCACCCGTTCCGGCAACTTCACCACCCTCGCACGCCGGCCATTATACTCCAAACCTTTACCTCCTTCCACCCCAGGGTTCTTTCCACCTAAACTGTGTATCTCCACAATATCGCCCTCTTTCGGGAGTAGCGAAGTAAGAGGTACTACTAGATCATTGTTGTTCTTTTTGATATCCCTTCTGTTCTTCGTCTCAGTCTTGCTCGTTTCTTGCGAGAGGATCTCACTGCTTCTTCGAGGAGAAACCGACCCCGCTGTCGCAACGGCGGACGCGAGTTGGAGAAAACTGAATTCTACAAAGGGAAAGCTCGCAGTCGTGCTAAGAAGCGGCACCAGAGTCCCCACGATGAAGGAATGCCTGCTGGCTCTCATTTTGTTCGTCCTGATTGGATTAGATTCGCTACTCAATGATACAGTCACAGTTCATGCAAGTTAAAAATTCTCTTGTTAAAATGCAGAATAGATACTTCTAATGTCTCCAGTCTCAAACTACATAATTTTAGAATGCCGACCCTGAATAATTTTTAGAATTAGAATAATTTGAAGATGTCCTGATGAATAAAAAGAATACTTTTTTCGTCATTTGGAAACAAATTATAGAGAAGAAACTTCGACTCAACGTCGAAGAGCTGCTCTTTCTGAAACACCTGAGCTAAATAGAAATTCTTCACATCTTTTAGTTTTACTCTTCTTCTTCTTATATCCGCCACTTTCGTGGAGAAGTAGGGGAGGACCCCGTTTATGGCCCAGGAAGGCACTCTTAAACTTTCCTTTCGTGTGATCACGAGCTAGACTTCCCTGGAAGGATTTAACAAGCCATTAACACTAACCTATAGTATAAATTAAATAACAAACTAAATGCAAGTGAAAACCAAGCCGCCTCCCTGGAAGCAGGTAGTTATACAATTTCAGCCACCGATAATTACCAAGCACTTGCATTATATATAACTTTCCTTTCCTTGATCGGATCCTCACTTCAACGCAGATTTTCTTCATTTCGTTTCATCTAACAACCTCACCTCTTCTTTGTCCGTCTTCTATCTTCATTTCAAGATCGTTACACGTGTTCTTTTTTTTCTTACTGTGTTCTTTTTTTTCTAAACTTCCATTCCAACCTCTTATGCAGCGAACACTTCCACCACGATTGTGGTGCTAGTAGTTTCCAAGACAGTAAACAGGTTATAAGTTGACATATGGTGATGAAGACAGCAAGAGCCGTCAAGAATTGGAGGGGGTTAGCCAAAATGGATATATTTATAATGTCTTGTTTCGCGTTCGCGTAGGCGTACAAGTGGTGTTGTAATAGAAGAAAGACGAATGGGTCGGCGTCCTTGAGTGCCGATAAGTTGATGTTCTTGTTGTAGACGTACTCCTGTCGTTCATGGTGCTTGGATGAAGAATGTCCTCCAAGACCAAGTTTTCACCGTCTCATTCTTCCATGATTGTACTCAAAACTCTGGGCTGATTTCCTCCTGCCTGGCTATCCATGCTGCCACCACTGTTTAGCAGTGTTGCAGCAGGCCCTCCGGTACCAACGGATGCTGTGTTTGGTCCTCCTCCGACTGAGGTACCAACTGATGCGCTCACTGTTCCTCCAGCTGTTCCGGCAGACGCAGTGCCGGAATTATCAGCAGTTAGTCCTCCTGGAACCACACCTGGCCCCAGAAGACTAGCCGCGCCTGAGGCCCTTCCTAACAGATCTCTAGCAATGGCTGAGCTTTGCCCCTCCCGGTCAAAACTGCCACTAGACAACGCTAAAAGATGCGTGCTGAAGAAACTTTTAGAGTCGCAACAGGAGACACCCTTGTCGTTGTCCTCTTTAAGCTCTTCCGCAGTTCGCGCAGAGACGAAACGACTGCTGTCAGCGGATAAAATCGTCACGAGATCGCGTCGATCGTAGAGATCCACACGATCTTCAGTTTGTGTACCACTATCCACGAAACTCCGATTCTGAAGTTTCTCCTGCTCTAGTTCCAGCTGTCGCTTATCTCGGAGGCCAGTCAGCTGCAGATGCTTCAGCTGTGCGAACCCCCCGACGAAATCCAAAGACTTGCTACCACCTGGCGGCTGCAGCAAGTGCTGGTTCTGTTGCGTTGGCTGACCTAATGCAGCTGAAGACCCCGTTGCGGCACCTGTTGATGAAATCCCTGCAGCACTATTGTTCTTGTTCTGTTTCGCCTGTGATATCCTGTCGAGACTGCGACCAAGCTCCTTGTCCAAGGGCTCACCCTGTAGGGTCGATTGGCCTCTAAGATTCGAAGAAGAAGTGCTTTTCGAGCCTAACGCGTCACCGGATCCGGTTGCTTTGGCTTGCTGCTCCAAGGCGATCTTGATCTCGGCTGGAGTTTCCAGCAAATCAACCTGGGACGACTCTGAATCTGAATCGCTATGAGAATCGTCGCTATGTTGGCTTCTTTTTCGATTTTTTCGAGATCTAGAGGACCGACTTCGAGAAGAACGGCTACTACTAGAAGAAGAATTGGAACGAGGTGAAGCGTCGTCGTCCTTACAACTAGACCCTTTTATACTGCCTTCTTTTGGCGAGGAATCTTTACTACCTTCCTTGGGAGATGGAGAGGCAAATCCTTTTAGAGTACTATTTTTATCGGCCTCTTGTTCAGCTTTATCTTTTTTCTTTTCCTTTTCCTGAACATCTTCAGGTGCCTTTTTTGCCTCAGAATCTACATCCATCTTGTCTTTATCATCCTTCTTTTCTCCTCCTGAAGCTAGCGAACTCTTTTTGGAAGATTCACTTTTCCTAGGTTCGCCAGAAGCTGGAGCCTCAGCAGCAGCAGCAGCAGCACCTTCTTTCTTTCCTCCCGATCCCGAAGCGCCAGGAGACTCACCAACAATAACAGCGGCAGCGGCGGCAGCTGCAGCTGCACGAGCTGCTGCAATGACGTCGTCCTCTGCTGGGTCACCTGATTTTTCTGCAGTACTGGAGTCTTTCTTCTCCTCAATAGCACTAGCACTACCGGTCTTAACATTCATCTCTGCCGGTGATCCTGCTCCTGCTGCTGCTGCAGCCGAAGGTGTTGCTAGTCCGGGTAAAGATGTTCTGGAAGCCTTTGGTCCTCCAGCAGAAGAGCCATCTTGATCTACTTGCATCGGCAAACCGGCTCCTCCGCTTCCCGGTATCATCACACTTGACGTTTTTGGTGTCAATGACGTTCTTGGTGGCGCACTTCCTGGCGTGCTGCCTCCGTGAGGTGGGGGCGGCGCCACACCTACAACTCCCTTCGCCATCATCGGCGGTCCGCCAAAGGGGCCCATAATCGCACCCGGAAACCCTGGCGACACCGGGACCGGTGACGGACTCACGCCAGCTCGCACGAATTGACCGCCTGGTTAGAGGTATACGGAATGCATCTCATCAGAGACCATCTGGGTCTTTTCTAATTTCCTTGTCCAGATGACTTTGGAGATGCATTCCCTACACTCATAACCTGGACCTACGGGGGTGTAGGGTCCGCCTCTGAGGATTGCGCCTGGAGGAAGCGTGCCTTTTACAGCATGAGGTGGAAGCATACCAGGAATTCCTTTGCTAGGACTGACTCCGTCGCGGTGATCTAGAAGAGCGCCGGGAAGAAGTGGCGGACCATTCGGCGTGCCACCTAAGCCAGCGAAACTTAGAACTGTCATGATCTTCTTCGTGAGGATGTTACATTTCAATTTTGGCCAGTTGTGAAACATGAAAATTGCAGATAAGAACATAGTTAATGGAACAAATTGAGATTGACTCGAGCTCGACAAAAAAAGGACCACAATCATAAAAGAACTCCCAAAATAACAAGAACCACCATAAAATCATTTGTCCACTATGTCCACTATTTTGTCCTGCATTCGGCGTTATCGGGGTAGGAGTCGGTGTTGTGTTGTACTGATTATGATACGGATTCTGCTGTTGTTGTCGTCGCCAGGCAGAACCCTGATTATGCTCGGCTTCTCGTTGGCGCTTCCAGTTCTCGAAAGCACCAACTTGAAAACGATTCGTTATCTGCCGGACATACTCACCGTCAGTGGGCCAGAACATCTGCGCGAGAGCACATGCGAATTGTCCTGCTCGTATCGCGGCTTCGCCATTGTTCTTGTCTACGCCAAGCACCCAGTGGGCGGAAAACCTATTTTTGATGGATTTCGTGTATAGCAGAGAACTAACGGGATTCGGATAGACTCTGAACGAAGATAAAGAGATGTTTGAACAAACAAATTCATCATGCAAATGCAATACCTGCAGTGTCAAGAAGAACAACAGCATCAACATCTTCATCGCCTCAATATATATGGCAATATACCTCAACAATCCCAGTCTTATCGGCGTTAAATGGCGAGTAGTATCTTTTTCTTCCGTCGTCATGCGTTCAAACAAGAACGAGTCGATGTAATCGAGAGACATCAGAATCAGGATCAGCACTTTCCTTACTCGCAAAGCCCACTCTGGTTCTAAATTTGACGCGTCGACATACTCGCACACCCGATCCATCATCGTGGCATAGTCGATGTCTCCCGCTTTCCACGCGGAAGGCGGACTCGTCTTAGCCTTGTTAGCAGCGCCTGAGTCCGCACTGTCGGCAACCGCATCCTTGTCCCATACTTTGGCAAAAAATTCGATCATCAAACGAAAAGCCCGGTTCGGAACGAACACGCGCTGCTGCTGCTCGTCGTGTTGCGCGGGAGCTCCTGCCATCTTTTAAGACGATTGATTCCTGTAAGTGAGGGACCTACAGAGACTGTTGAGTACTCTTTGAAACAAAACAGGGAATTGCTAGGGATACATCGCTAGTAGCTAGGATTTCCACTACATCAGGTGTTTAACACAGAAGCGTAAGCATTACGAAAACAAAATGTTGTTGCTGATCATGTTCATTGCTGTGTCGCTGTATTCGTTGTCAAGAGAAAAGGAAAAACATCAACGATGGCATCGGTATGGTTGAAGTCGTACAACACTGATGGGTTAACAAACCTTCTTATGAGTTTGATTCCAAGAAAGCGGTGATGCCAAAGCTTGAACAGAGCGTAAGCAACGAATTGAAATTGGTTTTTATGGCCTTTGGGAAACACTGAATCATGTCGCAACCATTTTGCATCATGTTTCAGATTATGATTCCTTCCTGTCGCAACGGTCACGCAGGGGCTCACCACCAGAAAATTTTTATGTTCACAGCTTCTTATAATTTGGATTCCACGAAAGTCTACTTTCTTCTCTGGATGTTGCCCTGCGGCAATTTGCGACTTCAAAATGCAATAGAGAGATTGGAATTCTTCAAGAAAACACGCGTTCACAAGAACGAAGCACCATCAGCAAGGCGAGACCAGTTATTTTTGGAGAACAGCTTACATAACCCCTGAATTTGTGTAAAACATTTTCAAGAGAAGGAGAACCGCAAAACCATCAACATGATTGAAGAAGTTAAAATTCCGAATGCGATTCTCAAGGTCATCAATTATGATGTCTCTTTCTTTCTCTGCGGCTGCGCTTTCCGGCATTATACACAGTAATTGTAATATTGCCCCTGGACACAAAGTCTTCGCGCCGTCAGAAACCACGACAAGGAGACAGTAAGAGCAATCATCTAGTTGTAATCTCTAGATGTAATTTGTAAACTCGACATCTTTTCTGAACTGTTGTAGAAACGGTGTTGTAGAACTTCTGGAAGAAACAGTGTTGTAGAAACGAACTTCTGGAAGGATAAGGTACTCTTAGAGACTTGGAGACCTAGAGAGAGCCCAACTATAGGAAGCAACTACTTCCTCTTTCTTCACACTACGAGGAGGAAGTTCGTAGAAGTGCCGGCTCGTTAATCCTTCCTGTCTTATTAAATCTAACTTTTGCGTAAAAGACAGTAGATCGTTTTTCCAAAATTTTCTATAGACGACGTCTATACCTGGCATTTAATTCCCATTTCTCTTATTCTTCATTCACATTCTTCTAACTTATGGCGCACTTAGTACTTTGCTCTAATGCCCGGAATCTAACTTATAGCGCACTTGCTTTGTTCTAATACCTTTCGTGCTGCTTGCCTCCGAAACATGCCAACTGGGAAGGCGTCGAACCCGGCCCTTAATCGAGGGTTCAATACCGGATAGTAGGGCTGGAACCAGTAATGGCCCCTCTGCGGTCGCCCCTTGCTCTTGTTGAACGAGTCCAGCAATTTGCCGTAAAAGACGTCGTAGAACTGTCGCATCGGGTGCTCAGCTTTTGGGGGGAGAGATTAGAGGTACTTAGGTAGTACGTAGTCGTGAACGTTAGATTGATAATATTGAGTTCTTGATGAACGCTCAATCAAAAACCTTCCTGCTAATTACATGAACAAAAAACTATTCGTATTCTTTAAAATCAACATGATAAAGCACAGATGATTAGTAAGACTATTCAAACTACTGCGTGGTGCAATCGAAGAGGTATCACAAGGACTGATAAAGATATTTCGACGGAATCTGAGTTGTACTTATGATAAAAGTTCCTTAAGAACTAGATCTTCCCAACGGCAGCTTCGTTTCCCCTGCTGCAAGCGAAAAGCCTGCTGGACTAGGATTGCTGCCTTTCCCACCTCCTGTGGATGTTGTTGGTTTCGCACCACTCCATCTACTAGTTTGTTTTTCTCCCAGTATTTCCGCTCTGGACATGTATCGGTAGACGATAGCTGAGTGCCGATTCGTGTCCTCATTGTACAATTTCCGAGTCAAAAAACCCGCTTCATTTAAGGAAGCACTGGCATCTTGGATCCAAGCCTTCTTCATTTCCGGGGTCATGGGGTCGATTTTGTTCTTCTCCCAAGGCTTCGGCCCTGGCGGATTCAAAAACACCGCACTAAGCTTAGAGATCAACGGTGAGTAGCCACTGATTCTGAAAGAAAAGGGCCCCACGCTCTGTCTCCCCTTGTTTTCCCTTAGATTTCCCCTGTTCTGTCGCGGGGTTTCCCTTTCGAGGTCAGTGACAAGTCTCGGAGGTGACCAATGAAGTCTGAGCCTTAATAAACGTGCGACCCGCAGATGCCATGAAGATATCGATCTCGGTTTGCGCGTGGTGTTGCCGAGGATTCCGAAGCGTTGTTGCGGCCGTTGTGACTGAGCACATGGATCCTCTGATGATTAGAACTAGTAAAGTAACATCTTCTGTTCTCGCATGATCGGAAGAGGCGTTACAGATAGTGGTCCAGGATTGATCATTAAAAAAAATTCTGCTAGTCCAGGATCACTAAAAAAATTTTCAAACGTGAATATGAAATTCAACCAAAAGATGAAATTATAGAACAAACACTTAAATAATTCTTATTCAAGTAGAGCCGTATTAAAAGGTAACAGCATGATTAGTATGAGTATTAGTTGTAGTATTCCGTAAAAACAATCGATCTGCCATTCGCTGTTCCTCGTAGAAGAATTTTTCTGGCCAACTCATGGACTGCCTAATCTGATCCGGGAGCTCATTTTCCACCCACCCAATTTCGTAGAACAACTGCTCCCGCATTCGCTCCTGACCGCGCTTAATCAAAGGGCCGTACCTGCGGACGATTGTGACAGGAGACATCTACAACTGTGAAAATAAGTATTCGTGTTGACAGCTTCAAATTATTTAGTACCTGTGGAAATTGCTAAGACATCAGCGATCGATCGATTAGGAATATTTCTATGGGAGGATAGAGGATAGAGGATAGAATTGCACGAATTCAATAGGAATGTGAAGGCGTCGATTGGTGACTTCCACGTAGTACTAGTAGTAGAAGTCTACTAGAACAAATAGGCGACGAACTGCGTGTTGCTTTGCAGAGTCCTAAAAATGGTAAGTTTCTTTTGATTGCATAAAATTACGTCTGACTCTTCTCCAAAATTTGCAAGCAAGCAGTGATATCCGATAAGGCGTCGTGTTGGCCAGCCTCTATTCCAAAGGCTTCGGATAGAGACTCCGCCTTGAAATTCTTCAAAGGCAACTTCTCAGGGGGTACATATAGCGGCCAATCGATGTCCTTCAAGCTACACAGCCACTGTTTGCTGTGGAGGTTTTCATTCAAATTGACATTTAAAAAAAAAAACGTATACAACGATACGATGATCTTCATGTGCCACCTTTGCCTGTACTAGCATGTGCAAATACCGATGAAGTCAATTTGTCCATCCTCATCATCATCAATGCCATGCTTATGTTAGGCTCTCTACCACATTTGTTTCTACATGTAGTAGAGTTAGAGCTAATACAGATCTCCAATACCAAGTGATTACAACTTTACTAGTACTATGCAGCCGGCGGGAAGTCACGCGCTATAAATCGGAAGTCGTAGTCTGCGTTGTGTGCCACAATGAAATGCGATATCTCCATCAACGCGCCTACTTTTCGCCAATCAATTTTCTTCCCTTTTACTCCACGAATGCCGGTTTTCTCCCTAACAACACGCTTCGGATCGTCTTCATAACCGATCATGTTAACGGCGAAAGCGCCGTTACTCTCGACCTGAGTGAAACGATGGATGGATCCGTTCTTTGCGAAGATACTTTAACAATGTAGTATCATCCACCTCCTTCATCCACCTCCTTGGTACCGTTTTTACATGTGTTACCTCTTTCAGGTGTGTGATAAAAAGATTTCTTAGCCCAAAGTTGCATTATTAGACAGATGAAAATGCAACTTGCACTGACTAGTATCTCATAATCCTCCCATGATCATCTACCGATCTGAAACTGAATATAGTGTGATAAGTACCTCATAATCCTCCCATCTTCCGAACTTCAAGCGGAACTTTTCTCGATCCGGTTCTTCGAGGCCCAAGTAGTTAAAAGAACCGAATTCAGAAGGCGAGCGAATCGGTTTCTGTCCTGCCACGTCAAGCCACTCGCTATAGGATGTCGTAAACTCATCATTAATACGCAACTGGTCTAATTCTTTTGCCCCTATGACTTCGCTATCCGACAACGTGATCTCACGCACTTTCCCTGTGCGAGTGTCTACCTCGACCACTCGCGCTGCAATCTCTAGTAAAAAGTCAGCTTTTACTTGTTCTGGCTGTTTCGTGGCGCCTGGTTCACCTTTCCACTTGATGCGATCGTGGGGTTCTAGACCAGAGTTCTCTGTGTCCAAGTAGCAAATCCGGAAAACATGCTGTTCCTTGATGTTCGCAGATGCAATACTGCTAGAGAGCTTGTCTTTCGATGTCTGCTGCTTTAGCAGTGACGCTTTAGTGGAGGTTTGGCCAGAAGTTGCCATTCCAGTTGTACTGCTGCCTGCTTTAGTCGTGATCTCATTCAACTTCGAACTTGTTGCGATGAACTTCTGTTGCGCAGTGCTGCCCCACATCTGCGGCAACAAGTCAATCGCGAATCGCCCAGTTGGCGGAGCGGGGTCGGCTATGCATCTTTCAGCTACTTCGGCATCTTCTTTTCCACCATTTTTGTTGTCTGCTCCCTGTTTCGCTCCACCTCCGCCACTACAGGAGGCAGAAGGACTTTTACTCGTATCATCCTCACAGTCATCTTCTCCGGTCAAGTCCACTACTTCGGGAATTTTGGAGTTTCTCCCAGAGGGAGCTTGTTCCCAGCGCTGTCGGGCTCGCGCAGACCGCTTATCTGCTAGATGCCAGGCACTGCCAACTGGAGTGTCAGTTTCCCCGTAGAAACCGGCTGATACCGGTTGCACCAGCAAGACCGTAGACAGAAAAGATAGGAAAAACATTCTCAACTTGTTGGACGTGAACATCATTTTGGATTAGTATTATTTACTGCCTTTTTTATACGAATGTCAGTGGTTCGTTGTAAAAATTAGATAGGTAGTGAATAAGTCGCCGATCTTGGCGTGTAATTGACTCATCGATTTAGAGAAATCAGCGAAGATATATCATTGAAGAAACGCTATTTTTACGGTAATCAATGAGTAATGAAAAGTTCTTTGACGAGTTTCCAAAATAGACACAGAAATGATTATGTCCGACACTTTTGGATCAGAACAAAGAAATGTTAGTTCGAATCGTAAATCATCGACACAAGAACTGCAAACAACATGCATGTATTTTTCTTCATTCAATAAGGTGAGCAGAAGTTATTCAATATTTATCAATAAATTGAAAAAAAGCGTAACCGCAATGAAAAGACAATAGAAACCTCACCAAACGCCAATGACAACACGAAGCAACCAACCGAAAAAAGATGCCACGACACAGAAGAGCACTCTGAAAAGTCAGTGTCTTCCAAACCATGGACTGACAATTGAAAAGAGATTGTCTCAGCACCACACGCCGCGATACCAGTGCTGTAGTGTCTTACGACTATACTAGTCGCACTGTGCCACGACTCGAACAATTGAGCCTTATGCCTTACCCAGCATGGCCGTCACTGTTCTTACAGCCTTTTTTTTGAAAGAATTTCCCCACAATTTATCAGCGATGGGCCTAACCCACGGCTACTGAAAACTAAAATGCCGTACATTGACGGTCATCTTGACAAATCAACATCCACGTAAGTACATGATTCATGGTTATTGCGAAGATTGCGGAAAAAGATGCAATCTAGGGCTTCATCATAGGGCGTCGTTGCCTTACTGTATTTGATTGATTGTCATCCCAAGTAGTGCTCCTAGTCTACCGGCGGGACGATACAGCTCCACCACTTACTATATAACTACAAGCTAACGAATTGAATTAGATATCCTATTGGTATTCTGATATTCTCAAGAAAGTATTTAAGTTCGAAAAGTTCACCCCTTGTACCGAATTGATTCCAGATGCGAAAAAATGTGAATGAAACAAAAAACTACCTTTGAGATTGAGTTGTATTTGTACGTAATCGTAAATTTTTGATTTTGATTTGGTGAAGGCCACTGTAAACTAAAACTACAAGAAAACTTTGACTTTCCGTGATAGACGACCAATCTTTGTGGTGCCTTAAATCTATCACGCATTACATTTGTTTGAAATCAGTTCGGCAACAGTATACGCTATTGGGCGCGATAAAAATCTTCCCATAATTTATTACTTAGTATCGATTGAAGATACTAGTAGACTGTAAGTGTAGATACCATGAATGCGTAAAAAAGTACTAGAATAGCAGCGTTCATATTGATTCTGATGAAGATGATGAATTCGGAACGTAAGCATACTAAACTCTCCAGAGACAACCCACCGTAGCGTTCTTAGCTAGAATTACATTTTCGTACACACTACAGGACCATAAACCATTAAAGGTAGCACCACACGTACAACGCTGCGGCCAGCAGCATCTTTATTTCCGCTTCCTCTCCATATAATCCTCAAACCGCCTCACTCCTTCCTCCCGCAATGCTTGTGCCCGCTCCTGTTCCGCCGTTTCTTGATGCGCTAAAGCTACGAACTGTTCTAACAGGTGGAGTTGAAATTCGCCTTCGCTGTGCTCTATCGCAAGGCAGTCGCGTTCGTCAGCCGCGCGAGCAGCGTTTTGCAAAGAGGCACGGATTTCTTCGATGGATTGAGGAGGAATCTGACCACGCGACAAGTCTGCGCGACCACGCTTCCAGAAATCGATCTCAGCTTCAGTTCCCACTTGACGCTTTTCGAGGTTCTCGATTCTGGAAGGGTGTTGCGTGGAATGAAGTTGAAAGGTCTAAAGCGGGTTGTTCAGGTAAAGTCGGTAGAACGACTACAAACGCTGTCCATCTTTCTTAATGATAACCATCTTCTGAGTTGTTCAAAAGATTATCAGCTAACACTACCATAGGAACTAAAACTATGAGGAAGTTAGGAGTAGTACTCTTTCCGCATTCCACTCCTCGTTTCTATTTGGGGAGGTGCGTTTTCATCCACTTCAGTTTGCAAATCTTGCATTGTCATAGTCGTCAATTCCTCGACAGCGTCAATAACGTTCTCTACGCACTCCGGGACACCTTCTTCCTTCCCCTGCTTCTCCAACCTTTCGAGTTCGTAGAAAATACACATTTGAAGTAGGCATAAATCAGCTTGATCTTCGGACATATGGGAAAAGTCTGCCGCTCGCATCTTAGCCTGAGCTGCGACGCGAAAGTCACCCTCTTCTACTTGAGTGCCCTTTGGATATTCCCACTCTTGGATCGCGCGCATCCTGAGAAAGATTATGGACATTTTGAATTTTGATTTTTTACAACGAACTACAACGACGCGCGCATCCTGAGAGAGCGGTGTAGGAGGAAGATTATGGACATTTTGAATTTTGATTCTTTACAACGAACTACAACGACTTGAACTTGAAGATCATCCATTATTTCATCGTAATAATTGTATTGATTTGATCGTAATCGACTCACTCACATCGAAGATCATGGTCAAATCGAAATCATAGATAGATCCTCGAGCAAGTAGTTGGAATTGTTACTCAGCAGCCTCTTTGCTCCGACGTTTGGCTTCTTTCAGCGTTTCTGGCTGAATTTCGTCTGTCTCCTGAAGAGCCAACAGTTCATTCGCAAGCGCCAAAGCAGTACTCGCCTGATACCCACGCGCGACTAGAGAAGCCGTCAATTTGTCACGCCTTTGGGCGTCCTGAGGCGGCGGTTGCTCGGGGGTGAAGACCTGGTTGAGTGAAATGTGGTAGAGTTCTAGCTTCGTTTCTTGCGAAATCAATTCCTCTCTCACCCGCAGAATCATCAGGTATTTGCAATTAAATACCGACCACGCACATTGAGAAAGTTTCAACATCTCGATACTTCTGTGACAATAAAATGTTTTCATACCCTATCTCCAGCTGGTCTTTTCCCTGTTGCTCTTGGGCTCGGAATATGAACAGGAGTAGCTATTCGGGGCATCAAATCTGGTCTCGCGCCACCTGCGTTAGGATCAAAACTTGGGCCAGGAGTTTGTCTAGGTTCTCGATCTCCAAAAATGCTCATGCGTCTTCCATTTCCAGCGTTCTGCTGACCCCTTTGTTGACTGGAAGAATCGACAATTTGACCAAATCTTGGCGTTCCTACATCGCCTAGCTCGCCAGAACGATCAGGCGTTTCGTCCTCGATACGACCTCCGAACATAGAAACGTTGTCGCCGCCAAAGCTTACCTGAGGATAAGAGAGATGAGATGAGACAAATACGATGAAATGCAATGTGCTATAAAAAGAAGAGTTCAGTGTGATGTTGAAATGAATCACAACAAGTTCGTCATCGTTTTCGTTCTCAAAAAATTCATATTCATTACCTCCTTATGCCCCCTCGCAGCTCCCGGATGGCAAGCTCCGACGGTCGGAGGCGAGCCACGCGCTTGCTCCACGCTCGTCCTAGGCCGTCCATCCGCTGAGGCGAAGCTGAGAGACTCATCTACGACGCCTTCTAAGATATCCGCTTGCTCACGCTCCGCCAAACTACGCACTGGAGACGTACCTTCCTCCCTTTTCGGAACTATCGCAGCATTGCCAGCGTTTGCTGCGGCACCACTAGGACCCTCTAAGAGGAGTCTGTCCACAGCACTCTGATCAACTTGATGAACTCCCGCTTGTCCATCTTGTCCACCTACTTGCTGACCTCCCTGACTCTGTCCAGCACTGGGTTGCTGTCCGCTTCGATCTGAGTATACACTCATTATCATGGCAACGTCACGGGGATCAGTCTTTTCCTCCTCTCGCGGTGGTGGTGTTGCCTCTGGAGGTGGTGCTTCTAGAGCATCCTTATCAGCAAGCATACCACCAGTGTTGTTCAGGCCTCCATCATTACTTATGCACGAGACAAAGCTATCAGCCAAGGCCTGCGGCATTTGCGGTGGAGCATCGCCAGGTCGTGTGTAAGCTAAATCTCGGAAAAACAAGTACTCCTCATCATTGTCGAGAGCGGACCTAGGAGAAGGTAGATGTTGGATGTTGGGATTTTTGTGTGGTAAAAATATTGAAACAAGCTGTGCTCCTCTGAGAGAAATTTACGAAAAAAGTAAGTATTGCTATGTATTCTGCAAAAACAAATTAAAGATAATAACTACAATAAAACTACAAGGATACCATCCCTCCCTCTCCGGTGCTTTCAAAAGCCACTTCGAAGGATCCGGTTCTTTTGGTTCTGGTTTAGGCCCTTCTGGTGTTCTAGCCCACACATCTGCTGGCTCTGCCTCCTTACTTCTTCTAGGTGAGTGAATCCACATCGTCCCCTCGGGATCCTCAGCATTCCGTTTAGGCACTACAGACACTCTAGCCAGTCGATCTGGCTGTTTGTCCTTCAGGCGTTCTCCTAGACTGGCAAAGCGTAGTCGCTCTCGAAAGTCAGGGTTTTCCTTGAACCATTTGTTTTCGATGCGCTCCCTGGTGGCACGGTCAGGGTAAGGTATTTTCTTTACAACGACAAGGGCCCTACTGGTGGATGAGGATGATGAAGAAGATTGTTGCTGCTGTTGCCTACTTCCATTGTTCTGATCATTCCCCTGAAGATCATTCCCCAACATATCTTCACAACTTCTAAGACGTTTCCGCGAATCTACACCAGTGAAAACAGCAGGCGGCCCAAAAGCACCACCAGCTTCGCCAGGTCGTGGACGTTCGCCACGCGCTTCCAAGAATAGGTCCGCATCCACCTCTCGCTCTTCATCAATGAAATTCTGCTCTGCATCCACGTTCGAGCCGACAAAACGATACACTTCGACCCCAGTGCTATTACGCGCTATGGATTTGAGACCAACTGCAGTTGCAGATCCAGAGCCTCCAGCGACAAAGATATTCGACAACATCGTGTATCTATGATTTTTACCGCCTGCGTTGTTACCTGCGTTGTTCGCGCCGTCACCAGTCGTAACTACAGCAAGGGGACCATCAGCGCCACCAGACGCTTGATCCCCCGCTTCACCTTCCACCCTTGATGCACCTAAACTGCCATCTTGTTTTTTGAGAAGGTGACCTCCGAAGTCTGGCATCAAGTGGCTCTCTTCCTCGCGAATGGCCGAGACCTCTGAAAACCGCACCCGCGAACGTCTCCCTGCTTCGGATACCTGCCTAGGCGCGGCGGAGGAAGAAGATCCTTGAACTTGATTTGAAGGAGCTCCTTCTTGAAGAGGTGCGTCAGCACCAGAAGCTCCATGATTTGTCTCTTCTTCTGCCACTTCATTTGTGATTGCAGAAGGAGCTGCAGGACCGCCACCACCAAGAACAACACGGATCGGGCCCCGAATCTCATTGTCGTCACGAATCTGATATGGGGAGAAGATTCAAATGACCCACGATCTAAATACAGAGACGAGACAGAGTTCTTTCGTGAAGAAAGGATCATGAAGATGGTGTAGACCTTATAGACGAGACAGAGTTCTTTCGTGAAGAAAGGATCATGATGGTGCAGACCTTATAGATTAAGAAAGGATCATGATGGTGTAGACCTAGACCTTGTAGATTTTATAAACTCAACAAACAAGGTACCTCTTCTGCCATCCTCGGCGACCCGCCTTCGTAGATCACCGGCACCCAGCCTCTAGTCGATACTGCACCGGCAAAAAAGGCTTCTTTGTACTTCGGATCATCCAGATTTAGACTCGTCGTGTGCCTCAACGTCGCTTCCCTGGGTAACTGAATAGCCTCATTGATACCCGCACGCGCGCGTGTAGGTAGATTTTCATCATCCGCTCTTTGGACAGTGCGATTACGAGGCGGTGGAGAGGAATGACGCTGCAAAATATCAGAATCGCCTGCTCGTCGACCAGGACTATTGCTGTTCTTCTTGGTACCATCTGCATCTACAGAGCCATCGTTTGGACTGGAGGCTACGCCTGAGTTGTAGAAAGGATCGTCTCTCCTTGACGAAGGACCAAGTGCTCCTGCTGCGCCACGAGAAGAATCGCTCATCTCCTTTGCTTGTCCTCCTGCGGTTGTTGCTCCAGTTGCCGTTGTACCATCACCCCCTGTATTTTGAACTAAAGATGAACGAGTCTGCCTCGTCCGCTCCTCGCCTCGATTCATACCGCCAGGCCTGCTCGGTCTGTCCTGCGCTGCGCCTGGCTCCGCCATTGGTGGCGGTGGAATCGATGGCGGCAAGTTGTTGCTATTTGTCATCGAAGTGCCTACTCCAGAAGCATCACTTCCTCCTCTTGGAAACGGAACTCCTGGGCCTCGACCTGGTCCTGGACCTGTTAAGACTCCTCCGTGAGCATTACCCGCAGCAGAAGAGGACACTGGAGCCCCTCCGCCAAGACTAGGTGGACCACTACTAGCGCCTCCTAATGATCCTAGTCCAGGTGGTGCCTTAGAAACACATGGCAATCCTGTACTACTATGAGCTGCACTCGTACTAGATGACTCAACTCCCGCTCTAGTACCAGGAGGACCTTGCAAACCCGGAGCACCACCAGCGGATGCACCAGAGGGATGATCCGCACTTGTTTTACCACTACCAAGAGGAATTCCTGGTCCTCCACCCAAGAGAAGTCCTCCTCGTCCTGGCCCTGATGTCGTTCCTCCGTGAGGACGACCACTAGCAGGAGCAAGATTAGCATTGGTTCTACTTCCTCCAGGGCTGCGTAAATAGGTGCTAGGACTGTGCGCCGTGTCTGGCAAACCATGGCGAAAGGACGCGCTCCCACTTGGTACACGCAAATTTCCATCTGGGTCCGTGGCGTAACTTCTAGGAGAAGCAGCCGTGTTGCTGTAGATCGGAGCACGACTAGTATACAGCATCTCCTCGGAAGGCGACTCTAGAATCTCACTTCTTCCTGTGGTCTTGTTATCGTTATCGGCAGGAGCACCTGGAACATGGACATCACCTTCACGACCGTGTTGTTGTTCTACACGACCTCCTTCAGGAGGAGTGATGTTTGCTTCTTGTCCTGGCAAGTCGGGTGTAAAAACTGGTGTAGTTGTACTGTTAGCAGCACCATGGGTCGCTTGTTGTAGGCCAAGCGGCTGCTGAGGTCCACCAGTTCCAGTTCCAGAAGTTCCGGTCGAAGTACCACGAGGACCACTCAAACTCATCCCGTTCATACCAGGATCCATAGGTAGTAGGCCAGCATTCCTCAACAACATTGTACTAGTACTACTACTTGCAGACTGCGCATGGTGAAAACCATCTGTGGGACTTTCACCCAAATTCGGTGAGTTCCCATGTCCAGCTGGCACGTCAGACGGATCTCGACGTCTCAGCAGTGTCCGCCCAGGCGCTTTAGGTTCTGCGACAGGCAATGCTGGTTGTGATCTACTCAAATTGCTCAGAAAATCGTGCTGCGCTTTCTCACTGGACTGATGCGTTGGACTCGCGCCTGCAGTTCGTGGCTCCCCAGCTCTTGTGTGTCTCAACGTCGCATGCGCTCCTGGTGTGCCGCCGTCTAAACCCGATATACGCTCAGCTAAAGGTGCCGATACACCGCGAGGCGAATCCGCAACACCTACTAAAGCGGCTCTTTGACCTGCTGCCAGTGTTCTAAAACTACCTTGAGTTGATGAAGATGCTGGATCATGTCTCCCACCACCTAGTAGTTGAAAATGTTGCTGATCTTCCAACACCTTCATATTTCCACCTTCCGCTATTCTCCTATCGTAATCCGGATTATCAGCGTGAGCGCAATCGACGTTCTCAATAGGACATGGCGCATCCCGCAAATCCATTATTGCACGCACGAATGCTTCTCGCAAAGGCACATCTTGCCCAGTGTGCTTCTCTACTGTTTTCACTGCTCTCCAACTATGAAGCTCCCGTACACAACCATGCATCTCATCCTTGACAACGTGGTAATCCGTTGGTAAGTCTTCATCATCTCTGGTGCTGCGCCAAAGCATAATTACTCCAGGAGGAACCTTCTCTATAGCCGTCTCCGCACTGTCTTCAGGTTCGAAGTATCTTGGCATCGCAATGTAATCACGGTCCGGATCTTCGTCGTCATCACGTTCAAACAGCATATTGTCAGGTTGTTGTTGCGCAACCAGAGTTGTAGAAGATATTCTAGTCGTCGTGAAGGGAACGAGTCCTCTGTCCGTGAGATTTGTGGAGCTGTAACCATCTGGATGTCGATGTGGTGTACTACCGAAGACAGGTGACGCGGCTTTACTGTGCGTCGGCATCCTACCAAATCGTGGTGACGTGGATGAAGAAGCCGCACTAGTGCCGACCAAAACACCGTTGATCTCAACTGCGCCAGTGTGATGTTGCGAAGGAGGTGGAGGAATACGTGAGTAACTGCTAGTCGTAGCTACACTAGCAGAAGCATGTCGCATCGGTGTATGACCTGAAGAACTGCCACGACGTTCATTCGACGTAAAAAAGGGGTTCGATGATAAAGAAGCACCCCCCTGAAACTCATCTTCTTCTTCCTCGTAAATAGCAGCAAGCCCTTCGTCGCTCAAAGTCCGTGGCCGTTCTTTGGCCGGTGACTGATCTGCTGAGGATGAAGTACGACTACGACTCAACTCGGCAGAGTCCTCCGTAATTGGCGGAATATGACCCAGTACAGTAGACCGGCCTGGAGTCTCCTCCCCGAAACACTTAGCGACAGCGCGCGAGACACTCAACATCTTATTGGTTCGTCTCCCATAGTTGAGGCCCTCCTGCTGCTTAGAACGACTAGAATTTTTAGGTGTAGTTGACTCTCCACTGTCATCTTGTTCATCGCCGTTTTGCTGCTCATCATGGTCGTCTTGGTTGTCTCCCTGAGGACGTCTACTGGTAGAAGACAAACGCTTCTTCTCTTTAGACCCAGATCCAACACTGCTACGCCTTCTATTACTACTGCCTAACGATGTACGCGTCGTTTTGGCGCTTTGTCTACTTTGCTTAACGCTGGAACTCGATGTAGATTTACTAGAGCTCTGACCGCCACCAGTTGAGCTACGCCGCTTGTTTGACGAGGTTTTCACCCCTCTCGACGAGGAGTCGTGCTTCTTTGAAGAGGAACTTTTCTTATGCTTGCTTTTCACAGGACGCTTCGGAAAAAAACGCTTGATTGCCTCAGCTGCACTGAAACTTGGTGCCGGCTCGTCCTCCTCATCCTCTTGGTCATCATCTATACCTGCCTCATCTTCTGCCAAAGGAGGTCGTGCATTGCTAGATGCCGACTGTTGATGTTGATAATGTTCACCAGCATTATAATTGACAGTCTTTCGTGATGGGAGTTCAGTGTTGAGACAGCCATTGACAACCTGAGGTTTCGGATGGACGGGAGGCGTGACCCTAGAAGATGTTGCGGAAACCCGTTTTGCAGGTGGTGCTAGCAGCGACGCTGATCGTGGTGACAGAGAAGAAGCCAGCTGTATCGCAGAAGAAAACTCGAACGGAAACAAAGACCTCTGCTGGGGCACGCTTGGTGGAGGAGCAAGAGCACCGTCGTATGCTGTTGGACCCAAAGCTGCACCGCGTGTTGGACCAAGATGAGGAGCCGCGTATTTACTTCCAGCAAAGAATGTCACAGGTCTTTTCGGGGATTGCGCAGATTGGTGCGGTCGTAAAAATGCTCCTGTGCTCGACGAAGATGCTGTGCTCGACGGTGGAGCTTGACGTTGGTGGTGGACTGGAGGACTCCTATAATGCTGTTGATATTGGTGGACCAGTCTTGGATCTGCGGGACTCCTTCCATGCTGATTGACTATCCTTTGATGATCTTGTCCCCCACCTCTAATCATCGCAATCCCGTCATCTTCTTCCTGGTGTCTCTCCTCCTCCTCTTTATCAGAGAAATCTAGTAGTACTTGGTGCTCATCATCGCTGAATTCTCGTTCCTTGTAATTTGACATTTGTCCAGTTCCTTGTTGATCATAGTTCTGCAGGCGGTACGACTGACCTGCAGCATCTATCAGTGGTGGACTGTCGAAGGGCTGTTGTAACCTCTTGAGCGCACATTCGAGAACTTCAGCTGCTGGTCTACCATCGATAGTAGATGTAATCTGCTCCCCTACGTCTGGTCCTTCTACATGTGTACCACTGATCTCACTATTCAGACGATTGTAATCGTATGGTGACTTGTGTACCTTAGAAGCACTGCTAAGAGGATTCGACATCCTCTGCTGTCCTAAAGGGTCGATGCGAGCTCGTTTGGACCCTGGCGACGGCGAAACAGAATCGCGGTGACTCTCGATACTAGCAGGTGTCTGCGACATAGAGAAGGGATTACGCAGTGGAGGACTTTCTGCTGGGCTTGAAGATGATGCCTCTCCTGCTTGATGAATATCCGCTACACCATTTTGTACATTCATCTTGTTCTGCTCCTTTTGCAGCTGCTGGAACAGCTGCATCTTCATCTCACTCGCACTGAGTGTCCGCGACACGGGAGGACTTGGCTTTCTGGCAATGGTACTAGCTACTCCGTAAGGACATCTCTTGTTGCTGGTGGCTGCAGCTGTGGTGTTTTCGTTCATTTTGATAGTGGTACTCTGCAAACCATTTTGATTTTGACCATTCACCTCACCATGCTGTTCTGTGGTAGTTCCACCTGTAGTCTCCCCACCTGAAGACTGTGGCTCCGGTTCCTCCATAAAGAGAACGCGTCCTGTTGAAGATCTTTTCCTCCGACTCTGTTGTACTGCGCCTTCTTGCCCCACTGATGCAGAAGAAAGACGTCCCGCTGCTACATTTTGTACGACTTTTTCCGCCTGCGCTTCACCATCCTGTCTGAAAAGCGGCACTCCACCGACATAGCCGCATGCAGAGGGCCCTCCTTCTGCTCCTTCTTCCGCTGACCCTCTAGAATCCTTCCCACCAGAAGACAGCAAGCTGCTCTTCGAAGAAAGTCGAGAAGATGGGTAGTAAAAAAAATTTTGCTCATGACCGCCGTAGTCATGTTGTCCTGCTATGGGATCTACTATTGGAGGAACTTCTTCAATAGGAGAAGCAGCTGAGGAGGATCCTGGTGGTCCGCGTCCGCCAGAGTAGTCCATTTGCTCTAAAGGAACACGCGGTGGCTGCTCTTCCTCACTTAGCGGTGCGCTCACACGATAAAGACTACTGCGCCTTCTACTACTGCGCTGGTCTTGGCTGTTTCTTCCATCGTGATGCTGTTGGTTGTTGTCCCCTTCATCTTGGCGGTGAATTAGAGCTCACAAGGTTTCACTTCTTGCCTCCATGATTTTCTCGCAATCCCAAGGAGGAAACTGCGAGAATTGACTGTTGTAGAAATGAAATATATTCTTCGCCCTTAATTGAAGGTAGTCCTCATCCGGGGAAGCAAAAGTTGGCGTAGGGACAACCGGTTTATCTTGTTCCGCTGCGATGAGAGCGTCGAGAAGTCGCGACTCTTCTGGTGATATATGAGAGCTGCCAGCTGCATTGCCAGGTGTCACAACGCCCGGAAGACGAGCTGGTGTTTGGAGGTCCTCGTGCTGGTCGGGTCCTGTGGTTTTCAAGAAGTTTGAGTTTCTTTCCCTCTTGTTGACCTCAGCCAGTATAACAATAGATTGCAGACAACACAAAAGTAAATCTAGATGAGAAAACGATTAAACTTTTGATGTGATCAGTACCCGCCTGCCCCACTTGTTCCTCCATCGCCTCCACTTCTCCCTCCATGATCGCAGCACGCAGTCCACCGCTAGAGTAGTCCGGTCTGGTGGCGCAGGCACGTCATTTTTTGAGGTGGAGGACTTACGTCGCGGTCTCCGATACAGACCGCGTCCTCTACTATACAGGCCTACACGCATATCACCAATCACATTGATTTACGACACAGACAGAGAAAAAGTTAAAAAAGCGGTCGTCGATAACATAGCGGTCGTTTCATTTTCGTAGTTGCCGGGTCAATCGAGAAATCAAATATTCTTGTTCCCGATAAACATGTATAGTCGAGAGCAATTACAACGACGATCTCTCCTATCCATCTCACGTCCTAGACCGGAAACACGAACAACGAGATGCGGTCCCTGTGGAAAATTCGTTGAGGACACGAAGTACTGCAATTGACTTTATTCTCAGATAAGCAAGTGCTTAAGCTTAACACGATTCACGCTTACATCGAAACATCCAAGAAAATTAGTCCCCTGTTGAGAGGGAGCAATCAATTGAAAACGTTGTGTTTCCTCCACCACCTCCTCATGGTAATGTCAGAGTGAAGACACGAAAACGACGAAAGACAACCTTTTTCACATCATGTAGTCTTTGATGGCAATGCGAGTCCCAACCTCCTCTCCCTTTGAAGGACTCTAGAGTCTTTCATGTCCTTGGATGGACAACAGGCACATTAGAAAAAGTAGGCCTCAAAGCCGTTGCTCTCACCTGAGTTAAGAGCAGAGAGCAGAAAGAACAACATTTGTCAAGAATCCACTGCTCACGTCGACAAGGGACGCTGAAATAGCCTCCCGCATCTACCTAGACACCTTTATCGTCTACGTCAATTCTGGTCAATGTTCATTTTTGCAGCTTAAACTTCAATCATCCTTTCCTGTAGCAGAAGATTTCTTTCACTCCTTGTGCGACACGATAGCACATCTTCATCAGGGATGCGTGGTATCGAAATTCAACACAGACCTCCAAGATAATAGCATGCTTAAGGTTAAAGCTGCATAGATACCCAACCAAGGTATCTATTCACAATATTTTCTATACAGCAACTATCAACTACCAAACTCTTTTACGTATATTTTCCTTAGACTTTCCAATTTACGACATTACACGTCTGCGTGTCGTCTTGACAGCATATCGACAGCACTCCAATAATTTGTTCAAGCAAACCACTATTCCTTTTCTTATGTTTCTTAGAGTTAGCTAGTGTGAAATATAATATCAGTAACATGATGTAGAGGGTCGTCTACAAGTGTTGAGCAAGAATGTGGATAACGTATATTATCTGGATCCTAATAGATCACATGCACATCAAATGTCCATGCAGATGTATCGGACTACCTTCTTCACGCAAGTACTCTACTTGCACACAAATCCTATGATTTTCATAGACGCCTCTCTATGACATCGGTAAAATCTTTTATGCGTTCTTTCAACACCTTCTTTGTGGAAGATGAAATGTAAACTACTCTATCAAACAATAATTTTCGATCGGTAAGCTACTCTATCAAACAACAATCTTTTGGATTAGTCTCAGATTCAGCTAGTATTATTCGTTTGCAATTTCACTGTTTATTTTGTTCTGATTATACAAATACATAGGCGTCTACATCACTATATAATCTTCTTGTAACCTATTCATTGTTGAAGTTTGCAATTATTTCACTGTTTTACTTGTTTGTGCATTTTTAGATGCGGTAGCTTTCGATAATAGAGTGGTAACTTGTCGCGATATAAATAGCAAGAAAATTTATTAATTTCTCTTATACCTCCTTCTCCTTTGCGGACTTTTTTAGTTCATTGGATTGCAGATATTGATACGTTTTTGAATACTTCTGTTTTGCATGCGGATATTATTAATACGTTTTGAATCACACGGTACGAAGTTCAGCTATTCCACATACTTAAATGCATGTTCTTAGTCAACAATTTTGAGAGAACCATGACAATTGACTGTCTGCCTGTCTTGTTCTGTAATGTCAAACAGGTACATTGATTGATTGGTTTATAACTAAGCATTTTGATTGATTGAAAGTTCTTTGTTAGATAGTTCTTGCATAGTTCGACTTCAACAGTCAGAAATTTTCGCAGCGAAAATTTCCGTAAATCTATTACCTCAGTTGTGATGTGCATCAATCGCGCGCTCAGCCGTGCGATTCAACTCCCATTGCCGCCTTTCCAGTTTAAGCTCCAGATCGGCGTTTTTGCTGCTCGCGCTACTCGCTTGACGTTGCAGTGCTGATATTAGACCACGACATTGATAACTTCTCGATTAAGAAGACATGATTATTTATTGAACAACCTATATATACTGGAATTGTTGTTCTGGTCGCGGTGGTTTTCAAGTGTAACTAACTTCTCTCGTGGTCTGCTACTTCATCCTCTATTGACCAAACTCGAGAAACAGTTTTACTCCTCCTGATGTCTTGCCGTAAACTGATAGCTTCCGAGAAACACGCATCCGCCTGTTGATTCTTAGCCCTCACGCGCTCACCAAGAGTGCTGAAGTGAGGCTCACGTTTCTCCTGTTCGGACGAAGAGGCAGAAGAGAGACCTAATTCGCGCGCTAGCTCGTCTTCCTCGGACGCGTGCTGATTCGTTTTCACGTCTTCGAAGCGCGGCTGTGCTCTTGCCCACTGAGTAGAGCGATTTTTAGGCTTCGATGACATTGAGGTTGATGATGTTGTCTCTTGCTCTACTGCATCACGACCTCCACAAGTCGTAGCACGTAGTGGAATACTACTCATACTTGCAGACGCCTTTAAAGCTGCACCTCCACTTTTTGGTCGCTTCTTCGCAACTACTACTGTCTTTTTAGTCGAACCTGATGACAAGTTCAATTTTGGCACGACCTTAGCTGCGTTACTCTCTTCGACTTCTACTGATGACAAGTTCAATTTTGGCACGACCTTAGCTGCGTTACTCTCTTCGACTTCTCCTGAACCTGGTCCTGAATCTCCTTCTATACTTCCCTCCATGGCAACATCAACTACTAGTGATTTCGAATGTTCTCTGCTACTAGAGCTTGAAGACGAGGTAGTCGTCACTGCACCTCCAGCTGTGGTGTTCAGCGTCTCGGTGTGTGACATGCGCTTTTTACGACCTGCTTCACTGAAAGAGGCATTCGGCGTTGGTTCCTCACTCCTCGTTGTTCCTTTGTATGCCTTATTACTTGTTAATATTAGATGAGGAAGAGTACGCCATAACTTCAATGAAGCTCATCATGGACGTTCCATGATCTGTGATGTAATCCATCATGTTCTCTTCTTGTTGACAAAAGTTCACCGTATCATACATCGCAAGCTAACAGAATGGGGTAGCATGCTGGGAAGAGGATAGCACACTGCGAGAGGTCAGGATAGGATAGAATACGATAGCATAGGATACCGGGAATGGGATAGCATACTGGACTAGAGCAGATAAGATAGGAATTACAATAAAGCACGCCAAGGGAGACCAGAGAGTAGGAACAATCAAGCAATTATGTGAGCAGCCTTAACATGGACAATGCCGTTGTCCTCGAGTTTATCGCAGCACCACTCAAAACTCTCGGCTCTGGATAGTAGAGGAAGTCTACCTCTGACCGTTCTCGGTTTTCCCCTCCTGCAATCCTTAGAGGAAGAATTGTTTGCTAAAAATTATCACATCGATCTGCAATTCTTATATCTAAAAAACGTAAGAGAGCCGTAGGTTAGTAGTGTGGCAGTAGTGTAGACTAGTAGTGTACTAGTAGCAATCAAACACAATGAGAGATGATAGAAACGGTCTCATGAAAATTTCAGGATGCTTCTCATCAGGATGACCTTCTTGCTCTCGAAGCATGATTGATGCTACGCATCCAAATGAGTCTCAAGCTTTTACTAATATGCAAACAAGAAACAGCGACGAAAAGGCAACGCGCGACCAGGAAGGCTAGACGCACCATAGTCGCAACGGCGACCATAGCACAACACACACGAAGAACAAAGGAATCCGGCGAGATCATACGCGCTGCCCGGAGAGCATCAATACAATACAAACAAACAAAGACGGACCACATAGTCTCTTTATTATGTGGAAAAAAGCCTTAAAACCCTGCTCGGCTCTTTTCTGCTTCCTCCTTCTGTTCCCCTTGGCTTGTTCATCCCCCCACTAGTGTCCACGTCATTGGCGCTGTTGTTATTGTTCGAGCCATCGTCGCGTCCGATAAAATCGCCATCCGCATCCGCTCCGTTCGAGCCATCGTAGACTCTGTGCGCTGTATGCTTAGAAGACGACGCAGCACATATTTTATATAAAAAATACCACCTCCGCCAAGAAAGAGTGAATCGACAGTAGTACTGCGTGGATCAATAGGGACTACGAACATCTGAGCAATCGAGTCAGTGTGGGACAAGGAAATCAGAAGAAGCTGGCGCGATAATCCTGGACGAACAACGATTCAAATTTCTTGTAAAGAACTAAAAGAGAGTAAAATAGAAAACTTTCGCAGGTAATAATCGAATCAAGCTTGTTGATGTTAATGCTTTTCTTGTCATGCACAGAAGCCTCATGTACAGTAAGTCGCTCATAAAAGTACTCGTCCTCGGCTTGTTTTCGGAAGTTTTTACGACCGCGTCCGCTTGCGCAAGGAGTCCCAGAGTAGGATAGGTCGTCAGTTGAGTCGCCCCACCAGCCCTGCTAGCGGTATTGCTTCTATTATTAGAGCTCACGACCCTGCTGATCCATCTCGGGATTCATCTTAGACCTATTTTCCCCTTATGGGGCGACAGGTCTAAGATGCTTCAGAAGATGGATCATTAGGGGAAGCCATAATATTAGAGGAGATCTTAGAGGTCCTCGAGGACACAAGACCGTAAATTCACCTCCTGTTGTTGAATTTGAAGTTCTGCTTTTAAGTTCTTCATTCATTCATTCATTCATTCATTCTCAACATCACTTCTTGAACAATTATTCCAGGTGGGAGGGGGAAGATATGAACCAGAGAGAGAGACGCACATGGATCCATCGTTGCTTCAGAAGCCACACCATCATTATCCACTTCTTCAACGTATCTCTTATTGCTTATCTCGTAAACCAAAAAAATGCAGGAGTGAAGATTACCACCAGAAGAAGCCCTAGTAGGTACACTATGAAATCAAACAAGGGACAAATTATCATTTCTGGCACAGGGACGAGTTGGTTTTTCGCTTCTACTACAAGCCTTAAAACTACAAAGGAACAACCATTAGTTTTAGTGTTGATCACGTCAAAGAGTTTGGCCTGAAAACTACAAAGGATAAGAGGTATCATTTATGATTACGCCTTAATCTTGACATCATTATTTTCAACCAAATGAGCCTCCGTCATTCGTGAGTCTCCTGCAGACCGAGCACTTGGCTCATCAACGCTCTCATCCTCTTTGCCCGACCACTGACTGCTAGACCGCAAGAATTTGCTAATATTCATGCTCATCTTCTTCTTCACTTTGGCTTAGAGGTTAGGTTAGCTTTTGGCCTACTAGATTTCCTAGCAGACATGGAAGGCTGCTGAAGAGCCGACTCTTTCATGCACACTAATATGCAGCCACCCAGCACACTACCTAGTCGTATTCATCATAGAGTACACTACCTAGAAAAAACATATTATTGACGCCGTACTAGAAGACTCTACTCCGATAACTCTCCAACCTCAATAACCTTGTCAGCCTTAGATAGAAGATCATCAATCAAGTCTTGACGTCAACAAGTACTAGACGGAGTTGTACTAGTACTAGTTATTTTATACTAGATTAAAGTTGTAACCCCAGGTGTATTTGATCTTGTGATATCCTTGAAAATGTTGGGGATAGTACGTTTGAAGCTAAGCAGTACTAGTTCTTGCGCTTCAGCATAATTTTCAACCCTCTGCTTTCGTAGTTCTTGTTTCTCCTTCATCACGGCAAAATCTGGAACTGGCTCCTCCGCCATAGAGGCTACGCTATCTGGCGCTGCGCGGATGGAATCGCTGGCTACCCTTACTGTCTTTATTAGAAGAGTTGAGCAAATACACGTTCAGGTTGTGCACGTCTTCTTCTGTAGAAGAAATAGGAATAGGAATGATTATGTAATAAACAACTCCTTCAGTAGAAGGAATACGACTTATTCTATGCTCGGACTACTTAAACTTGTCTTCACACAGAACGATTTGTCTCTCGTCTGAAAACGAGGACTCATCTAATCAAATATCCTTTCATAACTTGACACTGCGATGTGTTCTGTCAAAGGACAATTGTTGTTCTGGCGACAACATCCGCCTTCGACCCCTGGCTGCGTTCACGATCTGGTCTCGCGTCCTCAGGCCGCGCAAACGTGCTCTCGGTGGTGACGCCGAATTCGCTAAGAATCGCGCGTGTGAACGTTAGACGAAGTAGAAGCTATCTTCCTGCAAAAAGAACATGATCATGCCTTACTTGTAGTATTGTAGTAAGGGGGGTTTTGTGTTCCTTCCTGTAGAAAAACTATCTCTCTACGAAAAATACATATGTATGTTGTTTTGGGGATCTGATCAATGCATTCACCTTATTCTTCCTGGATGGAAGAATAAGATGGAAGTGCGTGATTCGTCATCTTATCCTGTACGAAAAATTCATCATCTTATTCTCCGCACAACTAGCCTTAATCATCAGGTTTCATGCCATGTGCCGCTACTGTTTCAGCTAAAACTTTTCTCGCCGCAGCCACCTTTGTGGGATTACGCGACGTCTCGAGCTCATAGCGCGCCTTGGACCTTGGCGTCATCCAACCACGATGAGAGAGTTAGAGAGAGCGACCGATCTAAGTACTCTTTAGCTCACACTGGTATCCCTGGACGTATCCCTAACCCCTGGTGATACTCCCACTTGGCATTATCTTCTTCATCTACGTGGAATAATCACCAACATTATCTGCATCTGCGTAGACTGTTGTTAAGGAATTAGGGATGATAATATTCTCTTGAAGATACATCCACCCTGGCTTCTTTTCCAAGTAGAAATAACGAGGACCATGGATGATCCTCACAGAATGATGCAAGTGGGATACTAGCAGCCAAGAATGATCCTGACAGAATAATGCAAGTGTGGTACTAGCAGCCAAGAATGATGCAAGTGCAACGTTGTGGTAGGAAAACAGGTACATGGATATTGTGATGATGTGAAGGTCGCAAGAACTGCGGTACTAGCCATAAGGAACCCAAGTTTTCTTCGCCGCGAGCTTGGCTTCGGTTTCACCCAGATGCCGGTCTTCACGCAGAGCTGCCATATGCTCTGGACTACGACCCTTATCCATCCTCTGCCCCAGAGGCGACTGAGAATGGGAACCGCGTTCTGTTTCAAGTTGGAGCGGTGATAAGCATATTTATATGGATAAGTAAATATTTTTGTAGTATAACAAAATGTGAAAGTAGCATTGGAATGTTCTTGCAAGAAAGGATGCATAGCCTACGAGTAGAAAGAGGAAAACCAGCCGGCTGTTTATGTAAGTGCTTTGAGCGTCGCTGGACCTAAACTTTCGCCATTTTACGGGCAAAATCCAATCAAGATTTGCAGCACAACCGAGCATTGGAATGTCGAACTTGAATGAAGTAAAAGTTCTTCGGTTAGGTTAGGTTAGGTTAGGTTAGGTGGGGGCCCGCCAGAAAAACTAGCAAGCTTCATTGGCTAACATTATCGAAAGAAATTTTAAAGTTTACCTTGCACGCGCAGCTCGTTAGGAATAACCCCCCGAGCCATGAGGAATTGCTTCCTTTGATACTCTGCTATTTCCTTATCCGCCGCCTCTTTCTCCCTCTGTTTCTCATCCTGTATCGCGTTATACTGTCTGAATGTGCTCAGAGCGCGTGCACGAACATTAGATGACCTCTCCATAGTAATTCATCTTCATGGGGTACGAGCATCTTCTGAAGTAGTAAGTTTGTTCAGCATCTTCATAAGTAATGTATTTTTTCCTTTTAAAATTGAATCGGATCAAAGATGCTTCGTCCTACTTACGATGAATTACTAATACGGTATCAGTCTTAAATACAGCAGGCATTGTTCCAGGCTTGCTTAGCAGATTCGGTTGAAAAGTATGTACTTTTTTGAAGAGCTCTTCCTGTTTGGCATCGTCTCGCTCGCGCCTCTTCTTCAACATTTCCTCTCTCTTGGCAAGTTGGGCTTGAGGTTAGAACTAGCAGAGAGACAGTACTAGAACTAGGATATAGACTATAGACAGCACTGGAACTATGATAAATGACAGGAAGATACCTAGGGGATTATACACTACTTAGATACTGTACATGAAAACAAGACCTAAGTATTTCAAGGCGGACAGAGTTACAAAAAGATACAAACAACATTGTAGAAGACTAGAAGACCTATTGCAAGAAGAGATATGAAAAGGATAACAGAAGGATAAGCGACCTATTTCAATGAAAAAATATCTAGTTTTCTACATTTTTTCAAGTGCCATAAAAGTAATCTCCCAGATGTCCTCGTGTGTTCAGTTTGCTCTTTCGCGTATTCGCAAGTTAGAAGAGCTCACGACCCTAATAGGATTCGCGGAGTGTCTGAAGATCACGGAGCTATTTTTTCATGAGGCTACTTTTTTCTCATGAGAGAGGAGCTCAGCTCGAGATGCTTCCTTGTTCGGAAGATGTACTCGCTGTATCCTGTTTGCCTTTTAGGATGACTTCTCTGAAGATGTAGGGGACCGCAGGATGCTTCTGAAGATGGATTACAGGATCTTCCTCCTATCTTCAGGAGATGTAGTTATGACCACCTCGGGCACAATCAATTATTATGGTCTACAACTTTGGTATTGAACTATTACAGTAGTGAAATATTTCACGAAGAAAGTACTAGGGTGTTTCCTGGTGTAAAAAGCCTTAAGCAAAGTCACTGATCTTCGGCTGGAAGGTGCACTCCTTATCCAGTTTTCGCGCGCTGATCGAGTCTCTCGCAATCGCACGCCGTCTACGGATCTCTGCTTCATTATATAAATCCGCAAAACTACGTTGGCACTTGCGGGCCCTGTAGTAGGATGGGATATAGGAGTTGACTCGCCGTCCACTTTTTTTGACGTAGATGAAGCAGAAGTTATTGTCATGTCGTGTTATGTGTCACGTGTCGTTACATGATGAGGCGGTGAAACCGTTCACAGAGATAAAAGAAGGTATCTATGGTCGTTACATATCATATGATGAGGTGGTGTGTTCATTTTTCACGAAAAGATGGAGGTCGTGGTGGAGTGTATGAAAGAGTAAGTCTTCTACTACCTAGTCATTCATTTTTCACTATAATGAGATTCATACCCAGGACTTTTCAAAGTCAGTATTTCTATGGAGTAAAGATGTAATGTGGACTTCCATCGAGTCTCCGTAGCTGCTGCACTATAAATAATCTGTAGTCATAGTACTGGTTGCTGATGTAAGGCCTGAAGTTGCATTCTCTGTAGAGATGTTTTTCGAGGGCCTCCATTTTCTGTGCTGTTGCCGCAGATCCTCTTCCCGCATATTCTATGGGTACCCCGTCATGGAGACGGCCCTCCTTCATCCGTGTTAGAAGAAGAGGTGTTACACTGAAAAAAACTGAATCGATACTGTGGTAGAGCCCGCCTAACTAAGAAAGAAAGATGTGGTAGACCCCTAACTTGGAAAGATGAAGTAGTAGAAGTAGAGAGTGTAATTTACGAGATTGTAGTAAAAGTAGTAGTTACAGGGTCTAGTATCGTTACGAAAAAGCACCAAGCATTTTATCCCCCAGCTTGCACCTTAACATTTTATCCGCCAGCTTGCGGCTCTCGTTACTCAAATACGGCGTCGGGTCGATATCACCGCCGCTGTGATTGTGTATCGATCAACAGGTGTTGAATCCAGTCTAATAGAAATATTTGTATACGAATAAAGATAGAACCAATAAGAAAAATATAATGACGAGATGTCTAGATTTCTGCGATCAACTATAAAATGGAAAAGGAATAGCATTGCCAGTAACTGCGATCAACTATAAAATGGAAAAGGAATAGCATTGCCAGTAACTAATGCAGTCATCTCCAGTAGAATCGTTCTCACATCATGGATTTGAAAATGAGTTGTGTACTTCTACATCAAGCTTATTTCTGGTTCCAATTATTCTAACAAACATCAAAAATCCTAGTACATTTTCCTCTGAATATCCTCTCTGTTGAGGTTCCTCCTTTCTTCGCACAAATTTTGATGCCACAGAAACCTTTGGATGCGCCACCAATTGGGTCCTTCCTCTTCCCTGGGTCCGTGCCTTGCTTCTGTTTTGTGGAGGTTTTTTTAGGACGAGGTAGGAGGTCCTACGCCTTTAGCTTGTTTTTTTTAGTTATTTGTGGTTAGGGTCTAAGCAAAAAAATATCCGAAACGCCAAGGGAAGCTGACCCTAGTACCTCCGAACCAACCAAGTAGAAACTAGAAGACCTATTTTTTTTATATCCACGATAATAAATTAAGCACCTATTAGATCCAGAAGAAATCAAAGACCTATTTTTACGTCCACCAGAAATTAAAGACCTATTATATCCGCAAACTTCGATGCCTCGTTATCGTCGTTGTCAGCACGAATTTGCTGGATCATGGCAGCGTCTGAAGCCATTCGTTCCTGTCGGTACAAAATGCCCTCCGTCAATCGGGTGAAGACATCGGATGGAGTTAGAAGGGTTCCAATAAATGACCGGATCAAGCTTGTTGATGTTGATTGTTGTAGTACAGCTCTCCTCTTATTACTAGTAGAAAACTCCTGAATCATAACTCTAGATACGATCTCGCATACTCCATGTCTGCCTTTAACGGATTCACACGTGGGTGAAAAGTGACCTCCTCCTCGGCTGGTGTCTTTCCCTTTTCCCTACGTCCGGCATGCCTGTAGTTGAGTGGGACAGCTACACATAGTGGTTGAAAAAAATCGAGATCGAAAAAATTGGTGCTCGTAATCTAAACCCTTAATATCTCTATTTGCCATTACGCCACATTCACTACTGGTGAAAGAGTCTTTTCCTTTGACGAGTAACTCCTAACTCTTTTATCTTCAGCATAACCAGCTCGATCACAAAAAGTTCGTTATTCAAAGTAAGACTTAAATATACCTTCGTCCATGTTCCTTTATTTCTTCTACGAGATCACGTCCGGCTTCAGGAGGATCCCCCATGAAAGTTGAACGCACCTGTTCTAGACTCTTCCGACTTCTCCCCAGATCCGGCTTAAACGTACAAGCCTTAGCATCCGCTATTGCTTCGAGATTAGAACACACTTCGTTTCTTTACGTTGAAGACATATAGTGTGCTTATATATAAGTATGTTAGTGACAGGCTAGGTTAGGTTAGGTTAGGTTAGGTTGGGGCCTACCATCCGATGTGGCAGACTTTAGCGGCTGCTGAGGAGCTGAGGAGCTGTGGATGCTAATCTACTTGTTGTTGTTGGTTGTATGGGTAGCTGGGATCCTCACTGTATGTATGTCTCTGAACATTTGTGACAACTGCTTCAAAATAGAGGCTGTGAAGTATTGATACCACATTTATTACTTAGACTTAATTCGTGGTCATCATTCAACATGGTCATAACATTGTTTGCTGTTAGGCCATGCTTTTTTTTGACGTATTCTAGGACTTCGGCTTTATGAGCAACCTGACTATCATGCATAGACCTGCCCAAAGCTTGCGCATCTGACAGGTTTGCTCCTCCGCTGCGTCCCACAGGTCCTTTGCCAGGACGACTAAAACTTTGGTTACGCCGCAAATCTAAATTTGGTAGTAAGGGGTGTACAACTATGCGATGGCTTACTTCCGTGTAATGATCATAAACACTAGAGCAAAGAGGACCTCGAGTGCTTGGACACGACCTCCAACAGGGAACTTCTTCTGCAGAAGGAAAGAGGTTAGGCAACGTAAACGTTGGACTCTGAGCATGTAATAGACAACCCCTGTAGGTGCAGCAAATCAGAATCGTACGAGATTATAAAAACAAATACTGAGAAGGACATAAACCTATTAAGGTGGTATTTAAGAAGTACTTCCTCAATGCATAAACCTAAGGTGGTATTAGTACTTCCCCCAGGATCGGTGTCGTTTCGTTTTTCCTTGAGGCGTCTTTTCTTCTCTGCACTACGTGCTGCGTAAGCAGATTGTCGATCCTCGAAGCTAGGTAACCGGTACTTCGGGTTTTTACTGCTTGCGATGTAGCTTAGACAACTTGTTGATGGTGATAGGGTAGGGTAGGGATTGGCTCGCCTCGAGGAGGTGAGCGTTCACGACTATGAAAACGCCGAAAAAGCGTCTACTTCATGATGATTCATGATAATTATGTCCACATACAGATTATGCTTAGTTGTGATCTTCACCATGGTGACGCAGTACCCAACTACCACCTAGTGTTGTACAAAATATCGTGTGGATTTGAAGTATCATAGTGTAGGCAACAGCAGATAGAAGTATAGTCTACTGCTAATGCAAGAAGTATGGTCTACTGCTAATGCAAAGTCTGTTCGATCAAGGGACAAGAACAAAACCTGCTAGTACAGGGTGGGGGTATTAGTGACCGGTTATCAATTTATTTTGTAATCGAGTGCAGGCGAATGGCAACAAACAAATTCGAATCAACAGAGGAGTCCCACATTCTTTTTCACGATAAGGACAACTTAATAGAAGTTTGTTCGAAGCCATAAGTCAGGAGTAAAAGTGCAGTTGGCGTCATCCTCTAGGAGCATGTGGTCCGGCTTCGGTTCCCGGTCCCGCCGGCTTCTATTCTTAGAAGTAGACAAGTAGAACCATCAATCCTGCCTAAGATCTTGATTCATGTGCTGTGCTTCGGATGTATATATTGTCCCTCATCTCAAGCTGCACTCAAAATAAAGATTTCATGATTTAGAGATTTTTACATATACTATAATTATCTATATTATAAACCAAAACTTACTTTGAATGCTAAACAGGAGTGAGCTTACGGCTTGAGATGTACGCAAATCATGGCAAAGATGTACGGGTGAGATGTATACGTCTGAGATATATATCTCGAGATATATATCTTATACGTAAATCACGGGAAAGATGTACTCTTGAGATGTACATACACCGGGGCGATTCATAGTAGGTTTCCAAAATTCCACTTTTTTGAGATGTACGGAAATCATTGGAAAGATGTACGGGCTAGATGTATACATCTCGCGCCGTAAAAATGCCGCGTTTTTGAGTACAACTTTCCCGCGATTCTGCTCCTGCTAAGGCTTTCGGCAGTACCTCAAAACCCTGAACCAACAGCACAGGCCAAGGACTGCGCTGCATGGACAAAAATAAACGAAGAGCGAAGCGCCTCAGCCTGGGGCCAGTCATCTCATGAAGAAAATCCGCTGCGTCTGCGTATGTGCTACAAAAAGGACCCACATGCAAACAAAGAAATGCAAACAGAGGCAAGCACCCAGCAGCTATACGCTGAGCAAGTTGGCACCTGCGTGCTTTTTGGATCAGGCGCCTGAGCTGGCTCAAAGGGTCAGACCTTTCAAGCAGGTCAAAAGTAGACAGCGACTTCATAAAGCTGCGCGCTTTGGATAAGGATTTCGAGCTGACTCAAAGGATGGGGCCGCTCAAGCACGTCAAAAGTAGACAGCAACTTCATAAAGCTGCGCCTTTTGGATAAGAAGTCTGAGCTGACTCAAAGGATGGGGCCGCTCAAGCACGTCAAAAGTAGACAGCAACTTCATAAAGCTGCGCCTTTTGGATAAGAAGTCTGAGCTGGCTCAAACTAAAAGGCTGGGACCTTTTAAGCACCTCGAAAGTGGACAGCAATCCCATAAGTTTGCGCTTTTAGGATAAGGAGTCTGAGCGGGCTCAAAGGGTGGGACCTTTCAAGCAGATCAAAAGTAGACAGCAATCTCATCAAGTTGTGCTTTTTGGATAAGAGGTCTGAGCTGGCTCAAAGGGTGAGACCTTTCAAGCAGGTCAAAAGTAGACAGCAATCTCATAGAGTTGTGCTTTTTGGATAAGGAGTCTGAGCGGCGTCAAAGGGTGAGACCTTTCAAGCAGCTCAAAAGCAGACAGCAACGGTATAGAGCTGCGCTCTTTGGATAACAGGTCTGAGCTAAGTCAAAGGGCGACACCTTTCAAGCAGCTCAAAAGGAGGCAGCAACTTCATAGCGTTGCGCTCTTTGGATAAGGGGCCCGAGCTGGGTCAAAGGGTGGGACCTTTCAAGCAGGTCAAAAATAGACAGGAAACGCATAAAGCCACGCGCTTTGCATAAGAGGCTGGAGCAGAGTGATAAGGTGGGACCCTTCAAGCAAGCCAAAAGTAGACGACAGCAATCGCATAAAGCTGCGCGCTTCGGATAGGATGCCTGAGTGGCCTGAGCTGGGTCAAAACGTGGGACCTTTCAAGCAGGTCAAAAGTGGGCAGCAATTTCCTAGAGTTGCGCTCTTTGAGTAAGGCGCCTGACTTGACCGAGTGAAAGCGCGGGACCTTACGAGCAGGCCAAAAGTAGGCAGCAGCTTCATGAAGTAGATTGCGCTTTTTGAGCAAGGAGCCTGAGCAAAGAAAGGCAAAAGGCGGGACCTCTCAAGCAAGCCAAGCCAAAAGCAGACAGCAGCCCCATGGCGTTGCGCTTTTTGGATAGGATGCCCGAGCTTGGTCAAAAGGTGGGACCTTTCAAGCAGGTCAAAAGTGGGCAGCAATTCCATAAAGCTGCGCGCCTTGAATAACCAAGCTGGCCAGATCTGGGCCAAAGAGCGAGACCTTTCCAGCAGGTCAAAAGTGGGGAGCAATTTCATAAAGTTGCGCCTTTTGATTGTGGAAGACCTCTGAGTGAGCTGACTGAAAGGCTGGGGCCTTTCTTTCAAGCAGGTCAAAAGTAGAGAGCAAAATCATACAGCTGCGCTCTTCGGGTGGGAGGTTTGAGCAGAGTCAAAAGCCGAGACCTTTCAAGCAGGTCACTCAAAAGTAGGCAGCAACTTCATAAAGCTGCGCCTTTTGGGTAGGGTGCCTGCGCTGGGTCAGAGGGTGAGACCTTCCCAGCAAGTCAAAAGGGCCAGCAGCTTCACAGCGTTGCGCCGTTTGGGTGAGGGTCTTGAACTGAGCCAAAGGGTGGGACCTCTTAAGCAGCTCACAACTCACAAGTACGCAGCAACTTCATCGCGCTGCGCTTTTTGGATCAGAAAAGAATGGGCGCAAAGGACAAGGCCTCTCGAGTAAGCCATAAGTAACCAGCAAGCCCATAGGCTTGGGCCTGCTTTCTGATCAGAAAGCTCAAGCGGCTCACAGATTGCATCGCCCAAGCACATGAAAGCCGCACAGCACTGCTCACGTGGCGTTGTTCTTGTTCACTTAGATCAAAACCTTGAGATGACGCATGCCCACACCTCTCGAGAAAGCCGGAAGCAGATAGGGAAGCTAAGCGATAGAGCGCAACTCGCCGTAAGCTTGGGAGGGTAAATGGCTCACAGAGAGCAAACGCGAAGCAGCTGAAACGTAGGCAGCAACGCGACACCATAAAGCTGCGTGATTTGGATGGAAAACCCAAAACGGCGCAAAGAGTAAAACCCCGCAAACAGGCCGAGAGTAGAACGGGGCCGCCCCCTAGTTCTCTCCACGGAAAAGATCCACGGTAGACGTTCTCAGGGTGAGCGGAGTCGGGCGTAGTGCTTCGCCCACTATGCGGAGAACCGAAAGCGACAAGCCTGGGGCCCCCCTCGTGACACTGCCATGCCAGCCGGAGACGCAACACACTCCAAGAGTAGGGGACCCACGCCCAAAACCCGGGCCAGGGGGCGCGTGAGGTTCTCACGGTGAGCGGAGTCGACTGCAGTGCTTCGCCCAGCCACTACGCTGAGAACCGAAAACAGCAGGCCTGGAGTGATCTGCTCAAGGATTTGACTCTCGGCGTATGTATTTGGTTACCCGTTTGCCTCATTCGTTCGAAGTAGTTCCTTTTGGGCGTTTCGGGTGCTGCCAGGGTGGGGGTTTATGTAGCACGTAGTAGCTTGTAGCGCGGAGCTGCTTTGCTTATTCCATAGCCCGCAACTCTTTACGTAATTCGTAGCACGCCGGTAGGCCGTATGGATTTTATGTAACTCGTAGCATTTGCCAGACCCTTCCGCCCTGCCCCGGCGTGTGTACACGCCGGGGGCACGTGGGCGGTATTAATTATAAAGCCATCTTATATATTGTTGAAAGGGCTAGATCTCTAGAGGTAAAAACTAACCGGTTGTTTTATTTAGTGCTTTGACCATCTTATATATTACAAAGCCTGCCATAACATCGGAGCTTGGCGAAATATCGTAGGAAGGACCATACACGTCTGGTTCGTAGGTGTAGTTAGAGTAGGTGCGTTCTCCCGTTTCAAATAATCAATTAACATGCTCAACTCTGAGTGTGATCATGACCGGAGTCAAGACACAGACAGCAAAGGACTTACTTAGTTAACCAATCTTAGTTCTATCGTTCAGTTCTTCGGTTCATCTTCCTCTTATTCACACTGACAGCTTCTCCCAAAGGCACCAACCTCTTCACCTCTGAGAGAAATGAGAAAAATAGACATGAGGCGTGTCACCAACGTGCCTATGCAGGTGACTGGAATCAAGCATGCAACAAGTGCAGAACCAGAATGCGTGTCGTCAACTCCTCCTCCTGTGCAGGATATCAAATGTATAAATGTAGTCGTGGGCCATAATGTAGGTCTCATCGGGACCAATCATGTAGTATTTCTCCGCTGGTCCTTCGGGATAGCCACGACCCGGTGGGCGCTTATTCTTGTGATCATACTGCACTGCTGGTGCTCGGCCGTAGATGTCAAACTGCCCGTAATCCTCTGGATACGTCTCATCGTAATTCGGAGTTAGAAGTCCTTCTAAATAACCGTAAGACAGCTATGCTTACTATGTTCTCTCAACAGCACGAAAGGAACATCTCAGGAGCCGCGGCCATAAGAAGTCATCGTAGATTCTCTGCGTATAGACTTTGGCTCTTGGCGTGCGAGGGGTGGTCGGAGTAAAAACAGCTCTGGCTTGTGCACTTTTACCTTTCCCTTTTTGCGGGACCTCCGATTAGAGAGAAATTCTCGTCTACAACACAGACCTACTATTTGCTAGTTGTGGTTTCTCTACAAGAGAGACAGACACCTCGTCCTTATTATTTGGGGTGTAGTTAGTAGTCGTAGTTTCTCTATAAGAGAGAGAGAGAGACCTACAAACCAACTTGATATTTGGTCTAATGAAGACCTTATTTGTGACTACATGTTTGGTCTAGAATGCTAAATCTTCCGTGACAGTAGTCCTTTATTTACTGCATATCAGAACAAGATCTGGAACTCTATAATGCATATGTTGCTTTGATGGCGTGTCCTCTAACTTTATTATTGTACTACTAGTTGCTTGATTGTCATTGATTTTTCCTCCTGAATTACATACACTTGTTTTAGACTGAGAAAAATCAAGAACGAATCTTAATTCATCATTGGTTTTGCGTGTGGAGGCGGGCTGGTCCTCCCCCTCCCGGACTGAGGCGACTTGGACCTCCCCTTCCGAGACTTAGGCGACTTGGACCTCCCCTTGCCAGAATTAGGCGACTTGGACCTCCCCTTGCCAGACTTAGGCGACTTGGACCTGGATGCTGAAGGCGACTTGGACCTGGATGCTGAAGGCGACTTGGACCTGGATGCTGAAGGCGACTTGGACCTGGATGCTGAAGGCGACTTGGACCTGTCCCTTGGAGACTTAACGGACCTGGATGCTGAAGGCGACTTGGACCTGTCCCTTTGAGACTTGGCGTTCCCTCTTGGAGAATTGACGTTCCTTGTCGACTGTCGTTGCTCATCGTAGTCTTCTTCTTCTTGTTGATCTTCTTCTTGTTCATCTTCTTCTTGTTCATCTTCGTCTGCGAAAGACACCGATCCCGGTGATTTGGACCTGCTAGATTGACCTACCTGCGGCGATTTTGAACGATCTTTACTATCCCTGGACGACTTTTTCCTTGAAGACTTTTTTTCACTGGAAGACTTTTTTTCCCTGGAAGACTTTCCCCTTCTTGATTAGAGCTTATATATACCCAGAAGTCAAGAGACTATACTAGCAGGTAGTACGTACAACTACTTATAACAAGATTCATAACGTTTTTATCCCTCGTCCGAGTAGTTGAGTGGTTCTTGATATTGATTTTAGAAAAATGATAAAAGACTATGAGTATGACAATTCTACTATCTGCCTTAAGTAGATTTCTTTGACGGTAGATCACCGTCTTCATCGTCGTCTTCGTCATCTTCGTTCCGAGGAGCTGCACTCGATTTAATATTACTCTTTATACTTTAGAGGTACCGACGTGCATCCCTGGGAGCCTCCCTCGGCCCTTTTTCCCCTTGAAAAAAGGGCTAAGGATGATATTCAGGATATGCTCCAGCGGTAGCCTTAATTACTACTTTGTTTTGACGAAGACATCTGCCGAGAGCCCTTGTTCTGCTTAGAAGAGCTCGTCCTCTCCCTGCCACTCGAACCGCGCTCACTTTTGCTCTTTACCTCTTTCTTGCTCTTCCTCTCCTTGCCACTTGCGTTCTTGCTGCTTACCTCCTCATCGCGACTGCTGCTGGCTGCTCTCTGCTTAGAGATAGAGGATCCGCTGCTCGACTTATGGACTCATATCAAATACATGTGGAATTTTCTCTCCTGCTAAAGTTGCTGCTGGATATTACAGGTAACCATGACCTTTTCTAATTAGAAGGACATTCCTTCACCTTCTCTAATTAGAAGGACATCACAATTTAATTCAAAATTTAAATTTAGAAGTTCTCGTTCTGTGCCTTAATCTGCGACATAGCACTACTTTCAGTCTCTGTTCCTCCCATCTCCTCCTGCTCGTTTCCGAAATGATGACTCAGGGCTTCACCTTCCGCTCGAGGTGGCAAAGACCATCCTTTATCATCCATGAGCCCCACCTCCTTGTCTTCTTGCAGTCCGTATCGTCGGTCAAATCCATGACGTAGAAGCGACTCGCCTACCATCTCTGACCCGCGTTTCTTTGTAACTCCACCACTACTAGCAGAAGGAGGATTTTTATTACGACTAGTACTACCTGGCTTCGCAGTGCCCGCTTTCGTACTGTTGGGAGACCGGTCTCTAGGATTATTTGTCTTCGACTTCGGAACAAGCTCGCCCTCCGCTTTTGGCTGTCGAGAAGAGTCCTGGCGTGCTGAGTCCTGGTCTACCTGCTCTACTCGCCGACTCGACGAATCATATTCCACGTGCCTTCTGTACCCTTGTTGCGTAGTGGAGGCCTGACTTCCACGTCCAGACGACTGCCGATCTAGAAGTATTTGCGGGTTTATTCGTGGCAGGAAAACGGAATAGAGGAGTAAGTACATGGATCAGAGTGCTGGGATCATGGATAAGAGTGCTATTTTTCTACGTGTGGGAGGAAGATGGAATGAACCGTGTAGCATGTAAGTAGTTGTGCTCTGCTACACTTGTTAAGAACAGGAGAAAATTGAAATACTACTCAAGGACCAGCTGGTTTTCTAGTTGTACTCTTAGTCCTCAAGCACTATGCTTGTTAAGGACAAAAGAAGAAAATTAAAATCAAGTCATCATAACCCGTACCTGACACGTAGTATTGACTTGCTGCATCTTCACCTACAAAGAGGAAAGCGCCCTGTTGGTCAGATGTAGAAACGCCGTATTTCGCGCGTAGGTCTCGTATTACATCGAAACTACTTGGTGCCAGATCGCCTCGGCTACGTTTGTCGCTCACACGACTTGAAGTTGAGGAGATTAGAAATAGAAGATGTAAATCATATTCAAAAAACTCTAGTACAACAACTCTGATGATTTTCTTAGCGCAAACAGAACTATTAATCTGCCTCCTCTCCATTCAATAGGGGCACATTTCCATCTAACAAGAGATGAACCTCTTTCATTCAATCCAGGTAAACTCACTGACTCCTCTGGTTCTATGCGACACATTTTCAAACGGTTTCTTAGGAAAGATGATGCACTCCCACTACTGCCAAGTCCAAGGTCAGGCACTCCAGCATACCCATCTCGAGCACTACCCGAATATCCTCCATCTCGACTACCTCTGGATTCTACTCGTGAGCTCGGAGCAAACTGGAGAGATCCACTGTTCGAGGGTCCAGGAGCTCCTTGTTGGTGTTCGATACCTTGTGACGAACTAGTCGGAACGCCACCACCTCTTGCGTCCACGGCTTCGGCCAAGGCTGCGTAGTAATCCTCCCGGGATATCTCTCCCGCTGAGTACTTTGCGACGATTGACCGGATCGAGGACATCTTTTTGTCTAAGTATTTGAAGATGATGTACTTCCTTATTATGATGCAGTAGAACGTAGTAGTTGGGAGGACTTACTTATGCAGAACGAATCTTCTGCGTCCGAATGCTTCCTTAGAAGTCCTCCCGCTACTTTGAAAACCAATATAGAGGCGTAGTAGGCCCCTGTAGTTGAGTGGATGTGATAGGATTAGGATTAGGATGGGATCTGCCGTCCGCAGTTTTACCTGCATACTCCAGCAGATTTTCGCAGCCGTAGAAGGACTACAGAAATTATTTACTTATTCCTTCCAATCAGTGAGGTGAAGGTTGTTTTGATGAATAATTGAAGATGCTCATGCATTTAGTCGAGGACAGTGAGACCTGGTGCAGCTCTAGTACAATTTTACTTTGGAAATATAGGAAGAGATAATTGATTTGGAGTCTTGAATGGGAGACCTGAGAAAGAGAAGAGCGAGGTTCAACCGGTGACCGATCTAGAGACTGACTCTGAACGATGCTGAGTTCTCGTTCAACACATACGATGCTGTCTGACCGATAAGGATCATCATGATTACGACGTGCAAGTAGAGATACAGATCATGATCACGACGGGGAAACCGATATTGTCACTCGACCTCAAGACTAAACGAAGCTGATCCACCTCATTCTACCGAGTAATGCGTAAAATGACTACACACTCAATTCTTCTGAGATACAACATCCGTCTACGTCATGGAGAACTCCAGAAACTCACGGCAACAACAGTCGACGCCCACAATCGAGACTCGCGAGAGCTACCAAGACTCAGCCACAATATTGTTTATTTTTGTACTTGACCTCCGTGTCAAGCCTCTGCACATAAGTAGATACTATGAATCGTATGTTGACAACATCAATCGGAAGTAGTCTAACTACACTATGAATGCCTCATTCAGCTATGTGGTAAAAACCATGATCATGAATACACAAACTGAGAGATTCTTATAGGTCGGTACCTATGAATATCATGAATACAAGAGACATTCTACCATGTAATTAGTTAGGTACATTCACTTATATCCATGGATCAAAAATGGAACTATATGTGAGGAAAACACCTAAGGCAAAATTAAACCAACTATAACCTGTAATGAAAAATTTCTTTGGTACAATAACAGTTCGTACGCTTTCACTTAACTAGGATAGAAAAGTGGACTCAGATCCGACAAACATCGATCTAGAGAAGGGAATAGCTTGATGGATCTCTACTGAAGTATTTAGTTGTTGTATCATAGAGAACGACCTCCATCTGAAAATCATGACGAGGCACCAGTACTGGCGAGCGACGGTACGTCTTTTAAAATCTCTTCGGGTTTTGCGGTACCCGTTCCACTGGTGTCGACTGGCCCATCACCGCCTTTCGATGAGTCTTCCTTTGCTTTCTCGCCCTTTCCTCCAGCACTATTATCTGGTTTGCTACTCGATGCCGTGATGAAGTCTTCATAGCCCTTCTTCAATCCTCCAGGCCTTGGCCCTAACACCTCCAACAAGTCTTGATACACCAGCGTCTCCTTCTCGAACAATTTCGCAGACAGGGCTTCAATCAAATGCTCTTTCTCCTTCAGCAATTTCTTCACTCGATCGTATTGGCCATCAATCATCGCCTTGACTTCCTCATCGATCACCTGAGCCGTCTCCTCAGAATACGGCTTCGTGAACTGGCTGTCCTGGTCTTGATGGTAGTTGAAGAGGCCAATTTTCTCGGACATGCCCATCTGCGTTACCATGCGGTAAGCCATGGAAGTGACTTTCTAGATTAGAGTCAAAAAATTGATGTTTACCTCACGTGAACATAATAGCTGTCATTCATTGTATCTTATAGGTGACAGTTGTCCACTTCTTAAAAGTGCTGACAGTCTAAGCAGAACAGGAACGAAGTACTAGTCCAGAGACCGTCCTCAACCACAGTAAGACCACAGACATCATTTCACATCAAGTTGTTCAATCCAAAAACTTTTATGCCGCCAAAGCATAACTTGAGGTCATCGCTTGCCCCCGTGGTGATAGACCCAATGAAAAGCTCCTCTGCAGCGCGGCCGCCAAGTGTCATAGCCATCCGGTCTAGGAGGGACTCCTTTGAATGCAATTGCGTATCGTCAGGTAGGTATTGCGCGAAGCTGTGATGTTTGATTTGTAGTTTTATTTTGAAGATAACAAACTTCTTTTATGATGTGTAGTTGACAGTCTAGGGAAAAGCCGAAGGAAAATTTAACCGGTTTTTAGTTTAATACTTTATGTGCTTTCAGCGTCGCTGGGCCTATTAAACCTTTTCTTTTATGTGTTCCTTTTAGTAGATCTAGATTCTATCAAACTACGACCGACTACTAAACACAGGAGGGGGAAAGTGTAAGTACCCCAATGCCCCATTGCTTCTTGGCACGATGCTGACTTTCAGCAGTGGATCTGCGTGTTTCAAAAACCACCCCGTGACTGCATGGCCGCTTTCGTGCTTCGCTATGACTGTCTTTTGCTCTTGCGACATCAGTGTATTCGTCTTCGCGTGACCTCCCAACGTCCTCTCAGTAGCCCTCTCAAAGTCGTCCTGTTCCACATGAGTAGAGTTCCGTCGTGCGGCTAAGATCGCAGCTTCGTTGCAGATATTCGCAATGTCTGCGCCAGAGAAACCGGGAGTCAAGGCAGCCATTCTCCTGGCGACAGCTTGGTGGCTCAATGCCTCTGCGAACTTCAAAGGCTTCAAATGCACCATAAAAATCTCCTCGCGCTCCTGTTGTGGGTTGAAGGTTGGAAAAAAACTTCATCCAACGACGAGTACGTAATACAGGTAGAATGATAATTATAGCCGCAAACAAAAACTATCCTATTCCTAAAGAGCGGCATAGGCCATAGACCAGTAATTTTGTTCAGGTACTAGACCACTACAATTTTGTTATCAAGTAGTAGTAGTACCTTGATATCCGGGATATCGATCGAAATATGTCGATCAAATCGCCCTGCTCGCGTCAGTGCGTTGTCTAAAATGTCCGCTCGATTTGTGCCTGCCAGGACAATAACGCCAGTTTTGTTGTTGAAACCGTCCATCTCGACTAACAGTTGATTCAAAGTGGACTCCCTCTCATCATTGCCGCCGCCTCCCCAGCCGCCTTTATTACGCTTGCGCCCAACTGCATCGATCTCATCAATCCACACAATAGAAGGCGCTTTTTCACGGGCTGTAGGATGTGTAGTTAAACCGCTTATTTGGCAGATCAGTATCCGTTGGTATGTAAGTGAATCAAGCGAATGAAAAGAAACAATGGGGTTGGTATATAAGTGGATCAAGCGAATTAAAAGTATATACCTTGCGCAAACAGATCGCGCACTCTGCTAGGTCCGACTCCCACAAACATTTCAATGAAATCGGAACCCGACATGGCGAAAAACGGTCTTTCAGCCTCTCCCGCGATGGCTTTGGCCAATAGGGTCTTTCCAGTACCCGGTGGTCCTACGAGCAGTCCTCCCTTGGGAATCTTTGCCCCAAGGTGCTCGTATCTGTCAGTGGTTGGTTGGAGGATTAGGATGATTGAACTTGAGTGTCTAGAGAGTACGAAACTGAAGTTGTCTTGGTAGAAGTACGGAGAAATAAGGATGTTGTACTCACCACTCAGAAGTTATAATAGCATTATGTCAACATAACTAAGTCTCATAAAATGCAAGCATTGAGTACTTCTTCGGGTTCTTCAGGAAGTCCACAAATTCGGTGACTTCGACTTTGGCTTGCGATAATCCCGCGACGTCTGAGAACTTGGTTGTGGATTTTGTTTCTGTCTCCATCACTTTGCCCATATTAAACATATTTCTGCCGCCGCCACCGAAGGATGAGGGACTGAGTTGGTTTTCGAAGTGAGGAAGGGTGAGAGTGCCGCGTTGGGTAGGAAAGTTGTACTTGTGAATTACCTCCTGTAGATTGAAGCCACATCTATTAGTAATAAGGAGAGTAGTCGGATGTAGTATCAGGACAAATCAGGATAGGCAGTAAATAAACAAAGCACAACTTTTTAGTAGTAAGTACAACTTCCCTCCTCCCTTCGCATCGAAACGTGTGAACTTGAGGATCAAGAACAGAACGGAAAGTGCGACAAGAGGCGACGCCAGCGCTCTGAGGTCTTCTCTATAGTCCCGCTCTTGCACGTACTGGATGGGGATAAAATCCTGCGGATGAATACCTGATGTGCGCATGAAGTTGGAGGAATCTAAATTGCAAAGGTTCTTACTTAAGGGGTGAAGATCAAGATATTGTGACACACAAAATTAAGGGGTTCGTAGATATCAACACATGCAAGTTGATGTTGTTGATGTAACACTGGTGAATATAATAAGATGAACCTAGGACTTTCTAAGATCAGTATTTCGGTGGAGTAAGAGTGTAGAAAGGACATCAGTCTAGTCTCTGAAGAAGCGTAGCAGTACCTAGGCTATGCTGGTACGATTCGATGCGGCTCTCGAAGGATTCCGGTGACCCCAAGTGCACAACAAATTCCTTGCTCTCGCCTAGGCGCTTGACTGTGTTCAGAGTTTGTGTTTTGAGAATGAATCATGTTCTATCGGTTTGTTGTTCGATTGAATCATGTTCTATCGGTTTCTATTTGCGAAGAAAATCGAAGACAGAAAATTGATTCCATGATCATAGGCCTCCCAGACCGGCCGGAGGGAGGGAACGCAAAATGACCAACACGAAAAGAGTAAAAATGTAGAAAAAGATATACGTTCAGATTTTAAATTCTGAATGGACATCTTGTTATAATATAGTCAAAACTAGTGAAGAACGGACATCTAGTTATATAGTAATAGTACCAAGATTATTCGGCAGCGTCACATCATCCCTTAATATCACTCGACAGCTCTCCTTGTTTACCACCTGCAAGCGTTCGATGTAGCCAAATCTGAGGAAGTCGTTCACTAACTCCTGAAACGTGATTTCAGGCGTCTGGTCTCCCTTCAGAGCGTAGACTAAAACCGCCAGAATCGCTAATTGAACTGCGGCTGCGACGTACTTGGGCTCCATAGGCGGTTCGGGATCCTTGTCGCCCTTCTCTCCACCCTTCTCCTCATCCTTGGCTGAGGTCCCTTCTTTGCCCTGTGACGAGTGGAGCATGGTTGAGATGAATTGAGGCAATATATTTTTCCTACTGAGGTCCCTTCTTTGCCCTGTGACGAGTGGAGCATGGTGGAGATGAATTGAGGCAATATACTTTTCCTACTGAAGTCCCTTCTTTGCCCTGTGACGAGTCAAATATGGTTAGGCTTCGGATACAGTGCATGTGGACAGGGCTACACAGCGGCTGCACCATACTCGAGGCAGCGCGAACACAGACCTACCATAACAAGTGTCATTCGTCCTCACCAAACAAAAGATCAGACTTCTCGACGGTCCCTACTATCAAGTTTAAGAGAATGAGGTCACTTTGCCGAGCAAGACCTAAGAAGGGGCTTCAGCTAAAGTCCCTTCTTTGCCCTGTGACGAGTGGAGTAGGGTTGAGAATTGAGGCAATACATTTTTCCTATTATTGGTAGTGACTACATTGCTCTTAGAAATAGAAACCGTCGTGAAGCTCATCAACATATTCATATGAGATGAATTTAAATCACATTGCTTCTCACTCTTCCATCATAAAGGAAGAAAAGCCCGCGAGTGATTTGCAGATATAATGATGAGTGAATGAATGAATGAATGTGCCTAGCATGAGGTGGTGCAGTGAGTCTTTTATGTTCTGAAAACAAGTTTAAGTAGACATCTATACCTTTCCCCCCTCCGACTTCTTCGGATAAAACGCCCCAAATCCCTTTGGTACTTTCGCTTGTAACCACGCTTTCAGCCTCTCGAAATCCAAGGGTGAAGTTTGCTGCTCTTGCTTTATCAAATCCTCTAAAACTGACTGCGGCAACACCTTGGGGCCCTGCTCTGGTTGTTGGTCGCTAAGTCGTATTGGTTCCCCAGGTGCTAATGGGTTGTAAAAGCTGCTGCTGTTGTAAGTGCTCGTAGAAGAAGTTGGTGGAGGATTCTGCGCAACGCTGTTCTTCTCCCCAACACTATTGTTCCAGAAAGCGCATGTACTAGATGTCGCCCGACTATTGCCTGTGAGCACACCGCGCATGTGCTCAGAAGCATTTATCCTACAACTACTTTCCACTCCACCTAATGTTGTTCTTGAGCTCAGTGAAGACCCTCTGATAATCCCTGATGAACTAGCACCACTGGACCCTAGTGTTCTTGCTGCTGCGTCGGTGGCGGTAACAGCGTGCTTGCTAACCGAGCACTTATGTCTAGAGGCAGCTTGCGCTGAACGGCGGACAAGCCGCGCGGCAACTCCACGAGTTCGCGTCAACATGATGTTCGTCTTTGCGGTCGTCAGATCCTAGTAGTGCTATTGCAAACCAGTCCGTCAAAAAAAGGGTTCGTCGGTCCAGCTCCCTTAGACTTAGAAGGGTGAAAAGGTTATGCGTATAAAGGCAAACACTTGCGATGAAAGCACGGCTCAAGCGTCATTTTGATAACCTAGGAGCACCTTGTTAAATTCTGACCGTCAAGGCTTACTTTGCTATATTTAGTTGATCTGAGGAGTCTGACCAGAAATTAATTAACAAACAGGTTCACGACGCTATAGAAGTATCTGCACAGAAAACGTCGAGCACTACAGGGAAGATTTTCTGATAGGTCTGGGCGTTCAACCTCTACTTTGGGAATCAAACCAGCAACAAACTCGGTTGGGAAAACAGACTGAAAAATCGATAAACCCTGGCTCTTTATGTCGTGGTAGGTTGCATAGAAGAATTAGTGCCTCACATGTTCATGCATAGACATAAAAAAATTTCAAAATCACCTCTCGGATCCACTACAGGAGGAGAAGTCCTCCAGTTCCAGCTTCATGACGCCATGATGATTGATAGATTTTTTTCCGGATTCTATTCCTCCGGTCTGTTCTATCACCCCAGCTTCCCTCCTAAACAACTATATTGATTCGCGGGTAGTTCATCTGACTGTGTCCCAAAGACCAAAAAAATCAGATTGATCTTCATTTTTCCTGCCTTATTGGAAGGATGTTTGACTTCTTTCTTTTGATAAACTCAAACTCGTCAGGTAAATGTAATTACAAAAGGCCGGCGGAGAAGACTTTCCCATTCTTGTTGAGTCAGCACAATCTAAATCACGCAGCTACTCTAATGCACTAACTCAATGACTGCTCGTTACCTGTCGTATAATCTGGCCGGATATTGAACACTCCAACTATGCTTCCTCAGATGACTTTTCCTTTTCTTTTTGTCTTCTCTCCCTCATCTCTCCTAGTACACACTGATAACGCAGGTACTTCACAAAAAATTTCATCCAGAAACTCGTCAGCTGCATCGGTCAGAAGAACACCGTATTTGACTTCAAAAATGCAGTACCGTTTCCAACTATCTATTCACACGTAGAAGTCAACTCATAGATTAGAATCATGGAAAAAACAATGGTCCTTATATTACAGGTACTATCTTCTACGGATTCATAGATTCTATGGGGGAACCGTGTCAATTCAAATCGGCATTTCCTCCGTAGCAGTGTCTATTCATCAGCACCGCTTTGTCGGCCCATCAACTCCGGTCGGACACTCATCGCCTTTTGGACGACGGCAGTGTTTTAGAGCTTTGAAAGTTGACATTTTTGACTATTATTTCTATTACAATTAAGTACTACGCCAATTCATGAATCTATAAATATGTAATACGACAACTACCACATCAAGGAACATCCGCTCCCTAAGTTGAAGTTTGAATCTCCGCAGCTGCGCCAGTTCCTGTCATGCCCTTTAGAATCGCGATCGCATTGCGTAGACCATCAACAGCTCCAGCGCGCTCGTCCTTGCGTGTGCCGTAGTTCTTCAACAGATCGTCGCAATTCGAGTGCAACGTCTGCTCTTCTTCGCGCTGCTGAGTAGCGTCTTCTTCAGCTAAGCTCAAGTCTTCAGCGAGCTCCTCCGCTTCTTGCTTCAACTTTGCGAGAGAAAAATTAGAAGATAACACATCTTGAGTGAGTCTTGAGTAACTCGCTCCACATGTACAAGACTATGTATGAGACTCCGTCCCCTCTATGACTATGTATGAGCAGACTTGAGTAACTCGCTCCACCTCTATGACTTGAGTAACTCGCTCCACTATGTATGAGACCCAAAATATTGAAGAGAAGTTAGGTTTTTGCTTATGCTCAATACGTCTCGCTCATTGGTTCAGCTTCCATCGCTCTCACTTCATCACCAACTTCTCATAATAGCATTCTTCGTCGTCAATTCGTCTTTGCGCTGTTGTCTTGTCTTGGCCAAGTCGGCCATCAAAGCGTCATAATCCTTCTGCTCTTCATTCTCTTGCTGTTCTAGCAGTGCAATCTCCCGCTTCACATCCGCAGCCATGTTGATCAGGATAATCACGATGTTGCCGCCGGGAGTTAGAAACGGATCGATTATTTGCGTGTAATACATAGTGGAACATCCAAGTAGCAAATGCTCGTAATGCTAGTTCATTCTTGCTTGCAGAATTTGAATGTGCACCGAGAAGGACAAAATGATCAATCATCTATCCAACAGTAGTTACTCTCTCTTAACTTCTGTGATCTTGGCGATTGGCTTTCTTGCAAAAACGACGACGGAGCTTCCTCCAAACCCAGCATAGCACTTACCTCAGCATCTTGAGGTTGACCCATAGCCACAGCATCACTAGAACTACTTCCCTCAACAGCACTCGAAGATGCAGCAACCTGCATTGCTGATTTCTTCTTTGCACCAAAAGTTTCCTTCAGTTTTTTTGCCGCCTTTTGCAGTAGTTTCACGGCAGCCGAAAGCTCCGATTGCTCTTGGACAAAAGCAGCGTTCTCGGCTTTACGGGCCACGCCTTCATCAGTAATTGTGGTTTCCAGTTCGGCTGGGCATTAGAGGTGGGAACAATTTTGATCGACAAAGTTCCTAAAACACTTCAATTGTAGTTAGTGCATCATTTCGTGTGCGCAGGTTATACAAAAACGACGGCCATAAAGCACGCTCTTGACCGACGCCACCTCGTCCTTCACTGCAGATACTTCAGCATTTTTTTGTTCCACTGCTTGCCCTGCTGTGCTCTGCACCGTTTCCGCGTCTTTGACATCAAGCGCCGACTGTGCCAAATCCTTGTTGCACTTATCGCGCTCATCATCTTCACTCTTCTGCTCCTTCTGCAACAGAGAGATCATGCTGTTTTTTGAGATGTTATGAGGCTTTTGCAGGGATTGACATTTGACGGGAACGATGATGTAGTCTTATCTGTTTGAGGAGAGCTTCATCAGGCGTTATATCGATGGATCCGAGCAGAAAAATTGGTGACAAACAAGCATAGTACTCATTGCATTTCTTCAGCAAAGCATCGAATTTGCCACGTGCTTCCACCTGCACGAAAGACGTGGCCTCCTCAGCGGCTTCTGCACTAGCCTCCTCTTCTTTCGCAGGCATGGCTTTATCGAACGGCCTCAGAGAATCGTCACTGTTCAAGATTTGGATTAGAGAGGCAAGCACTTACAACTGTAATTTCTCAGCATATGCATGTTTCTACTCGTTTTTCTTCGTGTTATAGCTTAGAGGATCAGCGGATGTTAGAGAATTGGAATCCTCCATAATTTGATAGCCTCCTGCACTCCAAGGATTTCTTCCTGTCGTGCCTTTTCATTCTCGTCGTACAAGGCTGATTCGTCTGCACAAGCCTTCTTTTTATCGGCTAGATCTTTTTGGGTGTCTTCGAGGGCCTTGGATTAGATGGGATTAGTTTCATCTGTGCTTGACTGATAAAATGTGAATTTTTAAATCGAGAAGAGTTTTGCTTTTGTCCAAGATGAAACGAGCGCAATATTTGGTGTAGTACAAAAATAGTTGAATCCTTAAATTCCAGTCTTAATTCTCAGTATCCGCCAAATTCTCCTCAGCAGTCGCTTTGTCGCTTTCCTGCTTCGCTTTGCGCGTGCTTTTCTCCGTCAATTCCTTCGAAGCTGCTGCTATCTCGCCTTTTTTACTCCCCTCCAATTTATCAAATGTCGCTCGTGCGTCCTCTTCCTGCTTGGTGCTCTCGATCAGGTTGTCTTGCATGTTGGAACGCATCTGCTCCAAAATACCCACGATTTCACCTGAAGAAGCTGTGTCCACCTGCAAAAATGCGCTTCCTTTTCGAAGGACTTGGTAGACAGCTTCTCGATCGGACTCCGCGGCAAAGGCGCCGTTGTCACTTAGAAGGAAAGGGCTTAGGCCTGTGTAAACGAAATTGCATTTCCTCTCTATTTTCCTTAGGCCTGTGTAAAAGAAATTGCATTTCCACTTCAATCATGAGCATTCTTATCAAACTTCAACATTCTCAGAGAAGAGAACAACAGTCCGTGAGGAAGATCTCAAGTCAAACCGATCCAATCATTTGTCCATAACTGCAGCAGCGTAGTAAGACCCGTCTTTGCTTGTTTCTGGAGAAAAGCTGAGGTTAGGCCTGCTCTGAGAGCAGGAATAGCCTGATCCATGGCAGCGATATTCACACGAGTCACTGCGGCTTCGGATTGATACCTGGGAGATGCACACTCTTGATTTGTCTGTCGGAAAGGATTTTTGTGTCTGGAAGAATACAAAGTCTGTCCTGAAAGAGAAGATATATGATTGAGAAACCAACCGTTACAATTAGATCATGAAGATTGGCACATCTTAATTGGTCAGAACACGCCAGTACGAATTCAATCACACTTCTAAATACTCCTCACTCTCCTTCTTTCGAACTTCTTCTGCTTCAGCGAGTGACTGTTTGTTCTCCGCTATGTCTTTCTCCAAAGCAGCTAGCTCGCTATTCAGTTGTTCAGCCGCTCCACTGCGTTCTGAGATTTGGCTTTGCTTAGGTCTCACTACGCTGCTTAATCCATCTTGAAGGACAGCCTGGGGCGTTTGAACGACATCCTGGAATGCTTTTCCCCTTTATCTGAAATCTTCTCAACAGGATGCTTCTGACATCCGGGAACGCTTTTTCCCTCTAGAATAAATCAATGTCCTTAGGAATCCAACTGCTTCTGGAGATGGATTGACGCAAGCCTTAATTTGCAACGCTGAAATGCTATTCTGCGCATCCTCTATCTCATTGCCCATGTCTGGGATTTCCTTCTTGCAGCCACATTGCACTTTCTCATGCACTTTCAAAGCTTCATCACGTTCAGCCTCGATTTCCTCAGCAAGCTCCTGTAGTAGGGTAACTACTTTTCGGATCGGATTGGCTTGCAAACTTTCGACTGACATGGACATGCGCATGCCCTCAACGACGAGCAGGCTGCTACTAGCTACCAGCGTTGCCGAAAGATGTCCACGTCGTCTCATCTTCGTGAAAATGCTCGTCCTGATACCAGCAAGGCACTAGAAGGGGCCAAAGATTGCGTTGAGGACGGGAAGAGGCACAATCTTCTCGAGCAGCTGCTCTAGTTTTAGGTCCGTCTTGCTTCTGCCAAGCACACAACAGCTCAAGCCATACGCAACCGCCACACACATGTAAGTAATCGAAAAAATGTGGAAATTAGAATGAGCATCAGAGAAGAAGACTAACCATTCCTGGGTAGAATTTGATGGAAAAGAAGCTGATATTGGAACAGCAAGAACGTTTATCTACGGATCGAGTCTAAAATCGACATTGATGTTACAAAACCAGACATAGTGCTCCAACATTGAGTTTAGTACGTCTTCATCTTGCGAAAACAAAACCATAAACAAAGGAGCCAGGTCAAGCAGGAACCATGTCACTGTGTCGGCCGCTGGGTCAGCCATGTGTCCGAGAACTCTGCCTCACGACCCATACAGGAGCAGCTACAACATCATTTTCATCTTGTTCTTGATCAAATTTTTATCATGAGAGTCGTGACAAATTATACTAAAGTACTGGATATAGAGAATTGAACTGTGACATATAAGTTTATCATACGGTTTGTGGTACGAAGTATGTGGCACACTCAGAAAGTCCAAAGCAGGAGCACAACTTCACTCCCTTAGTCCTGAGCATTCTCTCAAACAAGTTCAAGTTCTCTCTTCTCTCTACTTTCAATCACTACTATCGTCGCAATTCGAGCCTTTGTTCAGCAAGCTCGTAAAGGACTCACTAAGGTCACGAAGGAATTATTTTCACTTGCACGGTTCAAGGAAAAAACGAAGCATATAATACTGCGATTTCAATACTTGAGAATGCTGGTGATGATACTTGGGCTTCGACTGTTGATGATACTTGGGTCTTACACTGTTGAAGATGCTTAGGGCGACCTGTTGAGTCAATACTTGAGCCTTAGCTTCACTGTTGAAGATAATTGGGTTTAACAACTGTCGAAAAAAACGGTGCGCGTCTGACAGATGAAATTACTAGGGATAAAACGTTGATGCTGAGTCAATACTTTAGTCAAAACCATCACGGTCAGAATACTTGGGTCTTTTTACAATACTTGCTGCTAGCTCGGTTGAGATATTGAAAAAACTTACAGGTTTTCTGCCAAGTTACGCACCTGAAAAAGTCGTGATCGTGAGTGCTTGCCGAGCAAGAACTCGACTTCAAAAAAAAAATACTTTGAACCTACAACGCAGAGTACAACTACTAACTTTACACTGACGTTATAAATCGACATAGTTGCACTAGCCGAACAGTGCTCTTGTTTCTAGAAGACTGGCAAGAAACTCTTCCTCTTTCTCGAACAGAATGAGCGACACATTTCGCACGCCTTCGGCTTCATCTTCATAGTCCTCAGGGAAGGAGAAGGGATCATACTCAAGCTTATACCCGATGCGATAAAACAACCGCAACAACTGCTCGCATTCCTGCACGTACTTCTTTCCCGAAGACGCCTCGAATACGATCTGCGAAGGCCTTACGGTAGGCCCATGCCGATACACGTACTCGAGCACACCCCTAAGAATGGCGAAGTCTTGGCCCTCGCAGTCTAGATGCAGCAGCTGCATCGATCCGCTGCCACAGTGTTGTAGAAGTTCGGAGAAAGTGCAGCAAGGAACTCGCTTGCTCCGCTCATAGCTCGCCATACCACGCTCTTGCAAAAGACCAGGTGTTAGAGTTATCAGCACTTTAACCAACGTGACAAGGATAGCTAGTTTTTAGGATAATACTAGCTGTAATTCGTCATCCAAAATGATCTCATAAGTAGAAGTATGCTGGCCTTTGATTGACGCTGGCGCAAGCGGAAGCGAGCTGTCCCGTATGGTAGCATGTCCAACAGCTTTCCCTCTCGTGAAAAGTGCACAAGCCACCCTGTAGGTAAGACCGCTTCAAGTCGTTTATGGTCTCTTGATCCACGTAATAAACTGTTGCAGTTGAAGATGCCGCGTCTGTGTTTGTTGTTCCGTTTTCTTGTTTGCGAGCTTCATCTGTTAACCCACTCACTGCCATAGGACTGCCTACTAATTTTGTCCCACGACAAGCTACTGCCTGCTGTCTCCGACGCTGCTGGCGAATCTCGAGAGGAAGCTCATGCCAGCACTCGATATCGGCGTCACAAGACGGGCCGATCACTGCCATATTGAGCTTTTGGAGATTTCTGTTTTCCGGCAGCTCGTTGAGCACCCACGGGATCACATCAACGGCTATGCCACAGCACTCTTCTTCCAGGTTGTTGTAGTTGCCATAATTCCACCACTCTTCTTCTTCTGCTTCTTCTATGTTGTTGACATCATGATGTTGATGTTCAGAACTACAAAGATCTCCATCCTCTTCTTCTGTGATGCTGCACGTCCTCCGGGAAGTTGCTTCATCTTCAGAGCTCCTTGTTGTCGACTTGCGGACCAGACTACAGCTTCTTAGGCTGCTGCTCTCCATATTCTCCTCCACTAGTACAGCCCTCCTCTTAATTTTGGGCTCCACTTGTTCCGTCAAGGCTTCTTCTGTGTCGCTTTCCCCTGAGGCTAAAGCAGGTGGAGGACTGACGCTAGTGCTACTAGCTGTAGTGGTGGTACGTGAAGCACTTTCTTCTTCCTTGGAAGATGAGGAGGAACAACTGCTCTCTTCGATACTGGAAGATTCCGATAGTGCCTTGACCCAAGGAAAGCGCCATGAGTAGTTTTCTCGGTTCTCTAGGCTACAATCCGAAAATTTTCCGTCCGGCATCGGGAAACACGCATGACTGACCGTGTTGTAGGTGCTGGTGCCAATTTCCACGAGTCTTAGGAGGAGAAAGGAGAAACTGACTCAAGAGACGATACATGACTGTCTCTCGAGTAGACTAGGGACCATGTATAAGAAACTCTTTCAGTGGTGACACCACACGAAATGACTGTTGAAAGCAAAATGATACAAGATCAATTAAGTATTTTTGCTTGAAGTTTGAGTTAGTTGATCAAAAAACATAAAAACCCAACCACCTTCGAGCATCCTCCCGGTAGCGGCAAATAATACTCTTCATCAAGATTGCCTCCTGTAGCTGTTGTTGATGCTGCTGATGATGCTGCACCACCAGACGAACGGACAGGATTCATGAAGTTTTTCCAGGAAAGTAGATCAGCATCAGTCAATGGCTGCAGCCAAATGGGCACATAGTCGCAGCACGGATACCCATGGTAGCCTAAATAGTCATCTTTGTACTCCGTTGCGTAATACGAAAACGGTGACCGAACATAGTCTTCCTCGGTGTAGTTGTAGTAATCATACTGGGCTTCCTCGGTAGTTGTACTGTGATACTTTTCCTCTTTTTCACACGTGCTATCCTTGGTATAGCTAAGATCATCATCATTTTGTTCAGACGTGCTATTTTTGGCGTAGTGGTCAGCATCATCTGGTTCTGGATCAGCGGGGCTATTTTTGGCGTAGTGGTCAGCATCATCTGGTTCTGGACCCTCTTCGGGACAACATTTTAGTCGCTCCCCGTTGTCTTCTTCGGATCCCCGCTGAATAGCTTCTCCACATGCACATGAGGTGTCCTTGTCGGTGTCGCTACTAAAGGAAGCAGATCTAGTCTCATAGCTTTCAGCAGACGTGTTAGAGCTATTTCTAGTACTCGGACTGCTGTTGAAATTAGAGCCTGCACTAGTAGTCGAGCTAGAAGAACTACTTCTGTGGCATGACTCTCTTTCCTTACGGATGCAGACAACCGGTCCGGGAGAAGGCACAGGGCCTCCTTTTTGATAGTTCATTGTTATTGTTTTTTGACGAAGACGATGCCGTGAGACGAGACGACAAATTTTTTTTGCGAATTTCCGCAGTTCAGGACACTTCAGTCCGTTGATTGCTGCATGCGAGATGCACTCATGGTAACGTGCCGTATCCCAACCACTGCCGGTGGGATGAGTTACGACCCGCGGCCAAGATCTACGCACTCGCTGGGTTTGGCTTTGGTCTTTATCTTCTCCCTCGAGTGCCTGAAAAAAAGGTGGCTCAATCTACAAGGCCCACAGCGATCTGCTCCACGGTTTACAGCCGCTGGCCGCTGTAAGAACTTCTATGTCCTCGTGTTCAGTTCTGCATAGTTGGGAAGATAGATGCCTAGACACAGCTCGTGGCATTGCTTCTTGATATACTCCTTACGCGACACGACTCCGCGTGCCCCCAACAAGGTGCGAACACGGAGTTGCGGAGGAGGGCCGATAAGGATACGTGATCAGTTCTTCGATTTATGCTTCTCGATTTATGCTCGGGAAGACTTGAAGCTTTACTCTAACCTAAAAACGATTGATATTACTAATACATGCGATCGACATTTTGAGAAAAATACACTGCGTTTCGTTTCATACGGGTATTGCAATCAGCTTTTCAATTCTCGCTAATGTTGATGATCACGCGAAAAAAAAATTCTCTTGTGGAACTGCGTTCCTCTCTCTCTCTCTTAATTACTTTGTCCCAAAAAAAAATTAGCGTCATACGTAGCATTGACATTATATCTTGTTGAGCACAAAAACTTAGCATTTTCAGTGTCAATGTTTCTGAACAGATTATGCGTCGATGTGAGAACCGAAACCATCAGTTGACCAGAATGATCAGAGAACTACGTGCTCTGATGTCACGAAAGATGAGGGAACCAATTAGAGAGGGAACTAAAGGCAAAGGTGACCTATTTCTCTCAAAAACCACAGAACAACATGTTGGAGATCAGGTGATCTAAGTAGTAGATGTCATGTGTGACATACAATTACCATTACCAAGTGGATTCTCGCTTCACTCGAACTTCAACCTTGTTTAGGCGTTTTGAGAACCGATGCTGTTAAAGACCTTTTGTGATATTTTTGGTTTCGGGGAGCACGCGCCTACAACAAACCGTTGTGACCAGGATTCGAAATTCTCATCTTCATTCTGAAAAGGGGCTATAGGTAATTACTATAAGAAATCTTGCTTTTCCAACACCAAATTGCTCGTTGCAATCCAAAAATCGTCCTTGTTTCATCGATAACATTCTTTCAGTCTCATGCAAGGATATCTCTCCCATCCAAACAGGTATGATCTCATAAGTACATGGTGTCATAAGCCAATAAATACAGTACAAAATTCAGATCGAAAGCTATTATCAGAGCTGCATCTGATACAACTCAAAAATCTTATCTTCTACTATGAGTACTATCTCCTAAGGCTAAACCATAGTCAATCACGTCATGGTCAATCTTTTCTAACAGAAACATGGTCAATATCTTTTCTAATAGGGTCAATCACCAATCTTTTCTAATACAAACATTGTCAATCTCGTCTAATCCAATTGCGATTGCTATTCTTGTCATTCGATTCGGTTCGCCGAATACAGTACGGAAGAGGACATTAATAGTCTTTAATCATCATGTTCGTTGTGCGTCAATTATCAATCTAGTTGCTAGTGATCATGAGATGATGAATAGAATGAATTTAGAAGTATAAGACATCTACCTCTATGCCTGCGAATTACAGTTCTTGTCATCGCATTTTTGGTATGATTTCAGTGCATTTATTTTTCACAATAATTATGAAATATATTTGCGTATGTTATTACAATCGCGGTCCATTGATTTTACTTCTCCATTTTGACTTTCAATGCTAGTTTACAGCATACTCCTCTTTTTACGTGCATCAAGCGTAGCGGCTACAAGATAATCAACTCATAGACGCAGCACCCTAGTAGGATATGGGTGCAAGAGAATATGCTGCTAGTAGGATAGGCTACCCAAGAGGATATGCGTGCATTACATCTAAACGTAGCACCATTCTTGACCATTCTTGTATCCCTCGTTTGGAGCGGCCCCTGTGTCACCGCTACTGCCTGGCACCGCTACTGCCACGACGGTCATTAGAGAAGAGCGAAAATCAACCGAAGGTTATTTTCTGATTATAATCAATACCATCTCACCATACAACATCTACAGCATTCTTAACATTGTAATATCCGTACCTCCTTCCTCATATTATATCTACCGTTTTTCTCACGTTACTCTTTTTCGGCTTTGCCTCTAGTCGAGAGTGGCCTTCTTCTCATGACGATGCCAATCTACTCGGCAATCTGCCTAATATTTCCCTGGCGACTTCTACCCGCTAGTCTAGCTTGTTGTTCGGTGTATGCATGTGTGTATGTGTGTATGTATGTATGTCTGTATGTATGTATGTATGTATGTGTGTATGTATATATGTAGCACGTTGCAGTTCACCAACGTTCCCGCTCAATAGAGCCCGCGTCATTTGTGGGTTCTCCTTACGTCAGTAGTGCTCATCGGGTTAGCGGGAGGGGGATACCCTTTTCTTGTTCTCATAATAGAATCCTGCTTGGTGCCGTCTTTCTCGCTCAGGTACATTTCCCTCACAAACGGTTGCTCGACCAGCCCGTTCATCACCATGATGGAGATGTGGCAAGCCAATGTGTACACAAAGATCAACGTCGGAGAACCCGCTATATGAAGGAGGGGAAGCTGTGGGGGAGGGAGTTGAAGCCCGTTATGTGAAGGAGACCTTGAAACCTGTAGGATGGGGAGTTACAGCCTGTGTGTAGCAGTGGGGAGTTACAAGCGGTGAGGGAGGTGAGGCAGTTGAAAGAGGGATCGGTGGGGAGTAGCAATCATTTTTTCAAGTACTAAAAATTTCTTCAAGACGAAAACCATGAGTAACTGGTAATATGATTTGTTTTCAACCATCATGTCACTGCCTTCTCGTCTTCGATGAAAGCAAATATTATACACGACTGGACGGTAAGTATGGCACCATCTCAGGTGAAGCAAACACACAAAATAATCGTGGTTTCTTCATAAAATTGTCGCCACCCAGCGAGAAGCGCAAGTCCGTAGCCATCTACGTAGCCTAACACGTAAGTAGGCGACCCGATACAAGCATATAGACTGCTAGCGACAAACCGCTCATTCGGACGATCCAGGATCATATCGTAATTGTATGAAGAAAAAGGAAGAGAAGTAGACGAGGAGAAAGGATTATTACCAATGGGATGATGTCTTGTCCTTCCAATCCTGATATTATCATTACTCAGGACGTAGCACCTATCCACCTACCATTATGATACTAGGTTGGAACACCTCTCATGGTACTATTCTCATCTTACTCCCAGTACTTATCCTTGATCAACATCAGGACAGCTCTTCGAGGATAGTTGCTGGCAACATTTATCATAACAAGTGGTAATTATTCACACCGGAAAGGTATGCCGCCCACATTCTCCCGATACTGCCGAAAGTTAGAGCAGGAGCGAACAAACATCTCAAAGACGCATAGGCGAAAATGAAATCTGGATGGAGAGAAGATCGCATATAATAATAAACGACTTTGGTAGTGAACGGGAAGGAAAAACACCGAGCCAAAATACACGAGGATCCAATTGACCAAGACATTACCGAGCAAGTTCATTAGACAACTCTACTGATCTAGAAAGTAAGAAGCTTCCGGAAACGTTTCGCCGGCTCTTCCGTCTGTTTTTACACCGGAACGGATTGAAGCAGCACAAGAAATTAAGGGGCCCCCGAGGCACATAGCGACTCACAACTAGCTACTATCTAGAAATAGCAAAGTAATTAGCTGCAGAACTCGATAAGGCGCAAGACCTACTGCACCCGAAAAAGTTATATGCGTTAATCAGCCACACGCAAGCTAGAACGTCCAACCCAAGCGCGAAATTAATCAAAATGAATCCGCACAGATACATGAAGAAACCCATGCCACTGACGTCGGCCAAGAATTGCCATCCTGATGCTATTTAGCTCTCTGTTAGATTGAAAATGGATTATCAAGCAAATACGTGATCAGCAAACAAGTCAATCAATGTATAAAATCAAAGACACTAGAATACTAGAAGAAGCCTGCACCCTCCCTGGAATACCGCTAAGACACTAACTCATTCCCCCTGCTTCCTTCATTCCTCCTTCTTCCTGCTTCATTAATTCCTGCTACCTTCCTTGCCTGCAGCCTCCTTCCATCCTCCTTCTTACCTGCGTCCCTAATTCCTTCCTCCTGCTTCCTTAATTCCTTCCTCCTGCGTCCTTCCTCCTTCTAAGCTGCCTGATTCAATAGCGACCCGAGTGCTAGCTAATGACGATTCGAATCCATTTGGCAGCTTGCCGAAGATTCCCCCCCTGTTGATGTTGATATCTAGTTACTGAAAAAAATACAAATAGTAAGTTGTTGCACTACCTAGTTACTCTTTAAAATATAAATATTTTTGCCTCCATAAGACAAGGACCAGAAGTATAGCAGCAGCTAGTGTGGCTGGATGCGAGCAGAAACCCGCTATTTTTGCCGCTGCCTCTTTTCCTCTCGCTTTATCACCGCGTCTGTAATGGTGATGCAAGAAAAATGTCATGTCGTGTGTCGCGTGTGTGATCTTCCAAGTCGCTAGCGGGACTCGACCCCAGAGGACGATCGCGAGAAAAAGTCCAAAGAGGCAAGAAAAAATAATCTCTACTAAAATTTTGCTCACAACAACGAATACAATCGTGAAAAACCTTGTAAAACTCTCCTTCTAGGGGATGGTCTTGTCGTACCCTATAGGAGAAGCCTGGAAAAATCAGAGTCAGTGTATCCATTTTTGTGAAAAAAATGCTCTATATAGTGGTGGAGCCAACCTAACTAGAAAAAAGCTCTATAGTCGATATCTAGTACCCCCAAACATATGCCTCCACCTCTCCGAAATCGGCTTTGTTTAGTACAACGTAGCACACCACCATGCCGAACCACGTAGTATTAGAGCATATATTACGTGGGGGTATTCAAATCGTGTATAAGTCAAGTGTCATCTTAGAGGGTAGATAGTAGGGTGTGCATCTTCCGATTTTGTTCTCTTCCAGAAGCATGATCCCTCTTGCTGAGGTCCTCGCCTTCTTCCTTGTTATGCTTCTTACAGTTGAAAAACCAAAGACAAGAACTTCTGATACTTGAAAAAGCGGACTTCAGATCCGCTTATGCGTCGAATACGGGGTGGCTCTTGTTTCATACGGAGCATCATGATACACCTAGTAAAGATCATGAACCGAGCAAAACTACGAGGGAAAAACTAACCGGCTTGTTTTTACTTGTGTGCATCGAATACTAACACAGATGAATCTCTGGCCTTAACTGTCCACAATGTAAGCTCCCACCATTTTAACAGAGCAGCGCGATCCCTGAAGCACTTGCTAACCGAGTCCCGCATAGCGAGCAAACCGCACGCAAAGATGTAGTAGACAAACCACGTGCTTACCATCACCGCCATGCATGCCGCTGGTTTCATGGTGCTGAAATTAGGAGATCCAGACTTGAAGATCTGTTCTTTCCCTCTTCTCGAATAATTCTTCAGCAACTTAGAAGTTAACAAACTGGAGCCTTAACATCCAGGTATGGAGACAAACCGATACCCATCACTGCGAACCAGGCTAAAAAGCACCACCAGTAGTCGTAAAGATAACTGCAATCGAACTTTCTGTCGAGGCGAGGGAGGACAAACCGTAACCCCAAGAGCACCATGCCGCTCCATAGAAAGTGCAAGAATATGAAAAGTTTTAACAGTGCCACCTTCATGAAACTCTATAAAATGACTGAGTAAGTAAATCTTTCCGCCCCCAGGAAATCACGGAGTTCCACCATTTCTAGATTGAAACTACTTTGAAACTGCTACTATATTTTCTTGTCCTGTTCATTTCCTTCCATAAAGAAAGCATTCTGTGGCCCGTAGTCGGCAAGCGTTACGTACGGAATTTTCTTGCGGCTCGCATAGAACTCCCAATGGGTCATCGATATTATTAGACCTCAAGAAAAATCAAAAATCGAAACTACGCTTCCACAAGAAGAAATGATCAATTATACCATCTAATCATTAGAAGTAGGAGTAGCACTCAGCGAAGAATCAATCCACGCCGCGAACTAGTGCCAAAACCAAGAAGTACAGCCAAGTCATAACTCAATATCCTCTGTCAGCAAAGCTGCTCCTGTGGAGCCATCCAGCAGTCCCGCCTCCACATCGTCCTCTGAGTCTGTGTCTGTGCCGCCAGGTGAAGATTAAAGGATGAAACATTTCATTCTTAAAGAGCAATCTTAAGGGAGATGAATAGCCTGTAAAAATGAAATATTTCAACCCTTAAGCAGAATTGCGTATTGGCTGACTGTTAGCCTGTTCAGGGTCCTCCAAATCTTGTTGGTCAGCCATGGCTTATATGTTTGTGCAGGGTAGAAGATGAAGAGCTTGTAAAAAACACGTGGAAAAATGAAAATCAAAATTATAGGCGGATGATGATGATGATGGTGTACCTCCCAGTCAAGATCTTTTTACAAAGAAACAACAAACCAATGAACTGTACAGCTTACATCTGTTTATTTCAGTCTGCTCCTCTACTGTTTGATTGGTTTTTTTAGAAGAGGTATGCTGTTTGATTGGTTTCTTAGAGACATGAGATTCAAGCAACTAGTCGTTGTACTACGTGTCTTCAGAGTAGTCTGAATTTCCTTCGAGAATTCGATTTCACGTGAGCGAGACGTCATAAAGATTAAACCGACTACTAATTATCTAAGACTGGACGCAGCAGACTTGACGAAGGACCGACTTATGGTAAGACCAAGCAGGAAAGACTTATTTGAACAGGGGACTAGGACCACTAGACGACCGATGTGGACGACCGACGCAAAGCAACTAGGGAGGATGTCACCGTCTATCGCGGATTGCATGCAAGCCTATGAAGCCACTCAGCTAACGTTGATCCTCTTGCACTGCTTTTCATAGCATAAATTTCACTTGATTTATCTTTTATGGAAAGTATTCCCTTATTCTATTCCATATATTCCATCGAAGCCAGTTACAGCAGAAGTAGATCTAGTTTTTTACATGGAGGATAATGCCTTATTCTATGTGGAATAAGGGCCTATTCTATTGTAATTACGTCACTTACTGACGAGTAGCATCCCTAAGCCTCCAAAGCAACTTCAGTATACACTAGTGGGCACGTATTTACGTGGACTATCATGGTCTTACTACCTCATGACCGACGCAAATCTGGTATCACAAACTGTAATATCTAGGATGTTCTACTACTTGAATAGACCTAACTATCTATCTGCTTGAATACGTCTCATCTACCGATGAGTAGACCTCCATATACTTCTCCTTACAGAAGCCCTCTTAAATCATGCAGCTAGCTCCTTTAGATTTAGATAGCCTTCCTGCTTTTGTGGGTCTTGACAAACCTTGGTCATGACAAACTAGAAGTAGCTAGTGATGTGAATGAAGATATTGATATGAGTGAATGAATAACAGTAGCTAGTGGCGATTAATTTTGATGTACGTGAATGATGTAAGTCTGCTAAACTTGTTTCTTACTTGTCTTCGCGTGTACTACACTTGTTCTTTTGCTGCAGCTCTTTCGTGTACTACACTTGTGCTTTTGCAGCTTCCGAGTCTACTAAACTTGCTCTTCTTCGCGTGTACTAGACTTGTTCTTTGGCAGCCTTTGCGGTTACTAAAGGCGTCAGATACATCTTCTTTACAAACGGTTGCTCCACCAGCACGTTCATCACATTGATGGCAATGTGGCAAGCCAACGTGTACACGAAGATCAACGTCGGAGAACCCGTTTCGTGAAAGGGGAGAAGTCGTGGGGACTTAAGGGAGTTCTTCAAGGTGGCAACCATCAACACGTTACTGTTCCTCTCCATTACACAAAGAAGCTGACATGTGGATTTGAAGAATAGTATTCGATAAACTGAAATAAGCCAGTAACTAGTGAAAATTTAAGGGAGATACTGAAAGAAGAGGAATGCACTAGTCGAGACTCTCTTATTTCAGTCAGTAACTCGCTTATTTTGAATTTTCGAACAATGACACAGACAAACTACAAATTGTTCCCTCATAAATTTGTCGCCAACCCGCAAGAAGCGCAAGTCCGTAGCCATCCAGGTAGCCTAAAACGTAGGTAGGTGATCCGACAAAGGCGTATAAACTGCTATCCACAAAGCGCTCATTCGGTCGATCCAGAATCATATCGTAGAGGTGGTAATTATTCACCCCAGAAAGGTACGCCGCCCACGTCTTCCCGATGCTGCCGAAAGTTAGAGCTGTAGGCTGGAAGCTCCAGGTGGGAGAAGTGCATCTTCTAGAGGCATAGCGAAAGCGAACCGACCCCCTCGCGAGAATCACAGCTACAGTAGGTTAGGTTAGGTTGTGAATCCTGCACATCAACGCCCCCCGGCACCTGGCTTGACTCCGAGGATGAATAGGCGACCTGAATAAAGTCGACCACGAACACCGAGGCATGTGACCCGAGTAAAGTCGTCGCCGTTATACATGACCGATGTCCCCGTGGATCTTTCCTACCCTCTCGCTGACCGACGAAGCTACAGTACAAGAACTTTGTACTTACACTTTGTTAGAACTACCAAAAAGAAACGTCTTAGCACACGGAAAAAAAATCCCGAGCATCATGATCTATTCAGCCGTAAAATGCCGAGCAGCAGAAGAGCGGCGACTACTGCGGCTGGGTGTGAGCAGAAGGCCGCTAGCTGTGCTACTGCGTCTTTTCCTTTTGCTTTATCGCCGCGGCTGTGATTGTGTTGATGCAAGAGAAAATGTCTATTATCTTGCTCAACACAAGAACGAATACAACCTGCCGAACGAAGAAGTGGAAGAAATAAGACGTCGAGTGGAACAAAGGCATGTTGTAAAAAAAACTACATATCATAAAAAAATGTGAATCTTTTTTTAGTGCCCCCAAATATACGCTTCCACCTCTCCGAAATTAAAAAAACGTGAATCCTATAGTACCCCCAAATATACGCTTCCACCTCTCCGAAATTAAAAAAACGTGAATCCTATAGTACCCCCAAATATACGCTTCCACCTCTCCGAAATTGGCTTTGTTTAGTACGACATAGCACATCACCATGCCAAACCACGCTTTGTTAGAAGAGGGTATCTATAGAATGGATAAATATGTATCTTGTTGTCCTACTATCTTCTCCTCAAGAAGCATCCCTTTTGTGGTGTCCCTCGACGTGTGGTCCTTCTTACTTGAAAAAACGCACAACTCCGTGATTCTCATGTTCTTACACGCTTGTTTGTTAAGCATCCTGATTAGAAGAAATGAAAGTGGGTAGCCTTAAAGGTCCACAGTGCATGCTCCCAGCATTTCAGCATAGTGGCGCGATCGCTGAAGCGAGTGTTGATCGACTGTCTCATCGAAAGCAATCCAAAAAACAGAATGTAGTAGATAAACCATGTGACTGCCATCATGGTGATGCAGGTCGAGGCTTTCATTGTGCTGAGATTAGAGGCTGACGAATTATGGTTTTTTCCCTCTTCTCGAACAATTCTTCAGCAACTTAGAAGTTAAAAAACACTGTTGTAGCCTTAACATCCAGGTACGGAGACAGTCCGATGCCCATTACCGTGAACCAAGCTAAAAAGCGCCACCAGTAATCCCAAACGTAGCTGCAATCAAACCTGCGGTCAAGCCGAGGGAGGACAAAACGTAAGCCAAGAACCACCATACCACTCCACAGATAGTGCAAGAGTATGAAGGCAGACACTGTTCTGTGACAAGTTCAATATTCAAGGATCTCTGATTTTTTTGCTTAGTCTCTCAATTCACTATAATTTCACCATTTCCTTCCATAAAGAAAGCATTTTTCGGCCCGTAGTCCGCAAGTGTTACGAAGGGAATTTTCTTGCGGCTTGCGTAAAACTCCCAGTGGTTCATCGATAGTATTAGATGCAAAGCTGTGCTATCTGGCAGCACGACCCTTCATTCATTCGTAATGGCCACCGTAGCAAAATCGATGAATGCTGCCACTTTCTTCTCTCTGCAACCTAAGAACAACAACATTTCTTCTATAATTATAAATAGTACCCGCCGCGAACAACTACAGAAACAAACTCTACGAGGACCGTTCAAAATCCAAGGCGTAAGTCAACATCCTTCATCGAATTTCTCAAAAATTCGCCTGTCGAGCCCTCAGCTACAAGTTCCGCATCGCTGATGTCCTCTTCATCAGTATCTCCTGTGCCACCAGGAGGTGAAGACTTACGCCGTGGCTGGTCCAACATGTCCTTCCCCTTGTCAATTTCAAAAAAATTTAACGAGTCTTCCCCTTCGCCGCCCATGCTGACAGACTTTATGTGACCATAGAACAGTGAGGACTATTGAAATTCTTGACTAGATGCGGAATCAGTTGGTTGCTTGGTTGTAAAAACTTGTTTTTAGTTGCGAAAACGAGATGATGCGAGATCAGTTATTAAGCACGAAGCGAAGGACAACTACCCGCCTAATCCTGGCTGGTCCAACATGTCCTTCCCCTTGTCAGGCATTTTTTAACGAGTCTTGGTCGGAGTGTTCGAAAATTCAAAATAAGCGAGTTACTGATCTCTAAGCACGCTTAAATCGTAGAACCGCAGTTGTCAGACCTACAAGGGGATCAAGTGACTAACCGAGATGATAAGGGAACCGAGTCATGATGCGACCGATAGAATATCAGACTGAAAGACTGGTAATGAGAGTAGGATGAATCAGACTAGGCAGACACGGGACAACCTATGACCCAGTCATATTGAAATCATTGCGTATCTGAATCGTGTGCATGAAGAGACTGATGTTCGTGAAGACACCGACTTTATGCTAGAAAACCGATGCAGTGCAACGAGCGAAGAGTGTCGAGACATCCAAGGAGTAGTGCTTGAAGACCTGCCGTCAGTTTCTGAACTGAATCTCAGACTCGTTTCTGCCCATCAGTCACAAGCACAAGAATGTTTATCCTACGAAGTATAAAATAGCGCAAGTTCATCTGGTGTTCTCATCTCCTCGAGTTGGGATCTCTATTTCAGATTATGGACAACCTTAGTCCGAGCCTAAAAAAAGTTGGTTGCGCCAAACCTTGCACTCGAAGTTGCTCTACTATAATCGATGAGGGCGTCGTAGATCAAACGACAGAATGCTATCCGGCTAAGCTTCTTTATGTGCTTTATGAGCGGCTCTACTATGTATTATGAGCTTCGTGACGATACTTTGAAAACACTATACTAGCAACTACGTTTTCCTGCTTCATGTCTTCTCATAGAAAGTGACTCCTTCCTTACACACCAGTGATTCTATTCGATGAAAAACGCGATTCGAGGGCCTATGCATCTATCTAAATCTTCCAAAATCCACCTTCGCAGTCTATACTTTTTCGTCTGTCGCAACCCCTAGTACAGAGGGAGCCTTAATAATACCATCTCCTCCTCCGACGTTCAATTTTCGAGAGTATGACCCAACCTTGCGTGTCGCGTCTACCTTGCTAGAAGTGGTCTCACCGTCTACCTTGCTAGAAGTGGTCTCACCGTCTACTACCAAGTCGTTCGTATACATCTTACTGACGAAAGGCTGCTCGACGACCCTGTTCACCACATTGATGGAGACATGGCTAATCAGCGTATACAAGAAGATAAACGTTGGCGACCCGTTTTTATGAAAGGGAAGAAGGACAGGGGAGCGGTAGGACGGTATCGGAATCAATCATGTTTTCAAGGAGGTTGTTGTAATTCTTCACGAGTGGAATCATGTTTCTCATGAATCAGTGAATATCTTCAGGGTCGTCGTGTAGCAGGGAATTTCACACAGTTGGCGGGTCCATTTTTCAGTGAAAAGTGTTGTTTTATGTAAAAATGCACTTCGTGGACTTCGATGAGAAGATGACCAAGTTGGTATAAGTCCACCTCTAGTCCACCTCTACCAAGGACAAATTAAATGTTGTTTTCCGGGTGCAGGGTGAACTCACTATCACAACTACTCGACTGGGTCACGAAAGATACAATACAATACATTTAATCTCGCACAAAGTTCAGTGCAGACTGCCTTAAGCTAGAACTTGTTTTTCCTGAACCACAGTCAACTAAAAACACTTCGCTCGATGCTCGATCTCACCGACAAGGAAACGCTCAACAAACACGTCGCTAAAGGGATAAACCGACATAGCAACCACGTGTCATTGGTATAAGTCCACCCCTACCGCAGTAAACCAGAACCCTTGAGAAGTTGAGTGAGATATTACACCCACCACGCAATTTTTTATCATTATGCAGAGAGGCCTTGCATTGTATTAGCACACTCCTGGCAGGAAACCCACCGCGCAATCACCACGTCGAGAAGAGTGAAGAACTCGGCTGCAAGTACTTGAATTTCGATTTAAAACAAAGCACACTCATCTGTGGTAGAGTTATCGGGTATGGGTGTTTCTTTGGGGCCATGATGAGTTTGGGAAAATATGTTGAAAAATTTGAGATTGAAGAATTTGAGAGAGGTTTTGTGTTCATGAGTTTTCATGTACTGCACAGTCTTCTATTCGTCACCCTCATACGTGCAGTCCACAAGCCTACCAGCCATGATTGCCTTTCTCGAGTCCTGGATGAGAAATCGTAACAAACTGTGCCGTCCCCGCCACGCTCATCCCCATCAATCAAGCAGTAACAGCATGCTTCTCTAGGTACTCAAAAGCCTCCTGTACTCCCGCAATTTTATCTGCGTCTTCGTCAGGGATAGTGTAGTTAAAAGCCTCTTCGACTTCCAACAATACCTCAACCCTATCAAACTCGTCAAACCCGAGGTGGTCCCAAGTCGTTTCCATGCTCAGTGGCTGTCGCAGCGTTTCCAGTTTCTTTGCTAGAGCGGCTTTGGCGGGAGATGAAGGGTGGAAGAAATTAATAGGGGAGAAAGCTGTAGGAGGGGGAGAAGAATTTGAATTTGTCGTCATGCGTGGGCAATAGTTTAAGCTACGAAAAACTCGATAGACGTTTTCCTGCTCCGACACACGACAGAGCGTTGTTAGACAAAAAAGTGGGAAAAAAAGTTCATTCACCATGATCGTAAATCTTGTGCGGACGCTTCTTCCATTTCCTTTTTGATGTCTTCTTCGCGGTCGTACAAGTGTTTCTGTACTGCATCCAATACCAGCTTTTTCCTCTGCTCTGGTGTCAACGTTTCCAACGCGGCTCCCGTACTACTGAAGAAGCGAGGTGAAAAACTACTGTTGGAAGACGGCAGACGAAAAGAACTCGTGTGAGTAGCAGACTTGTGCCTAGAATTACTCATGATGTTGTTAGAGGTAGTAGAAGACTCCTGTTCCACTGGCGCAGCAAGAAAAGCTGAGCAAGCGGTTGCGACTCTAGGCCGGAATCCGAATCCATTTCGCGGGAAGCCTAAGCGCCGAGCGGAGCTGTTTAAGGCTTGAGAAGTACGCTGCATTTTGTCGTCACAACTAAGTCTCTGATACAACTGATCTAACTACGTATAATAGAAGAACTTGTCAGATGCATCAGTCTAACGACCTACTTGACAAACATCCGTTGGCATGAGAAGAACACTTACTCCACTAGCTGGGAACAAGAATGAATAAGATAAGAATATCAAACACTGCAAGAATTCATTCATGAAGATCGTGTTGAAGTCATTACTACGTGTCTTCACTTATCAAACACTAGGCGTTGACGAAATGAGTCATAATTCGAACGATCATCATATTCTTATTGTTAAATTTTGAAACAGGCATGTTTCCATAGGAGAGTCGTTCAACCAGACAAACGTTGACATTTGATTCCGCATCGGAGGACAAACGATAGGATGTCAAGATCATCACATTTAAGAATTCTGGTGGGGGGGTCTTGGCAACTAGAATTGTGAGTAATTACTTATGCAGCACAAATGTCGGGTGAGTGAGTGAGTGAGTGAGTGAATGTGCCTCGCGCAGGTGGTGCAATTGGTGTTTTAAGTCGCAGCTTGTCATATAATAGCCAAGACCCCCACTCCAGACGGCCAGAATTGTGAATAATTATGCAGCACAAATGTCGCTCGAACACACGAACTTTTCTCAGAACAACAGCAGAAGCATGTGCTAGTCTGTTCGGGATATTGTCGCGCAGTTTGTGAAATAGCAGTCGTTCAAAATGAGTTTTGCATTTTATCATGCATGAATTTGAAACCACGAGTTTCCATTATGCTCATGAAAAACCCAATCACTTCACTCACACTTTTTACTTGAACTTCTGCCCTCTGAAATTATTGGAGTTCGGATTTCTTCGTCCGTACCCGTGCTTCAGAGTATTAGGGTTTCGTGACACCGTGTTTCCGGTACCAGTTATGTGTCTGGCGCACCACCCATCGACAACGTCGTCCCCGTTCTTCTCGCGGATTTGTCTCTGTTTTTCCGCTAGCTTTTGCTCATATTTCTGCTGCCTATCCCTACCTCCCATCATGCGCTCATCCTCGCGGAAAAGCAGGTCGTGACCTGGCAAAAGAACAGGTCGTGAGAGAGAAAGATAGGAAACAAAATTGATGGTCCTTATTAGATCGATGTTGAAAAATTGTAGTTTAAATGATCAAGATTATTTAGTGAGAGATTTTCTAATAATTCAGTGCAAAAGCATCGTCGATGCAAGAAATCCTAAAAATAGTACATCTTCCTCCCCGTCTTTTCGGAATGGAGTAGATAGTTCCTCGCAAATTCGGTTTCCTACGTCGGTTATCATGCATCACTAGACGCCCATCGGCGTCTAAGGTATAGGGGCATCGGTCCAAAGTCGGGTTTCCGCATTTCGCACAATAAATTTTTGTCGTATCACGTGTTGTGTGGAAGCAAGCGCGGCAAATTTTACCTAGATTTGGTGGTAAACATTTTTTTACTTTTTTAAGTGGTGGTGGTGGTGGGGTGGAAAAGTTTATTAACTTTGATAATGATAAATAGATCGCGATAAGCAGCTTGTCATTCATCGTGAAAAAATACTGTATTCAACCCGTTCAAAACAAGTTCAAACGATGACACTTCTAGAAGTTGTAAGTAGTAAGTTGTAATTATAGTACCCCATAGTTTAACGCTGCGGATCCGAAAACCATCGATGCTCAATGCTTGTAAGCCCATTTGAATGGCTACGTTCTGCACACTGTAATCTGTAGAGAGGATGCAGATCGGACTCTGCGCACTATCAGAACTGGAGGAACCCTTATTCGCTTCTACGACATTCTGAAGCCTGTTGATGTTGTCGACTGTGACCCATCCATCATCGTCGTCAGATTCAGAGTCCTCTTCGTCTGGGTTGACAATAGTTTCTTGGGCAAAAGAGGAGTTCAGAATGCGACTCTTTCCCTTCTCATCCTTCTTCTCGTCTGATGCGGATGTGGATTCTTCAGCGCTTTCTAGAAGTGTTGAAGCTGGAGTCGTCTTCTCACCAAAATCAAGTTTTCTGCTTAAATCGTCAGCAAGGTCTAGGTCTACTTTGTCGTCTGAAGATCTGTTTGCTGTTGGTTTCGAAGTCGGCAAAGTGTAACCCTTTCGTTCTGTTTCGGGAACTCCAAAGTCGTTGATAGGTGCAGGTGGCGTAACGTCGATCACATGGACGTGATGCTCCTTCTTCTTTGGGTCTTCCTGCGCGAGATTCTTAGCGGCTGCTGCCCGTTCGGCCCATGACAATGCACGTCCCGAGTTGTCTGCGGCCGCTGGAGTTGTCACCACAGCTGGTGGCTGAGCCTTCACTACAACTTCCTCTTCTTCTGCTTCTCCACTAGAAACAACATCCTCATCAATGTTCTCATCAATGTTTTCCGCGTCCGCGAATCTGACTACACGTTGATTACTAGGCTGCCTATCTTCGCCTTCCTCTTCGTCCTCTGGCACGCACTCTAGCTCGCGCTCTGCTACATCCACATCGTTTTCACCAGAAACAAGTTCTTCGTCAGTGTGGTCACCCTGTTGACTCCTCAACGCAGAGTCAGTCACGCTGTCGTGGTCGTCTTCTAAGCCACTCTCTAGGTCGTAAGTCGCTAAGGAATCCGTGTCACAATCTCCTCCGAAATGCGAATCTCTGGAGAAAAAATCCTCGTCTTTAGATGCCGAACTTTGTCGCCGGTCGCGGAAAAAACCTTCCCTAGGAGCCCAACTGAACGGTACACGTTTTTGCGACACTTGGCTCATTTCAGGCTTTTCGCGTAGCGCGAAAGTGCTACCACTCTCACGATGCAATCTGACTGCGAGCGCAAGCAGACCCATGTCGTTGTGGGAGAGAAAACCAACATCACCGGTCTCTTTTGCGAAGGCTTTTACCTATGTATTTGATGATGTGGAAAAGGTAATTGAGCGACACATGATTAAGTACTCAATCGCGTGTATTTTGAGGATAGACAATGTTAACTCCATGGGATCCAAAACCAAATCCAAGCACATCAAGTCGAAGTAAAAGAAATAATCAGTACAAACATGTAGTCCTCCTTAAACGGCTGTTTCTGTTGCAGGTCAAACGGCAATGTTTGCAAGTGTCGTCGTGCTTGACTGTCCTTGATCTCGCCGTGGACTTCTTCGGTGGTGAAAAACTCAGACCCAAAATTCTCAATTCTCTGCAATTTAATCGCAGCACCCGCATCTACGACAACAACCTTGTCGTTGTTTTCTGACTTTAGGGGTGCACATGGAAAGGCTGGTGGTGCAATGGAATCGGTAGTGGTGGAGGGGGCAGCATTGCTGCTGTCCTGTTCGATCGTTGCACTGGAGGAAGCCATTTTCGCTTACTCTAAAGATTTTTGAGCAATAGTAAGAATCACAGATAAGAAGTGTACAACATACTTTTTACAAGTAGAAGCGTAGTAGAGGATAGCCAATACAGCAAGGTAGCACTCGATCTACGTTAACAATGATTCAGCGCTAGCACTAGAATCCTCACCGCTAGGGACGCATACTCCTGCTGCGCTTAGTTGATGCAAAGCACGCTTCATTCGACCGAGGAAGTGGATCCAACACAAGTCAGGATCAGAGCAGACCGTTTCGTCGCCCAACGTTTTCTTGTCAACATGATCTGCGAAAGGGTCTTCGTTCTAGGCAGATCGCTTTCATCATGAGCACGCTTTCATGGGGAGCAACAGCAAGATCAATGGTTCAAGATTTCCGTAGAAATCCGAATAGGAACTTTTCGGAACTTGACGAGCATCACACTTCTTTTGGAGATCTTGCTGTGATCAGCTGTCCCAGGAACGACACAGCAAGAAAGAAGAGATCCAGGATCATACTTTCCTTTTCGTACGGTTTGCTTCTTTTCGTCTTTTGGATCCCAATGTTCTTTTTGCTTCCTAGAGTTTCTCTTTTATCAACAGTGCAAACTTGGTTGTAACGTGGTCTCTTGTATCACGTAAAGACCTTCAAGTTCGAGCCGGTGAATAACCGAATTCTGTGTGATCTTCTTAGAGAGACCCGAATCAATACAATATTGCCAATGCCGGATCAGAAAGGAGCTCTCCTGATGATCATTTATGACCATGCGTGGAGCCAAGCTTTAAAGGCAGCTATCCTCTATTACACAAATCCTATTGGCGCTAACTACCCAGAAGCTATAACTAGAACTCTAACAGCAATATAATGCTATGACCTCCAGCATGTACATTTTCTAACTATGTCTAACCTAGATGTTGTACAAGTGCAGATTAAAGATGAGTGTTCTCTGTCCGGGATTGGTCTCATGCAGAAACAACTTCTTCATCATGAGAGACCGAATAAAACTTTGTCTTCTATACTCGCAAAATCCTTGGTATCTGCCGCACTCTTCGGACAGCTGAGTAGTAGGTGCTAAACTAAGCTAACCAAACAGAAAAACTAACTAAAGTGACTAGATGTACTTCGCATGATTTGTCGATGCTGTCGTCGTGTCTACAAACTTTATAAAGGCTGATATAGCTTGTAGCTACAATTTCGGATAGTCATCCCAGGGATGACAGACTTGACGGTAACTAGGTTTGCAGACCAGGAGAGCACGGGGAAAGAATACGAATCCAACCTCCTTGCTCGTCAAATGGTCCACAACCGAAACTCCTATACTATACGACTATCTTTAATCGTATCATGTAATCATCAGGTACTGCGCAACACATGAGCTTCTTACTTGAGTTGTACATAAATTTTGTCGGTACTATACAATCGGAATGTATTTCTGCCTCTCAATTAGCAAAAATGCTTCTGCTGGTTATTCTTACAAGATTATAATGGCATGAAATACAGTGTCGTTATCTGGAATATGAAGTTAAGTCATTAGTTTTCAAGTTAATTCAGTCGGTGGGAATTCTTGAAGTTGTAAGTCCCTTGAAAGCGATACGGATGGTAGAATAAGATTGCGATAGATGGTAGTTAATGGTACAAATCAAATTTATCTACAGGGTAATACCATGATAATATACACCTATCAGTACAATAGTCAACTTTAGTTACAAGTAACATTTGTGGTGGAGCCAACCTACCTAGGAAAGACAGAAAAAGGTAAAGGTATATATCATAATTTTGGTTTTTCATCGTTTACTTCTACTGTCCGGGCTCGCTGGGATTTGGAATTTGCTTCTCATTTTTTCTAATCTTTCCATAACGCGGCTTCTACCTGGATCGTCACTTGATGCCCCAGCCGGCGCACTGGTTCCGGATTGAGACTTAGAGGACTACTATAGGTGGAGGAAGTACAGCACCTAAATAGTGGAGAATTTGAATCGAGAAGATCATAAACCTTTTAATATCGTACAACAAGGATCCGTTTCATGGTCGTGTTAGCTAAGCCAAGTACTTGTTGAAGACTTGCACTTCTTGAACACTTGCAGTTCTTGAAGACTTGCACTTGTTGAAGACTTGCACTTGTCATGTATGTGCCCCTGATGACACTGTCCGTAGTGCCCGTAGAGACTAATGCTGGTAACAATTCAGGGCCAGAGGCCAGGATGCTAACAGTATGAAGAGAAAGTTATGAAACAGCAAGCACTAAAGCACTACCACTCCGTTTATTATAGTAACAGAGCAGGTCCTTACATTACGGTCAAAATCTTTCTTAAGAGATGATCCTGTGCCAATGTGTTCCCCTGGGTCGTCACTGGAGGAAGTCCGGTCTCGAGTGATCACCGTAGCCCGCAACTCGCCACTCACAGGGCTAGCCGAGACTGTGGCAGAGGTGATCCAACCACTCCTGTGGTCCCATTCGAGGACCTGTTGATTTTGGGAGGAAGGAAGTGACTGCGTGATGAGAATTTCATTCGAGGACCTGTTGTTTTTGGGAGGAAGGAAGTGACCGCGTGATGAGATGAATTGGACGATAGCTAGTACCGGTGAAAAGAAATCACCAAGTCAAACGCATAGTACCCATACTAGTAACACGTAAGTACATAGTACCTTCCGATCATAAGGTTCGATCGACTCTTGCGTCCGCATCTGCGGGGTTACTGACAACGTGACTTTCTCTGGAGCACCACGCGGAACGGCCGCAATTCTGACCACATCCGAATCTGCATGAAATTCTGCTGTGCCTGTTCTAGATGACGGAGAAGACCTGCTAACCTCCTCAACTCTTGACGAACGAAACGAAGATGAGACTTGTTCTTTCGTACCAGTGAATCTTCCACTGCTATATGAGTGAACAGAGTGCTGATGTTCTGGTTGATAGAAGTAGCCGTCAGGTCTTCTACTGGGATGCTGATATGGATCTCTCGTACGATCGGCACCACATTCGCGATTTCTCAGGTGCTGATATGGATCTCCCGTACGATCGGCACCACCAGCTCCTTCTTGAGGATGTCGGGGGGCACTAGTAGTTGCAATATTTTTGTCCGGAGAAAGATTGTTCTGATCGACGTGACCTCTCGTAGTACTAGAAGTAGCAGAAGATGAGTACTGGATACTTTGGGGGCCGTAAAAATGTCGTCTAGATGACACTTCGTTTTGTCGATGCTGCTGCAGTATGGAAGAAGATGTAAAATTTCGTTCATATTCGTCTTGTTGTTGTTGCTGTTGTGCCGGAGGAGGAGAAGGAGTCGACGATAAATTTTCTCCTGCCACAAGAAGCGGTTCTTTTGCTCCCACAATGTCGACTGTTGGCGTTTTACAAACTGCAAGTGACCGCTTTTGTCTAGCTACTTCTGTATGTAGTTTCTCACGACCATGATGAAGATCCCAAGTAGTAGTACCATCAGACGAACTTAAGTACAAAGGCCGAGTCCCACTAAAACTAGAACTATTCATGAGCAACAGCAGTTCCTTGTGCTCGACATCACACAACTGTTGTCTGATAAATCTTGTCCTGGCTAGTTCCTTACTCGTAGAGGTACTATCGGGATCGAGATGGCTTTCGTTTTCTTGTCTGCTTCTAGCAGTAAAAGAGGACGCAAGTTGTTCATTATCGCTGTTGGTTGGAGGTGAAAGACGACCATCGAGGTCATCTCGAGGCTGCGTATCATCTTTTCCTCGTCCACGTGCAGTATGCAAGTGATCTTTGGGTCCACCTGCAGCTCCAGCTGAGTTGCCGTGTCCATGCAAGTGATCTTTAGGTCCACCTGCAGCTGAGTTCCCATGTCCATTATCTCGCAAGTAAGAGTTTACAGCACTCCCATGATTTGCAGCACTCCCATATGAAGTTCCATGTAGTCCATGCTCTGATCGCAAGAAATGCTGAGTTGTAGCTGTTTCAGCAACATTACCACGACTACCATGCAGCTCCGGTCTTCCATATTCTTCCGTCAGACCACTGCTTTTCCGACTGCGTTCGTAGTCGTAGGAGGAATCACAGGGTTGTATGCTGCCTCTTGGGGTACTCATCCCGGCATCGGACAGTTGGTATATCGGGTTCGTAATCATACCAGACGAGGAGTACATAGGATTGCTAATCATCCCCGAAGAAGCATAGCCCCCCATAGTTCCGGAAGACATACTCCATCTGAGTAGGGCCACTGTGTCTCCGGGTTCGACTTGAGTAGCACGTGAACAAGTGCTCTGCGGTTGACTACGGTCAGGGACTGGAATCTGACCTTTTCCTGTCCGTTTTTCTTGTTGAACTTGAACTAGTACCTCCTTGTGTCCTTGTTGCCCGCCGTTCTCCTGACCTGAGGGTGATTCGCTAACTTGTTCCGAAGCGGTTGGTGCTCTGACACGTCGTCCATCGTCTCGTTCAGGAAATATCAAACTTCGTGGGTTTGTTTGGCACGTAGCGTCATGTGTTCGAGAACTCGAAGCTATATTTGTTTCAGAACCATGACGTTCAGAATGAGCTTCCTCAACACTGCGGCCGTCACCGTACCACGCACAGCTTTCCTTACTCGATGGTCCACTTGATGAACTCGTAGAAGTTGGCAAACGTTTCACCCTTCCAGACGACCTCACGTTAACCGCCTTTGATTCTCTAGAGTTTTTCGGATTATTTGCATCTCCAGAAGTAAAGCCTTGACTGGTAGGTTCTTCCTCAACGGACGCAGTTTTACGACCGCTAGCACGCATCCTTAAGCGCAAGGGTCGACTCCCTAAAGGTTCTCGTGCGCGGGCAGTGCCAGTAGCAGGCGAGAGGTCTAATCCCCGAGCTAATCCAATCCGCCAGGGGGATGACACGTCAGCGGGCGAAGAACCTAAAATTGTGATTGTAGAAATAACGAGAAGATTGAATTTTTCAATTTGCTCCAAATAAGTAATTGAGACAACAAGCGGCTTCTCCCAATAAGTAAGGAAGCCGAATCGAAAGAAGACATCATGATCTTCTACGTAACATGCGAAGTCAAACGCTACTCCTACCTCTATCGGATCAACATCGCTTTTCTACACATCAACACTATAGATTTCAGTATACTCATCTTCCTAACTGCGCGCACCAGTGCTGCAGCTGTTTCTCTTGGTCGAAAGAGCTCGTCGGATTGAGCTGCGGGTCCCTCCACGTCTGTCAGCTGGCTACCACTGACGCTCAAGGTCTCGTAATTGTTCTGAGAATCCATGACTTTCAAATGACAGATGAATGAGTAAAATAAACTTGCGCGTAGTTCAATGATGGCCTAACTAAGCATAGAGCCAAGTGCTAATGATACAAGTGCATGCTGTAGAACCATTCAAGCGACATGCCCTCTAAGTGTTTCGATCGCTAAGGGCTGCGGAAGTAGTGGACGAACCGCTTACGGGACACTGCTCAAGCGACATGCCCTTTGAGGATTTCGCTAAGTAGTGACCGAGGCACTGACGGCCACCGCTTAAGCGACAGGTCCCCTAAGTGCCTCGGGAAGTGTCGCGTAAGTGGTGACCGAGGCACCGACGGCCACCGCTTAAGCGAGAGGTCCCCTAAGTGCCTCGGGAAGTGTCGCGTAAGTGGTGACCGAGGCACTTAAGGTCACCTCTTAAGCGAAAGGCCCCTTAAGTGCCTCGGGACGTGTCGCTTAAGTAGTGACCGAGGCACTTAAGGGCACCTCTTAAGCGAAAGGCCCCTTAAGTGCCTCGGGACGTGTCGCTTAAGTAGTGACCGAGGCACTTAAGGTCACCTCTTAAGCGAAAGGCCCCTTAAGTGCCTCGGGACGTGTCGCTTAAGTAGTGACCGAGGCACTTAAGGTCACCTCTTAAGCGAAAGGTCCCTTAAGTGCCTCGGGACGTGTCGCTTAAGTAGTGACCGAGGCACTTAAGGCCACCGCTTAAGCGACAGGTCCCCTAAGTGCCTCGGGAAGTGTCGCTTAAGTGGTGACCGAGGCACTTAAGGTCACCGCTTCAGCGAACGGTCCCCTAAGTGCCTCAGGAAGTGTCGCTTAAGTAGTGACCGAGGCACTTAGGGTCACCTCTTAAGCGAAAGGTCCCGTAAGTTGACGCTACGCGCCGCTTAACAGGTGACCATGAAAACTTGGTCGCGTTTTACTCCTATCTTTTAGCTCGATAAAATACCTGCAACTGCGCTCCTTTTTCGTCCTCTTCGAGTAGTGCATTTCTTTGGTGATCTGAATCCAATAGGACTAGCAAAACAGGAGGCGGTGGCGGTGCTTCCTCGACCTCCGAAGTCCTCGACAGGTTTTCCTCGACAGGAACTACGTCCTTAGAAGTAAGCGCAAGCTCTCCTGGATCGTTTGTTGCGTTCATCATGGTTGAGCCATCACCCATCATACTCGACGTTAATGTTGGTACGCCATTTGACCTCGTCCCTTTCATTATAGTCATACCTCCAGGAACAACAAGGTCTGTGATATCATTACGAGTAGTTGTCACCATCTCATCTCCGCTTGAGGAAGTGGCCACACTGTTTCCAGAGCTATGCGACTCCCCTTCAGAAACGCTAGAAAGCGCCATGGCATTCCTATACTCCGACGTCGTGCCACTACTTTTGTTTTGTGAGGACTCAACAACCGTATTTTTTTCCCCTGGGTTTCGTGGTCCCTCAACAGCTAGAGTCATCCCTCGAGACTCAACTTTGCGAGAGTCATCACTCGCGCTGCATGATGCCAACCGTATTAAGTTTTCCAACATCCGCCTTTCCTCCAACGGCGCATCCTCACTAAGCAAGGCCAATAGAGTTTCCCAAGGGACAGGCCGGGACTTCCCAAGGGACAAGCTGCAGACACGTTGCTGCGGGGGATCTTCACCGTCCGTTGCCGTGCCCAACAGGGTAAGATCAACACGAATTGCAGAGGAATCCATGGTTCTATACAAGATTCATCAAGTAGGATCAACACGAATTGGACGTGTTCTATACAAAATTTTGTAAACTATAACGTCTAAGAAACCTTAGGTCCTCCTATCCAATGTGAAAAACCATATCACAGTGCACCGAGATTCGAGGAGCTACATGAGGTTCTCGGGTGAGTTCGTTACATAAATGGCGAGGCGCTAGATGAAATACGTGAGCTTTTTTTCACCGAATCAATCAAAAACTTTATTTGATTGACCTTTTATCATACACGAAAGATGATCGAACCGTTTAAAGGAGAACTAGAACTTTGTATTACTGCACACATTATAGCATTACACAGAAAAACCCTGATAAAGACGGAGAAAACAAAAATAAAGTGTCTTGAATACTTATTTTTTTCAACACCACGTCGACTGCGAAGTTTGAGTAAAGACAGAATTCAATGGTGGAGGAAGGCTAAAATAGGGCTATTTATAAAGCCACTTACAGAGCCAAATCCGAGTGCGTAGCAAAAACGAAAACAGAAAGGAATTGAAACTCGTTCTGCCTCTCTGACTCTGCTTATGATCGCTCGGGTAGCGCCACTGGAAAAAAGACCGAGTTTGGAACCGAAGCTTTTGTAACCGATCATCCTTAGCCTCACACCAAAAAAACCGTCTTAGAAAATTTTTGTTAGACTCTACCGACACGTCTTTGTTCCCGTAAGAGTTGTCTTTCGCAACACAGGGAAGTCATAACAAACACTTTGAATTTGCCACGTCGGTCTGGGGATGGAGATGCCGCAACTAGTATGAGTAGTTCGATCTTAAAACTTTGCCATGGGACTGGGATGAGCACATAATCCAAAAAAGGGCGTCGTCTTCGTAGGACAAATATCGAGGCACAAATTGGACTTGGAGGTCACGCGTTCGTTCTTTGTGAGTGAGAAAAACAATTCATTTCTTTCCAACACCCTTTGCCGCTCCTTTATCTTGTTTGCCCTTTCCCTTGCCCTTACTCCCACCTTTACTCCCTTTACTTGTTCCTTTACTTCCTTTCGTGCATTTATCCTTACTATCCTTACCTGTGCCCTTGCCCCCCTTCCCTTTGCTCGCTTTACCTTTCGTCCCTTGCGTGCTTTTATTCTCTTGCTCAGTGCTAGAGCTTTTTCGCTCGCTGTCCCCAACTGGCACCGCCCCAGCATGAAAAAAGGCTGACTTTTCCTTGTGTTCTGCCATGACACTCTGCAGAGTACGCCCTTCGCGATTGGCCTTTCTTTCCATGCGCTTTTGAAATTTCTTTACATCTGCAGCACTCTTCTTCGCTAATTTCAAAGCCTCTTTCTCTTTCGCAGCTGCAACTGGATCAAAGACAACACGAGGCTTTTTCGTAGTGGTAGATGAAGTTGCTGCTTCTTCGGTTTCATCATCCACTTCTGAATCAGGACCATTATCTACATCTGAATTTCCACTCCTGTTTGTTGTTGTTTTCTCGCTCTTACCGTCAGAGGAAGCAGGACGCTTGTTGCTCTTCTTGGCTAATATTCCCTTCGCATGGTCTAGTACACCTTGTTCACCACTAAGGAATCCTTTACATCGGTCTAAAATCTTATCGATCTCTTTGATTTCTTTAGCCGCCAAAACCGCTTCCAATTGCTCAAACTTTTGCAGAAGAGACTTGCACATGCGCCTCACATGAAACACCACAGTCCCAATTCCATGTGAACTTTTTTCGCTTTCGGGTGGAAAATGCTTTTCCGCTAATCGCAGGTATTGACGAGCGAGGTGGAGACTTTCAGTGTAGGAAAGCGTCGGCCGCGGTGACGTTCCGGTGGTCTCTTTTTCTCGCGGTGGACTCTTCTTTTTAATGCCCAGAACGGTCCTCTTCGCATCCGCAAAAATCCGAGGATTATCCAGCAATCCTTCTGCACTCATAATCCCAGCTGCGCCTGTGAATCTCCAATTCGTGATGACATCCTCTCCTGTGATCACGTTACCGTTCGCCAATATCGGATATGACTTAGAACTTCTTCCACCCATGTCCTCTACTAGTTTTTTCACATGTTCTAGATTCGCAGCTCCTTCTCTACGTCTTGTCGCTGTGCCTCTAGCCCTCGCATGGACTGCAATCCACGCTGATCCTGCTTGCTTTAAGTCCTTGCACAATTGTAAGGTTTCCTCATACGAATCTAGTAGTCGGATTTTGCAGCAAACGGGAATGCACAGGTTCTTTGCTAGTGTGGCAACAATCTTCTTCAACAAAGGACGATCTTCTTGTCCTAGCAAATAAGCTCCAAAATGTCCTGCGTGTGCAATCCTCTGTGGACAACCAAGATTCAGATCCACTGCGTCTACGTGATTTTCAACTAGTTTTGCAGCTGCGAGTAAAGTCTCAGGATTGTTGCCACAAAAATGCGCAACAAGGCGGCCTTCCAGACGATGGTCTCTTCCGTTTTTCCTGTTGCTGTTCTTTTTCTGCAAGGTTTCAAGCTGTTCAAAAAATTGCTCTTGAGCATAGGTGGTTGGAAAATAACTCTTGCCACTGCTGGTAACAGGAGCTTTACTATTAATACCGGTCTTGCTCGATTCACCACTAGAAGTTGTAACGAATTTGTCAGCGTACATCATCGGCGTATAGCATAAGTCGCAATCATGTTGTCGCACTAGCTCACGAAACGCGAGTTCGGAAGCGCCAACCATTGGTGCACAAACGTAAACTGGTCGTTTTTCCAAGGCGCATTGCTTAAACAAATCTAGTACTGTTTGATTTGATGTCGATGGAACCGAGGAAGAGGCTGCACAAGAAGATGTAGTTGTCGCAGCGGTGACTTTCTCCACTTTCTTATGAACAGCCGACGTTGCTCTTGTACTAGTTTGTTTGTCCTTGCCATCAGCTTTTCTCGTCGCAATCGTTGTCGAGGTCTTTGAAGCCTTCGCCTTTACCTCTGTACCTCGACCAAGCAGGTAGCGAAGCCTCTCACGAGGGTTTCGCAGCTTCGCTGACGTTGCGAAAAATTTGCTTTCCATTTTTATTGATCTAGTTTGCTAACTACGTGAGAATCAATTCACTTACACGAAACGGAAATCTAAGTGATGGAAGAAAATGAGATGTCGCTTGGTCGTCAGAGAATAATCACGATCACATGAAAATCATAGCAGTAAGGGGTAACGACTAGTAAGAGATTCTTACTACAAGAGATGTGGGACCTGTTGTCTTTCAGTGTACTTAGCTTTTTTAGTTCGTGAATTGAATGGGACAGTATTTTCTTCCAAGTCACCCAAGAGCAAAAAATATCGATCAGTTGCGAAGATCTTGTTTTTCAATCTAAGATCATCCACATGCCGATCGAGATATGCATCTGAGGATCAAATGTGTGAAAGTAGGATCCAGTAGAGCGTAGATCAGACACTTTTTGGAGCCACAAACTTTCTTCTGTTTTGCCAAGAACGGTTGACCTTGTATTTGCCAGCTCATTATTCTTCCGCCATAATTCTTTCTCCATATCTGCTCCATCGCGATACACCAGAGGATGTCTCATAAGTATTCAGGAGTCCTTTTCTCATCATTTTTTCTGTAGTTCTTCGCCTTTGTTCACAATTTAGCAATAAAAGACACAAATTCTTTCATTGCTTTCTTCATGTCCTTAGAATTCGACAACAAGTGATTTCCTTTTGGTATTTCCACGAACTGTTTAGGCTCTGCCGCTATTTCAAATAACCGCTTTCCTTCTCGTATTGGTACAGCCTGGTCCTCCGTTCCGTGAATGACTAAGAATGGTGGCGGTCGTGGTGATGCCCCTTCCTTAACTGCATCTTCGATCCGTAAGTCTAAAAAATCCTCCGTATACTGCTTCCCAAGGCGCATGCGATGACGAACAAAAGTACCAGGTTCGATATTTTCCGAAGGCTCCGTCTTTTCAGGCTCTTCTTCCTCTGTCCTTTCTGTTCCTGGTACAGCAACAGCCAGCTCCGCTTCTTTGGGATTGTCTTCACTTCCAAAGGGTAGCCAAAAGTCTTTCCAACAAGCCCCGGTGGCCTGCATTTCTTTTTGCTGGGACTCATCAAAATCAAAGCCAAGGGCGTCAGGAATAGTGCAGCAGCCGGCAACTGCGGTGATAGAGGCACAAAGATTCGGGGACCCTCGTAGCAACGAGGCGACAATAGCTCCAGTTGAGAGGCCTATGACGTGGACTTTGCTGCTGCTGCTGCTGCTGCTGTGATCATCGGTGGAGGTAGATGTTGTGGTGTCACTTCTAAGGTTTAGAACTCTTCACACTACAAGCATAATCCATCTTTTGCCTCATAATTTGTTGCGTGCACTTTTCTACCTGAAGAAAAGTGCTAACTACAGCTGCACAAAGTTAGAGTTAAACGAAAGATGGCTTGCAACAAGTAATTGTCCTCAGTCTCTCTTAATCTTTTAAGAAACTGCATCACTGCTTTAGCATCTGCAATTTCTCCAGACACAGTTTTGTCGAAAAACTTTCCACCGGAACCGGGTGTACCACGAAAATTCAGGGTACAGAAATCCAAGCCAACACCACAAGTCGCTTCCATCACTTTTTGAGCGAATCTTTCACTCACATCTCCATATGCGTTTTGCCTGTGATCCAAACTCTGCGCCGGAAAGCCATGGAGGTAAAGAACCACGTCAGGGGCAGGTGTATTAGGGCTGCCTGGCTTTGAGTAAAGAGTTACGTCAGTCGCCTGGTTTTGAGCAGATGTATTAGTATTAGCAGGGGTCTTGGCTGTCTCGTCTTGTCTTCTGGAACTTGATACCAAAGTAGTCAAGACAAAACTGTCAGCACTAGGAATCTTCCACACCGTGGCGGAGTGCATTCCAGCCTGTCGACTCCCAATCCGCACCAGTTCATGGGTCATAGTGGTCATATTTTTGCTTAGTAGTTTTGTTTGGTATTAATGGTGATGTTGGAGCCTAACTATGAAAAAGCACACGCAAAAGGAAATACAGAAGTGATCTAGAGTGGTCTCAAACGAACGCAGCCTATCAAGCAAGAGCGATCGAGTAACGCTAGTGTCAGGTAAGAAAGAAAAAGCCACGCACTGCTGAAGCAATCAATGCAAAAATAGGAAGGCAGAGTCAGGAAGGCGCAGATACTTCAAGAACACAAGAGCAAAGTCTTAACGGGGTGGACCGAGCTGCATTTGCAGGCCTTTGCGACGTCAGGTGTAAGAAATTAATCTGGTGGCGGTGCCGTTCTGATCGATCGAGTACTTCAAGGACAAGTGGCACGGCGCCGATTACAGTTTAACACATCGCCGTCGGATGGTACCTTTTTTCATTCGGAAGAATTTGGTTTGGGCCATCAGGAAAAGAGCTCTAAGTGGTAGGGAAAAAACTGAACACTGTAAGTGGCAGGGGTCTTCCTTCCCGACAGGTTTGAAGCGAGTGCCGAGCGGCTCGTACGGGTGGAACAAGGGCCGCGGAGAGAATGGCGCAGTGAGTCAGTCCTAATACACAGAAACAAAAACTATGCAGCACGCCTTGCCCGCGCCGGCAGCCGTGCGGGGGCGAGTCCATCGCACCTGAAAAACCACGGATGGAACAAACTAGCCTCGCGGCCCAAAAAGCGGGCGCGCCACCTTGTCGGCCTCTCGCATTCCGCGGGCCTTCTTGTGCGCTCGCTTGGGCTGGGTGGGGCGGGAGTGTCAGGACCGGTTGGGGCGTTGCTAGGTTGCGGGGGGGGGGTCGGGTGGGGGTACGTCGCCCTCGTCCCTCGCGGCCTACAGGGAAACGGATGGGGGGGCTTTGTTTTATGGACAAACGCCCCCACTGGATTCCCGACCCCTTCGCCCCTGCAAAGGCAACCGGAGAGCCGCCCAAACTGGACAAATTTGACAAATTTCACGCGTGCGCGCCTATCATTTTGGAGAAGTTTGAAACAGGTGGAAAGGCTCTGCCACAAGCTTCGGGACTCCTTCAAGGCCCTGGCCCGCTTTGATAGGTATCCGGCGCGGGTCCTCTTCGGTGTGGGCGCTCTCCGCTGAGGAGGCCACTCCCCGGCGCAGCGGTCGCCTTTGGTGTCCACGCATTCCTTGGCATACCTTGCCGCTTGTCGCGGGTGGCGTGGTGACAGGCTACTAGGCTACGCGCGTGGGCTCTCGGTGGCAATTCATAAGCAGAAAAATAGGGCAGCGGACTTATTTTAGCGGAGACCATAAAGGAAAAGAATCCCGCTCCGCTTTTTCAGCTCAGAATCTAGAGGGGGGCCCTAGGGCTGTGGACTTTTTTCAGGGGGGATAAAAATCAAAACACTGCCCAGCTTTTTTGGCTCAGGATCTAGGTAGAGGGGAGGGCTTTGGCCGTAAATCCATTTCAGAGGGGGCCGAAAAAAGCAAAGCCCCTCCCACCTTTTCGGCCTAGAATCTAGGCAGAGGGGAGAGCGTTGGCCGTGAATTTACTTCGTAAGGGATCGAAAAGCAGTGACCCGAGTGACCTCTTATAGCTTATTTCTGCGAGTGATCCCCTCGAAAATGGGGGCAGCGGGTATTATTCCTGGCGCTGTTTGGGACCCCTCCCAGCTTTTTCCGCCCAGAATCTAGAGGGAAGGGCTTGGGCTGTTGGTTTTTCATTCGGGACCGAAAATCGTGAAACGCTTTCCACTTTTTTGGTCCAATTAACAAAGGGGAGCGCTTTGGGCGGCGAATTTATTCCATCGGGGACTAGAAAAAAAAGAAACCCCCTCCACGTTTTTGGCTTGGCTACTTGATGGCAGTGCTTTGGGTGTGGACTTATTTTTGTTGGGATGAGAAAAAAGGAACCCTCTCCACTTTTTCCTCGCGAAACTCTTAGGCGAAACCGTTAAGGGACAGTGGCACTTCTGGGCCGTTTTCGATATTTTGCCTCTTTTCTTCCCAGTTTGGCACGCCAGCCCCGAGATCGCGAGGCCAGTCCGTCTCTCTCCTCTTCCCATTTTCTTATCGGTTTCACCTCTGTCTTTCCGGGCTCTGTTGAGATGCTTCCGCCATTCTCTTATCGGTTTCGCCGCTCGCTCGGCGTGCCCGACTCCTCTGCAATCCCTCCGGCTACCGATACAAACCGAACGAGGCGACGGGCGACACCATGAGACACGGGCTCGCCCTCCTCTTTAAGAGTCCGGAGCATCATTACAGGCAAAGGCTAGGCCTGTGCGCCCGTAGCTCTCAGAAGTGCGCCCGGTATAGGTAGCGCACGCACACGAAGAGAGCCAATGGGACAACTTCAATCGCGAGCGTCTTTCGGTAAGACCGCAAAAGCTCGGCAAGACGCCCCGCCTGGCGCATCGGCCGCCAGCGGGGCGATAGGGCACGCCTTAGCTCTTCAGTTACACGGGCGACAGTTTGTCTGATGCATCCCCCCGCCTCCCGTTGTAGCCCGCGCCCCCTGCCCCCCTTGTACAAGGTTACACGGTCGGGCACAGTCCGCAGGCGCACTCTTCGGCGCCGACTCGTTATAGGGATTCACAGTCGCGCACAAATTTAACCTTGTGCAAGGGGGTGGGGGGCGAGATGGTCCCGTGGGCAACTCAGAAGGGAAGTGTTTTCCCTTCTTTGCCTCGTTGTGTGAGTTCTTATCTCCCTGCAATCCCTTCAAAAAGTATCTTTTTTCATCTGGGCACTTTGAGCTCAGATGAAAAAAGAGGTCTTACCAGTTCACTTCCC